AAAGACATACGACGTGCCAAAGCATACGTAATAACCCTTTTTATCCGTAACACCCTTTATATTTCCATTTATTTCGATACCATACGATACTTGATTGGCTGCTTAACATTTGGCTATTTTAAGCGTAACTGATTTTAGGTTCATTTATTTGAAGGAAAGGTATGGCTGTACGTCATATTCACTGTGGAGTGGTTCATATTTTTGTATCTTAGTGATACTTATGAGGTTTACAATGTAACATGAAGAGGGAGGGGATTCAGTACATTGTTTAAAGATATTAGGTCGAGCAAAGCATTTTTGATGTGAGAATAAAAAGGAAAAACGAATGAATTAAAAGGGTAAAAGGAAGGAGATTGCTGTGAAATATTGATAGATTTTAAGATCTTTATTTGAACGTTGTTTAGGGATTGCCTATTTTCGCAAAAAGTACAAAAGTGTTTCTAACTGATATTTGACAAGCAATGAGTGACTGTTTATAATAATAACAGCCCAAGGATTGGTTCATCGTAACGACCTCTTCTCTCTCACTGAGACGTCTCACCAAAAGAAAGCCAAATAAGGAAAAGGTACAACACTATTACTCTTTTACAAATCAGTCTTGCATGTATGTAATGTCATCATCTTGCTGCTGTTTTAATATAAAAATAAAAATAAAAGTTTTTTGTTTTCATGTGATTCTCTTCCACAAAAATTGGAGATGAGTGTATTACTAAATCAGACTTGTGGTGAAAAATTCAAAATTGTGAATAGAAACCTAGAATATAATGTTTCTAAAAAGTTAATTTGCTCAATTGTTCCTTATTTTAAGACTATGTTTCAAAGCGACTCATTGGAATCAAAGGAAAACAAAGTTGAACTGGATTTCGATGAACGTGTTTTCGACTCTATCCTTGGTTGGGTTCATTCAGGATTATTCATCATACAAATGGATTATGTGATCAGTTTTTACGATGCAGTTGATTATTTTATGTTAAATGAATCTCTTTCTAAGCCTTGTTTTGACTACTTCCATGAAAATTTCACCATTGAGTACCTTCCAGTTATTTTACCTCAAGTCACCAAAGTGTCCAAATTGATAAATTCAAGATCTATGGAAAATTTAATTTGTCGCCATTTCTTGCAGATTGTAAACACTGATATTTTCTTGGATTATCCAGTTGAGATCGTTGAATCTATTCTCAAACTAGACTTAATGGTCTACTCTGAACTTCAGATATTTGAATCAATCATGAAATGGGCGAATAAGGACACAGAATCTAGAAACGAATTGATTCCACAGCTACTCAATCATGTTCGTTGGCCTTTCATGGATAAAGATGATATAACCAAATTGCAAAATGATGAATACATCAGTTCTTTGACTAATTTTGTATCAATAATCTGCGCAAATGTTAAAACTGAACACAGAAACCGAAGCAAGCAAAACGGTTTCGTTTCAATGCATCGGATCGATGCTTCAAATGTCAGGATAAATGTGTTTGACGATGAATTTCGCTGTTTACCGCTTGGTGATTTTACTCAAGACGATTCAATGTCACTTGAATTTGTTCCTGAAGAACAGGCTTCAGATATTTTATTTGATTCTGGAATAAAAGGAGTTCGAATTGATTGGGTTAAAAAGACGTTTCGATGGCTCGACTTCAAAGTTGCTGGTAAAACTTACTACAGTAGACTCGGTAAATTCATTTGCAAGTATTCGAATAAACTCAGGTATGGGCTTATGATTAATCTTTTTTTCAATGTCAGTTTGAATTCATATTTGTTTTCACCTCTTACTTTAGCACCTCTTCCTGTTATTTGCATGACAAAGATGCAAAACTTTCTGAGTTGGTACGAAGTGATGAGTTTGTGTTCCTTGAAGCTAATGGTAAATTCATTTTGGTTGGTAGATCAAAATCCGAGAGGAAGTGGTTTGGTTTCTTTCCTGTTAAAAATCCAACTTGGTTCAACATCTTTAAAGAGAATCGTAATATGACTTTCCATGCCACTGTTTTAGACAATACTGTTTACATATTGACAAAGGAACTCGAATTTATCCGATACAATTACGTAGATAAATGCGGCAGTAAGAGTGAACCATTCAAAGACGAAAAGATGGATTTCAATGAGTTGGGCTTGACTTCTCATCAAACAGGAGACGATAAAGTATTCCTGGTCGATAAATCATCTGGAAAGATTTATGTTTTCTGCACCAAGCAGAAAAAATGGCTTTTAAACCAAAAATATCAAATCATGAGCGTAAATGTCACTTCCAAAGATCCTCGTGCTAATGTGAATAAGTTAATTGCCTTCACCTCAACATTCCTACCCATTCAAAATATCAATCCTTTGTATACACAATCCCAAAGCCTGAAAAGAGCCGAAGCAATAGAAAGAAGAACCGCAGATAATGTAAAAAAATTCAAAGCATAATAAATTGCTTAGATTTGTGATCCATGCCCGGAATGAAAAAACATGTTTAATTATCGTCTCATCATGAACATATCTCGAATGATTCCAACTTCATGACAGCGATACATTCTTAAGAAAATTCATTGTTTCACGTCAATATTGATTTTAGACTATGACTTAACTGAATTTAAATGAGTCAGTAAGCTGAACATTCAGAATTCATTCCTTCGCCATTTGATTTGACTTATCTAGTTTTGATAGTTAGTCGTGTAATTGAATTCGTTAAACGTGTAAAATTGAATTTCAATTATTCAATCTTTGATCTTTGCTTGTGAATAGAAAAATATTAGACCTCAATAGTAAATTCAATCTTTTCTGGTTAAAGATTCAAAGATAAAGTGTTAATTTAAACCATAACCCACTGTCAACCAGCGGTTAAAAAACGGCATTTGTTTTGCTTTTTTTGGTAAAATAAAGCGATACATGTCATCGATATCGATAGTATCGTCTATCTTTAAGAAAAAATTCATTACAAGTCTAACCTCATTTAATATTATCAGTTTTTTGAATTCAATCTCTTATTTTTTTATCAACTGTCTTTAATTCTGAGAGCTTTAAGTGACCTTCGATAGTGAATTCAATCCGGAACTTTTAATTCTAGAAACTTAAAAATGAACGAAATGTATTTACAGCATTATGTGTACATATGTAATATCTTCGTTTCCATCATTAGATCAATTAAAAAAACATAAAACTTGAGAAGGTTAAAATAAACGGTTTTCAATTTTTCTGGTTAATTTTCTGGTTAAAGATTTAAAGATAAGATAAAGTGTTTGTGAGTTGAAAAATATTTTAAGCCACGCCTTTATAAACCCAACATCTCACTTATTTAACATATGTAACCAAAGAGTAAAGAAGTTCTTCTTTACTCTTTGTATGTAACATAAGTTATGCTTGACATTAAATGGTCAATGTGCAAAGAGCATAAGATTACTTTTAGGCAAAAACACAGTTATTAATTTTTTGGTTTTCTGTAGTAAATAAATATTGTATTTTGTGTAAACCCATTTAAACATCTCCTATTACCTTCTAATCATCTAAACCTACAGCAAAATCACTGATTTTTCGAAGCCTTTTGTGATTTCAATTGATCGAAATTATGGAAACTATGAGTGAATATTTCGATTGTGATGACGAGTTAAAAATTGTAAACAGAAAAAGAGAATATTATGTCTCTAAAAAGTTCATCTGTTCAGTTGTGCCTTATTTTGAGAAAATGTTTTGCTGCGATTTGTTGGAATCCATGGAAAACAAAGTGGAACTGAATTTTGATGAACAAGTCTTCAATTCTATCATGGATTGGATTCATTCGGAATCGTTTACCATTAAAGTTGAATATGTGATCAATTTTTACGAAGTAGCTGATTATTTGATGATAAATGATCGTTTGTTTGAACCTTGTCTCTCTTATTTCCATGAAAATTTCACCATTAGACATCTTCCATCTGTTTTACCGCAAGTCACTAAAGTGTCTAAATTGATCAGCTCAGGATCCATTGAAAACATAATCTGTCGCCATTTCTTGTCAATCCTCAATACGGAAATTTTTTTGGATTATCCAGTTGAAACGGTTGAAGCTATTCTCAAATTGGATTTGGTGGTTTACTCAGAATTTCAAATATTTGAATCGATCGTGAAATGGGTCGCTAAAAAGGTTACTAGAAGAAGATTTTTTATGCAATTATTAAATTGTGTTCGCTGGCGTTTCATGGATCTTAATGATCTACGTAGAGTGGTAAATCATGAATTTGTCAAGACTTTGGCAAATTATAAATCAGCTATCACTAACACTGTCGAATATGAATTCGATCGTAGTCACCAAAGATTCTTCATTTCAATTCACCAAAAAGATGACGTAACTTTGCAAATAAAAGTGCTTGACAATGATTTTCTTTGTCTTACGATTGGTGATTTCACTCAAGACGATTCTATTTCACTTGAATTTGTCCATGATGAACATACTTCAGATATTTTATTTGATTCTGGAACAAGAGGAGTTCGAATTAATTGGCATAAAAAGTCATATCGATGGCTCGACTTCAAAGTAGCTGGTAAAACTTACTACAGTCAATTATCCAAATTCATAGTAATGTGCCCTACGCAACCAAGGTATGTTCATCATTTTACCATCAATATTTCAGTAAAGTCTTCTTTTTTTGTAGAGTTTAAGTTTTCTTTTCATTTATTCTCCCCCACACTTTAGTGCCTTTGACTGTTATTTGGAATTCAACGATAAAAAACTTGATACGCCAGTCTACAGTGATGATTGTTTGCTCCTTGAATCTAATGGTAAATTCATTTTGATTGGTAAAACTCAATCCTATCAATGGTGGTTCGTTCTTTTTCCAGTTAGAGATCCATGTTATTTCAGAAACTATAAAGACTATAGACAATCTTTCCGTGCCACTGTTATTGACAAAGCTGTTTATATATTGAAAAATGATCTGGAATTCATTCAATTCAATATTGAAACTAAATACCTCAACAAGAGCAAACCGTTCAGTGACGAAAAATTGGATTTCAATGATTTAATCTTAACTTCCCATCAAACAGGAGACGATAAAGTATTTCTGATTAATAAGTCATCTGGAAAAATTCATGTTTTCTGTATCAGTAAGAATGAGTGGTCTGAATCGTATCGGGTAATGGATGTTAATCTTGTTTCTGATAGCTCAAAGATCCCTGTTAAAAAGTTGATTACCTTCACTTCAGCCCTTTTACCGATGAAAAATATCAAACCGTTGAACAAGCAATGCTTTTATCAAGCTGCACATTTGCCAGCACCATGTGAGAATGTCATTAAAGAATAGCTGATTTAAGCATTTTCAAAGGTTCATTTCGATATTATTGTTAATCAATAAATAAAGTTAAAATCTCTTACTTCTTTGTTTCATTTAACTGAACTCTTTGATTCTAAAAATCTTATCTGTAATAAAAAAGCCAACTCACTATAACTATATAATTTTTGCCCAATCACACGGGTCCTGCTTCAACTCACACCAGGCATTCCACACCGAAGAATCGGTTACTCTTTCCACAAACTCTTGTTACTCTTCAAACAGTAAAAACAGAAAAGCAGATTATTCAACATTAATACAGTGGAGTCAGAAACTAACTAATTGTAAGTTGAAATAAGCGCTCTTAAATAAAAATGATGTAATAATGGGTTTAACCTCGTCAGATTTACCCAAAGAGTAAGGTAACCTTACTCTTTGGATTTACCTCTTTTTTCAAAACTATTGTTTAGCTTGTTTAATAAAAATAACTAACGCATGTATTAAGTTTAACAGAAATTGATATTAATAAAGATCGAGATAGAGTCAAAACTTTGCCTGCAAATAAAGTGTATAAATTATTTTGATCAGTCCCGTTAATTGACCCCTAATGTAATTAATTGTTAATTTGCAGCTAATGAAAATCAATTTTTATTTAAAACTTGCATAAAAATTCAAAAACCGCAGACTTAAAACAAACCAATCATCGTAAGGATTGTTTTGATTTCTGGACTCTTGTTGCTACATTGTGATTAAGTCACACACTTCCTTTACTCTTTGGTCTCACATGTGTTTAAATCTTGCTTATACCAAAGAGCTACTATTTGTTATGCCGAATGAAAATCTAATACCCTCCTTTGGTGATATCATCGTGTTTTGAATTCATTGATTTCTTATGTCTAATTAAACCTTTTGAGTTTGAAGTATTTCATTGTGATTTTTTGACGACCATAGCCGCCATGGATAAAGAAGATGGAAATAATGAGAAATTGAAAATTATAAATAGAAAAAGGAAATATAATGTTTCCAAAAAGCTCATTTGTTCATCTGTACCTTACTTCGAGAAAATGTTTTGCTGCGATTTATTGGAATCTAAAAGAAGCAAGGTGGAGCTAGATTTTGATGAACATGTATTCGATGCTATCCTCGATTGGATTCACTCGGAATCATTCTTCCTCCAAATGGAAAATGTTATTAGTTTTTACGAAGCAGCTGATTATTTGATGATAAATGAACGTTTGTTTCAACCTTGTTTGGCCTTTTTCCACGAAAATTTCACCATTAAACATCTACCAGTTGTGCTACCTCAAGTTACCAGAGTGTCTAAAATCTTGACTTCTGGAGCTATTAACAACATAATTTGTCGCTATTTTTTGATGATCGCCAATACGGAAATTTTCTTGAATTATCCAGTTGAGACAGTTGAAGCTATTCTCAAATTAGATTTGATGGTTTACTCTGAATATCAAATTTTTGAATCAATCATGAAATGGGTGAATGAATATGTCGGACCTCGAAAAGAACTACTTCCACAACTATTGGAATGTGTTCGTTGGTCTTTCATGGATCCTGATGATATTTGTAAGGTAAAGGCTAATGAATTAATCAAGATGCTGCCTAATTTCGACGCAGTTACTTTCGAAAATGATGAAACTGGCTTCGATCGCAGCAAACAAAACTTCTTTGTTTCTATTCATCAAAGAGATACATCAACACTAAGAATAAAAGCGTTTGATGATGACTTTTTTTGTTTCACGATTGGTGATTTTACTCAAGATGATTCTATGTCACTTAAATTCATTCATGGAGAACACATTTCAGATATTTTATTTGATTCTGGAACAAAAGGAGTTCGAATTGATTGGGTTAAGAAGACATTTCGATGGCTCGACTTCAAAGTTGCCGGTAAAACTTACTACAGTGACTTAATTAAATTCCTGGTAAAGTTTTCAGATAATCTCAGGTATGTAAGTTAATTAATCACACTAGTAGTCTTGTGGTTTTAGTAACATTCTCCTGTTTCTTCTGTTATGATTCTTTTATACACTGCATATACTGCATTTCATCCAGATAAACATTTATTAGCGTAATTGCATCTGCATAATCTTATTCAAAGTTATCTCATAGGCTTTTCATTCTTGATTTTTAAATACTGTAAAATACTTGTAAATGTTTCGACGCTTGAAGAATGCTTTTCGACACTCACAGGTCCAACCTTATTCAAGAGACATTTTCATTTCATTAAAAATTTCTCGATGATATGCTGCTATTCAAAATAATTCTCGCAGCTTTTAAGGTTAGATCTAACTTGAGAAAATCTTTAAAATCTCGAAAGTATGAAATTTGATTGAATTATTTGTTCTAATTTTATCTTACCTCATTCTTCAGTTATAACTCCTGCTGTTTAGACGACAAAGATGTAAAGCTTCCTGCTTCAATTTCCAGTGAAGATAGACTGCTTCTTGAATCTAATGGTAAAACCATTTTGATTGGTAAAACTCTCGACAAGATGAAGTGGTTTGGTCTATTCCCAGCTAAACATAAAAGTTGGTTCAATGGTTATAGAGATCGAAAAACCTATTTTCAAGCTACTGTTTTGGACAATGTTGTTTACATATTGACGAAGGATCTCGAATTTATTCAATTTGATCGAGAAACTAAATGTTTCGACAAGAGGGAACCATTCAAAGACGAAAAATGGGATTTCAATGATTTAATCTTGACTTCTCATCAAACAAACGATGACAAAGTTATTTTGGTCAACAAGAGATCTGGAAAAGTGCATATTTTTTGTCTTGATGAGGATGAATGGATTGAAAAATATTGTATCATGAATGTAAACTTTTGTTCCAACAATTCTGGTTCTTCTATTGCTAAGCTGATTGCCTTCACTTCTACATTTTTACCAATGAACGTTATTGAACCTCTGTATGAGCATAGCGCTGATTGACTCTGAGCTACCATATGTACCATACTGTTCCGCTTTAATTTAAGTTTCAAATTTTCCATAAAATTATTCGTATTTAAAATATTTTCTCAGTCATTAAATATAGCTGATGCCCACGGAATACAAACTCATCGAACTCTTCCATTTTAACAGATCTCAGCTTTAATACACAATGGCAAATTTTTAATGTTTTAAAATTTCATTTTTACAATGCAATTTTACAATGGATTCATTACTCACAATGAAAACCTTGGCGAATATCATGTTTATTAGTTTTTTATTTTGAGACAACTAATCCTTATTTTGTGCAAAGTATCTTATTAATATTTCGATTGAAGCAATAAGAAGGAGTCTTGCATTAACTGCAGCACTCTGGACATTCGATCACAACATTGAAACTAATTTTTCATGAAAATGGTGATCATATTGCGCTCAATCAAAGAACGAAAGTCAAATCTGTCCCTTGAGTTTTATTAAAATTTCAAAAGCAGATAGACATTCAATGGTCAGATTAACTTTTCGATTGTAATTATAGAATGTAAGATATCAACTTTCTATGTCTACTTTTTGTGCATTGATTTTGAGCCTATGGCAGAGCATGCATCAGGATATGAAATATGGATAAATAAGATGTTCTGTCTGATTAATCTTCATAAATCCCTCCTGGTACTCGACTTGATAATGCCTGTTTACAATTATTGATGTTTGTTATCAAGATACATGTACATTGACTGCAATGTTTTGAAACTAATTCAAAATGAAATTGCGACAGTAAGACTAGACTCACAGGTAACATTTGACCATTAAAATATAATGGGATATAATATAAATATAAATTTTTAAAAATATTTTGAAAATAATAAGCCAATTTTGATAAACAATTGTGAAGTTATGTTACGAACAAGTGTGTAAAAGTCTGATAACTCTTTATTTCAGTGAAAACAGTGGTTTAGCTTCTCATCGAGATTTTGAAATATCGCAAAAAGGGCGAAATTTTGCATCAAAATTGTTAAGATGAATCCACTTAATTTACCTCAACTGAAGTCGATTGAAAGGTTCTCGTTCACTTCAAAGCTAAATTTAATGAAAAATTATTAAAAATCGATTTTTCAACAACAACAAAAGATTGTTTTTACTCACGACTTTACAATTTTCTATCAAAATTGGCTTATTTTGCCCAAAATATTTTTAAAAAGTGTTAACTGTTATGTATTTTAATGGTCAAATGGTGCCTGTGAGTCTAGTCTTACTGTCGCAATTTAATTTTGAATAATTAGTCCTAAACATTAGGAGTCATACCTTACTTTAAACAGGTAACTACTGAAATGTGTATTCTTACCACAACTGTTAAATACAAACGCACTGAATAACGTCTATGATACAGTCAAACCTCAACTGTTGAGGCAATGGGAATCCTACATTGCTATTATAAAAAGTAATGAAAAGTTCATAGTCACTAGTTCATTTGCCTTTGGTCTCGTAGTAACAAAAAAGACAGAAACATTTAAAATGACCGTTACTTTCAATAAGCTCCGCCCTTAGTAAACCCAGCCCTAAATAATATGAAATAGTGACGACATTAGAGAGAAGTTTGTTTAAGTGAATTCCTCCAACTTAATCTCCGTTTTTGACATCAATATTTTTGAATATTTTTGAATATTTTTACTTACTTGAACTTGCAATTTTCTTGAGTTTAATTAAAGTTATTAAAAGTGTTAGATTTGCAGTTTTTTGCAATTTCTTCTCTGTTTCAATCACCATGGCGAATAATGTTGAAAATTGTGAAAAAGTATTGATTATTAATCGGAAAAGGAAATATCGTGTTCCTAAAAAACAACTCTTATCAGTGCCCTATTTTGAGAAAATGTTTAGTAGTGATTGTGTGGAATCGCAAGAAAACAAAGTTAAACTGGATTTTGATGAACGTGTTTTCGATTCTATCATTAGCTGGATTCTTTCTGGGCAGTTCAATATTCGAATGGAATATGCAATCAGTTTTTATGAAGCAGCTGATTACTTGATGATAAATGAGCGCTTTTTAGAGCCATGTCTTTCTCATTTCCTCGAAAATTTCACCATTGAAAATATTCCAGTTTTGCTACCACAAGTCACTAAAGTGTCTAAATTTTTTACTTCTGGAGTTATCAACAACATTTGTAGGCATTTCTTGATGATCACCAACACGGATATTTTCTTGAATTATCCAGTTGAGACAGTTGAAGCTATTCTCAAATTGGATTTGATGGTCCACTCTGAATATCAAATCTTTGAATCAATTATGAAATGGGTGTATGAAGATGTTGAATCTCGAAAAGAACTACTTCCACGATTACTGGCCTGTGTTCGTTGGGCTTTCATGGATCATGATGATATTTGTAAGATAAAGAATAATGAATTAATCAAGGCTCTACCGAATTTCGATGAAATTATTTCGTCCAATGGTGAATGTGCATTCGACCGAAGTGATCAAAGCTTTTTTCTCACTATCCACCAAAAAGCTGATGCAACATTGTTAATAAAAATACTAAATAGTGATTTCATTTGTTTATCGATTGGTGATTTCACTCAAGACGATTCTATATCACTTGAATTTGTCAATGAAGACCATGTTTCTGATATCCTCTTTGATTCTGGAACAAAAGGTATCCGAATTGATTGGATTAAAAAGACGTTTCGATGGCTTGACTTCAAAGGCAAGGTCAAGACTTACTACAGCAACTTAATTAAATTCCTGGTAGAGTTTTCAGATAATCTCAAGTATGTTGAATTATTCAATCTTAAATATTAGCCTTTCACTAAATCACATTCTTTTATTATGTTTACGCTTGAAGTTTTCGGACTATTGTGTATGCATGAACGTGTTTTTCATTCATTATCATTCATATATCTATTATATCTAATAACATAAATTTTTCCCGATTTGCCTCCTTTTTTAGCTACCTTTGCTGCTACCTAGAAGATGCAGACAAAGACATTCCTGAAACAATTTTCCCTGAAGAGGAACTGCTCCTTGAATCTAATGGTGTATTCATTTTAATTGGTAAAACTAAATGCGAAAAACAGTGGTTTGGTCTTTTTCCAGTTGCCAAGCACAGTTGGTTCAATGATTTTAGAGACCAAAAACATTCGTTCCATGCCACTGTCTTGGACAATACTGTTTATATCTTGACAAAAGACCTCGAATTTATTCAGTATGATTATGAAACTCAATGCTTCGAAAAGAATGATGAATTGAAAGAGGAAAAATTCAAATTCAATGATTTAATACTAATCTCTCATAAAAAAAATGATGAAGTAATTTTGGTCAACAAGGCATCTGGAAAAGTTTATGTTTTCTGTTCAGATGAAGAAAAGTGGATCGAGAAATTCAGAATAATGAATATCAACTTATGTACAGATAGCTCCGGTTCTGATATTGATAAGCTAGTTGCTTTTACATCCACGTTTTTACCGATGCAGTTCATAGAGCCTTTGTATTATGAGAGTAGCGAAGATTCAATTTTAACTACCGACTGAACTCACAATCAAATTCTTGTTTATTTCATATTTTATTTTCCTTATTTTAAATTGATATGTAACATGTAAAATATTTTCATTGTGATTGAAGAAACAAATAATTAACTGACGCTTCGTACGCTGAAAATTCTATGTGCTTGGTTGAAACATTGATACCAATTTTTGTAAATAATGATTAAATGTTCACTTAAATTTCAAAAAAATTTACTGTTCAAACCATACTGACCTTTGTCTCATTCAATCTAACCCTTTCATTCGGTCCAAAATGCAAAAAACACATCGATTTGGTTCTTTGTAGTTCAACAAGAGCAGTCCAGCAATAATATCTCTTGCTCCTTGTCACTTCTAAATTTCATTAAAATGCAATTAACTCAGTAATACAACTGAACATTTTTAATTTTCAGTTCTAATGATAGAGGAATGATTCGAGTCTTTATTGAGACAATGCACCAGAATGGAAGTAGCCTGAATAGTGTAAAAGTATGCTGTGGTTTCATGATTCTGCTCATGATTATTCTTAACATGATATGATTTTTCTCATGACAGTGCTACAGCGTATTTTTCACTTGTTGCAGTAAAAGAATCAAAAATCGCCATTGACAAAGTTACAACACGCATTTAATGTATTCTGAGTTTAACCTTCATTAAATGTATTATGTGTTTTGGATCAGTGGATTATCATAACTATCATAAATGGATTAATATGATTTAATAAGCAATCATGTTGAGTAGCAAGAATTATTTTGTCAATTCAAACATAAATTAAATTCAAAGCCTGCAAAAAAACAAAAAAAGAACCCAGATAATGATGTAATAATATCCAAGTTTACATGATCATGAGATCAGCTTAGCAAACCGTAACCTAAGAAGCTGAGATAAACCGTTTTTATTTTCTGGTTAAAGATGAGTTAAAAGGTTAAGTTTGAACCCAGATTCATTGCTACAGTTTTGTCGGGGTTTGCTTTGTCTGCAGCTAACAAAAAAGGGAATGGAAGTTTCGATAATTGCATCAACTTCTGAGCTGCAAATCAAACAAAAAAGAGTCAGTTTCATTCAGTTTGCCCTCTACAAATACTGTATAGATTACTAGTTTCAAATACAAGTGACCAAAAAGGTACCCAAATAATGTAATAATATCTTTGTTTTCATCCTAATGAGCTCAATTAAACAAACATAAAACCTAAATTTACAGGAAATTGCTTTTAAAAGAGACAGACTGTTGACAGAGACACTGTCTCTTTCATTCGTTCACTCCATTCCACACAAATTAATCTGTTGTTAGTTTTTAAATTTTTTATTGAATCAATACTTTCTCGTGACTGCTTTTTTGAAAACTGATTGTTCCTTGAGACTAATGGTAAACTCGTTACGTCAGGTGGTGATCGGTAAAACTCTCGACGAGAAGAAGTGGTTTGGTCTTTTCCCAGCTGAGCCTGCAAGTTGGTTGAATAATTACAGAATCTTGAACACTCTATTCAAGTCACTGTTTTGAGCAATATTGTTTATATATTGACGGAGGATCTCGAATTCATTCAATTCAATTACGAAACTCAATGCTTCAATAAGAGTGATCCATTTATCTACGAAAAATGGGATTTCAGTGATTTAATCTTGACTTCTTATCAAACAAACGACAATAAAGTTATTTTATTCAACAAATTGACAGGAAAAGTTTATGTTTTCTGCATTAATCAGAAGAAATGGATTGAGTTTATGAATGTAAACTTTTGTTTCGACTCTTCCAATACTTCTGCCGATAAGTTGATTGCTTTCACTTCACCGTTTTCACTGATGAAAGTTGTCAGACCTTTGCATAAACGCATCTGACGCAACTTTGTGCTTCATGCCTATCATGTAGTTTTACATTAGATTTAGATGATAATGTCATTAATTAAAATATTAATTAGAAGCTTTAATGATGATCGACGTGCATCATCGCATACAATTATAGCGATTCTAACTCTTTCTTCTTGGTCTAAAAGGCAAAGATGAGAGTAAACTAAAAGTACGTTTCTTTGGTTCTTTGCTGTTTATAACCAGTCCAGTTCAGCAGAAATATTTCTTGATTTCTTCATTTATATTTCTAAAATGCATTCAAAGCAAATAACTATAGCAAGGCAACTCGTTTAATTGTTGCAATCACTTTGTTTCCATCATCATGAGTCATGAATGTTAATCTTGTTTCTGATAGCTCAAAGATCCCTGTTAAAAAGTTGATTACCTTCACTTCAGTCCTTTTACCGATGAAAAATATCAAACCGTTGAATAAGCAAGCTTTTACCAAGCTGCACGTTTGCCAGTACCATGTGAGAATGCCATAAATGATTTAGATACCGAATGCTGGTAATGCTGGACTGGCTGAAAAGTGTAAAATTGAAGAGCAACTGACTGAAAGCTAGCTCTTAATCTGTTACTTCTTTGTTTGTTTAACTGAACTCTTTCATTCTAAAAATCTTATCTGTAACAAAAAAGCCAACTCACTATAAATATCTGATTTTTGGACAGTCACGGGCTCTGCTTCAACTCACACCATGCCATGGCACACCGAAGCTGCAAATAGTAAAAACAGAAAATAAAATATGCATCATTTACCTGCATATGGATAAAGATGGAGATGGAGTCAAACTTTGCTCGAGAATAGCGTAAAAAAATTATTTTGATGAGTCCCGTTAACTGAGCCCTTATGTAATTGCTAATTGTTAATTCGAAAAAAAATTAAAATCAATTTTTATTTTAAAGTTTGGATAAAAATTCAAAAAACGCAGACTTGAAACAAACCAATCATCGTAAGGATTGTTTTGATTTTTAGACTCCTGTTGCTTCATTCGGATTTAGTCTCACAATTCATTGATTTCATATGTCTAGTTAAACCTCTTTAGTTTGAATTTTTACGGTATTATATTGTGATTTTTTGCTGGCCATATTCGTCATGGATAAAGAAGATGGAAATGATGAGAAATTGAAAATTATAAATAGAAAAAGAAAGTATAATGTTTCTAAAAAGTTCATTTGTTCATCTGTACCTTACTTTGAGAAAATGTTTTGTTGTGATTTATTGGAATCTAAAAGAAGCAAAGTGGAACTAGATTTTGATGAACATGTTTTCGATGCTATCCTCGATTGGATTCATTCTGATTCATTCTTTATCCAAATGGAATATGTTATAAGTTTTTATGAAGCAGCTGATTACTTGATGATAAATGAGCGCTTATTGGAACCGTGTCTTACTTACTTCCACGAAAATTTCACCATTGATCACCTCACAGTTGTGCTACCTCAAGTTACCAAAGTGTCTAAAATCTTAACTTCTGGATCTCTTAACAACATAATTTGTCGCTATTTCTTGCTAATCGCCAATACGGATATTTTCTTGGATTATCCCGTTGAGGTAGTTGAAGCTATTCTGAAATTAGATTTGATGGTTCACTCTGAATATCAAATTTTTGAATCAATCATGAAATGGGCGAATGAATATGTCAAATCTCGAAAAGAACTACTTCCACGATTATTGAGCTGTGTTCGTTGGTCTTTCATTAATTCTGATGATATTTGTAAGATAAAGGCTAATGAATTAATAAAGGGGTTGCCGAATTTCGATGTAATTATTTCATCTAGTGTTGAATGGGGATTCAATCGCAGCAAACAAAACTTCTTTGTTTCTATTCATCAAAGAGATGCATCAACACTAAGAATAAAAGCGTTTGATGATGACTTTTTTTGTTTTACGATTGGTGATTTTACTCAAGACGATTCAATGTCACTTAAATTCATTCATGGAGAACACATTTCAGATATTTTATTTGATTCAGGAACAAAAGGAGTTCGAATTGATTGGATTGTGAAGACATTTCGTTGGCTTGACTTCCAAGTTATGGGTAAAACGTACTACAGTAACTTAATTAAATTCCTTGTAGAGTTTTCAGATGATCTCAGGTATGTAAGTTAATTAGTCACAGTTTTAGTCTTTTGGTTTTAGTACCATTCTTCTTGTTCTTCGTTATGATTCTTAAATACTTAATTTCATCCAGATAAATCAATTAGCGTAAATGCATCTGCGGTATCTTGTATAAGTTATCTCATAGGCTTTTCATTCTTGGTTTTTCTAATTCAATCTTTCGACTCTTGAAGCATGCTTCTGTTTTTGACACTCAGGCTCAGCCTGATTAAAAAGTGATTTTCATTTCATTAACAATTTCTCGATGATAATCTGCTATTCAAAAGAATTCTTACAGCTTTTACGGTTAGATCTAAAATGAGAAAATCTTTCAAATCTCGAAAGTATGAAATTTGAATGAATTCTTTGTTCTAATTTCATCTTCCTCATTATTCAGTGGTTATTCCTGCTGTTTAGACGACAAAGATGTGGAAATTTCTTTTCCGCTTGCCGACGAAGAAAATCTACTTCTAGAATCTAATGGTAAATTCATTACAATTGGTAAAACTAAAGACGAAAAGAAGTGGTTTGGTCTTTTTCCAGTTAGTGCTCCAAGTTGGTTCAATTATTTTGCAGATCACAAACATTCATTCCATGCCACTGTTTTGAGCGATACTGTTTACATGCTGACAAAGGATCTCGAATTTATTCGATTTGATCGAGAAACTAAATGTTTCGACAAGAGTGAACCATTCAAAGACGAAAAATGGGATTTCAATGATTTAATCTTGACTTCTCACCAAACAAACGATGACAAAGTTATTTTGGTCAACAAGAGATCTGGAAAAGTGCATATTTTTTGTCTCGATGAGGATGAATGGATTGAAAAATATTGTATCATGAATGTAAACTTTTGTTCCAACAATTCTGGTTCTTCGATTGCTAAGTTGATTGCTTTCACTTCTACATTTTTACCAATGAAAGCTATTGAACCTTTGTATGAGCATAGCGCTGATTGACTCTGAGCAACCATATGTACTATACTATTGCAACTATGTACCATAGCTAAAGGGTTCAAATTGTGAATGCCAGCATTCTCATTAAAATGTATTTATACATTTTGTCAGTCATAAAAGATAGCTGATATCCACGATTACGGAATCTACACCGATCTAACTCTTCCATTTCAACTGATCTCAGCTTTAATACATAAGAACCTTACAAAATAAATTTTCATATTTAAATTCTATCTAATCGTTAAAATGCAATTTTTCAATGGATTAATTACTCACAATGGCAAATATCATGTTTTAGCTTTTTTCGTTGCCCAAAATATTTTAAAAAGTGTAACTATTATATATTTTAATAGTCAAATGGTTCCTGTGAGTCTAAGTCTTATTGTCACAAGTTAATTTTGAATTAGTCCTAAACATTAGGAGTCATACCTTATTTGAACCAGATAACTATTGAAATGTGTATTCTTACTACAACTGTTAAATACAAACTCACTGAATAACATCAATGACTCACAAGAGATCGGTTTGAACTGGTAATCGAGTTTTCTAATGAAATAAATAATTTTAGTTAGCCTATTAGAAAGTGAAAATCCTTGGTGCCCATTTCTGCAAATTTTCATAAAATATATTTAAATTTTGTTATTATCAAAAAGCTCCAGCATAATGGATAGAGAAATGCCTTGGTTCGCTATCTCAAGTGTTAATAAATTGTTAATAAATTTTGTTAATCAAAAGCGGGCACCTAGTATTTTCCACTTTTTATGTACTCCTGATGGGCTCAACTGATCAGACCATGGAAACGAATCCAAACTTGCTAAAAAGTAATGAAAGTTTCTGTTCTCTGGAAATTTTGTAACTGTAAAAAACAGAAAACATTTAAAATGTTCGTTACTTTCAATAAGCACCGCCTTATATAAAATGCAATCGGGATAATACAAAAGAGAAGTTGGTTTAAGTGAACTTAACACCCAAATTAATCTCCACTTGTGACATCCTTTTTATTTGACAATTGTTAGTAAAATTAAATTTGCTTAAACTTGAAATTTTCTTGAATTAAATTAAAGTTATTAAATGTGTTAGATTTAAAATATTTGTGATTTTTCTCTGATTTGCATCATCATGGAAAAAATAGTTAATAATGATGAAAAAGTATTGATTATAAATCGGAAAAGAAAATATTTTATTTCTAAAAATAAACTTTCATCAGTGCCTTACTTTGAAAAAATGTTTGCAAGTGATTGTTTGGAATCAAAAGAAAACAAAGTTAAACTGGATTTTGATGAACGCGTGTTCAATGCTATCTTCGATTGGATACGTTCTGGATCGTTCTTTATCCAAATGGAATATGTAATCAGTTTTTATGAAGCAGCAGATTACTTGATGATAAATGAACGCTCATTAGAACCATGTCTTTCCTACTTTCACGAAAATTTCACCATTGATCACCTCACAGTTGTGCTACCTCAAGTTACCAAAGTGTCTAAAATCTTAACTTCTGGATCTCTTAACAACATAATTTGTCGCTATTTCTTGCTAATCGCCAATACGGATATTTTCTTGGATTATCCCGTTGAGGTAGTTGAAGCTATTCTGAAATTAGATTTGATGGTTCACTCTGAATATCAAATTTTTGAATCAATCATGAAATGGGTCAATGAAAATGTAAAGTCTCGAAAAGATTCACTTCCACAGTTCGTTGGCATTGTATGAATCCTGATGATATTCTAGGATAAAGAATAATGGTTTAATCAGAGCGATAATAAATTTCGATGAAATTATATCATGTAATGGTGCAATTAGATTCAATAGAAGTGATCAAAGCTTTTTCATCACTATCCATCAAAAAGCTGATGCAACTTTGCAAATAAAAGTATTTGATGCTGATTTCTTCAGTTTGGCGAATGGCGATTTCATTCAAGATGATTCTATGTCACTTGAATTTGTTCATGGAGAACACATTTCAGATATTCTGTCTGATTCCGGAACAAAAGTTCGAATTGATTGGATTAAAAAGACATTTCGATGGCTTGACTTTAAAGTTAAGGGTAAAACTTACTACAGCAACTTAATTAAATTCATTGTAGAGTTTTCAGATGATCTCAGGTATGTTGAGCTATTCAATCTTATATTTTTCTTTTTATTTAATTTACATTTGTTTGTTATGCTTACGATTTTCGAAATTTTCTTATCGTGTTTGCATGAGTGTTTTTTATTTTATATCTTTCAATGTAAAATATTCGTATTCTTACTTTATTTATAGAGAAATTGATTGTTATTTGGAAGACAAAGATGCAAAGCTTCCTGATTTCATTTCCACTGAAGAGAAGCTGCTCGTTGAATCTAATGGTAAATTCATTTTGATTGGTAAAACTGAAGGTGAAAAAGAGTGGTTCGGCCTTTTCCCGGTTAAGGATCTTAGCTGGTTCAATAATTATAAAGCTCACAAACATTCTTTCCATGCCACTGTTTTGGAAAATACTATTTATATATTGACTAAAGATCTGGAATTTATTCAGTTTGATTATGAAACTAAATGCTTCGAAGTGAATGATGAATTGAAAGAGGAAAAATTCAACTTCAATGATTTAATATTAACGTCTCATGAAAAAAATGCTGAAGTAATTTTGGCCAACAAATCATCTGGAAAAGTTTATGTGATGAAGAAAAGTGGATAGAGAAATTCAGAATAATGAATATCAACTTATCTACCGACAGCACCAGCTCGTATTATAATAAGTTAGTTGCTTTTACGTCCACTTTTTTACCAATGCAATGCATAGAGCCTTTATACTATGAGAATAGCGAAGATTCAATTTGAACACTGAACATACGCAGAACATTCGATGCTTGGTTACATCATTTTTCAAAATAGTGAATAAATGTTTAGTTTACAAAAAATTTACTATCCAAATTATACTGACATTTGTCTCATTCAATGTAACCCTTTCATTCGGTCAAAAACGCATAACAGTAAACTATAAAAATACATCGCTTTGGTTCTACGCAGTTCAACAAGAGCAGTCCAGAAGCAATATCTCTTGATTTCTCATAAACTTCTCAAGTGCACTGACCAGAATGGAAGTAGCCTGGATAGTCTAATAATATTAGTGTGCTGTGGGTTCATGATCTTGCCCATGATTGTTCTTAACTTGATATGAAGCTTCTTATGACAACGGAATGTGATTCAAAAATTGTCATTGACAGAGATACACAACATGTACAACATTTAATGTATACTGACAAGTTTCAGTGAGTTTCATGTTCCTAAAATCTACCATTAATCTTATTTATTCATTAAGTATTTTGAGTTTTTGATTAATGGATTATCATAACTATCGTAAAACTTAATAAGTTTTCAATAACAAAAATTATTTTGTCAGTTCAAACATACATTAAATTTAAAGCCTGCAAAAATGACAAAAAGAGCCCAGATAATGATGTAATAATATCCCAGTTTACATCATCATAAGATCAGCTTAACAAAAACTTGAGAAGTTTAAAATAAACGGTTTTCAATTCAACTTTTCTGGTTAAAGATTTAGAGATAAGATAAGGGTTCATTTTTAATGAACAGTTTTGTCGGCGTTTGCTTTGTCTGCAACTACTTCTAACAATAACAAGAAAGGATTTAAGTTTAGTTGATTGCATTAATTCAAGATATTGATGAAATTTTGTATTCTTCTATTAATTGTAAACTTGAAAACACATTTTAAAGATCGACAAGTAGTTCAAACCAATAATTTTAGAGAGAAAAGAGCATTAATAGCATAGAATTCGGTTGAGGTGGTACATTCCTATTCCGCAAATAAAACAAAAAACGAGGCAGTTTCATTCCTTCTGCCCTCTACAAATAAAAATACTGTATACTGATGATTATTAGTCTCAAATGCAAGTGACCAAAAAGGTACCCAAATAATTCACCGTTTTTACTGATGAAAGTTGTCAGACCTTTGCATAAACGCATCTGACGCAACTTTGTGCTTCATGCCTATCATGTAGTTTTACATTAGATTTAGATGATAATGTCATTAATTAAAATATTAATTAGAAGCTTTAATGATGATCGACGTGCATCATCGCATACAATTATAGCGACTCTTGTAAAAATACTCTTGTTTCATTCCAGATAACTCTTTCTTCTCGGTCTAAAATGCAAACATGAGAGCAAACTAAAAGTAAGTTTCTTTGGTTCTTTGCTGTTTTTAACCAGTCCAGTCCAGCAATTTCTTGATTTCTTTAATTATATTTCTAAAATGAATTCAAATGAAATTACTTCAGCAATGCAACTCGTTTATTTGCTGCAATCACTTTGTTTCCATCATCATGAGTCAGTTCAACAAACCTAACCTTTGCAAGCTATAATGTAGACACTTTCTGGTTGAAGGTCTCAAGATGAGATGAAGCGTAAATTGAACCCGAACTCATCAATAATAAACGGGTAAATTCGTTGGTGGTGTTTGTTTTGCTTTTGCCAAAAAAGGAAAGTAATGAAAAATCATAGACATGAGTTAATTATTTTTTATTTGTTTGCAAACTAATCCGTTGTTTTTAATTAACACATCTCTGATTTTGAAACCTTATTAAAGTTTCTGTAATCTCATAAAACATTTGGTAGCGAAAGGCATTAAATTGATCAGTTCTCCCATTTCTCTATTCAATCTGCTTTCACATAGCACAAGTTACTTGGAAAAATGCATCAATTAACCTAAAGTTTCATGACTTTAATTAAGGATATCGGTAGGAATTTTCAAAGTATCACGTTTCCAATTCATCCAAACAAATCATAGGTTAGTGCTGTGAGTCAATGCACAATGGAGTGAGATTCTGGAAGTGCCTGAAAGCTTATATTTTACAATTTTGATGTCAGATGGTCTTTAATGAAATGTCTAATTTTTCAGTTAGTGAATGGCACCATAAAAGTTGTCCAGACTTTGAATGAGAACAAAAATATAGTAAAACTCAAGAAGGTTATAAGAAAATTAATGAAGCATCTTTACATTTTTCTGGTTGTACAATACAATTATGCAAATGGACATAATCACAGTCGAGTGAATAATCAATATTACTGAACAGCGAGACCGCAACACAACTTCACAACTTGTGCGCTAAAGTTTTATTGTGACTTCAACACTCACTACGAAGTTTCTTGTGTGTGGTGGAGCCTTATCTGTGTAGAGGAGGGGTGAACGAAATACTTTGAAAGTACACTAGTTTCACGGATATCTTTTTTTATAAACGCCATCTACTATACGTAAGATGCTTAATAATACCATTGGTAATATAGTAGACGGCGCTTATCAAAAATTAACTAAAGCGTGAAACTAGTGTAAAATCAATCAAACAGTGTCTTTGCGCATGGAAGGGAAAAAGCCCTCACACCAGGCGACATGGGCCAAAGAGTATAACTATTACTTCTCACTGTTCAACTCAAAAATTGTAAGGCAAACCTTTGATGTGAGACAACGAAAACCAGTGAACTTGGAACACTTGCTATTATATAAATCACACCAGGAACTTTCTGGTCGCTCTGTACCTTTCAAGCCAGCTTTTGTTTCACATATTTCACAAGTTTTGTGAGATACGTTAGTTTTTCTTCCTCCTACGTGTTAATTTCAAAGACCCGATTGGATTATTAACTAGATTCGCGATGGCTGACTCCAATGAATCTTCTGGTCAAACGCCGAAAGTTTCTAAGTTTGATGATCAATTGACGATCATAAATAGATCAAAGACCTACCATGTCTCCAAAAAGTTCATGTGTTCATCGATACCATATTTTGAAAAAATGTTTTGCTGTGACTTGTTAGAAACAAGAGAAAGTAAAGTTGAATTGGATTTTGATGAGTACAGTTTTGATTGTGTACTCAATTGGATTCATTCTGATTCGGTTCAAATTAAGATGGAAAGTGTTATTCACTTGGCTAATGTTGCTGATTATTTGATGTTGAACGATGATTTATCAAAGGACTGTTACTCTTATTTTCATGCGAATTTCACCATTAAACATCTTCCCGTTGTTATTCCTCAAGTGACTAAAACATCTAAACTGATCAACTCTGGTGCTTTAAACACATTCATCTGTCGCCATTTCTTGAAGATCATTAAAACATCTATATTTCTTGATTACCCAGTTGAAACGGTAGAGTACATCTGCAGATTGGATTTGATTATTTCTTCTGAATATCAAGTATTGGAGGCAATTATTGATTGGATTAATGTTGAAGCTGTCTCTAGGAAAAAACATCATCCGCGATTATTAAGATGTATTCGTTGGTGTTATGCTGGAACTGATGTCTCATCTAAACTTGAGAAATTTTCATTGATCGCAACAGTCCAAGATATTGATAAAATTTTGTGTTCTCCCGATAATTGTAAACTCAGATGCGCTCTTAATCGCACCGAACAATGTTTCATCATGTCTATCCAGAAAATTGATGATACTCGTTTGAGTTTAAAGTTGCTTCAGTTAGAACAATTTTGGTTACCCATTGGGTATTTTACTCTAGATGATTCACTTTCACTCGAATTTGTTCACGGAGAAAACATTTCAGATGTTTTATTTGATTGTGGAACTAAAGGAGTTCGAATTGATTGGGATGTTAAGAAGTTCCGTTGGCTTAATTTTAAAAGTGAAGGATCCTATTATCGTCAAATTAATAAACTCATCACGATAAGTCAGATTTCAAAAAGGTAAGCTTTTCAAAAATGCACTCTTCAGTCATTCTAACTCGTTATCTAGAATTATTCATATGCTAACTGAATCCGAAAAAGTTTAATGACTTTCTATAAGAATCTAGGTATTATATGTATTGAATTTTAATCAGCATTATCTTATTCTTATTTAATTTACTTGTTTCAGCTCCATTTGTTATTTGCAAGATGACTCTGACGTGTTTTCTGATGATCCATTTCCTAAAATTTTTAATGGTTTCGGTGTTAACGTTGGCACTAATATTCCATTTACATTTAGTGCTCCTTCGGCTGTGCCAAATAATCCAACAATAATTAATGATAATCTAAATAATCAACCTCAAATGGAATCTCCGAAATCTTCGACTCGCGTCCTGGTTTCTTTAGAGAGTGCTGAAATGTCGCTGCTCGAATCAGATGGTAAATTTATTGTGATTGGAAAAACTAAAGACAAAAAGTTTTTCAGTCTTTTTCCAGTTCGTCATCCTGAATGGTTCAAGGCTGAATATTATGGGAATTATGATCAACGATCTTTCATTGCTACTGTATTAGGGTCTAATATTTTTATTCTGACTCAGAAACTAAAGTTTATTCAGTTCAACTATGAAACTAAATCATTCAAAAAGACTAAACCGTTCAAAGATGGCGCATTGAAATTTGGAAATTTAACCCTGAATTCTCGTCAACAAAACGATGATATAATAGTTTTGATTGACAAATCATCTGGAAAGATTCACATCTTTAATATTGTCAGCCAATCTTGGATTGAAACGGGTCAGATCAAAAATCGCAAACTCAATACAACCAGTCAACAGGATTGCACTTCCAACCTCAACAACGGTTTACTGATGTCATTAACCACAGTCTTTTTACCATTGGATAAAATTAAACCTTGTTTTAAACGGAAACGCAGCTTGTTAATTGAACAACTTTAATTCAATGATCATCAGATGAATTTTAAATGATTTAAATTCTGTATTGGTTTGATATCTGTTATTATCAATCGCTAGTTAGATTATCAAAGTTTAAATTACACACGCTTGCAAATCTGTTGATTCGGAAAAGATATACGAGTAATTTTATCGTTAAAATCTTTGCATTTCATTTGTAAAATCGTCCCGCTCTTACGCTTCTATTTCTTCTGCCATTTCCATTTCAATCCCTTTTAAAGGTAACAGCTTAACGTACTGGCCCGTTACACTTCTCATGATTCAGTAAATTGGATATTCCTTATGGACCTTATATTATTTGATTCGAATTCATATGTAGTATCAATAAACTTTGAGTTTTTTACCAATCGTTTCAAAACATGCTTTTCGAGATTCCAACTTGTTTAAGCACCAATTTAAGAGAGAAGAGCGTGATTGATCATGAGCTTTTGATTGAGATCGTTCATTCCTGTTTTGCTAATCAATCGGCTTGAAAATGAATCAGATTCCTTCAGTTGAGCCATTCCTATTTGTTTCTGCTTCTTATGTTATACTTTAAAGTGAGAATTGGACCAATTCAATTGGTCTTTGGTCTTTTCCATTTCAATTTACCATACAAATTTCGATCTTTTCGATTTTCCTCTTTCGCACTTTTCTTTTGGATCAGAATTTCATAACTTACAAGTTAGTTTGCTAGTTTTTCTTGATTGAATTAATTGCAATTCTTAAATTTTTGTCTGACATTTACGAGCAAATCGATCTAAAATTTGTCAAATGCTATGTCAACATTAATCATCGACATAAAAAGCTATGCGAAATTTTGTAACTGCTTATAAGCTTCTCATTTAGCTTCGTGCTTTTTGAAAATGTTTTTTAAGCAGTTTCAAGTTGAAAAATTGGAAGTAGCCAATTTCAATGGCAGATTGAAGTAAGAAGACTAAAGACATGCAATTACTTTACAGCATAACATAAGAAACAGAAGAGCATATCTTACAAACTGTTAACCAAACTGAATTAATAAAAGGTGTTTTTGAATCCAAACTCAACGGTACACCAAATGATTAAAGTTAATGGAGTCTGTTCGAGCTCAGTTTTAATTTTTTCACGTCTTGAGCCAAAAGAGTTAAATATTAGCAATCACAAGATTGTACCATATAAAATGTACATTTATTAATTTTTGTCAATTAAATTCATTGAGTATTTATAAATGAATAGATACTATTTGAATATCCAAATGGACAATTTTTGTCAATCCCAATATAGATCATTAATTCAATTGCTGCAAAAATGACCAAAGATGAACACACAATGACGTTATATCTTTTTGAACATCGTGATATCAGTTTAAAAAACTAAACTTGAAAGGTTAAAACAAACGGTTTTTACTCAAAGGACGAAGACCAAAACTGCCTAGAGAGGAAAACACTCAAGATACAAAATTTTATGCTGAGTTCATAACTTTAATCTGTTTTCGAAATAACTTTTCGTTTTCGAGATATCATGAAAAAAAGTTGAAAATGCATGGAGACGAGTATCACAGTAGCCAAAGGTGAAAGCACATTCTACATAGATTTTTCAGATGGAGAATACAATTCTGATTTCCATGAAATGATTCATTTTGATCTATCAGGACGCAAAACTGGCCATTTTTTGGATAAATGTAATAGTTTTTTATTTGCAAATTAAAAAGGGAATTTTAACGACACACTTCTACAGGGTAGCGATAAAGTTTCTGGGTAAAGGCGAGGGATAAAATTGGCTTTCACGCATATTGAGTGGGTGTGGCTCCAAACCCAGAAGCTTTCCCGCCACTCCACACCATACATTAACTTTCCAATCATTGGTAAATGCTATGGTTAACCAAGAGATTTTGTTTCATTAAGAGCTATTGTATTTCATTTCGTCTCTGAACTATTTAATTAATTTATTTAGTTTAAATTTTTATTGTGATTTCTCTAATTCAACCAATATGGATGCAGAAGATAATAATTGTGATCAAAGACTGAAGATAGTGAATAGAAACAGAGAATATTATGTTTCTAAAAAGCTCATTTGTTCATCTGTGCCTTACTTTGAGAAAATGTTTTGTTGTGATCTGTTGGAATCAAAGGAAAACAAAGTGGAACTAGATTTTGATGAACATGTCTTCAATTCTATCCTCGATTGGATTCATTCGGAATCATTCTTCCTCCAAATGGAAGATGTTATTAGTTTTTACGAAGCAGCTGATTATTTGATGATAAATGAACGTTTGTTTCAACCTTGTTTGGCCTTTTTCCATGAAAAATTCACTATTAAACATCTTCCATCTGTTTTATCTCAAGTCACAAAAGTGTCAAAATTGATCAGCTCGGGATCCATTGAAAACATCATTTGCCGATATTTCTTACAGATAGTTAACACGGATATCTTCTTGAACTACCCGTTTGAAACAGTTGAAGCTATTCTCAAATTGGATTTGATGGTTTATTCAGAGTATCAAGTATTTGATTCAATAATCAAATGGGTGAAAAAAGCAGACTCTAGAAAAGATTTACTGCAACAGCTGTTGAATTGTGTCCGTTGGTGCTTCATGGATGCTGATGACTTATCTGTGGTTGAAAATAATGAATTGATCAAGGCTCTTCCTAATTTCAAAGCAATTATATCTTCTAACGTTGAATATGAATTCGATCGTTGTAAACAAAGGTATTTTGTATCCATCCAGCAAATGGACGAAACTTTAAGGATTAAATTGTTCGATGATCAATTTTTTTGTTTCACGATTGGCGATTTTACTCAAGATGATTCTATTTCACTTGAAATTGTCCACGGAGAACACATTTCAGATATTCTATTTGATTCTGGAACCAAAGGAATCCGAATCGATTGGATGAACAAGACATATCGATGGCTCGACTTCAAAGTTGCTGGTAATACTTACTACAGTCGATTCATTAAATTTATTGTAGAGTTCCCCGATATTGGCAGGTATAGTTGAACATTTATCATGCATAAGACACGCAGGTTTATAAAAGATGAAAACTCTTATTTTCCCTTGTTATATCATTCATTCTCAGCTCATGAAAACCCTTGTAAATTCTGATTATTAACTTAAGTAACAATAACATTTGCTAGTTCTGTATTATTGTTTCTGTTTGGGCCACAATGCTATAAGCTCTTGAACTGTCACTCATTCAGGATAAATTCAATCTTTCAAGTTATTATGTGACTACAAATTACTACAATGGCTTTAAGATGCAGTTCATTTCATTTAGTTATTTTGATTTCTTTTCAGAATTCGACAGTCAAATTATGTACATTAGTTTATCTAGTATATGAATAAGTCACAATGTATTTCTTGGGTTAGTATTGCTATAAAAATATTGTAGCGCATTTCTGGACATGAGTGAGATAGAATCGTCACTTGAAATCTTTCCGCGATTGATTCATCATTGGTACAAATTGCATTAAATTGAATGTCCATGATAAGAAATTTTTAATCTGCGAGTAAAATCTTTAAATAAAGTCATTTTATTCTCTTAACATGTATTTACCAATAATTTTTTTCATGACCTTATTCCGCTCTAATTTTTCAGAGGCTTCTCTTGCTATTTGGATGCGCAAGATGGCACACTTCCTTATAGGATAAATTATAATGAACATTTCTTCCTTGAATCTAATGGTAGATTCATTTTGATTGGTAAAACTAAAGACGAGAAGAAGTGGTTTGGTATTTTTTCAGTTATACATAAAAATTGGTTCAATATTTTCAAAGATCACAATCACTCTTTCCATGCGACTGTTTTGGAACCAGTTGTTTATATATTGACGAAGGATCTCGAATTTATACAATTCAATCACGAAACTAAACACTTCAATAAGAGTGAACCATTTAAAGAGGAAAAATTCAATTTCGATGATTTAATCTTGACTTCTCACCCAAAAAACGATGACAAAGTAATTCTGATCAATAAATCAACTGGAGCAATTTATGTTTTCTGCATCAATCAGAAGGAATGGATTGAAAAATATCGAATCATGAACATGCACTTTTCTTCCAATAGTTCAGGTTCTCCCATCAATAAGTATATTGCATTTACTCCAGCATTTTTATCGATGAAAGTTATCAAACCTTTGTATGAACAGTACGCTCATCGACTATAGACTACCATGTGTACGCCTGAATTCCGTGTACCAACTGTGAACGACATTATGCATTATTTGTGACACAATTTTATTTTGCCTATCATTAAACATAGTTAACATTCATTAAGTCTTTTTGCTTTTTTCAATTGAGCTCTTTCATTCAAAAAACTAATATGCAATGATTGAGATATGATTCACAATAACTGTTTCTTTTTACATGTATATTCAATAGACTGCGGCATGTATTACTCTATCACTTCATTATTAGTACTATCAAATTTTCAATAAGATTAATCATATTGCATTTGAATCTAAATTTATTTCTAAGGGATGAGTTCGAATCTATTCGTAAAATTTCAGACTTAATGAGCGGATAAATCTCGCTGAGTATTTTCAAATCAATTTTAATAATTCTGACAAACAAAGATAAAGCATGCATCTGAATGCCAAATATGAAAGGGATAGATAACATTAGGATATTGTGAAAGATATTCAAAAATTTCTTCCATTATCCAGTTCGATTGTATTCAATGACAAAGAAAAGTGAAGTCCACGACTAAAGATTGTTGCATTAATACGCTTTTTAATGATAAATTCATTACTTATTTCGCATTCAATATTTAAAATATCTAAAGGGTGTTCAATGTAATTATTTCCAAACTGGTGGAGCTTGTAAGCTCCACCTTTACCTATAGGTAAGGTAAAGGTAAGGTAAAGGATGAAAGGTAAAATGTGATGTTACTTTAGTTATCTTACTTATTATGTTTTTGATTGTGATTTTCAAATTGTAAGTTCTGCCAGTTTGGAAGTAATTACATTGAATGTCGGTTTTAATCAACATGAAGACATATTTTTGGATTATTCTCTTGTCAGTACCAAGACCCAGTGGACATCCAAACATCCAGCTTTATTGTTCAAATAATGTTGAAATAAAACGAGTCTCTGATATCATATTTAACAGAATAACCTGATCATGCATTGATAAGGATAAGTATTTTTCATTATTAAGTCAGTTGGAAACCGTGTAGTCTCAGTGAGTGCTGAGCTTGAATTTTAAGTTCAGGGAATTTCTTCTGTTTGATTCTTTGGAGTAAGAGTAGGATTTCGTGACTTTATAATAGATGGTTCAATGATTTAATCTTAATTTCTCATCAAACAAACGACAATTGGATTATTTTAATCAACAAATCGTCAGACAAAGTATAGCTATATATTTTATTTATAATTATTTAATATTATACGGTATTTTTCTAGATAACGAAGCTACATGTTAACTGGCTGGCTCAGTTCTGCTAAAATCAAGCTTGGCTTGGCTCAGCCAGCTTGGGCTATTTACTGGCTTTAAGTACATAGAGAAATAGCTGGCTGGCTGGCTCAGTTTGGCTAGCTTTAGTATGTGCTCTGCACATGTCAAAACAGTTTTTGTTCACACATTGCACAAGTTTTGTGAGATACGTTAGTTCTTCTTCCTCCTGTGTGTTATTTCACTGACCCAGATTAAATTGTTATTTTGATTCGTCATGGCTGATTCCAATACATCTTCTGGTGGATTACCGAAAGTTTCTGAGTCTGATGATCAATTGACGATCATAAATAGATCAAAGATCTACCTTGTTTCCAAAAAATTCATGTGTTCATCAGTACCATATTTTGAAAAAATGTTTTGCTGTGACTTGTTAGAAACAAGAGAAAGTAAAGTTGAATTGGATTTTGATGAGTACAGTTTTGATTGTGTACTCAATTGGATTCATTCTGATTCGGTTCAAATTAAGATGGAAAGTGTTATTCACTTGGCTAATGTTGCTGATTATTTGATGTTGAACGATGATTTATCAAAGGACTGTTACTCTTATTTTCATGCGAATTTCACCATTAAACATCTTCCCGTTGTTATTCCTCAAGTGACTAAAACATCTAAACTGATCAACTCTGGTGCTTTAAACACATTCATCTGTCGCCATTTCTTGAAGATCATTAAAACATCTATATTTCTTGATTACCCAGTTGAAACGGTAGAGTACATCTGCAGATTGGATTTGATTATTTCTTCTGAATATCAAGTATTGGAGGCAATTATTGATTGGATTAATGTTGAAGCTGTCTCTAGGAAAAAACATCATCCGCGATTATTAAGATGTATTCGTTGGTGTTATGCTGGAACTGATGTCTCATCTAAACTTGAGAAATTTTCATTGATCGCAACAGTCCAAGATATTGATAAAATTTTGTGCTCTCCCGATAATTGTAAACTCGAGTGCTCTCTTAATCGCACCCAACAATGTTTCATCATGTCTATCCAGAAAATTGATCATAAACGCTTGAGTTTAAAATTGCTTCAGTCTCAACAATTTTGGTTACCCATTGGGTATTTTACTCTAGATAATTCACTTTCACTTGAATTTGTTCACGGAGAAAACATATCAGATGTTTTATTTGATTGTGGAACTAAAGGAGTTCGAATTGATTGGGATGTTAAGAAGTTCCGTTGGCTCAATTTTAAAAGTGATGAGTCCTATTATCGTCGTGTTAATGAACTCATCACGAGAAGTCAGTATTCAAGAAGGTAAGCTTACCAAAAATGCACTCTTCAGTCGTTCTATCTAGGGAAGTTATTCATCTTCTAACGATTTCAGGAAAAGTTTTATCGACTTTCCAAAAGAATCTTGTTATGTAGACATTTAATTTACTCAGAATTATCTTTTTCTCGTTTTACTCACTTGTTTCAGCTCCATTTGTTACTTGGATGATGTTTCTGACGTGTTTGCTGATGACCCATTACCTAAACTTTCCAGTTCTAACGTTGCCGTTGATGCACAACTTCAGTCCGACTTAATCCGGAGAAAATCTTCTGCTCACATTCTGTGGTCTGTAGAGAGTGCTGAAATGTCGCTACTCGAATCAGATGGTAAATTTATTGTGATTGGAAAAACGAAAGATAAAAAGTTTTACGCTCTTTTTCCAGTTCGTCATTCTGAATGGTTCAAAGCTGAATATTATGTGAATTATGATGATCGATCTTTTATCGCTACTGTATTAGGTCCCAATATTTTTATTCTGACTCAAAAACTGAAGTTTATTCAGTTCAATTATGAAACTAAATCATTCAAAAAGACTAAACCGTTCAAAGATAGCGCATTGAAATTTGGAAACTTAACCCTGAATTCTCGTCAACAAAACGATGATATAATAGTTTTGATTGACAAATCATCTGGAAAGATTCACATCTTTAATATTGTCAGCCAATCTTGGATTGAAACGGGTCAGATCAAAAATCGAAAGCTCAATAAAACTGAGTATGATTATTTTGTTGAGGATTATGATGAAGAAGCTGATGCGGATTTTGTTCCAGAGGATGATGAAGAGGATGATGGAGAGGATGATGGAGAGGATGATGGAGAGGATGATGGAGAGGATGATGGAGAGGATGATGAGGAGGTTGATGAGGTGGAGAAAGAGAAGGAGGAAGAGAAGGAGGAGGATTGCACTTCTAACCTCAATAACGATTTACTGATGACTTTAACCACAGTCTTTTTGCCATTAGATAAAATCAAACCTAGTTTTAATCGGAAATGCCGCTTGTTAAATGAATAACTAGATTGAATGACCGTCAGATGAATCTTAAATGATTCAAAGTTTTTTTTATATCTGTTATTACCAATCACAAATTGAAACCTAAAACTGGCCCGTTGCACTTCACATGATTAATTAAATTGGATATTCCTTATCGACCTTATATTATTTGATTCGAATTCATATGTAGTATCAATAAACTTTGAGTTTTTCACCAATCGTTTCAAAGCATGATTTTAGAGATCCCGACCTGTTTAATCACCAATTTAAGAGAGAAGAGTATGAATATCAGAGCTTTTGGTTGGGGTGCGTGCATTCCTGTCTAGCTAATCAATCGACTTGAAAATGAATCAGATTCATCTGGTTTGACCATTTCTATTTTTCTATTAATACTTCTTTTGTCATACTTTAAAGTAAGTACTTGTCTTTAATCTTTAACATTGCAATTACTTATTACCATACTTTCGCGCTTTTCTTTTGGATAAGGAACTTGATATCTTAGTTTTACATGATTTTTTCGATTGATTAAATGAAAATTCTTCAAATTGACTTTTTAACATTTAAAATAGCCGATTTCAATGGCAGATTGAAGTAAGAAGACTAAAGACATGCAATTACTTTACAGCATAACATAAGAAACAGAAGAGCATATCTTACAAACTGTTAACCAAACTGAATTTATAGTTGACAACTGACGAGTTTTGAGTTTTTGAGTTGAAACTCAACGGTTGTAAATATTATAGTCAATGGAGTGTGTTGGAGCTGATTTTTAAATTTTTTCACTTGTTAAACCAAAAGAATCAAATATTAGCACTCATGAGGTTGAACCATATAACATTTACATTTATTATTTTTTGTCCATTAGTTGTATTGTGTCCTTATATTGTATTGGATCAATATGATTTGAATATTCAAATGGGCAATTTTTGTCAATCCCAATATAAATCATTAATTCAATTGCAAAAATGACTGAAGATCATACACATAATGATGTAATATCTTTTTGAACATCATGATATCAGTTTAAAAACTAAACTTGAAAAGGTTAAAACAAACGGTTTTTACTTAAACTTTTCTGGTTAAAGATTTAAAGATAAGATAAAGTGTCAAGTAACTTGAACCCAGATTCATTATTAATCAACGGTTTTGTCGGGTTCTCTGTGTTAGTGAAAAACAAGGGAAAACAGTTGAACTATCAATCATAGACATAAGATCAGTACTTAACATAAACTTCAATTTGAAATGTGACTAAATTATTTTGTCTCTGAAAGGCTGAGCAAAATCATAAATTGGTTGAAATTTTTGTATTTTCAAAATTAAGACTAAAAACAATAAATAAAAGTTACTTCTTGAAAATGGACTCCGGATTTATAATTGTTAAATTACAAAAATCCGGTGTTATTTTATAAATTATAAAGGATTTGAGGGGCTTTTCCCCTTTTATGCGACACTGTTTGTTTCAAAGAGTAAAGTAAGAGTAAGTAATGTTACATTACTCTTTGGTTTGTTTTTTATTTGCAAATTAAAAAAGTTTATTTTACCCGCCACTCTTCGATCATCTGTAAATTCAATGGTTAACCAATAGGCTTGCTTCATTAAGAGCTACTGTGTTTCATTTCGTCTCTGAACTAATTTATTATAAATTTTAAGTTTTTAATTTATATTGTGATTACTCTAATTCAACCAATATGAACGAAGAAGATACTAGTTGTGATCAAAGACTGAAAATAGTGAATAGAACAAGAGAATATATCGTCTCTAAAAAGTTCATTTGTTCTTCGGTGCCTTATTTTGAGAAAATGTTTTGTTGTGATCTGTTGGAATCAAAGGAAAACAAAGTGGTGCTGGATTTTGATGAACATGTCTTCGATTCTATTCTGAATTGGATTCATACTGGGTCGTTCTGGATCAACATGGAGAATGTTATTCTTTTTTACGAGGCAGCTGATTATTTGATGATAAATGAACGTTTACTAAAACCTTGTTTGTCTTATTTTCATGATAAATTCACTATTAAACATCTTCCATCTGTTTTATCTCAAGTCACGAAAGTGTCGAAATTGATCAGCTCAGGATCCATTGAAAATATCATTTGTCGATATTTCTTACAGATAGTTAACACGGATATTTTTTTGAACTACCCGTTTGAAACAGTTGAAGCTATTCTCAAATTGGATTTGATGGTTTACTCTGAATATCAAATATTTGATTCAATAATCAAATGGGTGAAAAAAGCAGACTCTAGAAAAGATTTACTGCAACAGCTGTTGGATTGTGTCCGTTGGTGCTTCATGGATGCTGATGACTTATCTGTGGTTGAAAATAATGAATTGATCAAGGCTCTTCCTAATTTCAAAGCAATTATATCTTCTAACGTTGAATATGAATTCGATCGTTGTAAACAAAGGTATTTTGTATCCATCCAGCAAATGGACGAAATGTTGAGGATAAAATTGTTCGATGATCAATTTTTTTGTTCTGCCATTGGTGATTTTTCTATTGATTATGATATGTGCCCTGAATTTTTCCATGAAGAACATATTTCAGATATTTTCACTGAATCTGGATCGGATGGGGTCCGAATTGATTGGATTAAAAAAACATTTCGATGGCTCTGGATGGAAAATCCTGGTGAAACCTACTACAGTGAATTAATGGACCTCATCGTAAGCTTTTCCAAAAGTCCCAGGTATGTTGAATATTTATCATGCATAGTCTCTTGAAATTGAGTTTTTAGGTTCGTAAAATGATTTCAACTCTTATTTTCTCCTATTGAATCAATTATTCTCAGCTCAAGAAGACCATTGTGGCTATTATGTAATATTGTTTACACCGTTTCTAGTTCGCTAGTCTTTTATGCATGTCATTAGTTTCATCTCACGCATTAGATTAAATAATTTTTTTTCTTTATCTTATTCTGCTTCAATCTTCAGAGCCTTTTCCTGGTACTTGGATGACAAGGATATCAAAATTCCTGATGGTCCCATACTACATGATGAATTTTATTTCCTTGAATCTAATGGTAAATACATTGTAATAGGTAAAACTAAAGACAAGAAGTTGTTTGGTCTTTTTCCAGTTGAAAGTCAGAGGTGGTTCAATATTTTTGAAAGACACAAGCACTCCTTCCATGCGACTGTTTTGGACCCTGTTGTTTATATATTGACGAAGGATCTCGAATTTATCCAGTTTAATTATGAAACTAAATGCTTCAATAAGAGTCAACCGTTTAAAAACAAGAAATTCCATTTCGATAATTTAATTTTGACTTCTCACCCAAAAAACGATGACAAAGTAATTCTGATTAATAAATCAACTGGAGCAATTTATGTTTTCTGCATCAATCAGGAGGAATGGATTGAAAAATATCAAATCCTGGATGTGCCCTTTTCTTCCAATAGTTCAGGTTCTTCTATCAATGAGGATGATTATCCTATCATTGCATTCACTCCAGCATTTTTATCGATGAAATTTATCAAACCTTTGTACGAGCAATACACGCATCGACTATAAACTACCATGTGCGCCATTCTGTTCACCTAAATTCCGAGTGCCAGCTGTAAACGCCATTATTCTCGATAATTCAAATGTATTTGTTACACAATTGTATTTTGCCTATCGCTAAGCATAGTTAACATCCATTATAATGGCCTTTTGCTTATTTTGGTTGAACTCTTTCATTTAAAAAACTGATATGCAATGATTGAGGTCTGATTTACAATAAATGTTTCTTTGCTTTTAATATCAAAGAAAGTCTCTTTTTATATTCAATGAACTGTAGCTTCATTGCTCGATCACTTCATTATTAGCACTATCAAATTTTCCATAAGATTAATCATATTGCGTTCGATCAAGGGATGAGGTCAAATCCATTCTTCAATTTTCACACTTAATGAGCAGATAGATCTCGCTGAGTATTTTCAATTCATTTTTATCATTAATTTGAGCCTAACAAAGACAAAGCATGCATCAGAATACTAGTCTGAATATTCGTCGATGCTTTATAGGGATTTATAGCTCCATTTGCTTGCTCAAAGATTAAACAAATGCATGATGTTTCAAAGGCCAATTCAAGTCATTTTGCAATAAAACTAGTCTCTGATATCATATTTACCAGAACAACCTGATCATACATTTATAAGGACAAGTATTGCTCATTATTAAGTCATTCTGAAACCGTGTAGTCTGAATGAGTGCTGTGCTTGAAGTTTAGGGAATCTCTTCTGTTTGATTCTTTGGGGAGTAAGATCTCGTGAGTTTATGACGATAGATAATGTGAACGGACGAATCTCAAATTCAATGACTTTGCCAATATATTTTCAAATCCAAATAGTAAGAGCAGCATTAGACAAAATTTCTGTCATCGTTTTTCAGTCTTTACAGCTTTCAGCTTGTATTAACGGGTGTTGAATTTACTTGGTGCGAAACGAGACTATTTTTGATTAAAAAATTCAATCTTTAAACCGCATTGCTAAAGTTTAGTGCAATGTACACTTACAATGTAGTGTATTTTGACCAAAAAATCAGTGCCATCTATTGCCATAGTAAGAGCAAATTACATTGTATTTAAATTAACCAAGCATTATTTATGCTAAGGTTAAAGCTCTGATACCAATAGATGGCTCTGATTTTTTGGTTAAAATAAGCGTCAATATTACTGTATATTTTTTGGTTATATAAAGCGAATAGAATAATTTAACTTGTTCCATTTTCTTTCAAAATCTTCATATCTGCTACAAGCTAAGTTACTAAGTTTTTTGAATCGTTTTTTACGCATTGCAATCATGGATGGAGCAATCGATGAAAATTGTGACGAGAAAGTAAAAATTATTAATAGAGAATGTGAATATGATGTCTCTAAAAAGTTAATTTGTTCAAAAGTGCCTTATTTTAGAAACATGTTTAACAGTGGTTTAAAGGAATCAAAACAAAATGTGGTGAAACTTGATTTCAATGAAATTGCTTTTGATAGTTTCATCAACTGGATTCTTTCTGATTTTCTCACTATCAAAATGGACATGGTTATCTTTTTGAACGAGATGGCTGATTATTTGATGATGCGGGGTTACATTTCTTCTTATTGTCACGAGTTCTTTCATTGTAATTTCAATGCAGATTATCTTCCGGATGTTTTACCCCAAGTTACGAAAGTATCAAAATTGATCAAATCAGAAACTGTTGACAATTTCATCTGCCGCTATTTCTTGTTGATCGCCAATACTAATAGTTTCTTGAAATATCCAGTTGAGGCGGTTGAAGCTATTCTCAAATTGGACCTGATGATTTACTCTGAATATCAAATTTTTGAATCAATCATGAAATGGGTGAACCATAAGAAAGATTCCAGATTACAAACTCTTCCACATTTATTGAGTTACGTCCGTTGGTGCTTCATTGATTCTGTTGATTTATCTAAAATAAAAGATAATGAGTATATCAAGAATCTGCTTAATTTTGGTTCAATTATCTCATCTAGCGGCGAATCTAAATTCGATCGTAGCAATCAAAAATTCTTCATTACTTTCATTGATATAATTGATGGCGAAATTCCAAAAGTGAGAATACATCTGTATAATGATAAAATGTATAGTTTACCGATTGGCGATTTCACCCAAAACGATGATATCTCGCTTGAGTTCGTGTACGGCGACAGAACTTCAGATATTTTATTTGATTCTGGGACTAAAGGAATTCGTATTGATTGGATTAATCACACATTTCGATGGTTGGACTCCGAATTTCTCATTTCAACTTACTATGGCGATATAGGTAGATTGATCATTAAATTCCAGATTAATCTCAGGTAGGTTTAAATCACTATATACAATCACTATATGTAAATTGGATAATCAAAATTGTTTTCAATGTTTTTTGCGATTTTATGTCCAACTCACTCATCTCATTTTTTTCGTTCTACAGTGAATTTTCTTGCTTTTTGGATGAAAATGCTACTGAACTTCCTAATCCTATATCTAATGAGTATTTATTGCTTGAATCCAATGGAAAAATCATCTTGATTGGTAAAACTCGTAGAGAAAAAAAGTTGTTTGGTATTTTTCCAGTTCTTAATCATGAATGGTTCCAAGGATTTAGAAAGCGTAAACACTCTTTCCATGCTACTGTTTTAGACAATGTTGTTTATATATTGACAAAGGATCTCGAATTTATCGAGTTTAATTATGAAACTCGAAGCTACAATAAGAGTGAACCATTCAAATACGATTGTGCATTTGAATTCGATTCTGTCTATTTAACTTCTCACCAAACTAAAGATGATATGATAATTTTGGTTGACAAAACATCAGAAATTGGACGAATTCATGTTTACTGCACTAAGCGTTCAAAATGGACTTATAATTACGCTGATATCTCAAATGATGAATTTGACTTCACTGCCTTCACTGCAGCATTTCTATCTTTGAAAAATATCAAACCTGCGTTTGGCCACAAATTTTTCCCGACTCAATGACACTATTATTTAAATCTCAATCTTTTTATTTTTGAAGAAAACTTTAAAATTTTGAATTCAGATTTGCTTAAGATCCTTGAATTTTCGTATCTCTTTACCTTTCACCAAGCTAGCAAATATTTAATGCTTAAGTCTTGAGCTGCTTCATGGAAGACAAAAAGTAGCAATAAAACACTAATCATAACTTTTGACCTAAACTTGAGAGTAGTATCTTTGAACTAATCACATCATGTAAATTTATCATGTAATTCAACATAAATAAAAATCTTGCAATGAGCAAAGCTATTTTCTATTTTTGTATTACTTTAAAAGAATCAAATTGTTATAAGCGTCCTAAGCACTTTTTCTGTGTCACTGTTATGGACAAGAACGGGGCAATGGGCCTCAAATATATTCAATTCAATCATGAAACGCGACATTCAAAGTCATTCATTTGACTGGTTTAATATAAATCCGTGAGAAAAACTCATGTTTTCTGTATTGACGGGAGGAAATAACTCCAAAAAGTTCGAATCATGAATTTCAACACAAATCCAAATACACTGGAACCATCACTCAAAGCAATTTTAATGCCTCTTTTAGACAAATTTTAATTGTCGCCATCTACCAAATTTAAATTTTAACGCTAATTTTATAATCAATTAATCTTGTCGCAAAATGGCTATCAAGAAAAAAGAGTTGCTTTAAGTGCAGGTTTCTGTAGAGTTTCCTCCATCCCACCGCTGCCATCACCTTCTCTTCAAGCGGTACCACAAAAGATGCTTTAAACTCAAGAGTTCAAATACATTCCTGAGTATAGATTTTTATTTCAATGACTAATAGGTACCCAAATAATGATTCAATATCTTTGTTTCCAACATCATGAGATCATTAAAAAAACAAACTCAAAAACTGAAAACAAAGGTTTTTATTTAAACTTTTCTTGGTAAAGATTAAAAGATAAGATTCGAACTATTCATATGTTAATTTCAATTTTTACCTGATATGAATGTCACATTAACTCAATATGCAATGAACATGTTACTAGCTCTGGGAAAAGAAGAGTCCGTTCCAGATGCAAAATGAAATAAGGAGACATCATTATAGCAATGGAATGTGCTCAAACTCAGTTTCATAATTTTCACTAATGTTCGATTGAACCAAAAGAATTGAATATTACCACTCACAATTTTGCACCATATAACATGCACCTGAATTACCTATTTAATTTATTTGCATTGTGTACTTAATTGGACCATAAGATTTGAAATGCAAAAGTAATAAACAATTTTTGTCAATCCAAATACATGTATAATGGATGACTCAAAATGGACTTCGGATCTTTGTATTTAAAAATTATAAATACGGAGTCCAATTTCAATCACCCCGTAGATCATTAATTACAATACTGCAAAAAGGACCATAAACATAAATAATGATGTAATATTTTTTGGAGATCAGTTTAACAAGCCTAAGCTTGAAAAGGCTAAAATAAATAGTTTTAACTGATAAGATAAAGTGTTACAATGTAAGTAACTTGAACCCAGATTCATTAACGGTTTTGGCGGCTCACTTTGTTAGTAACTAACAAAGAGTATACAGGGTGTGAAGAAAGTTTTTAGGGAAGCTTTCAAATAACTTTAGTGCATTATTTCATCATCAAATGCCTAGAAACTTTCTCCTCACCCTGTATACTCTTTGTTAGCTAACAAAGGAAATCAATTGAACTTACAATCATAGACATATGATCAGTGCTTAACATAAACTTCAATTTGAAATGTAACTAAAAATTATTTTCAATTTGTTAAATTAATAAAAACATCTAATTTTTATCAATAGGATTACACTAATTGCTTATTCAGTACAATTTTCCCAGCCTCTATCTATTGGGATCAGCTTTCTTCTACCAAATCCACCTCTTTTTTCATCGTATTGTCCACCAGATCGAGTGAAATTATTACTCGTTTGATTTGGATAATATTTTTTTTGTTTAATTCAAATTTAATTCTTTGGACTTTGGTGTAATTATGAATTGACATAGAAACAAAATGAAATATAACTACAATTTATTTTCAATTCGTTTACAGACTAGGGTGGTGGACAATAAAATAGAATTGAGCAGAACTGAATCCAATTTTGTTGAAATTTGGACATAACCCTTAGAATGTTTCCAGCGTTCAATCCTTTCAATTTTCTTGTTCAATCTTAAAAGACTGGTGGACTGATATACCCATAGTCCGATTTTCAGTCTACATCTATTGAATTACAACCAATCAGTGATTTTAGACAATGGACATTGTCCCAAAAGGAGTAGACTCATTGGACACTAGAGTAAACAAGTGTAAAATTTTAGCTTGAGTTACTAATTCAATTATTGTTTTTTCAATTTTGATCAAGAATTGACCGAAGACTTTACTAATTTAATATTGACGATCATGAACAAGTGAAAGACGATGATTTTTCATACTGAATATTAAATTTTTTACAAGCTCACGGTTAATTCTTGATTAAAATTGAAAAAACAATAATTGAATGAGTAACTCAAGCTAAAATTTTACACTTGTTTACTCTAGTGTCCAAATGAGTTACAATCGTCCTAAAAAGCTGTTATGTAATTATCGATAGATGGCGACTTAGAAAAGAATTGCTCACACTTTACTAACAAGTTTTTAGTAACAACTTGTAAGCTAATGTAGTTAATTAAGAGTTTGAGATCGATTGTGAGTTATTCAACTGGTGAGTTGAATGTTTCTTCAATTAGAAATTTTACTTTTTTTAAGTCATCATATAAAAAGTTGTAATTTTTTTAGTATTTACGTTTATTGCGATTTTTTGCTAAACATAGCCGCTATGGATAAGAAAGATGGAAATGAAGATGAAAAATTAAAAATTGTGAATAGAAAAAGGAAATACAGTGTTTCCAAAAAGCTCATTTGTTCATCTGTACCTTACTTCGAGAAAATGTTTTGCTGCGATTTGTTGGAATCTAAAAGAAGTAAAGTGGAACTAGATTTTGATGAACATGTTTTCGATTCAATCCTCGATTGGATTCATTCGGAATCATTCTTCATGCGAATGGATTTCGTGATTAGTTTTTACGATGCTGCTGATTATTTGATGATAAATGAACGTTTATTAAAGCCGTGTCTCACTTATTTCCATGAAAATTTCACCATTGAACATCTTCCAGTTGTCCTACCTCAAGTTACCAAAGTGTCTAAAATCTTAAATTCTGGATCTCTTAACAATATAATTTGTCGCCATTTCTTGCTGATCGCTAATACGGATATTTTCTTGGATTATCCTGTCGAGACTGTTGAAGCTATTCTCAAATTGGATCTGATGATTTACTCTGAATATCAAGTTTTTGAGTCAATCATGAAATGGGTGGACAAAGATGCAGACTGGAGAAAATTTTTACTTCCACAGCTATTAAACTGTGTCCGTTGGTCTTTAATGAATTCTTTTGAAGTTAACAAGATAAAGGATAATGAATTAATCAAAGCGCTACCGAATTTCGATGAAATGAAAACCTCCGATGTGGAAGCTGGATTCAATCGCAGCAAACAAAACTTATTTGTATCCATCTTTCAAAGAGATGATTCAATAATAAGAATCAAAGCGTTTGATAACGACTTTTTTTGTTTCACGATTGGTGATTTTATTCAAGACGATTCAATGTCACTTGAATTTGTACATGGAGAAAACATTTCAGATATCCTCTTTGATTATGGAACAAAAGGAGTTCGAATTGATTGGATTAAAAAGACATTTCGATTGCTAGACTTTGAAGTTGCTGTTAAAACTTACTACAGTCGATTCGCTAAATTCATTGTAGAGTTTCCGTCTGATTCCAGGTATGTTTGTTTATTTTTAAAAAATACTCGCAATCAATCCGATATTTTAGAGAAATTCATCGAATTGTTGAATACGACCCTCGAGCTCTTTTAGATACTATTTTTAGAAATTCTCAACATTTTTGATTGATTTTTCATCAGATTAAGTCCAGAGCGAATAGCTACTTTTTTAATCTATTAATAGATAATACGACGACTATGTATAAGTTAACTCAGTTTTTCCTGAATTCAGAGAAATTCGAAGCCGTGTTTTCTCTTTTACTTATTCAACTTTACAAAATATGCAGAGCTCCTCTATAGAACGAGTTTGGTGGAAATCTGTATAGTTTTCGTTTTTTCTAACGAATTAGAGATCATTTTTCGCAAACTTTCTGAAAAATTAGCCTTGAGAAATGAACTATCTTTCCCACCGTGTGAACTTTTTGCTTACCATGACAGTTTGTTATTCATAAGAAAGTGAAATTACTGTGATTAACTATTCAATCTGTAGAACTTTTACGGTTAGATTTACTGATTCTGTTTTTATAAGATAATATTTCAAAAAAGGCCTGAAATCATTCAATTCGATTAAATCTTTTTCTTCAATTTTATCTTTCCCAATTCTTCAGTCCCTTCTCCTGTTATTTGGAAGACAAATATGCAAAATTGCCTGAGCATGTTCCGGATGAAGAGTCACTTATCCTTGAATCCAATGGTAAATTCATTGTAATTGGTAAAACTAAAGACGAGGAGTGGTTTGGTCTTTTCCCAGTTACACATGAAAGTTGGCTCGATTTTTATGATGACTCTTTTAAAGCCACTGTTCTGGACAATGTTATTTATGTACTGACAGAGGATCTCGAATTTATCCAATTTAATTACACAACTAAATGTTTCATCAAGAGTGAACCATTTAAAAAGGAGGAATTCGATTTCGATGATTTAATTTTAACTTCTCATCAATCAAATGATGATAGATTAATCCTGGTCGACAAATCAACTAGAAAAGTTCTTGTTTTTTGCACTTATGAGGAGGAATGGAGTGAAAAATGCTGCATTATGAATGTAAACTTTTGTTCCAACAGCTCCGGCTCTTCGGTTAATAAATTAGTCGCCTTCACTTCAACATGCTTACCGATGCCAGTTATTGAACCTTTGTATAAGCATATCGATGATTAATTTTGAACTATCATCTGTACCACGCTATTCTGATTTTATTCAGTGTTGCGAATTCATTTTTCTATAAATTAAATGAACTTGCAATACTTTTTGTAATCTCAAACATCTTAATTAACTTTTCGTTCATTCATTTGAATTCTTTTATGTCTAAAAATTTTAGCTGCATTAAAAAAGATTAAATAATTAATAGAAAATAATGATTTGGAAAGCAAAGTAATAAACATTTTTTGTCAATCCAAACTTCGATCATTAATTTCAAAGTGTCCAGATAATGATGTAATATCTATATCTTTGAACATCATGAGATTAGTTTAGCAAATAAAACTTGAGAGCCATACGTGTTAGATGCTTTTAACTTTGCTGGTTAAGATGAGATAAAGTTTTGAGTAACTTGGACCCAAATCCACTGAAATGGTTTGGTCTTTTCCTAGTTAAACATGAAAGTTGAATCAATAATTGAGATCATCAAAAATCTTTTAAAGCCATTGTTGCGTAGCCCGCTGTTTATAAATTGAAAAAGGATCTCAAATTTATCCCGTTTGGTCAAGAAACTAAATGCTTCAATAAGTGGAGCCATTTAAAGACGAAAATTTTACCTTAAAAAGACCTCAGATAATTTATTACTTGTCACAGCAGGGAATAATAAGTGACGAGACAATCTTTCTTTAAAGTTGTAAAAGGGTTTAACTCTCTGTTTGTTTTGAAGCTTTAAAGTATCGAGCTCTACAGGGAACCATTTGTTTCAGCTTCCATCTATTGTTAATTAACTTTTCGGGACAAAGTAAACAATCCCACACTGGTTAAAAATTAAAATTAATTAGCAGGAGAGTGTGAAAATTGCTTTAATTGAGCTATTGAGTGTTAGCAGTTAATAGATGTCAGTATATTCCTAATTCTTGTTGACACCGACGTGTGAAAGAAGCTTAAGGCGATATTCAAAGGATTATGGTCAGTATCCAATACGGTCAGTTAGCATTACATAGAGATTGACTATTTTCAGTTTGTTCATTTCATCAACATCTGCAGAAGTTGAAGTGAAGTTACTACTCCGTTCCATTTGGATAGTAAAAGATTTATTTACTTTCTATTTAAAACTAATTCTTTGGATGAATTTCACATGAATTATCATTGATTGAAATAGAGCCCATAGATGTCACTAGAGAATAGCTACAATTCATCAGCGTTGAACTTTGTAACTCAAGTGGACACAAGCTAGCTTAACAAATTTAAATACGAGATGCTCATCTTTTTAAGCTCACTTTTTGTTTTGCAACCCTGAAAGTCGCTTACTTACATTAGTTTCTCTTTAAAAAGTCTGTATAAGATCCTGGTTCAATATTCTGGTTCATTTAATAAACTGTTGTTTCCTCTGTTAACTTTCAAAATTTGTACATTTTAAGTTATTGATGCAATTCGCGATGGCTGATTTCAATGAATATTCTGATCACATAACGCAAGTTTTCGAGTCTGGTGATCAATTGACGATTACTAATAGATCGAAGACTTACTGTGTATCCAAAAAGTTCATTTGTTCATCCATACCTTATTTTCAAAGTATGTTTTGCAGTGATTTGTTAGAAGCCAAAGAAAACCGAGTTGAATTGGATCTTGAAGAACACAGTTTTAATTGTATACTCAATTGGATTCATTCTGAATCTGCCCAAATTGAAATGGAAAGAGTTATTGCGTTATTTGATGCAGCCGATTATTTGATGTTGAACGATCTACCGAATGATTGTTACTCTTATTTTCATGCAAATTTCACCATTGAACATCTTCCCATTATTATTCCTCAAGTGACTAAAACATCTAAACTGATTAACTCTGGTGCCTTAAACACATTCATCTGTCGCCATTTCTTGAAGATTGTTAAGACTTCTATTTTTCTGAATTATCCTGTTGAAACGGTAGAGTACATCTGCGGTTTAGATTTGATGGTTTCTTCTGAATATCAAGTATTGGAGGCAATCAATGATTGGATTAAAGCTAAATCTGATGACAGAAAAAAATATCTTCTGCAATTATTAAGATGTATTCGTTGGTGTTATGCTGGAACTGATGCCTCATCTAAAATTATGGAAGTTCCGTACATCGCAACAATTCAAGATATTAATGAAATTCTGTGTTCTCCTGGTCACTGTAAACTTAAGTGCACTTCAAATCGCACTGATCAATGTTCATTGATATCCATTCGGAAAATTGATGATAGACGTCTCTGTATACGAGTTCTCCAATCACAATTTTGGTTACCTGTTGGCTTCTTTAATCTAGACGATTCAATGTCACTAGAATTGGTTCATGGAGAGAACATATCAGATGTTCTATATGATTGTGGAACCAAAGGAGTGCGAATTGATTGGGAAGCCAAGAAATTCCGTTGGCTCAATTTTGAAAGTGATGAATCATATTATCTGCAAATCAACAAACTGATTGTCTCCAGTCAGGCTGCACCAAGGTAAGGTTTAAAAACTTAGTTTTTCTTAAATGCTGCTTTCAGTCATTCTTTTAGTCCTTGGCTTCCAATTTTTTTTATAAAATACTGTTATTTTATTAGATATGTAATTAAAAAAATTATTTCTGTTGAATTTCAGTACCATTCTCTACTTGGAAGACAAATGTGGCGGATATGCTGATGATCCTTTTATTGAACTTTTTCATCTTCGCTCTCTCGCTACTTCTAGGGGAAGAATTCCTGCTCCTAACTTTTCTGATCAACAGCCGGTAAGCATTAGCAACGCGATTGAGAATGATCATGCACATTTGGCTTTTTTGTATGCAATCTCTTCTCAATCATCTGATGAATCTGCAATTCACGACGTCCCATCGACGATTCCTTTAGAAAATGATGAAAGGTTACTTCTCGAGTCTGGTGGTAAATTCATTGTGGTTGGAAAAACCAAAGATAAAAAGTTTTACGCTCTTTTTCCTATTCGTCATCTTGAATGGTTCAGGATGAAATATTATGTGAACTATGATGAAAGATCTTTCATTGCTACTGTTTTAGGGCCCAATATATTTATTTTGACAAAAAAACTGAGATTTATTCAATTTAATTATGAAAATAATTCATTCAAAAAAACTGCGCCGTTCAAAGATAACCAACTCAAATTTATGGATTTAATCATCACTCCTCGTCAAGACAACGATAATAAAATAGTTTTGATCAATAAATCGTGCGGAAAAATTCACTATTTCAACATTGACAGTCAAACCTGGACTGAAACGAGTATCAGCAATCGTGCGCCGAAACAAAATGATCCAAAGGATTGCATTATGACCGCAACCACAGTCTTTTTACCTTTAGATAAAGTCAAACCTTGCAACAAACGAAAATTCAATCTATTAGATTGATAGTTACAATTATACTAGCATCAGATGTTTCTTAATTATTAATTTCTCTTTGTATTCGTTTTTCGTATTTTTTATCAAATAAAATTTGCTTTTAAACCTTAAACTATTAAAATTAAATCATTTGAAAATTGTATCAGTAGTACTTGAAATACGAGTACATAAAATAATAATTCAATGTAGATCTATGCGTTTCCATATCTTTTATTAGTTATAAAAAAAGTTCTGTCGTTTTTTACCAGTCACATTACTTCGATTTTGAATAAGTTGGTTCTGATTATTTAATTGACTAAATACACAGGTACAAGAACATAAGTATAAGTACATTCAGGCCATTTACGGGCTAATTTAACTATAATTAATCGAGTAAGCAATACATAAATAATGTATGTACTAAATAAGGAAGCAAAAAATGATAATTTTGATTTTTTCATTAGACTCAGCTTTAGCTACAAGCCTAGACTTAAAGCTAAAATGTAGACGCTAAAGACAGAAGCTCTAGTTTAACGGATAAATTAACTTTTGATAAACGCCATCTACTATACGTAAGATGCTTAATAATACCATTGGTAATATAGTAGACGGCACTCATCAAACATTAACTTATGCGCGAAACTAGTTGACAGTAATAAACTGTTATGGGGCTAGATAGAGCATAGTTCATTAGAGTCTAACTTGTTACTCTTTAAAATATGCTTTTGTGATTTATTTTATTCTATTATAAACATCTAATCATTGAACATTTTTCCAAAGCTTAGATGTAATTTGCCACTTGTAGCAATATTATGGAGAGTAAAGATGGAAATTGTGATGACGATTTAAAAATTGTGAATAGAAGGAGAGAATATACTGTCTCCAAAAAGTTCATTTGTTCAGTTGTGCCTTACTTTGAGAAAATGTTTAATAGTGATTCATTGGATTCCAAAAAAAGCAAAGTGGAATTGGATTTTGATGAACATGTCTTCAATTCTATCCTCGGATGGATTCATTCTGAATCATTCTTCCTCCAAATGGATTATGTGATTAGTTTTTACGAGGCAGCTGATTACTTGATGCTAAACGAACGTTTGTCTGGACCATGTCTTTCTTATTTTCATGAAAATTTTACTATTCAACATCTTCCAATCATTTTGACACAAGTTAAGAAAGAGTCAAAATTGATAAGTTCGGGATCTATTGGCAGCCTTATTTGGCACCATTTCTTGATGATTGCCAATACGGATAAATTTTTGAAATATCCATTCAAGACAGTTGAAACTATTCTTCAATTGGATCTGATAATCTATTCTGAGTATCAAGTTTTTGAATCAATCGTCAAATGGGTGAATAGAAAGGTTAATTGCAGGAAAAAATATTTTTCAAAATTATTAAATTGCGTCCGTTGGTGTTTCATGAGTCTGGACGATTTATCCAAGGTAGAGGATTGTGAACTAGCTAAGGCTTTGCCTAATTTCGATGAAATTACTTCCTCGAATGGTGATTATGAATTCAATCGCACCAAACAAAACTTCTTTGTATCAATACAACGAAAAGACGAAGCAAAATTACGAATCAATATGTTTGATAATGAATTGTTTTGTTTCGCAATTGGTGATTTCAATCAAGAAGATTCAATGTCGCTTGAATTTATTCATGAGGAATTCGTTTCAGATATTTTATTTGATTCTGGAACTAAAGGAATCCGAATTGATTGGATTAAACGGACATTTCGTTGGCTTGATTTCAAAGTTGCTGGTAAAACCTACTACAGTCAATTCCTTAAATTTATAGTAAAATTACCAAACAAACTCAGGTAGGTTTAAAACTAATGTTTTTTTAATCAATAATTTCTCATGTAGTTTACTTGAATCTGAAGATTTTATAGTCTCGCGTTATTCGTCGTTATATGTTTCCAAGTTTTCATATTGCTGTTTGAGGGAATCAGCTTCAGTTCAATTCAATTTTTCAAGATATTTTTGCCGATTTTATGACTTTGAGATAATCTATAGAAAGTTTGTTTATTCGCGTTATTTCGATAGGTACAATTTAATAGATTGAGACATTCAAGCATTCGAGAATCATATTCTTATCTAACAAGATCGTGTTTATTTGAAGCACCTAGTTGCACTTATCAACAATACAAATGAACCCGTTACCCTTTTCGAATTGAGTCATGTTGAGATGAGAAATTATTTTACGGTTAAAGCTTTTTCATTTTTTTATCATGGACTTTAAGTTGAATTTTACTGCATTATTTTATTCATTTCATATTTTAAAGGGCTACTGATTGCTTCTTGGAAGACAAAGATGCAAAACTTCCTGATTCGGTTTTGCAAGACAAAGTCATCCTTAAATCTGATAATAAATTCATTGTAATTGGTAAAACTGAAGACAAGAAGAAGTGGTTTGACCTTTTTCCAGTTAAACATAAAAGTTGGTTCAACAATTATAGATACCTAAAACACTCTTTCCATGCTACTGTTTTAGACAATGTTGTTTATATATTGACAAAGGATCTCGAATTTATTCAATTCAATTACCAAACTCGATCCTTTGATAAGAGTAAACCATTTAAAGACGAAAAATTGGATTTCAATGATTTAATCTTAACTTCTCATCAAACACACGATGACAAAGTTATTTTGGTCAATAAATCAACTGGAAAAGTGTATGTTTTCTGCATTAATCAGAAGAAATGGATTGAGAAATATCGAATCATGAATGTGAACTTAGGTTCCAACAGTCCCAATGCTCCTGTTGATGAGTTAATTGTCTTCACTTCAACGTTTTTACCCATGAAAGTTGTCAAACCTTTGTATAAACACACCTTACTTTAACTTAAGACTGCAGATCCTATCATTAAGTTTTACATAATTTGAATCTCTAAAGAGGTCTAAAACGCATAATCGAAAACTATAATAAATATACATTTCTCTGGTTCTTTGTCGTTTTTCAATGAGAAGTTCAGTAGCAATATTTGTTGATCTCTTCGATCATAATGTATTTCTCAAGTCCATTCAAATGAAGTAACTTCAGCATTGTATTTTAATTGCAATTTAAATGATAGAACATTGCAGTCACCATCGAGACAATGGATCAAAATATAAGAAACTTAAATAGTTTACTAACCATGTGCGATTTCTCGATCTTGTTCATGGTAGATTATGAATAATTTAAAATACCATTGTAAGTTGTTTCTTTGAATCTTTCATCTTGTTGTAATGCATTCATTTGAACGAAATTTTTCATGAAAATTAAAAATAAAATTTAATACCATTATAAATTTTGAGCAAATATGAACTTTGTCAGAGGTGGGGCCAGCTTTCCCCCCCCCCATTCACTACTTTTTCATCACCTAAATCTACCCATCATATTTATTAATAACATGTATTATGTCCATTAAGTCCATTGTGTGTTAATAAATTGATTAATACGATTTGAATTGCCAAATAATAAAATTTTCTGTGCCAATCCAAATAAAGATCATTGCTTTCAAATGGAGCAAAAGTATCAAGAGTCCAGATAATGATGTAATATCTATGTTTTATAACATTATGAGATCAGCTTAACAAGCCTAAAATTAAGAAGCTTGCGAAATATTTTGAGCTTTTCATTTCTATTTAATATTTCTTGTAAGATAAAGTAGCAAGTAACTTGAACCCATATTAATTAGTAATCAACGGTTTTTTACGCTAATCAACGGCCTACATCTATTGGGGACCAGCTTTTTTTCACCGTACTGTCCACCACCCGAATCTAACACATCCACTATTAGTCGCCATTGCATCCGAAAAGTAGTGAACAATTTGTTGGATTGGGTTTATTTGGTGGATGTTTTAGATTTGGGCGGTGGACAATAACGTGAACAATAAGATGAAAAAAGTGGTGGAAAAAAACCTATTCCGTAAAAATTACTTTAACTGAGCTCTCAAGTATTAATAATAACAAGTTTATTAGCAGCAAATAAATGTCGATATATTCTCAATTCTTGTTATGCAACACCTAGTTTGAAGACGCCTAAGTCGATATTTCAAAGGATTACGGTTAGTATTCAATATGATCAGTTAAAAATTAGATCGACTATTTTCAGTTTTTTCATTTCATCAACATTTGTATAAGTTGAAGATCGAGTGAAATTATCACTCGTTTGATTTGGATAATAAATTTTTTGTTTACTTTCTATTAAAACCTAGTTCTTTGGACTTTGGTTTAATCATGAATTGACATAGAAACAATAGATGTCGCTAGAGAATAGTTACAATGGTAAACATTAAAGTAGCCAAAGAGTATAAACAAGGTACAGTAAAATAGTAATTTGTAAAATAGCTCACCTAGATGGCAGTGAAACAAAAAAACAAAAAACTTAATGAATTACTGTACTTTGGTTACTGTAACTAAAAATCTCAATATAAGATGAGATTCTCAGCTTTATTAACTAGTCTTTGTTTGGTCGCGCTGAAGTTGGTTTGTTACATAGTTTCTCTTCAAAGAATCTTTACGACAGATCCTGGTTAAATATTCTGCTTCTCTTAACAACCTGTTGTTTCCTCTCATCATTTTCAAAATTTGTACCATTTATTCGCAAAAGTCGATTATTGATTTTATTCAAGATGGCTGATTCCAATGAATATTCTGATCAATTACTGGAAATCTCTGAGTTTGCTGATAAATTGATGGCCATAAATGGATCAAAGACTTTCCATGTTTTAAAAAAGTTAATTTCAACGCTACCAGCCTTTGAAAAATTGTTTTGCTGTGACTTGTTAGAAGCAAGAGAAAGCAAAGTTGGATCGGATCTATATAAACAAACTCTTGATTCTGTACTCAATGCAACTCGTCCTGAATCTATTCCAATTAAAATGGAAAGTGTTATTGCCTTGTTTGATGTTGCAGATAATTTGACGTTAAACAATCTATCAAAGGATTGTTACTCTTATTTTCATGCAAATTTCACCATTGAACATCTTCCAGTTATTATTCCTCAAGTGACTAAAACATCTAAACTGATCAACTCTGGTGCCTTAAACACATTCATCTGTCGCCATTTCTTAAAGATTGTCAAGACTTCTATTTTTCTGAATTATCCTGTTGAAACGGTAGAGTACATCTGCGGTTTAGATTTGCTGATATCTTCTGAATACCAAGTATTGGAAGCAATTAATGATTGGGTCAAAGCTAAAGCTGATGACAGAAAAGATTATCGTCTTCGATTATTAAGATGTATTCGTTGGTGTTATGCTGGAACTGATATCTCCTCTAAAATAATGGAACTTCCTTATATCGCAACAATTCAGGATATTGATAAAATTTTGTGTTCTCCTGGTAATAGTAAACATAAGTGCCCTTATAATCGCACTGATCAATGTTTATTGATGTTCATCCAGAAAATTGATGACATGGTTCTGAGTATAAGAGTTCTGCAGTCACAATCTTGGTTACCTGTTGGTATTTTTAATTTAGATGATGCTATGTCACTAGAATTGGTTCATGGAGAGAACATATCAGATGTTCTATATGATTGTGGAACCAAAGGAGTGCGAATTGATTGGGAAGCCAAGAAATTCCGTTGGCTCAATTTTGAAAGTGATGAATCATATTATCTGCAAATCAACAAACTGATTGTCTCCAGTCAGACTGCACCAAGGTAAGGTTTAAAAACTTAGTTTTTTTAAATGCTGCTTTCAGTCATTCTTTTAGTCCTTGGCTTCCAATTTTTTTTATAAAATACTGTTATTTTATTAGATATGTAATTAAAAAAATTATTTCTGTTGAATTTCAGTACCATTCTCTACTTGGAAGACAAATGTGGCGGATATGCTGATGATCCTTTTATTGAACTTTTTCATCTTCGCTCTCTCGCTACTTCTAGGCGAAGAATTCCAGCTCCTGACTCCTCTGATCCCCAGTCGCTAGTCAATAGCAATGAATTTGATCATGTAAAACCACATGACGGTCGTTTGCTTGGGTACAACCCTGTTCCTGTACAAGACTCCCGGTCGCAAGCTGATCGATCAGACATTATTCGGGTATTACCACCACACCTTTTTCCTTTAATTTATACATTGGCTCTTCAAACATCTGGTCAATCTGCAATTCACGACGTCCCATCAACGATTCCTTTAGAAAATGATGAAAGGTTACCGCTCGAGTCTGATGGTAAATTCATTGTGGTTGGAAAAACTAAAGATGACAAGTTTTACGCTCTTTTTCCTGTTCGTCATCATGAATGGTTCAAGATTAAATATTATGTCAATTATGATGAAAGATCTTTTATCGCTACAGTTTTAGGGTCCAACATTTTTATTTTGACACAGAAACGGCAATTTATTCAATTTAATTATGAAAATAATTCATTCATAAAAACTGCGCCGTTCAAAGATAACAAACTCAAATTTATGGATTTAATCATCACTTCTCGTCAAGACAACGACAATAAAATAGTTTTGATCGATAAATCGTGCGGGAAAATTCACTATTTCAACATTGACAGTCAAACCTGGACTGAAACGAGTAACAGCAATCGCAGGCCGAATCAAACTAATCGAAAGGATTTCATTATGACCGCAACCACAGTCTTTTTACCTTTAGATAAAGTCAAACCTTGCATCAAACGAAAATTCAATTTATTGGATTGATAATCGCAATCATATAATCTTAAAATTTCTCTTGCATATGAACTTTACTTTTGTATTCGTTTGACTGAAATTTTTATCAAATAAAATTTGCATTTTAAAATTGAAACTAAGAATTAAGGCATTTGAAAATTGTATCAATAGGACTTGGAATAACAGATGCGATCTATGCGATTCCATATCTTTTATCAACAACTTATGCCTTTTTGGTCGTCAACTTTTAGTCTTTAGAAAGGCTTCAATCATAGTGGTGTAATGTGTCCATTGCTTTGCTTATTGTTTAGATTGAATTTGATAATGCCTTCAATCTGAAGATATCTCATCATTAAGTTATCTGAATACAAGCTCTATGTATATCAATGTAAATTATGTATTTCTAATTTTTAGGGATAGTCGAAGCGTTTCGTATTCAGTTGTACCAATCAGATCACTTTGTCTCATTACTAAATTTAATTTTTGAAAAATGCTTCTATGTCTTTGCAGACTTGTACATACAATGGCTGCAATAAGTTGAATCCGTTGAGGAACATAATTATTGAGGATTTTAGCTGGAAGCAATTTAAGCAATCAAATGTCAATGGAATCAAAACAAATCAACTCAGTTTAATCAAACATAATTAAATACAATATAAATTACTAATATTAAAAGCATTTCTGGCTCTCAACACCATGTGTTTAGTAAACAAAAGAAATAGGGAGTTTATCCTCATTTCAACTTGCTTATTGTAGTCAGTGTAAAATTAAATTTTTGTAGATTTCTGAAGCATAAACATTCATATTTATTTAATTAGAAAACTATTTTGTTTATTGATGTGCTAGATATAAGGTCTTATAAAATTATAGCAGTAAATGGTATACAATAGAAGAGCAATACAAAAGAGTTGTCACTTATGCACTGCGTTCCATATTGGAAAAGAAACATTATGATGATTTGCTTCGACACCTCTTCAAAACTGAAACGGAAACTAAATTGATTTTTTGTAATCATAACTGTTAGTTGATGGAAATGATAATTCATGTCATAAGAATTCATGTTTGCTGCATTGCATGCGAAATGGGATTAAAATTACGCTGATATCTCAAATACTGAATTTGACTTCACTGCCTTCACTGCAGCATTGCTATATTTGAAAAATATCAAACCTGCGTTTGGACTTAAATTTTTCCCGATTCAATATCACTATTATTCAAATCTCAGTCTGAGCTTTCTCTTTTCTATTTAGTATAAAAGGCTTAAAATTTTTAATCCAGATTTGTCTTATGATCTTTAAATACAGTGGAGTACCAGATACTGTCAGTAACTGGAAATAGCTTAACGTATGGATGATAAAAATGAGACAAAAGTAAATGCTCAATAACTTTATTAATTCAACTCCAATTCAAATGAAAATTTGCTTGATCGAGGTCAGGAGTAATATCAATGTATTAATGAGTCACAGCCATTTCTTTTTAAGTTTACTTTTTGTTCTGCAACCCTGAAAGTCGCTTACTTACATCAGTTTCTCTTTAAAAAGTCTGTATAAGATCCTGGTTAAATATTCTGGTTTATTCAATAAACTATTGTTTCCTCTAATAATTTTGTACCAAAAATTGTACCTTTTTGATTCGCGATGGCTGATTACAATGAATATTCTGATCAAATACTGGAAATTTCCGAGTCTGATGATCAATTGACAATTACTAATAGATCAGAGACTTAATGTGTCTCCGAAAAGTTCATTTGTTCATCGATACTACAGAAGCGACTATGTTAGAAGCGACAGAAAACCGAGTTAAATTGGCTCTTGAAGAACACAGTTTTACTTGTGTAAACAATTGGATTCATTCTGATTCTGTCCAAATTGAAATGGAAAGAGTTATTGCGTTATTTGATGCAGCCGATTATTTGATGTTGAACGACCTATCAAATGATTGTTACTCTTATTTTCATGCAAATTTCACCATTGAACATCTTCCCATTATTATTCCTCAAGTGACTAAAACATCTAAACTGATTAACTCTGGTGCTTTGAACACATTCATTTGTCGCCATTTTTTGAAGATTGTTAAAACTTCTATTTTTCTGAATTATCCAGTTTGAACGGTAGAGTGCAAATTAGATTTGATGATTTCTTCTGAATACCAAGTATTGGAAGCTATTAATGACTGGATTAAAGCTAAAGCTTAAAATATCTTCTTGAATTATTAAGATGTATTCGTTGGTGTTATGCTGGAACTGATATTTCATCTAAAATTATGGAAGTTCCATATATAGCGACAACTCAAGATATTAATGAAATTCTGTGTTCTCTGGTAATCGTAGAGGTACTATTCAGGTCGAGGTACTCCTCACTATCGAGGTAATGGATCAGAATGTAAGGAACTTAAATAGTTTACTAAACGTGTGCTGTAATTTCTCGATCTTGTTCATGGTAGATCATGAATAATTTACCATTGTAGGTTGATTCTTTGAATTTCTCATTTTAAATGCATTCATTTGAACAAACTTTTTCATGAAAATTAATAATAAAATTTAATATCATCATAAATTTTGAGCAAATATGAATTTTGTCAATGGCGGAATCAGCTTTTTCCGTTCACATTCATCACTTTTTCATCACCCAAATCTACCCATCATATTTAACATGTTTTATGTCCATTATGTGTTAATAAATTGATACGATTTGAATTGCCAAATAAAAAATTTTTCTCTGTCAATCCAAATAAAGATCATTGCTTTCAAATGAAGCAAAAGTATCAAGAGTCCAGATAATGATGTAACATCTATGTTTTATAACATCATGAGATCAGCTTAACAAGCCTAAAAAGAAGCTTGAAAAATATTTTTATTTTTATTGAAGATAAAGTGTTAAGTAACTTGAACCCAGATTCATCAGCAAACAACGGTTTAGGCGGCTCACTTTGTTACAGTAACTAACAAAGAGTATACAGTGTGTGAAGAAAGTTGTTAGGGAAGCTTTCAAATAACTTTAGTGCATTATTTCATCATCAAATGCCTAGAAACTTTCTCCTCACCCTGTATACTCTTTGTTAGCTAACAAATGAAATCAATTGAACTTACAATCATAGACATATGATCAGTGCTTAACATAAACTTCAATTTGAAATGTAACTAAAAATTATTCTCAATTTGTTAAGTTAATTAAAACATCTAATTATTTGCAAGATTAGATTACACAGAAGGCTCAGTTAATGTTTTTTCAGCCTCGATCCAATGTTAATTATCGAGCAAGGTAAACAATTAAACACTAGTTAAAAATCACAATTAATTAGATGGAGAATGGGAAAATGGGACCGGCTTTTTTCCACCTTATCCACCACTTTATCCGCCACTTTTTTCAACGTATTGTCCACCACCCGAATCTAACACATTCACTATTAATCGCCATCGCATCTGAAAAGTAGTGAACAATTTGTTGATTTGATTGATTGATCTAGTTTGATTTGGGTGATGGACAATATGGTGAACAATACGACGAAAAAGTGGTGGACAAAAGCATGTCCCGTGAAAATTACTTTAACTGAGCTCTCAAGTAAAACAAATTTATTAGCAGCAAATAAGTGTCGATATATTCTCAATTCTTGTTAACACCTGTGTGAAGACGCTTAAGTCGATATTTCAAAGGATTACGGCCAGTATTCAATATGATCAGTTAAAAATTAGATTGACTTTTTGACAGTTTGTTCATTTCATCAACATTTGTATAAGTTGGAGATCGAGTGAAGTTATTACTCCGATTGATTTGGATAATAAAATTTTTTGTCAACTTTCTATTCGGTAACCAAGACAGTCTTGATACTCTCAGAGTGTACTCATTTCAAACAATTAATTGATTTAGCTAAATTCATTCATTCAATTTTTTCAATTTTTAGTCAACTAATTATTTGATATTTGCTCTTTAATATTTAAACCTAACTCTTTGGACTTTGGTTTAGTCATCAATTGACATAGAAACAATAGATGTCGCTAGAGAATAGTTACAATGGCATCATTTAGCTTTGTAGCAAAGAGTAAACCCAAAGTAACTAAAAAATCTTTATAAGATGAGATTCTCAACTTTACAAACCAGTCTTTGTTTGGTCGCGCTGAAGTTGGTTTGTTACATAGTTTCTCTACAAAGAGTCTTTACGACAGATCCTGGTTAAATATTCTGATTCTCTTAACAAACTGTTGTTTCCTCTGATCATTTTCAAAATTTGTACCTTTTAAGTTATTGATTTGATTCGCGATGGCTGATTCCAATACATCTTCTGGTAGATTACCGGAAGTTTCTGAGTCTGATGATAAAATGACGATTATAAATAGATCAAAAACTTACCATGTCTCTAAAAAGCTCATTTGTTCATCGATACCATACTTTGAGAAAATGTTTTGCTGTGACTTATTGGAAGGAAAAGAAAACACAGTTCAATTGGATCTTGATGAACACAGTTTCGATTGTGTACTCAATTGGATTCATTCTGATTCGGTTCAAATTGAAATGGAAAGTGTTATCGCCTTGTTTGATGTTGCCGATTATTTGATGTTGAATGATCTATCAAATGATTGTTACTCTTATTTTCATGCCAATTTCACCATTGAACATCTTCCAGTTGTTATTCCTCAAGTGACTATAACATCTAAACTGATTAACTCTGGTGCCTTAAACACATTCATCTGTCGCCATTTCTTGAAGATCATTAAAACATCCATATTTCTTGATTACCCAGTTGAAACGGTAGAGTACATCTGCGGTTTAGATTTGATGGTTTCTTCTGAATATCAAGTATTGGAGGCAATCAATGATTGGGTCAAAGCTAAAGCTGATCTTAGAAAAGAATATCGTCTTCGATTATTAAAATGTATTCGTTGGTGTTATGCTGGAACTGATATCTCATCTAAAATAATGGAACTTCCATACATCGCAACAATTCAAGATATTGAAAAAAAGTTATGTTGTCCTGATAATTGTAAACTTAACTGCACTTCCAATCGCACTGATCAATGTTTATTGATGTTCATCCAGAGAATTGATGCTATGTGTCTGAATATAAGAGTTCTTCAGTCACAATTTTGGGTACCTGTTGGTTATTTTAACCTAGATGTCTCAATGTCATTAGAATTTGTTCATGGTGAAAACATATCAGATGTTTTATACGATTGTGGAACCAAAGGAGTACGAATTGATTGGGAAAGCAAGAAATTCCGTTGGCTCAATTTTGAAAGTGACGAGTCTTATTATCTGCAAATCAACAAACTGATTGTTTCCAGTCAGACTGCATCAAGGTAAGTTTAGAAACTTGATATTAAATTTTGAATTCAGTCATTCTTTTAGTTCTTAGTTTCCAATTTTTTTATGAAATACTGTTATGTTATTAGATATGTAATTAACAAATTATTATTGTTGAATTTTCAGTACTATTCTCTACTTGGAAGACAAATGTGGTGGATATGCTGATGATCCTTTCATCGAACTTTTTCATCTTCGCTCCCTCGCTACTTCTAGGCACAGACCTCATGCTCTTGACTCTGATCCTCGTTTGCTTCACTGTGATCTGCCTCCCAGAGTATATGAGCATGCTCGCATACCACATCTGGGTAACAACCGAGATATTAATAATATTGTTTTAATGGGGCCATCGCGGCCGCGACGCTCTGATCGTTATGCAGATATGTCTCACACCTCTGGTCAATCTGCAATTCGCAGCGCCCCATCGATGATTCCTTTAGAAAATGACGAAAGGTTACTACTCGAGTCTGATGGTAAATTCATTGTGATTGGAAAAAGCAAAGATGACAAGTTTTACGCCCTTTTTCCTGTTCGTCATCATGAATGGTTCAAGATGAAATATTATGTAAATTATCATGAAAGATCTTTTATCGCTACTGCTTTGGGATCCAATATTTTTATTTTGACAAAGAAACTGAGATTTATTCAATTTAATTATGAAAATAATTCATTCAAAAAAACTGCGCCGTTCAAAGATAACCAACTCAAATTTATGGATTTAATCATCACTCCTCGTCAAGACAACGATAATAAAATAGTTTTGATCGATAAATCGTGTGGGAAAATTCACTATTTCAACATTGGCAGTCAAACCTGGACTGAAACGAGTATCAGCAATCGCAAGCCGAATCAAACTGATACAAAGGATTACATTATGACCTCAACCACAGTCTTTTTACCATTAGATAAAATCAAACCTTGCATCAAACGAAAATTCAATCTATTAGATTGATAATTGCAATCATATTATTTTCGATTTATCTTGAATATGAATTCCCTTTTGTATTCGTTTGGCGGATGTTTTTATCAAATAAAATTTTAGAATTTTAAAAGGCATTTGAAAATTGTTTCAATGGGTCTTGAAATACCAGCAAATAAAAGTTTAATCCAATGTATTATATGCGATTCCATATCTTTTATCAACAACTACCTTTTTGGTCGCCACTATTAACCTTCTAAAGGGTTCAATCATACCAAACATTTGTTTCAAGAAACGATTACAAATTAAATAATGAAATAGAGAATAAAAATAGTAATATTAGTGAAGTACATTAGAGCTTTACAATAGACAATTCAATGTGTTCCAACATACTTTTTCGAGCTCGAATTTATCGAGTTTAATTATGAAACTCAAAGCTAAAATAAGAGTGAACCATTCAAATACGGTTATGCATTTGAATTCGATTCTGTATATTTAACTTCTCACCAAACTAAAGATGATGCGATAATTTTGGTTGGACAAACACCAGACATCGGAAGAATTCATGTTTACTGCACTAAGCGTTCAAAATGGACTTATAATTACGCTGATATCTCAAATACTGAATTTGACTTCACTGCCTTCACTGCAGCATTTCTATCTTTAAAAAATATCAAACCTGCGTTTGGCCATAAATTTTTCCCGACACAATATCACTATTATTTGAATCTCAATCTTTTTATTTTTGAAGAAAACTTTAAAATTCTGAATTCAGATTTGTTTATGATCCTCAAATATATCGTAGCTCTTGGCGTTTCAGCAAGTTAGCAAATATGAATTTTGTTCAAGTTTTGAGCTGCTTCAGCGAAGACAGAAAGTAGCAATAAAATAATCAATTCAATTACGAGTATTCAAAGTCATTCATTCAATACAAAAGGCGTTTGCATAGCTCAATATTGCAGTTCTGATGTTTTTCAGCGCTCGATTTGTAATCCGGTCATTTGTTCTATCGCAAGTTATTAAAGTGTCTATTAATATGTAAGTTGCTCTAACCTGAATTAGCAAGTATGCAATTAGATGCTGCAGCTGAAAGGCCAAAGGACGTGTAGAGCTTTAAGCAACATATCGATGTTCATTTGCTATTCAGTTTTCGACTGAATTTCTGCATGTCAGAAGGGTTTGAAGAGTTTTGCTCGAGTCTAATGGTTAATTTGTGAAATGCAAAAACATGAAAATTAGATTCAATTTTAAATGAATCATAGATCTTTCATTGCTAATACTTTGGTTTATGGAGAAACTGTAACACACTTTAATTATTAAAAAGATACATTCAAAAGAATGAATCGTTAAAAGATTGCGACTTGGGTATAAATTCAGCAATGGTTAATCCAATAGGTGGCGCCAGTATTCTACAAAATTATGATTCATAATTTAAGGCGGTGCCTTTTGAGCTCAAATACCAAATAAATATCTTATGAAGTACATCAATCACACTTTCAAGTTCAAAGTGTTATTACAATGGTAAACTAAAAGATCATTTCAGTTTAAATTGGTTTATTATCACTCTTTGATTTGAATATTTTCCAAAAAACTAAATCAATCAAGTATTAATTTTTTTAGATTTTATGAAAATCTTTGCTACAGTTTGAGTGATAAAGATGGAACACGAAGATAAAAATTTTGATGTTAAATTGGAAATTGTGAATAGAAAAACTGTTTATACTGTTTCTAAAAAGTTAATTTGTTCAGTTGTGCCTTATATTAAGAAAATGTTTGGTTGTGATTTGTTGGAATCAAAGGAAAACAAAGTGGAACTTGATTTTGATGAACATGTCTTCAATGCTATCCTGGATTGGATTCATTCTGGGTCGTTCTTGATTAACATGGAGAATGTGATCAATCTTTACGAAGCAGCTGATTACTTGATGTTGGATGAACATTTCTTAAAACCTTGTCTTTCTTATTTTCATGAAAATTTCACCATTAAACATCTTCCAGTGGTTTTATCCCAAGTTACAAAAGTGTCGAAATTTATCAATTTAGGATCAATTGAAAACTTCATTTGTCATCATTTCTTGTCGATCACTAATACGGACATTTTCTTGAATTATCCAGTTGAGACAGTTGAAGCTATTCTTAAATTAGATTTAATGGTTTACTCTGAATATCAAATTTTTGAATCAATCTTAAAATGGGTGAATATTAATACGTCCAGACAAAAATTCATTCCACACTTATTGAACTGTGTCCGTTGGTCTTTCATGGATCCTGATGATTTAGTTAAAATCAAAAATGATGAACATATCAAGGTTTTGACTAATTTTGATTCAATTATCTCGTCCAACGTTGAATCTGATTTAAATCGTAGCAGACAAAACTTCTTCGTTTCTATTCATCGAATTGGTGATTCAAGATTAAGAATAAAAGCGTTTGATAATAAATTTTTGTGTTTCCCGATCGGTGATTTTATTCAAGACGATTCTATGCCACTTGAATTTGTTCACGGAGAACACATTTCAGATATTTTGTTTGATTCTGGAACAAAAGGAATCCAAATTGATTGGATTAAACGGACATTTCGATGGCGTGACTTCAAAGTTGCTGGTAAAACTTTTTACAGTCAATTTTTTAAAGTTATTTTGCAGTTTCAGTCTAATCTCAAGTATGTTTAGTATATTTTTTGAATTATCAAATTTTTTCAAACTCAAATGTCACAATTGTCCAGCTTAATTTTTTGCTAACATTCATCGGAAAGTCCTCCTCATAACAAAACTGCATGTTGTTCCAACATGAGTTTATTTATTTATCACTTTGCAATCACAGTATTTTCTTATTTCGCAGATATTTTACTTGCTATTTGGAGGATAAAGACTGGAAACCTACTGCTCCTATTGGCACACAAGAGGAATTACTCATTGAATCTAATGGTAAATTCATTGTAATTGGCAAAACTAAAGATGAGAAGAAGTGGTTTGGTCTTTTCCCAGGTGCACATGAAAGTTGGTTCAATCAATTTAAAGATTGTGAACACTCTTTTCAAGCCACTGTTTTGGACGATGTTGTTTATATATTGACAAAGGATCTCGAATTCATCCAATTTAATTGCGAAACTCGATCCTTCAATAAAAGTGCACCATTCAAAGACGAAAAATGGAAATTCAATGATTTAATCTTAACTTCTCATCAAACAAACGACGATAAAGTTATTTTGGTCAATAAATCAAGTGGAAAAGTACATGTTTTCTGTATCAATCAGAAAGAATGGATTGAGAAGTATCGAATCATGAATGTGAACTTAGGTTCCAACAGTGCCAATGCTCCTGTTGATAAGTTGATTGCCTTCACTTCAACGTTTTTGCCGATGCAAACTATCAAACCTTTGTATGAACAAAGATCTCATTCTTGAACTACCATTTGTACTTTCCTATTTTGCGCATGATGTAATTATAATGTGCGTAATGATATTGTAATGTAATCTTAAAAATGATAATATAATAGTTGTGAATCAAAACTTGCGATTAATTAATCATATGGAAAAATTCACATTTCCATTATTTTCAGCCAAACTTGAATTGAAATGAGCACGATTAAAAATCGCTTTGTAATGATTTACTCATGACCTTAACCAGTCTTTTTATCATTACTTATTGGTAATAAAATGGTATCAGCTTTTTTGTCCTCATTTCACTCCATTCTTCCAATTACTTTTTTTCGTCATATTGTCCACATTGGGTGCTGTCCAACAATTAAAAACAAACATGTTATTGGCCTGATTTTATCAATTTGTCATGGTAACAATAAGGTTTGTCGTTTTGTTTTGCTTTCACAGCTACTTGATTTGTTTAGCCAACAATTTCAGAGAGAACAGGGAATAAATATCAAAACTCGAAGTTGAGTTAACATATCACGCAAAGCTAGTCAGTGAAATCATTTGACCGTGTTGTCTCAATGAAAAATCGACTTGAAATGAGTCAAGATTTCATCGACTGACTGTGTCAACTAACCATATCAAATTACAAGGGTTATACGTTAATTTTACAAAAATCAGAGGCTCTGATTCAGAGTCATCTATTGATTAGAAAAATAGAAAAATAGTCAGAAGTCGAACAGGCGATTAAAATGAATTGTTGGCAGAAAGTTGATTCTAATCAATAGATGGCTCTGATTTTTTGTAAAAATAAACCTATAACCACTGTAGCTCTTTCTGCAAAAGTCTATTGCTTCTTTGGTTAACTTGCTTTCAAAATTTACTTTTAAATATAACCTTAACTTATTTAAATACTATCTATTCATAAATTCAAATCGCAACTAATACGAACTAAACCACTTAATATTTTAATATCAAACGATCGAAGTTGTGATGGAAAAAGTTGAAGAAAAATGTGCTGATGAATTGAAAATTGTGAACAGAAGAAGAGAATATACTGTTTCTAAAAAGTTAATTTGTTCAACTGTGCCTTACTTTGAGAAAATGTTTTGTTGTGATTTGTTGGAATCAAAGGAAAACAAAGTGGAACTTGATTTTGATGAACATGTATTCGATTCTATCCTGGATTGGATTCATTCAGAAGCGTTCACCATTAAAGTGGATTATGTCATCAGTTTTTACGATGCAGCTGATTATTTGATGATAAATGATCGTTTGTTTGAACCCTGTCTCTCTTATTTCCATGAAAATTTCACCATTAGACATCTTCCATCTGTTTTACTACAGGTCACCAAAGTGTCTAAATTATTGAATTCGGGATCAATTGAAAGTTTCATTTGTCATCACTTCTTGAAGATCGCCAATACCGACGCTTACTTGGATTATCCCGTCGAGTCAGTTGAAGCTATTCTCACATTAGATTTAATGGTTTATTCTGAGTATCAAATTTTTGAGTCAATTATAAAATGGATAAATGGAAAGGTCGATTCAAGAAAAAAATATATCCTAAAGTTAATGGATTGTGTTCGTTGGTTCAACATGGATCGTGATGATAGAAAGAAAATGTTGGATAATGAATTAATCAAGACTCGGTCAAATTTTGATCTGTACTCCTTAGCCAAAGATAGCGATAGATTCAATCGCAGTAAACAAAGCTTTTTTATCTCTATTCATCAGAAGGCTGATGCGACTTTAGCATTAAAAGCGTTTGATAATGAAATGTTTTGTTTTACGATCGGTGATTTCAGTCAAGACGATTCAATGTCACTTGAATTTGTTCATGGAGAACACACTTCAGATATTTTATTTGATTCTGGAGCCAAAGGTATTCGAATTGATTGGGTTAAAAAGACATTTCGATGGCTCGACTTTAAGGTTGCTGGTAATACTTACTACAGTAAATTGGCGAAATTCATAGTAAAGTTTCCATGTAGTCCAAGGTATGTTAATCATCGTGAGCTTCGTAAATTTTTAAATTGATTTTCCGTATTGTATCTTTGGATATGTCTATTGAATATCTAATTCTAATTCTATCTTAGCACCTTTATTGATGTTTTCAATGATAGTTACTCAAAACAAAATACCCCTGCAAACTATCCTAACTCGATCACTTTGATGCGATGAATAGAAAATTCTTGTTGAATCAAAAATTGAGACTTCTGTTTTTCATTGGTCATTGCTTTCAGTTTTTCAAAAGTACCTTTTGATATTATAATTAGTACAGAAATGTATTTGTCAAACTTTGCAAATTTGATTAAGTTTTAATATGAATAGTTTTCAATTTAATGAATTATCAATTATAAATCAAATGATCATCATTTTATACTTTAATTTCTCTTTCTTATGTTATTTTTAGTGATATTGATTGTTATTTGGAAGACAAAGACGCGAAATTTTCAATTCCAATTGCCCCACACGAACGCTTACTCCTTGAATCTAATGGAAAATTCATTTTAATTGGGAAAACTAGAGACGAGAAGAAGTGGTTTGGTATTTTCCCAGTTAAATGTTCAAGTTGGTTCAACAATTATAGCGATCATGAACACTCTTTCAAAGCCACTGTTTTGGACGATGTTGTTTATATATTGACAAAGGATCTTGAATTTATTCAATTCAATTACAAAACTCGATCCTTTGATAAGAGTAAACCATTCAAAGACGAAAAATTGGATTTCAATGATTCAATCTTAACTTCTCATCAAACAGGAGATAGTAAAATATTTTTGGTTAATAAATCATCTGGAAAAATTCATACTTTCTGTAATGAACAGAAAGAATGGTCTGAATCGTATCGTTTCATGAATGTTAATCTTAGCTCAAACAGTTCCAATATTTCTAAGTTAATCACCTTCACTTCAGCATTCTTACCTATCAAAAATATCACACCTTTATATAAGCAAGCCCTTCTTCTTTAACTGCAATACTTTTCAATACTATGTGTAAATGTCATTCACATTGCCTTCAATAAAAGTGTTGAATTTCTTAGGCTTCCCGATTGGTGATTTTACTCAAGATAATACAATGTCGTTTGAATTTGTTCATTTGATTGGGATCAGAATTGGTTGGATGAAAAAGACATTTACTCAACTCGGCTTGACTTTAAAGTTACTGATAAAACTTACTCCAGTAACTTAATTCACTGAAGAGTTTTCAGATGATCTCAGGCATGTTGAGTCAACGAATTCATTTTGATTGTAAAACTAGAAGAAATTGTTTACTCTTTTCCAATTAGTTGGCCCAATGATTTTAAAGACCAAAAACATACTTTTAATGCCACTGTTTTGGACAATACTGTTTATACAGTATACTGACAAGTGACTTGTAAAATAATTTCATTTTGATTGAAGAAACAAAAAACATCTGAAACATCAGACGCTGGCCATCCAATGCTTAATTAAAACATGAATGCCAATCTTTCAAAAAAGGGCTCATATTGCACTCGATTAAAGGAGAGTAAAATCTATCCCCTTTTCAATTCTATTGAAACTGTAGATAGAATGTCTTACAACTTAAATTATACTGACCCTTGTCTCATTCAATCTTTCTCTTTCATTTCGGCCCAAAATACAAAAGATCAAACAAAAGACACGTTTATTTGGTTCTTACAAGTGTGTTAGCTGTTTTCAAACAAGAAAAGCCTAACAGCGATATTTCTTGATCTCATCAATTATACTTCTAAATTGGATTAAAATGCGATTGCTTCAGCAATTCAGGAGAAACATTTTTAATAATCACTTTTCAGTTTATATCGATAGATTTCAGTCACTATTTAGACGATGCACGAGAACGTAAGTAACCTGAATAGTGTATTACTAACATTGTAAGCTGTAGTTTCATGATCTTGCTCATGATTTTTCTTTCAATTTTTTCTTTCAATTTTTATTATTCTTTCATTTTTACAAACTTAAACATGAGAAGGTTAAAATAAACGGTTTTCACTTGGTTAAAGATTCTAAAATAAGATAAAAGTGTTGCCTTGAACCCAGATTCATTAATAATCAAAGGTTTTTGCGGGTTCACTTTGTTAGTAGCTAACCAGGCAAAGTGATTGAACTAACAATCATAGTCATAAGATTAGTGCTTCAATAACAATCTTTAACAAAAACTTCAATTTGCAATGGGAATAAAAATTATTTTCAATTTTTTGCAAGAATAGGATTACACTGAAGGCTAAGTTACTGTATTTTTTTCTCAGCATCTATCTCTTGTTAATTAACTTTAAGGGACTAAGTAAACAATAAAATACTGGTTAAAAATTAAAATTGATTAGGTTAAGTATGTGAAATTGAGACGTCCAGTGCAAGCAGTTAATTAGCAATTTAGAATGTCTTGTTAACACCTACTTACGAAAGACGCTTAAGACGATGTTTCGTAGGATTACGGGTCAGTATGCAATATGACCAAATAAAAATTGATTGGTTTGGATAATAAAATTTTGTTTACTTTCTATTAAAACCTAATTCTTTAGACTTTCCAACAAATTAACTGAAATAGAACCAATAGATGTCGCTAGATAATCGCTAGATACAATTTGCTAACATTTATTTTTAGTTGCTTGGTGACGCTTTTGAGAAGAGTCTTAGGCGCCATTAAACAATGCTTATGCATGATGCAACCATTAAAACAAGTAACAAAATAACTGAAAAATTCTCATCTTTCAAACTTCATTTAGTTACAGTTCATTGATTTGTCCGACAAGTGCCTTTTTCAAATACTATCATTGAATTTACTGTTGTTTTATAAGTTTAAATATAAAATCTTTCTAATTGTTTGCTAAATCTTGTATTACCTTGTATTCTGTTTCGCCATGACTGATCTAAATGGGTCTTCTAATCAAACTCTGGAAGTTTCCGAGTCTGCTGATGAATTGACGATCATAAATAGATCAAAGACTTACCATGTCTCCAAAAAGTTCATTTGTTCATCGATACCATATTTTGAGAAAATGTTTTGCTGTGACTTGTTGGAAGCGAAAGAAAACACAGTTCAATTGGATCTTGATGAACACAGTTTTACTTGTATACTTAATTGGATTCAATCTGACTCTCTTCAAATTAAGATGGAAAACATTATTGCCTTGTTTGATGTAGCCGATTATTTGATGTTGAACGATCTATCAAATGATTGTTACTCTTATTTTCATGCAAATTTCACCATTGAACATCTTCCCATTATTATTCCTCAAGTGACTAAAACATCTAAACTGATCAACTCTGGCTCTTTAAACACATTCATCTGTCGTCATTTTTTGAAAATTGTTAAAACCTTTAAATTTCTGAATTTTCCAGTTGAAACAGTAGAGTACATCTGCAAATTAGACTTGATGATTTCTTCAGAATACCAAGTTCTTGAGGCAATTAATGATTGGATTAAAGTTAAAGCTGATGACAGAAAAAAATATCTTCTTCGATTATTAAAATGTATTCGTTGGTGTTATGCTGGAACCGATATTTCATCTAAAATTATGGAAGTTCCTTATATCGCAACAATTCAAAATATTAATGAAATTTTGTGTTCTCCTGGTAATTGTGCACTTAAGTGCACTTCCAAACGCTCTGATCAATGTTTGTTGGTGTCCATTCATAAAATTGATGACACGGTTCTTAGTTTAAGAGTTCTGCAGTCACAATCTTGGTTACCTGTTGGTATTTTTAATTTAGATGATTCTATGTCACTAGAATTGGTTCATGGAGAGAACATATCAGATGTTTTATACGATTGTGGAACCAAAGGAGTACGAATTGATTGGGAAAGCAAGAAATTCTGTTGGCTCAATCTTGAAAGTGACGACGAGTCTTATTATTTTCAAATCAACAAATTGATTGTTTCCAGTCAGACTGCATTGAGGTGAGTTTTTCTTAAGTGCCTTCTATAGTAATTGCATTTGAGTTTTTATCGAGTCGACTCACAATTTTTTTTACTTAAAATTTTATATCACCGAAGATATGAAAGTTTCATCGAATTTGTCATTGTATTTCAGTACCATTCTCTACTTGGAAGATAATTGCGGCGGATTTGCAGATGATCCATTCGTTGAACTACTAAAGCTTAATCCTCCTACTACTTCTAGGCGAAGACTTCTTGTTCCTGATTCCCCCGACCCTCCTGCGAATGGCAATAGGGAAGGTCTTGAAGGTTTTATGCGTTTGAACATTAATGATCGTGCTTTTGCTATCTCTGCATTAGCTCTTCATTTCCTTGATCTCAGTCAGGAGGATCAAATTGAGTCCGTAAATTTTTCTACTGGTTATCCAATCGTACGTTACGCCTCTGGTCAAATTGCAACTTCCCCGACTTCTGCAGAAAATGATGGGAGACTGCTGCTCGAGTCTGATGGCAAATATATTGTGGTTGGAAAAAGTAACGATGACAAGTTTTACGCTCTTTTTCCCGTTTGTAATCATGAATGGTTCATGGTGAAAAATTATGTGAAGTATGATGAAAGATCTTTTATCGCTACTGCTTTAGGGTCCAATATTTTTATTTTGACAAAGAAGCTGAGATTTATTCAGTTTAATTATGAAACCAATGTATACAAAAAGACTGCACCATTCAATGGCAACGTACTTAAATTTTTGGATTTAATCATCACTTCTCGTCAAGACAACGATAATAAAATAGTTTTGATCGATAAATCGTGTGGAAAAATTCACATTTTCAACATTGACAGTCAAACCTGGACTGAAACTAGTATCAGCAATCGTGCGCCGAAACAAATTGATCCAAAGGATTGCATTCTGGCGGCAACCTCAGTCTTTTTGCCATTAAACAAAATCAAATATTGCTGTGAACGGAATTCAGTTTATCAGATCATATGATCACCAGATATGTCTTAAATATTAATTTCATTTTTGTATTCGTTTGTCAATGTTTGCATTCATTAAAATTTGATTTTCATAATCACAACTTAAATAAGTAATTTTTCTATTTTATCAAGAGTATGTGAAGTTCATTGAGAGTAAATATGATTCAATGGAGATCCCAAGAACTTATTGAAGCTCTTAAGATATTTTGTACAGATCAGGTCACTTTTTTTAATGATTCAATATAATTTTTGAATAATGGGTCTTTAAAGTCTATAATTTAATACATTCGGAATCCAATGAAAACTTCATCTGATGCCTTTCCTTGAAGATAGTCAATGCTCATTAATATGCTTTCTCGAATTATCCCGCCGATTCAGTTAGTTATCAAATCGGATTTAATGGCTTACTTCTGTAAATCAAATTTTTGAATCAATCAAGAAATGGGTGAATGATAACACATAGGGATGAGTTACTTCTACAGCTATGAAATGTGTTCGGTGGTCTTTCATAGATTCCGGTGACTTTCCTAAGATTAAAGCTGTAGGATTAATCAAGACTCTGACTAATTTCAATTCAATTATCTTCTCGAATGGCAGATGTGGATTCAATCTTAGTAATCGAAGCTTCTTTGCATCCATTTACAAATGAATGGATGATTTGACTTGTAAGGTGCCGTTAAAATTTTAATATCAAAGGTAATTAATTAAGTTCATTGTAAAGTGTTGGATCAAGCACCAGGTAACGCAAACGTGCCAATTCACAATGAATTTCTGATCCTCGGTGATTTACGAATAAAAGATACACAACTTAATATTTCATTTAATCTTTCAAATTATTAATAAATTTTCTAGATCCATTCAAATGAGAGTAATTCACTGTATAACACAGCCATTGTATTTAGCGCTTATTTTTCAATAATGGCTTTACAAGTTATGTTGATAAGATCAATATTAAGCATCCTTTTTCTCATTCATCCAATAATACAGTAATAAAGGAAGAGAAGTCGATTATTCAATAACTACCAAAAATCCAAGTATCCAAAATGTATAACATTAAATATTCAAATACTTGGTATTAAAATACTTCAAAATTCAATTCAAATCAATCGATTTGAACTTTTTTCCTGGACAATTTAAAGCTCGATGCTTTTTTATGCTGTCATTGAGAACAGAAATTCATATCAATACATTTATTTAGATAACAAATTAATCCTCAATCCAACAGATTATTATTATTAATGTTTCAAGAAATGTGTGAATGCCTTACAAAAGGCGCTTCAATGATGTTATGACTTGAAATGATATCATGAAATCAATTCAAAGATCATTTTAAACCTAAGAAGTACAAATAACCGGCAGTTCCTCTAAAATTTTCTGGTTAAAGATTTAAAGATAAGATAAAAGTTAGTTAACCCAGATTCACCCAAAAACTTTAGAAAAGCAAATGGAGTGTGTTCGAACCCACAAGATTAATTGTGATCACTACAATATTACAATATCATTACTTGTCAGATTCATTACATTTTTCACTTCTAGAACCAAAATAAATCTGCACTCACAAGCTGCAACACATTACATTAACATGTACCATGTCCATTATGTGAATTGTGTATTTATAAATTGAGCCATACGGTTTGAATTGCCAAATAATCAAATTTTTTACGTCAATCCAAACAAAGTGTTTAGATAATGATGTAATAACTAAGGTTTTGAACATCATATTAATAAAACAGCTTAACAAGCCTGAAGTTAAAAAGCTTGAAAAATATTTTGAGCTTTTCATCCAGGATATTATAGAGTATTTTGTAACTTGAACCCAATTTTATTAGTGGGTTATATATGGGTATTATTAGTTTATTATCAACGGTTTTGGTGGGCTCACTGTGTCATTGGTTTACAAAGAAACGCATTTAACACCAATCATAGACATTAAGTCAGTGCTTGACAAAAACTTCAATTTGCAATGTAAATAAAAATTATTTCAATTTGTTTACAGACTAACCCATTGTGTCAATTAAAACATCATCAGTTATTTGCAAGAATAGGATTACACTGATGCCTAACTTAGGCAGACTCAATCTATTGTTAACTTTTCAAACAAAGAGACGAAATAGACAATCACACACTGGACTTAAATTAAAATTAATTAGGTAAACTTTGTGAAAATTATCTGAAGAGGCCAATTGTAAGCAGTTAGCAGATTATAATGTTAACACATTCCTAATTCTTGTCATCGCCTATTCGTGAAAGATACTTAAGACGATGTTTCGTAGGATTACGGGTCAGTATGCAATATGACCAAATAAAAATTGATTGGTTTGGATAATAAAATTTTGTTTACTTTCTATTAAAACCTAATTCTTTAGACTTTCCAACAGATTAACTGAAATAGAACCAATAGATGTCGCTAGATAATCGCTAAATACAATTTGCTAACATTTATTTTTAGTTGCTTGGTGACGCTTTTGAGAAGAGTCTTAGGCGCCATTAAACAATGCTTATGCATGATGCAACATTTAAAACAAGTATCAAAATAACTGAAGAAATCTCATATTTCAAAGTTCATTTAGTTACATTGATTTATCCGACAAGTGCCTTTTTCACATACTATCATTGAATTTACTGTTGTTTCATAAGTTTAAATATAAAATCTTTCTAATTGTTTACTAAATCTTGTATTTCCTTGTATTCTGTTTCGCCATGACTGATCTAAATGGGTCTTCTAATCAAACTTTGGAAGTTTCCGAGTCTGCTGATGAATTGACGATCATAAATAGATCAAAGACTTACCATGTCTCCAAAAAGTTCATTTGTTCATCGATACCATATTTTGAGAAAATGTTTTGCTGTGATTTGTTGGAAGCGAAAGAAAACACAGTTCAATTGGATCTTGATGAACACAGTTTTACTTGTATACTTAATTGGATTCAATCTGACTCTCTTCAAATTAAGATGGAAAACATTATTGCCTTGTTTGATGTAGCCGATTATTTAATGTTGAACGATCTATCAAATGATTGTTACTCTTATTTTCATGCAAATTTCACCATTGAACATCTTCCCATTATTATTCCTCAAGTGACTAAAACATCTAAACTGATCAACTCTGGTGCTTTAAACACATTCATCTGTCGTCATTTTTTGAAAATTGTTAAAACTTCTAAATTTCTGAATTTTCCAGTTGAAACAGTAGAGTACATCTGCAAATTAGACTTGATGATTTCTTCAGAATACCAAGTTCTTGAGGCAATTAATGATTGGATTAAAGTTAAAGCTGATGACAGAAAAAAATATCTTCTTCGATTATTAAAATGTATTCGTTGGTGTTATGCTGAAACCGATATTTCATCTAAAATTATGGAAGTTCCTTATATCGCAACAATTCAAGATATTAAAGAAATTTTGTGTTCTCCTGGTAATTGTAAACTTAAGTGCACTTCCAAACGCTCTGATCAATGTTTGTTGGTGTCCATTCAGAAAATTGATGACATGGTTCTTAGTTTAAGAGTTCTGCAGTCACAATCTTGGTTACCTGTTGGTATTTTTAATTTAGATGATTCTATGTCACTAGAATTGGTTCATGGAGAGAACATATCAGATGTTTTATATGATTGCGGGACCAAAGGAGTGCGAATTGATTGGGAAAGCAAGAAATTCTGTTGGCTCAATTTTGAAAGTGACAAATCATATTATCTACAGATTAATAAACTGATTGTCTGTAGCCAGATTGCATCAAGGTAAGTTTTTTTATATGCTTTCTAGAATCATTTTTTCATTCGAGTTTTTTTATCAAATTGACTTACATTTTTTTTGCATTGCAGCAAGATATGCTACGTGGAAAATAGTCGCGAAGAATTTGCTGATCCATTCATTGAACTTTTTCGTCTACACTCACTTCCAAAAAACAATCCTACTCTTTTCCCCAATCGTGGATCGCGTGACAGGGATGACGCCGCGCCTGGTAGGGAACAACCTAATAGGGAAGAGCCTGCTGGGGAACAACCTGGCAGGGACGACCTTGAGATAGTCTGGGGCGATGAGCCTAGGAATAACCGTCGTATGGGCTTCGCTGAACGAGCTTCATATTTTTCTAACTTAGCTTGGGATCTATTTGATCCTAACAATGCAAGACGAATTGAGTCTATCAATTTTTCTGCTGGTCAATTCTATCCAACCATCCGCTTCAACCGTCGATCTTCAACTCGTCAAGTCACAGCTTCTGTCACTGCAAAAGATGATGGGAGACTGCTGCTCGAGTCTGAAGGTAAATATATTGTGGTTGGAAAAAGTAACGTTGAAAAGTTTTACGCTCTTTTTCCCGTTCGTAATCATGAATGGTTTAAGGTAAAAAATTATGTCAATTATGATGAAAGATCTTTTATCGCTACAGTTTTAGGGCCCAATATTTTTATTTTGACAACGAAACTGAAATTTATTCAATTTAATTATAAAACCCAAGCATTTAAAAAGACTGCACCATTCAAAGGTAGCGAATTGAAATTTTTGGATTTAATCATCACTTCTCGTCAAGACAACGATAATAAAATAGTTTTGATCGATAAATCGTGTGGAAAAATCCACATTTTCAACATTGACAGTCAAACCTGGACTGAAACTAGCATCAGTAATCGTGCGCCGAAACAAAATGATCCAAAGGATTGCATTATGACGGCAACCTCAGTCTTTTTGCCATTAAACAAAACCAAAAATTACTTTAGACGAAATATAGTTTATTAGATTATTTGATCTTCAGATGTGTCGTTAAAATTAGTTTCAATTTTGTATTCTTTTTTTAAATTTTTGCATTCAATAAAATTTGCGTTTCTCAATCTTAACTGAATCAAATCGTTTTTCAATTTAATCAAGAGGACTTGAAATGCGATAAAGCGTTTTCATAATTCAATTCAGATCTGTGTGTTTTTATATTTTTGCCATTCCATTTTTCAATCATAGTCATGTAAGTTGTTATTGTGGAACATTTGTTAAATGAAATTGAATCTGAATCTTTAAGCTTAATTGTTTTTTTTATCAAATCATTTGAATCAATTTCAGCTCTACCCAGCCTCGTTCAAAGAAGAAGGATGGAATATCTGTTTGACTGTCAACTTTGAATTCGCATCAAAAAAAGATGATTTAGTTATTTTAGTCAAAAAATCGTCAGGAAAGTTGCTTATTCTCTGCATTAATCAGAATGAATGGATTGAAAAATATCACATTGTGAATATGAAATCCAACCTTAGTATAAACAAGATGCTAACTTTGTAATGACAATGAACCATTTAGTTTCACTTTAGGCCCTAAATTTAAGACTATCAGCTGTGAGTTCATCACTTTACTTAACGCTAATGCATTTGCAATATTTCAGTTCGTGGAAAATTATATTTACTATTCGTTATAGTCGTATCTTCGCTCTTTCAACTGAAATCTTTCATTCAAACAAATTGCAGCTGAAATACAAATGAACCTAAGAACTCAAAATACATTTCTGTCTCCTGGTCATTCGTCATCAGGAGAATAGCAATTTATTTTTAATTTGTCTAATAATATTCTGAACCCTTTATTCGAAGAAACTTTGCATGGTTGAAATTTGTTTCAATTTTGTCTCCTTTTTCAGGAACCACTCCTTATGAGCACATCTTTCTTGCAATTAGAGCTACAGATCTATCACCCAGTCCTAAATAATTTACGATATAAGAAGTGAATGCTATAAATTGAAAAATTAATTGCATGTATTCAGAATATTCCTAATTGCATTCAAATGCAATTACTTCAGCAATGCAATGGAGACATTTTATTTTTTCATTTCCAATGAAATAGCATTACAGTCACTATTTAAACAATGGATCACAATAGAAGTAGCATAAATTATCTCCCAACCGTGTGCTGTAATTGCATCATCTTGTTCATGGCAAATTGTGTATAATTTAAAATACCAATGTAAGTTTATTCCTTGAATCTTTCATCTTTATAATGTATTTATTTTAGAGCTTGAGGACGTTTGAACAAACATGGACTTCATCAAAAGCTAGTTTTAAACAATTAAATTCATAGGAACGTTAATAGCAACACAATTGTATTAATCTCATATGTGTTTATAACAAATATTTTTGATTCGAAACTCAACTTTACACCAAAAAGATTGAAATTGAGGCCAACACTTGTAAGATAATACAATAGTAGTATGTAGCAATAGTTTTGAACCACGGAACAGTAAATTTTGTCTTGCTTTACATTAGACTATGGAATGTGTTCAAACAAATTTTCAAGATCAGTTTTATTTTTCAGCTATTGAACTTAAATATTGGTCTTCACAAGGATACAACTATATAATAACATTTAATGTATTCTGATTTCATGGTCATTACATTAATTGTGTATAAATGAATCAATGTGATTTGAATAAAAAAATAAACAATTTTGACAGTCCAACAAAAATGATGTAATTGTTTTCATCGACACGAGACAAACCTAGACTTGAAGAGGTTAAAATAAACGGTTTTTATTTTCATTTTTCTGGTTAAAGATTTAAAGATAAGATAAGGTGTTATGTAACTTGAACCCAGATTCATTAGTAATCAACGGTTTTGGCGGGTTCACTTTGTTAGTGGTTTACAAGCAAAGAGTAAAGAAGCTTCTTTGCTCTTTGTTTACAAGGGAAAGCATTTGAACGATCAATCATAAACATTAAGTCAGTGCTTATTATAAAGTAATATTAATTTGAAATGTGGCTAAAATTTTCAGTTTGTTTAAACATAATTCATTGTTTCAAATAAAACATCTCAGATTCAGTAAAACTTCATTTGGATAGGATTTTGTGCAACATTTAATATCTGTAAAATTTTCGGTTGAACACTTTCCTTTTGCAGTCAAATGGATCAAGCTTTGTCGACATTTAAAAATAAATTTCACCTCACTTCATTCACTTCAATTGGCTATTTATCCAGATATAAGATGGAACCTGATTCTACAATCATGAATTTTCATGTCCCTTCGATTATATCCGTTGGTGTCATTCCTTTGAGAATTACTGTATGGAAAAACAAGTAACGTGAGTTAATAAGATATTCACTTTATTTCAAATCATTCGTTTGTTCCTGAAACACCTGTGCTTGATGTTTCAATCTGCTTTCCCTATTACCAAATTGTTTTAAAAATAGGGCTAAAGGGACAAAAAGCTCAGTCAGACCCTTTTTGCTCAGTAATGTAATTACCCTTCTATCGATAATTACATTTCTGGACAAAGTAGACGATAATAATTTAGGTTTGTGCCTAAAAGTTCGCTATCAAGACCCATACAATAAGGTTTGCGCTTAACAAGCGCTTAATAAAAGCTCTCTAACAAGCCACATAAAATTAGGTTTGCGCGCGAAAGCTATCTGCCTTTTAGCAAGAAACAATAAATAGGTCTGTAGCTTAACAATTCTCATCATTTGTATCTCAGTTTTTGTTTGCAACACTAAAAGTCAGTTAGTTACATTAGTTTCTCTGTAAAGAGTCTTGTTAAAGAACCTGGTAAAATTCATTTATTGATAATAAACTTGTTTCCTCTTATAATTTTCAAACTTTGTTCCTTTTAAATTATTAGTTTGATTCCCGATGGCTGATTCCAATGAATCTTCTGATCAAATACCGGAAGTTTCTGAGTCTGGTGATAAATTGACGATCATAAATGGATCAAAGATTTACCGTGTCTCTAAGAAGTTCATTTGTTCATCGATACCTTATTTTGAAAGTATGTTTTGCAGTGATTTGTTAGAAGCCCAAGAGAACAAAGTGGAATTGGATCTTGATGAACACAGTTTCGATTGTGTACTCAATTGGATTCATTCTGATTCGGTTCAAATTGAAATGGAAAGTGTTATCACCTTGCTTGATGTAGCCGATTATTTGCTGTTGAACGATTTATCAGAGGATTGTTACTCATACTTTCATGCGTACTTCACTATTGAACATCTTCCCGTTGTTATTCCTCAAGTGACTAAAACATCTAAACTGATCAACTCTGGTGCTTTAAACACATTCATCTGTCACCATTTTTTGAAGATTGCTAAAACATCCATATTTCTAAATTATCCAGTTGAAACATTAGAGTACATCTGCAAATTAGACTTGATGATTTCTTCTGAATACCAAGTATTGGAGGCAATTAATGATTGGATTAAATTTAAAGCTGGTCTTAGAAAAGAATATCGTCTTCAATTATTAAGATGTATTCGTTGGCGTTATGCTGGAACTGATATTTCATCTAAAATTCTGGATGTTCCATACATCGCAACAATTCAAGATGTTGATGAAATTTTGTGTTCTCCTAGTAGTTCAAAACTTGAGTGTACTTCTAATCGCACTAAACAATGTTTATTGATTTCCATTCAGAGGATTAATGATATGTGTCTGAATATAAGAGTTCTTCAGTCACAATTTTGGTTACCTATTGGTTATTTTAATTTAGATGATTCTATGTCACTAGAATTTGTTCATGGAGAGAACATATCAGATGTTTTATATGATTGTGGAACCAAAGGAGTGCGAATTGATTGGGAAGGCAAGAAATTCTGTTGGCTCAATCTTGAAAGTGACGAATCTTATTATCAGCAAATCAACAAACTGATTGTTTCCAGTCAGACTAAATCGAGGTAAGTTTTCTTAAGTGCCTTCTATAGTCATTCTTTCAGTTAAGCTCTTATCCTTCGACGCTTTCTTAAAATGCAATTTAGCGTTTAATTTATTTTCACTGCTATCATTTCAGATATTAAATTCTAATCGAATCTTTTCTATTGAATTTCAGTACCATTCTCTACTTGGATGATAAATGTTTTGGGAATGCTGATGATCCATTAATTGATCTTTTTCATCTTCGCTCGTCAGCTACTTCTAGGCGACTTCCTACTGTTTCCTCCGCCTCTCATTCGCGTGCTTTTGTTGACCCCTGGGACGATTGGTCTGACTGTGGATGTTCTAGCTATCCTAGTCGTGTAACCCGCCGTAAATTACCACTTGTTTTGCTCAATGATTCTGAAAATGAAGACGTGCCAACCTCAGTTCCTTCAGAAAATGATGAAAAGTTACTTCTCGAATCTGATGGTGAATTCATTGTGGTTGGAAAAACTAAAGATAACAAGTTTTACACTCTTTTCCCAGTTCGTCATCCTGAATGGTTTAAGATGGAAAATTATGTGAATTATGACCAAAGATCTTTCATTGCCACTATTTTAGGGTCCAATATTTTTATTTTGACTAAGAAACTGAAATTTATTCAGTTTGATTATAAAACCCAAACATTTAAACAGACTGTTCCATTCAAAGGCAACCAACTTAAATTTATGGATTTAATCATCACTTCTCTCCTAGACAACGATTACAAAATAGTTTTGATTCATAAATCCTCTGGTAAAATTCATTATTTCAACATTGACAGTCAAACTTGGACTGAAACGAATATCAGCAATCGTAAACCGAATCAAACTAATTCTAAGGATTGCATTATGGCTTCAACCTCAGTCTTTTTACCATTAGATAAAATCAAACCTTACTTTTTTCGAAAATCCAGTTCGTTGGACTGATAATTTCAATTATTTGATCATCAAATGTATCTTAAATATCAATTTCATCTCTGTATTCGTTTGACGAATGTATTTAACAAATAAAATTTTCTTATTAAAACTAAAACTAAAAGGCATTTGAAAATTGAAATACAATATAAAAGGACTTGAAATAAGAGTACATAAAAGCATAATTACATGTAGATCTATGCGTTTTCTTACTTTTTATTATCAACTTCTGCCTTTTTGGTCGTCAACTTTTAGCCTTTCTAAAGGCTTCAATCATAGTCGATGCCCATATTGCCATATTCACAGACACAAATAATGATGTAATATCCCAGTTTACATCATCATGATATTTGCTTAACGAACCTTTACTTGAGAAGTTTAAAATAACAATTTTCATTTTTACTTTTCTGGTTAAAGATTCAAAGATAAGATAAAGTGTTGCGTACTTTGAACCCAGATTCATTAGTACATAACCGTTTTTGCGGGTTCACTTTATTAGTGGTTTACAAGTGAAGGCGATTGAACAAACAATCATAGACATATGATCAGTGGTTAACATAAAGTTTAATTTGAAATGTGACTGACAGTCTGTAAGGTTTCCAATTTGTTAAGTTAAATAAGATTACACCGAAAGTTCAGTTAGCTTAATTAACTTTTCGAGATAATTCAAACAATCATTTATTGGTTTAAAATGAATTGAATGGAGATTGAAATTTTTGTGACTCTCCTTAATGTTCAACTAAAGAAATGAGGTTCAATTGCAAATATCAATAACATCTATAAGTGAAAGTCGAAAGAATTAGGTTCAAATAGAAAGAAACACAACACCCAAACCCATGAGGTTATACCTAAATTAATGGTATTTTGGTCAGACTCTGTATTGAAACAGTAGATTAAGTGGCTTTCAAATATAGATGAATTGGCATAGAACCAATAGATGTCGCTAGATAATCGTAACAGATTAATAACATTTAGTTTTGTATCTAAACAAATCACAGCTTTAGCATCTAATCTTAATATTGTAGCGCTCAAGCTAGTTTGTTACATTAGTTTTCATTGTAGAGTTTTGCTTATTGTTGAAAAGAATCTTGCTTAAATAAGCTGGTTCTCTGAAAAACTGTTGTTTCTTCTAATCATACGCGTTGATTTCAAATCTTGAATCCATTAAGCTATAATTTTGATTCGCGATGGTTGATCCTAATAAATCTTCTGATCCAGTACCGGAAGTTTCTGAGTCTGGTGATAAATTGACGATCATGAATAGATCCAAGATTTACCATGTCTCCAAAAAGTTCATTTGTTCATCGATACCATACTTTGAAAAAATGTTTTGCTGTGACTTATTGGAAGGAAAAGAAAACACAGTTCAATTGGATCTTGATGAACACAGTTTCGATTGTGTACTCAATTGGATTCATTCTGATTCGGTTCAAATTGAAATTGAAAATGTTATCGCCTTGTTTGATGTAGCCGATTATTTGATGTTGAATGATCTATCAAAGGATTGTTACTCTTATTTTCATGCCAATTTCACCATTGAACATCTCCCCATTGTCATTCCTCAAGTGACAAAAACATCTAAACTGATCAACTCTGGTTCTTTAAACACATTCATTTGTCGCCATTTCTTGAAGATTGTTAAGACTTCTATTTTTCTGAAGTATCCTGTTGAAACGGTAGAGTATATCTGCAAATTAGACTTGATGATTTCTTCTGAATACCAAGTTCTTGAGGCAATTAATGATTGGATTAAATTTAAAGCTGATGACAGAAAAGATTGTCTTCTTCGATTATTAAAATGTATTCGTTGGTGTTATGCTGGAACCGATATTTCATTAAAAATTATGGTAATTCCATACATCGCAACAATTCAAGATATTAATGAAATTTTGTGTTCTCCTGGTAATTGTAAACTTGGGTGCGCTTCCAATCGCACGAATCAATGTTTGTTGGTGTCCATTCAGGAAACTGAGGATTTGATTCTGAGTATAAGAGTTCTGCAGTCACATTCTTGGTTACCTGTTGGTAATTTCAATTTTGATGATTCTATGTCGCTAGAATTTGTTCATGGAGAAAACGTCTCAGATATTTTATACGATTGTGGAACCAAAGGAGTGCGAATTGATTGGGAAGCTAAGAAATTCTGTTGGCTCAATTTTTACAGTGACGATTCTTATTATCTTCAAATTAACAAACTGATTGTTTGTAACCAGATTGCATCAAGGTAAGTTTCCCAAAACTTGGCTATAGCCATTTTTCAAGTCAATTCTTGCCTTTCAACGCTTTCTGAAATAGCAAGTTGGCGTTTTATGGCAAGTTTGTCATAAAATACTGTTATTGGTGCAATATGTTGAATATTAAATTTCCATCGAATTTTTCTTTTGTATTTCAGTACCATTTTATACTTGAAAGATAATTTTGGTGGATGTGTTGATGATCCATTCATTGAACTTTTCCATCTGCGCCTCTTTCCTACTTCTAGGCGAAGACATATTGAAGATGGTGCGTGGGCGCATGAATGGGCTGAAGACTTTGACTTCTGTGTTAAATCTCCGAAATGCCACGGTGCAGTTAAGATTTCTGTAGAAAATGATGAAAGATTGCTTCTCGAATCTGATGGTAAATTCATTGTGGTTGGCAAATCTAAAGATAAACACTTTTACGCTCTTTTTCAAGTTCGTCATCTTGAATGGTACAAGATGAAATATTATGTGGATTATGATGAAAGAACATTTATCGCTACTGTTTTAGGGTCCAATATTTTCATTTTGACACAGAAACTGAGGTTTATTCAGTTTAATTATGAAACCAATGTATACAAAAAGACGGCTCCGTTCAGAGACAGCGAACTGGAATTCGTGGATTTAATCATCACTTCTCAACAAGACAACAATAAAATACTTTTAGTCCATAAATCCTCTGGAAAAATTCACTATTTCAACATTGACAGTCAAACTTGGACTGAAACGAGCATCAAATATCGCAAGCCGGATCAAATTGATTCAAATGATTGTATTATGACTTCGACCACTGTCTTTTTACCATTAGATAAAATCAATCATTGTTTCAAACCAAAATTCAGTTCATTGAACCTATAACTGCAATTATATGATAATCAGATGTGTCATTAATAATTTTTATTTGTATTCGTTTTTCAGATGTTTTTATCAAATAAAGTTTGCTTATTGAATTTAAAACTATGATATATTAATATCAATATTTATTTGAATACGAGGCTTTTGCTAATTTGTGCGAAAGATTGGCTGTGTTTTTGCATTGAATCTGAAAAACCAACTCAGTGTTTTATTAAAGTATGAATGAAAAAATAAACATAAACTCAAGTTTGAACCCTTGAAATTATACTAACTGTTAAATATTTCCACTTATTCAGTGTTACATGCTAAAACTTTAGTACACTCTGAGTTTTGCAATTCATTAGCTACGAATTAGTTAACCCTATTTGAACAGTAAAATGCCAAACAACTTTAGCCAATTCAAGATATCATAACTCAAAGGATGTAAAAATGACCAAAAATACCACATGATATGTGAAATATGATGCAATATCTTTGTTTTTGAACATCATGAGATCAGTTAAACAAACCAAAGAAGCTTTTAATCAATGGCTTTCATTTAAACCTTTCTGGTTAAAGATTTGAAGATGTAGGGCTAAGAAACTTGAACCCAAATTCATTTAAAGACAACTTGTGGAGACAAGATATCGTCTCGAATTAAATTTACTGCAAACAAATTATTTGAAAAGGGATTCTATTGCACTTTTTCACTAATTGACCAGAAGATCACTGAAACCAAGAGAAAGTCTGCGTCCAATTTCATCATTTAAGTGTTAATCAGTCCCTTTGATTGTATTACTGTTTGCTTAACTTTGTAATAAGGACGAAACAATTAAAAAACCAATGAAATGATTAGTTCACAATTTACAGTCTGATAGGTATTACAGAAAAGGCTTGAGAATTATAAAAATCGATTGATTCATAGATATTGAAGCTTAAACCACATAGTCTATGATCGATCTTTAAATCAGAATCAATCAAGATCTCTCACTTTATTAAACCACATTTTCATTCGGTGTTCATTGTTCTGCAGGGTGTGGGTAGGGAAAGCGCCTCCTTTTGATGGTCAGAAGACTTTAAATTTGTTTACATTTCGCAATTTAATTCTGCGCATATTAACCAAGCCCCTTTTCCCTTTATTTTTACAACCAGTACATTCGTTAGTTAAAAGGTTGTGTTTAATTGTAAAGTACTCTAAACTTATTCTAACCTGGTGATAAATTATAAAAAAAAGTTGTAATTTTCAAAGTATTAATTGTGCTTTCGTTAGTCTAAATCATCATGGATAAAGAAGACGAAAATTGTGATGCAAAATTGCAAATCGTGAATAGAACAAGAAAATATAATGTTTCCAAAAAGTTCATTTGTTCATCTGTGCCTTACTTTGAGAAAATGTTTTCTTGTGATTTGTTGGAATCAAAGGAAAACAAAGCTGAAATGGATTTCGACGAACATGCATTTGATGCTATTCTCAACTGGATTCATTCTGAGTTTTTCTTCACCCAAATGGATTATGTGATTAGTTTTTACGAGGCAGCTGATTACCTGATGATAAATGATAATTTATTAAAACCATGTCTGTCTTATTTCCATGAAAACTTCACTCTTGAACATCTCCCAATTGTTCTACCACAAGTCACCAAAGTGTCTAAGCTGATCAATTTAGGATCAATTGAAAACTTCATTTGTCGTCATTTCTTAATGATCAACAATACAAATATTTTCCTGAATTACCCAGTTGAGGTAATTGAATCTATTCTCAAATTAGATCTAATGGTTTACTCTGAATATCAAATTTATGAATCAATCATGAAATGGGTGAATAAGAAGGTTGATTCTCGAAAAGCTTTACTTCCTCAACTATTAAAATCTGTCCGTTGGTCTTATATGGATTTTGGTGATATTATCAAGATAAAGGATAATGAATTAATCAAGACTCTACCGAATTTAGATTTTATTGAATACTATGTTTGCTTCAATCGATGCAAACAAAACTTCTTTATATCTATCCATCAAATAGATACATCAACACTAAGAATAAATGCGTTTGATAATGATTTTTTCTGTTTCATGATTGGTGATTTCATTCAAGATGATTCAATGTCACTTGAATTTGTTCATGGAGAACACAATTCAGATATTTTATTTGATTCTGGGACAAAAGGTATTCGAATTGATTGGATTAAAAAGACTTTTCGATGGCTCGACTTCAAAGTTAAGGGTAAAACTTATTACAGTAAATTCATTAAATTCATTGTAAAGTTTTCCCCAAGTCTCAGGTATGGTTATATATTTATATAAATGTAAATATTTATCATTCATAATCTCTTAGAGTCGAGCTTTTAGGTTTTGAATGTAGATGCCAATTTATTTTCTGTTGTTGAATCTTTATTATCACTAAATGCGGTTAGTTTTAGTAGACCCCTTCCCTCTATTAAATGTGAATACGATAGAAGAAATTATTCAACAGAAAATATCATTTTAATAAACTTTGTAAATATACTTAGTTTATTAAATATTTTATTTAGAGCACATTCATAAGATGAATGGCAGTAATTTTTTCATCAGATTCAGTTTTAGTTTATTAGCCTTGTCTTGTTTCTGTCTGGGCTCCTATGCTATGAGTTCCATGGAATTGTGTTATGATAAATTCAATCTTTCAAATTAATATGTGATTACAATGTCACAAGACTTTTAAGATGCTTTTCGATGAAAACGGTTGATATTAAATTAAAATCACAAAATATTCAACATTAATGTTATCAATAAAATCACATAAGAAAAGGTTCATTCTAACGGTTTATTCTCGATTTTCTTCCTCGAATTCAATGTTTCAACGTATGTAACAAGAGGTGAATAAATTGACGTGCAGATTCCTTTTAAGTTTATTCGTCTCCATTTCTTTGAGTATATTAACGACAGTCTGCTATTTTAAAGACAGCAGAATTTATTGTTAGCTATTCAATCTGTAAAACTTGTGCGGCTAGTATGAATTAACATCTGAATTATAATATAAGATAACACTTCTAATAAGACCTCAAATAATGCAATTCGATTCTTTTCTATTCTTTGATTTTATCTTTCCCGATTCTTCAGAGTAAGTGACGATTGTTATTTTGAAGACAAAGATGCAAAACTTCCTGATTCGATTTCCAGTGAAGAAAAACTGCTGCTTGAATCCAATGGTAAATTCATTGTGATTGGTAAAACTACAGACGAAAAGAAATTGTTTGGTCTTTTCCCGGCTAAATGTCCAAGTTGGTTCAACAATTATAGAGATCATGAACGCTCTTTTAAAGCCACTGTTTTGAACGATGTTGTTTATATATTGACAAAGGATCTTGAATTTATTCAATTCAATTATGAAACTAAATGCTTCGATAAGAGTGAACCATTCAAAGAGGAAAAATGGGATTTCAATGATTCAATCTTAACTTCACATCAAACAAACGACGATAAAGTTATTTTGGTAAACAAATCAAGTGGAAAAGTGTATGTTTTTTGCATTAAGCAGAAGAAATGGATTGAGAAATATCGTATTATGACTGTGAAATTTTTTTCCGACAGTTCCTGTGCCCACGTTAATAAGTTAGTTGCCTTTACTTCAACATTTTTACCGATGAAAGTTATCGAACCTTTGTATGATCAAAGTGATAATTAATTTTATGACTACCAATGTACCTTTAGCTCCTCTTCAAGCCCTAAAATTTAGGTTATCATTAGTGAGCTTTATCATTCTTCATAATGCTGATGTATTTTTAATAATTTAGTGAATGAAAATTATATTTACTACACATTCCAGTCGCATCTTCACCCATTCAATTAAACTCTTTTACGCAAACAAATCGCATCTGTAATACAAATGAACCTAACGAAACTGTAAGAATTTACAATGTATAACTGTTTCTCGATCATTGCCATCCAGTTGATAGCAAAAATTATTTACTTTGTCTATTTATATTCCACTTTTCTGATTTTCAAGTAAATGTCTTTGTTGTAATGTACCACAATTAAAACCTTATCATATTTTATTTTCTCATTTGATTATAAAAAGTTATTTAAACTGACAATAGCTTGTAACTTTTTTCTGAACAGATGCACATATCTAACATTCAGTTCAACGTAATTTATCATGTCAGAAGTGAAAGTCTACATTGAGCCAATGGACCAAAATGAAAGTAGCTTAAATAGTCTACCAACCGTTTGCTGTAATTAATACATCATCTTGTTCATGTTAACTTTGTGAATAATTTGAAGTACCAATGCAAGTTGATTTTTTAAATCTTTCATCTTACAAATCATCTTTGTTAATAATTAATCCTAACAAACTGAAACTTGCGAACAATTCGTTATTTTGAACAAATATCAACTTTGAGTTAAAGGTTAGTTTTAAAGATTGAATGTAAAACATTAAGATTAATACATTTACATTTATGAATATTTTTTATTTCCTTCAACGGGGAACCAAAAAGATGCGTAATTGTGCAAAAATAGCATTAGTGAACCACTGGAACTTTTCAATAGACAATCCAATGTGTTCCAACATATATTAAAAAATCATCTTAAGTGTCTTCCATGCATAGATGAATTGGAATAGAACCAATAGATTTCGCTAGATAATCACAAAATTTAGTTGGATTAAAAACATTGAGTTTTGTAACTGAACAAATCACATCTTTAGCATCTAGTCTGTATTTTGTGGCGCTGAAGTTAGTTTGTTACATTAGTTTTCTGAAAAATCTTGGTTAAATATTCTGGTTCTCTGAAAAACTGTTGTTTCCTCTAATCATGAGCGTGAGTGAATGCAATCACAGTCGTCCAATAATTTAACTGAACATTTGTTCGATTGCATTGGGTAATGCCTCAAGTATTTGACTCTACTATTTGCAGTATCAATAAGTGTTTTTGTCAATCATTTTCTTCGTTTTCAGCACTATCCGACCTTCCAACTGCCTGTAGTTTAAGTGCAAAAATGATGATCAAGAAAAATAGTTTGAACGCCTTTTTAATAACTAAAATTTCAAAATGTATTTGACAATGTGAGTCTGAACAGAAATCTTATTCAATGTAATATTCAATTGTAATAAATTTGTATTTTATCCAGTGTGAAAGGAAAGAGTTGAATTTTTCATTTTAATATTCCTCTCATTTAACAATTACTTTATTGTATTCAATAGGCAATTCTTTTCGAACAAATGTGGTCGTCATCTAAAGTCAGTTTTGAACGGTCAAATGCACACTAAACATTAGGATGAATAGATATTTTTCAACAGATATTTCGGACCAAATTCAATTTTTATTAAGAAGAAATGTAACCAATTGTCACCATTACAATTAAACAATGAATTGATTATAATATTTGCATGAACAATGAAATTGTTTAACATATTTTGTTAAATCAAATCATTACACATAAATTGATAAAACGCAATTCCAAAATATTGATACTCAAGCAATGTAAAAATGATCAAAAATATCCAGTTAATGATGCAATATCTTTGTTTTTGACATCATGAGATCAGTGAAACAAACTTGAACCTAAACCTAAATTGAGCCCAGATTATTAATCAACGGTTAAGCTCTTTGACGCCTTTCCTTTGTTGCAAGAAAACGAGGGGAAAGAATCAAAAAGGGAAAAGCAAATTGAACCACCAATAGCAAGCGTTAGATAATTAACAACAGTTACTTTCTTTACAACCTCATAACAAAACATTTCTGGTTCTACAAAGTGTTTTTATATAATCTTTAATAATATTAAACTCCTTTACGCCAAATCTTTCATGATCTATCATGGAAACTGATCCAGATAAAGTGCTTATTGTGAACCGATCGAAAAAGTATCGTGTTGGTAAACGTTTTATCTGTTCCCGTGTGCCTTATTTTGAAAAAATGTTTTCTTGTGATTTGTTGGAATCAAAGGAAAACAAAGTTGTTCTTGATTTTGATGAAAAATGTTTTGGTTTGATTCTTCATTGGCTCCAGTATGAACACATATTAATCAAAATGGACTGCGTGATTGCAGTTTACGATATTGCTGATTACTTGGTGATGGATAAGCAACTGCTAACATATTGCATTAACTATTTCGATGTCGACTTTCAGAAAAATTTCTCTGTTGTAAATATTCCAGTTGTTATCCCTCAAGTTTCTGCAGTGTCCAAGTTAATGAATTCTGATCAACTCAATTCGTTTATTTGCCGTCACTTTTTGAAAATAGTTCACACAACTGTTTTTCCAAGCTACTCAATTGAAACATTGGAATACATATTGAAATTGGATTTGCTGGTGCTTTCAGAATATCAAGTTTTCGAAGCGATAGTCACTTGGATTGAAAATGATCCTGACTCAAGAATACGCAAGCTTGCAGATCTTTTTAAACATATTCGTTGGTGTCATTTATCTGTGGAGGATTTGAAAAAAATAAAGTTACACGATTCAACTAGACATTTGCCATATTTCCAATCAATCGTTTGCTCATCAACTACTTGTGCATTTGGTTCATGTGACTTCAATCGCAGTAATCAAACTTTTTTTATCATAGTTTATGAAATGGGTGAAGCTTGGTTAAAAATTAAAGTGCTTGATGCTGAGTTTAAATGTTTACTCAATACACATGTTACATTCGATATCTCAATTTCACTTGGATTCATATACGACGAACACGTTACTGATATTTTTTACGATTCAGGGAAAAGAGGAATTCGTGTTGATTGGATCAGAAAAAAGTTCAGATATCTCCCAGTTTCCAATTACTACAAGCAGATTTATAATATGTTTGATAAATACCTACCAAAGTTCAAGTAAGTCAGTTGGTTCTTTTCTATCAATCACAATTTTTATAAAATTTCTTTAATCTAAAGAGTTTCTTTTTCTTTCTTCACCCTTTCTCAAGCTGGAAATCTTTCTCTATAGAAGATCCAGGAACAAAATTATACTCCGATCATACTGAGCCCATTGAAGAGAAGATGTTCATTGAAGTTAACCACAAAATCTTCATTCTTATCAGAGACAGATCAAGCCGCAAATTTTTTTGCGTCAAGCCTGATCATGAAAGCCTTCATGATGCTTATAAAGTCAAGAACCAAACTTTCCTTGCAACTGCGTTAAATAACTGCATATATATCTTAACAAATGACGCTCATTTTATTGAGTTCAACACTGTTGCTCGAGCCTACAGGATAAGTACGCGATTTAAGGACTCAAAGATAATAATTAAAGATTCAATTCTAACTTCGCATCAAGATAAAGTGATTATTTTACATAAGTCAACTGGAAAAATTCAAGTATATAACATGACTTTCGAGAAATGGAGTGAATTGGGTCAGATAAAGGATCGTAACACTGATCCCGAAGGAAATGATTTCAACAGAATGCTAACTTTTGGCCCAGCTTTTTTGCCACTTCAAAAACTCAACCTTTTTATGTGAAATTTTTGCGCCAACAAATAATTTTATGATAATCTTTGTTTTTAAGAGACAAATCAGTTCCAAATAATCTCTAGTATTACTTTTTAAGTTTATGACCACTGTCTTGTTATGAATATAAATATCTCTTAGAATTGATCTCGATCAAATTCTACTCTTCGATTATCAAGCTTTTCATCGATTAATCGTATCGGAACAACTCTTGTGTGTTCTAAACTTATTCTATTCTATTATTCTATTCTACAGTCTTACTTTATTTATTTTGAATAAGAAAGTTAACTCTTTTCAAATCTATCTTATCTAGAAATTGTTATTTTATCGATTTATTTTGCTTTATTAGCCTAAATCATCATGGATAAAGAAGATGAAAATTGTGATGCAAAATTGCAAATATTGAATAGAAAAAGAAAATATACTGTTTCTAAAAAGTTCATCTGTTCAACTGTGCCTTACTTTGAAAGAATGTTTTCTTATGATTATTCATCAGCGCCTAAGAAAAACAAAGTGGAACTAGATTTTGATGAATGCGTCTTCAATTCTATCCTCGATTGGATTCATTCTGGATCTTTCTGCATTCAAATGGAGACTGTGATAAGTTTTTACGACGCAGCTGATTATTTGATGATAAACGAACGTTTGCTGCAACCTTGTCTCACTTATTTCCATGAAAACTTCACTGTTGAACATCTTCCAGTCGTTCTAAAGCAGATTACCCAAGTGTCTAAGTTGATCAATTTAGGATCAATTGAAAACGTCATTTGTCGTCATTTCTTGACGATCGCCATTATGGATACTTTCTTGCACTACCCAGTTAAGGCAGTTGAATCTATCCTCAAATTAGATTTAATGGTTTACTCTGAATATCAAATTTTTGAATCAATCATCAAGTGGGTCCTTAAAAAGGTTGACTCTCGAAAAGCTTTACTTCCACAGTTATTAAACTGTATTCGTTGGTCTTACATGGATTTTGATGAAATTTCTAAGGTAAAGGATAATGAGTTAATAAAGGCACTACCTTCAGATTTAGTCAAATCTTCATATTCTGGATTCAATCGCTCCAAACAAAACTTCTTTATATCTATCCATCAAATAGATACATCAACATTAAAATTAAAAGCGTTTGATAATGACCTTTTTTGTTTCACGATTGGCGATTTTACACAAGACGATTCAATGTCACTTGAGTTTGTTCATGGAGAACATATTTCAGATATTCTATTTGATTCTGGAACAAGAGGAATCCGAATTGATTGGGTAAAAAAGACATTTAGATGGCTTCAATTTAAAGTTGCTGGTAAAACTTACTACAGTCAATTCATTAAATTCATTGTAAAGTTTGGACTCAAGTAAGTTTAAGTTGCTTATCATTCTAATTATGCTCAGTTTTAAAATGTATTCTTTGCATCTGATTATTAATTGATTTTTTCATTATATACTCTAATTCAAAACTTATTAATTTATATTCGGCTGTTACTGCTACTTCTACTATCTTATGAGCTCTTAAAATCGCTCTGTTTGATCAGTGTCTGTTGAATCAATTCAATCCCGCATAAATCTTTTCCCTTTTTGAAACTTGCTAGAATTTGAAATTTCTCTTTGTGTTATTTATGCTTTATTCGTAGAGTAAGTTCGTGTTATTTGGATGACAAAGTCGCGAAAGTTCCTTCTCCACTTCACGCTGCAGAGACACTGTTCCTTGAATCTAATGGTAAATTCATTGTAATTGGTAAAACTAAAGACGAGAAGAAGTGGTTTGGTCTATTCCCAGTTAGACATGAAGGTTGGTTCAACCATTATAGAGATAAAGAACACTCTTTTAAAGCCACTGTTTTGGAACCTGTTGTTTATATACTGACAAAGGATCTCGAATTTATTCAATTTAATTGTGAAACTCGGTCCTTCGATAAGAGTGAACCGTTCAAAGAAAAAGGATGGAATTTCAATGATTTAATTTTAACTTCTCAGCCAACAAAGGATGATAAAATTATTTTGGTCCAAAAATCATCAGGAAAATTACATTATTTCTGCATTAATCAGCAGAAATGGATTGAGAAATATCGTATTATGAATGTAAACTTTTGTTCCAACAGTTCCAATGTTGCTGTTGATAAATTAATTGCTTTTACTTCGTCGTTTTTACCGATAAAAAAAATTAAACCTTTGTATAAGCATAGTGCTATTTAACTTTATAATTTCCCGATGTACCTTTAGTTCCACTTTAAGCCCTAAATTTTTAGACAATCAGTTGTGAGCTCCATCATTCTCCATCATGATTGAATTTATTATTCATTATAGTTACATCCACACTCATTCAATTGAACTCTTTCATTCAAACAAACAATTCAATTCAATACAAATGAGCCCAAGAACTTACAATGTATTTCTGTTTCTTGCTCATTACCATTCAGAAACGCAATATATTTTTCTATCTGTCTAATTATATTCCACTATTCAAATATTTAATAAAATTTCTTTAATGTTGTAATTTACCCACGATTAAAACCTTATATTTTATTTTCTCATTTATATTATAAAGCGTCATTTGAACCGACAATAACTTGTAACTTTTGTATGAACATATGCACATATCTAACATTCAGTCCAGCGTAATTTATCATGTCAGAAGTGAAAGTCTCATTTAGCCATTGGAACAAAATTGAAGTATCTTAAATAGTCTACTAGCCATGGTAGATTGATGCTTCAGATTATTCACAATGTAAGTTGATTCTTTGAATCTTTCATCTTAATAGTGCATTCATTATAACAAACTGAAACTTGAAGAGTATTCATTATTGATTTTGAATAAATATGAACTTTGGGTTAAAGGTTAGTTTAAGACAATTGAATGCGTGTAAAACAATAATACAGATAAAAATAGCATAAGTTGAGATCATCGGAAATTTACAATGAACAATCCCTTTGCTTCCAACATATTTTTTCGAGCTCATTTTCAGTTCTATTTTTCACTGGTTGAACTAAAAGAATCAAATATTGATATTCACAAGGATACAATATGTGACATTTAATATGTTCTGAGTCTCACGTTTAACACATAATGTTATTTAATAACCATTATTAAACACAGTGTATTTAAAGATGGACCAATAAGATTTGAAAAGCAAAATAAAAGACGATTTTTGCTGTCCAAATATAAATCATTAATTCAAATGCTGCAAAAATGACCCAAAGATCACACAAATAATGATGTAAATTCAGTTTCATTATCATGAGATCAGTTAAATAAACCTAAACCTTTGAAGCTGAAATTAATGGTTTATTTCGATGTTGACTTTCAGAAAAATTTCTCTGTTGAACATATTCCAGTTGTTATTCCTCAAGTCTCTGTAGTATCCAAGTTAATGAATTCTGATCAACTCAATTCGTTTATTTGCCGTCACTTTTTGAAAATAGTTCGCACAACTGTTTTTTCAAGCTACTCGATTGAAACATTGGAATACATATTGAAATTGGATTTGATGGTGCTTTCAGAATATCAAGTTTTCGAAGCGATAGTCACTTGGATTGAAAATGATCCGGACTCAAGAATACGCAAGCTTGCAGATCTTTTTAAACATATTCGTTGGTGTCATTTATCTTTGGATGATTTGAAAAAAATAAAGTTACACGATTCAACTAGACATTTGCCATATTTCAAATCAATCATTTGCTCATCAACTACTTGTGCATTTGTGTCTGTGACTTCAATTGCAGCAATCAAAGTTTTTGTACAAAAAAACACTTTAAAATAAGATTAATGTATCTTTGCTTTAAAAGAGGATCTTAATCAAAACAAATGATACCATCGATCTCTTAGAAATTGATTAGATACCGAAGTTAGTGATTTTAGTGAGTTGATATCAATTGAATTACACTCTCCGACTATCGATCAATCTTATCGAAACAACTCTAGTGCGTTGGACTAAACTGATCCTATTAATAGTCTTACTTTTTTTTATTTAGAATAAGAAAGTTGACTCTTTTCAAATCTATTATGTTGTGCTTTTGTTAGCCTAACGATTATGGATAAAGAAGATGAAAATTGTGATGCAAAATTGCAAATATTGAATAGAAAAAGAAAATATACTGTTTCTAAAAAGTTCATCTGTTCAACTGTGCCTTACTTTGAAAGAATGTTTTCTTATGATTATTCATCAGCGCCTAAGAAAAACAAAGTGGAACTAGATTTTGATGAATGCGTCTTCAATTCTATCCTCGATTGGATTCATTCTGGATCTTTCTGCATTCAAATGGAGACTGTGATAAGTTTTTACGACGCAGCTGATTATTTGATGATAAACGAACGTTTGCTGCAACCTTGTCTCACTTATTTCCATGAAAACTTCACTGTTGAACATCTTCCAGTCGTTCTAAAGCAGATTACCCAAGTGTCTAAGTTGATCAATTTAGGATCAATTGAAAACGTCATTTGTCGTCATTTCTTGACGATCGCCAATTCCAATATGGATAGTTTCACAGACTACCCAGTTGAGGCAGTTGAATCTATTCTCAAATTAGATTTAATGGTTTTCTCTGAATATCAAATTTTTGAATCAATCATCAAGTGGGTCCTTGCTAAGGTTAGCTCTCGTAAAGCTTTACTTCCACAGTTATTAAACTGTGTTCGTTGGTCTTACATGGATTTTGATGAAATTTCTAAGGTAAAGGATAATGAGTTAATAAAGGCACTACCTTCAGATTTAGTTAAATCTTCATATGTTGGATTCGATCGCACCAAACAAAACTTCTTTGTTTCTATCCATCAAAGAGATACATCAATATTAAAATTAAAAGCGTTTGATAATGAATTTTTTTGTTTCACGATCGGTGATTTTACTCAAGACGATTCTATGTCACTTGAGTTTGTTCATGAAGAACACTCTGCAGATATTTTATTCGATTCTGGAAGAAACGGAATCCGAATCGATTGGATTAAAAGGACATTTCGATGGCTTGACTTTAAAGTTGCCCGTAATACTTACTACAGTAAATTAAGGAAATTCATTGTAGAGGTTCGGGGCAAGTAAGTAAAAGTTACATATAATATCATTTTAAATTTACATAATTCTGCGAAATTGTTATGCTAGAATTTTAAGTTTAATTTCTTTTCCCTATATCATTCATGTCTTATTTGTAGAAGATGCTATTGTTACTTGGAAGACGAAGACGCTACACTTTCTTTTCCGATTTCCTCAAAAGATTACTTGCTCCTTGAATCCAATGGTAAATTCATCGCAATTGGTAAAACTCCCGATGAGAAAAAGTGGTTTGGTATGTTTCCAGCTAGACATGAAAGTTGGTTCAATGGTTATGACGGCCATGAACACTCTTTTAAAGCCACTGTTTTGGACGATGTTGTTTACATATTGACAAAGAATCTCCAATTTATTCAATTCAATTATGAAACTAAATGCTTCAATAAGAGTGAGCCATTCAAAGGAAAAAAATGGGATTACAATGACTTAATCTTAACTTCACATCAAACAAAGGATGACAAAGTTTATTTAGTCAATAAATCCTCAGGAAAAGTACATTATTTCTGTATAAATCAGAAGAAATGGATCGAGAAATGTTGTTTTGTGAATGTAAATTTTTGTTCCAACAGCTCCAATGTTGCTGTTGATAAGTTAGTTGCTTTCACTTCAACGTTTTTACCAATCAAAAAAATCAGACCTTTGTATAAGCATAGTGCTAATTAACTGCATAATTACCGATGTACCTTTTGTTCAACTTTAGTGCCTAAATTTTTAGACAATCAGTTAAGATCTCTTTCATTAATATTTCAAAAAAGTCCTTCAAAGTAATTGATATTTAGTGTAATATTTCTTTTACTCTATTCCCATTGCCACTTTTATATTAGCATCACTGTTATTTGGAAGACAAAGACGCTAAACTTTTTTTTCGCTTCTCTCACGTCAGAAGATTACTTACTCCTTGAATCTAATGGTAAATTCATTTTAATTGGTAAAACTCTCGACGAGAAGTGGTTTGGTCTTTTCCCAGTTAGACATGAAAGTTGGTTCAACAATTATATGACCACTCTTTTAAAGCCACTATTTGGACGATGTTGATTATACATTGTATATTTACAAATTTTTCTCGAATTCATTCAATCTAATTATGAAATTAAATGCTTCAATAAGAGTGAGCCTTTTCGAAGACGAAAAATGGGATTTCAATGATTTAATCTCAACTTCTCATCAAACAAATGACGATAAAGTTATTTTGGTCAACAAATCGTCAGGAAAAGTACATTATTACTGCATTAAGCAGAACAAATGGTTACAGAAATATCGAATCATGCACGTAAATTTCTGTTCCAACAGCTCCAATGCTGTTTTGATAAGTTAGTTGCTTTACTTCAACGTTTTTACCGATTAAAGATATCAAACCTTTGGATAGGCAACGCTTTTATTAACTTTGAACTACCTGTATCACATTCAGACTTGAATATTCATTGGTTTCAATTGTTAGTGTCATTAAATGTAGAATTGATCAAAAACACTCTTGTTTTAACGGCCGAATACACTTAAATCATCAATCAAAATGGACTGCGTGATTGCAGTTTACGATATTGCTGATTACTTGGTGATGGATAAGCAGTTGCTTACATATTGAATTAACTATTTCGATGTTGACTTTCACAAAAATTTCTCTGTTGAACACATTCCAGTTGTTATTCCTCAAGTTTCTGAAGTATCCGAGTATCTCTGATGAATTCTGATCAACTCAATTAGTTTTTTTACCAGCATTTTTTAATTATGCAAATAAGTTAGTTGGTTCATTCACAATTTTCATGAGATTTCTTTAGTCCTGGTGTCTCGTCGTTTTTTATCATCGTTTATGAAATGGGTGCAGCTTGGTTAAAAATTAAAGTGCTTGATGCTGAGTTTAAATGTTTATCTATTAATAATATACATGTTACATTCGATATCTTCATTTCACTTGGACTCATATACCACGAACACTTTACTGATATTTTTTACGATCCAGGGAAAAGAGGAATTCGTGTTGATTGGATCAGAAATAAGTTCAGATATTTTTTAATTTTTTTGTGTAAAGCCTGACCATGAAAGCCTTCATGATGCTTATAAAGCCAGGAACCAGACGCTCCTTCCAACGACTTCATGGAGAACACATTTCGGCTATTTTATTTGATTCTGGAAGAAGAGGAATACGAATTGATTGATTTAAAAAGACATTCAGATGGCTCCATTCAACAGGCGAGGATAAAACTTATAAGCGTCAGATTTATCATTTGGTCATTAAGTTTTGACTGAACCCTTGTTTGTAATTATTAGCTTTCATTTCATATCAATCGAGTGCATAAATTAAAACATACATTTAATATTGACCAATTGATCTGTTTCGATGTTATCAATGAGATTCTGACACAAATGTGCCAAATGATGATTTGATTTCTGTTGTGGACTCTAATAAATGGCTTTCATTTCAACATTTTTACCAATCAATTTAATCAAACCTCAGTTTGAAAGATAATTTCTGTGGGTTTGCCAACTCTTAAATTTTGAAGATAATAGAGTTAAGTTTAAATGTGTGATTTTTTAACTTTTGTGAGATAATATATGCGTACACCTCAAAGCTAAAAGTCAATTTTTTACTCGAACCGGACGGTAGTTACCAAAGACAACTTATGGAGACAAAATATCGTCTTAGATTTAAGTTTTACTGTAAAAAATTATTTGAGAAGGAGTTGGATTTCACTTTTTGACTAATTGATCAAAAGATGTGCGTCTTATTTAATCATTTAGCGGCAAGTCTCAAGCAAAGGTTAATCTGTGCCTTTGTCGGGTTTTTACTTTGTAAAGATAAAACAATTGATCCACCAATGAAATTAAGCGAAATGATTGGTTTACATTGTAAAAACAGTCTTATAAAAAGTCCTACAAAAAGGGTTGAGAGTTTTTATAAATAATCGATTCCCTTGGCAAGCCCCGCCTTTAAGGAAAGGACGTCCCACAATGTGAAATCTTTATAAATGCAACAGTAAGTTATGTTCAACTAAACTGATTCTAGTTCACCATATATCTGTTTTTTGATTAAAAATATTTACTATTTTTACAATTATCTTATTAAAGTTTAATATAAGAAGTATTTTTTGTTCTTATTGTCTATCAATTTTCAATCATTATGGATCAAGAAGATGAAAATTGTGATACGAAATTGCAAATCGTGAATAGAAAAAGGAAATATAATGTTTCCAAAAAGTTTATTTGTTCATCTGTGCCTTACTTTGAGAAAATGTTTTCTTGCGATTCATCGGACTCTAAGAAAAAAAAATTTGAAATGGATTTCGACGAACATGCCTTTGATGCTTTACTCGACTGGATTCATTCTGGATTCTTCTTCATTCAAATGAATTATGTGATTGATTTTTACGAGGCAGCTGATTACTTGATGATAAAAGATAGTTTATTAAAACTTTGTCTTTCTTACTTTCATGATAATTTAACAATTGAACATCTTCCAGCCGTTCTAAAGCAAGTTACAAAACTGTCTAAGTTGATCAATTCAGGATCAATTGAAAATTTGATTTGTCGCCATTTCTTAATGATCACTAATACGGGTATTTACCTGGATTATCCAGTGGAGATAATTGAAGCTATTCTCAAATTAGATTTAATGGTTTATTCCGAATATCAAGTTTTTGAATCAATCATGAAATGGGTTAACTATGGTGTCGATGCCCGGAAAGCTTTACTTCCACAGCTATTAAACTGTGTTCGTTGGTCTTACATGGATCCTAATGATATTTTCAAGATAAAAGATGATGCATTCATCAAGACTCTACAAAATTTGGATTTTGTCAAATCTTCATCTGTTGAATTCAAGCGCACCAATCAAAACTTCTTTATCTCTATCCATCAAGCAGATACACCAAAACTAAGGATAAGAGCGTTTGATAATGAATTTTTTTGTTTCACGATTGGTAATTTCAGTCAAGATGATTCAATGTCACTTGAATTTGTTCATGGAGAACACATTTCTGATATTTTATTTGATTCTGGAACCAAAGGTATTCGAATTGATTGGCTTAAACAGACATTTCGATGGCTCGACTTCAAAGTTGCTGGCAAAACTTACTACAGTAAATTAATGAAATTCTTTGTTGAGTTTCGGGTTGAGTAAGTCAATTGATCATAAGTTTTTAAATTAATTTTTTCATCTTATATTTTCTTTAATATACTCTAATGGCAAGTTTACCGTCTGTGGATGTTGTGTCTATTATTTTAAAAGCTCCTTATTGTTTTGTTTGCTGAAAGTTTCTTGAGAACTTATTTATTGCTGTTGAATTGTTAATTCTTGCAAGATAATTGTATCAAACGCTACTAAAATTAGTTTAGTTTTTATTAATAGCAGACCCTTGTAAGTTCCTATGAGTGGTGAATCCGATAGAAGAAATTTTTCAAATTTTAAATGTTGCAATTCAGAGAAAAATCATGAGATGTATCAAATTATCTTCAATATTTTGCTCTTAAAAATTTTAAATTCTTATTTGTATTTTCTTAAAATTCTCAATCTTTCAAATTATTGAGTGATGAATATAGAATGGCGGGAAAATTTTTTGGTAAAGTGCATTGATAAAATTGGCATAAGATTGGGATAAGATTGCAAAATGTTATCTATTTTTGAAATTTTATGCTCGAATTTTTAAGTTTAATTTCTCTTTATCTTACTCATATTATATTTATAGTGATACTGATTGTTATTTGGAAGACAAAGAAGCAAAACTTCCTGATTCGATTACCGCTGAAGAGTCACTGATCCTTGAATCTAATGGTAAATTCATTGTGGTTGGTAAAACTAAAGATGAGAAGAAGTGGTTTGGTCTTTTCCCAGTTAAACGTCCAAATTGGTTCAATAATTTTGAAGATCATGAACACTCTTTTCAAGCCACTGTTTTGGACGATGTTGTTTATATATTGACAAAGAATCTCGAATTCATCCAATTCAATATTAAAACTCGATCTTTCGATAAGAGTGAACCGTTCAAAGAACACGAATTCAATTTCGATGATTTAATTTTAACTTCTCAACAGACAAAGGATGATAAAGTTATTTTGGTCAACAAATCGACTGGAAAAGTGTACAGTTTTTGCATTAATCAGAAGGAATGGATTGAAAAATGTTGCATTATGAATGGGAATTTTTGTTTTGATAGTTCCTGTGCTTCTGTTGATAAGTTAATTTCCTTCACTTCAGCGTTTTTACCGATCAAAAATATCTATCCTTTGTATGAGCATAGTGCTGCTTGATTTAATAATTACCAATAGCTCACATTCAGCAGGCTCTAAATATTAAGCTTTAAGATGTGAATTCAATAGAGACATTCAATGCTGTATCTCACCAAAAATAAAACCTTATATTTTACTTTCTCATTTAAATTATAAAGCGTTATTTATTAATAAATTGATAATAACTTGTAACCTTTTTATGACCATATGTTTATATCTTACATTCAGTCCAAGGTCCGGGATAAAAGACAAAAAGGCAAAACGAAGGCAAAAGAGGGCAAAAGTGGGCAAAAGAAGGCAAAAGAAGACAAAAGAAGACAAAAATATAAAATAAAGTCACTTTTTAGTTAAGTAATGAATAATATCGTATTTGTATTATAATCACAATAAGGATAAATTAATGAAATTATTGAATATTAAACTTGAGGCTCTGTTTGGTGTCAGCCACTGAAATCAGCTGGAAGCTCAATGGTAGTGATGTTGGTTAGGTTTATAGCAAATATTCAATAAAATCAGTTGTTATTATAATCAAATATAAATCACTTTTTCATCAAACTCTAAATATTTTTTATGTTAGACTACCTAAGACGCTTTATTACGAGAGTTTAGCCATCTTTTGCCCTCTTTTGCCCTCTTTTGCCTTTTTGCCCAGTTTTTGCTCTTTTTTGTCTTTTATCCCGGACCTCAGTCCAACGTGCTTTATAATACCAGAAGTGCATGACATTAATTGAAAAATAAATTACATGCATTCATAATATTCATGTGCATCAACAATTTCAGTTTAAATCACCCATGACCCTTGCCTCAATCGATCTAACGTTGCATTTCAGTCTAAATTGCAAAATAATGTAATAAATTGAAATCGCTCTGGTTTTTTGCTGTTCTCAAACATGAGCAGTCCAATAGTAATATCTCTTTTGATTCCGATTTTCAACGATAGATTATTTCAGCTTCTATTGAGAAATGAAAAAAGACAATTTTTGTAATTCAAAATATAGAACATTAATTTAAATGCTGCAAAAGTGCCCTGCTGTCCAAAGATCACGAATCATTATTAATATCCCAGTTTACATCATAAGATCAGTTTAACAAACCTAAACTTGAGAAGGTTGAAATAAACGGTTTTCATTTACACTTTTCTGGTAAAGATTTAAGATAAGATAAGAGGGTTGAATAGCTTGAACCCAGATTCATTAGTAATCAATGGTTTTGGTGGGTTAAATCAATCAATCGTTTATTAACCCACTGGGTTCACTTTGTTGGTAGCTAGCAACATGGATCATGCAACATATTGATGTAAATTCAATTATTACGATGAAGAAAATGACAAAATTTCAAAGCAATAATGCTAGTTTCTAATATTTTAATGGGCAAATTGAAAAGTAGTGACCGTCAAAATAGCAATAGTTATTTTGAATATTAGTGAACCCATATTGGATAATGCATCTAATTTCTAATTTTCTCAATTCTAACTTTTTGATAGTCAATAGTAAAATATTGTAAACGCCCTCTTCAACGCCTACATTTTAATTGGTTATGTTTGGTATAAATACTAGCATTAAACATTGCAAACGCAGTATTGAACTGCTTCCAGTAAATGAAAGTGTAGCTGTAAAAGTAATATTTGTTGCTGTAGTTTCAGAGTTTTTTCGTTCTTTCAACCGACCTCAATTATTATGGCAGAGATGAATGCAAATTGTGATGAAGAATTGAAAATTGTGAACAGAAAAAAAGAATATACTGTTCTAAAAAGTTCATTTGTTCATCTGTGCCTTATTTTGAGAAAATGTTTTGTTGTGATCTATTGGAATCAAAGGAAAACAAAGTGGAACTAGATTTTGATGAACATGTCTTCGATTCTATCATGGATTGGATTCATTCGGAATCGTTCATCATTAAAATGGATTATGTTATCAGTTTTTATGATGCAGCTGATTATTTGATGATAAATGAACGTTTGTTTCAACCTTGTTACTCTTACTTTCAAGAAAATTTCACCATTGAACATCTTCCAGTGGTTTTATGCCAAGTTACCAAAGTGTCCAAGTTGATAAATTCAGGATCTATTGAAAACTTTATCTGTCGCCATTTCTTGGAAATTACTAACTCAAATGTTTTTTTAAATTATCCGTTCAAGACCGTTGAAGCTATACTCAAATTGGATTTGATGGTTTACTCTGAATATCAAGTTTTTGAAGCAATCATGAAATGGGCGAATAGAAATGTTGATTTCAGAAAAAAATATATTTCCAAGTTATTGAATTGTATTCGTTGGTGTTTCATGGATCTGGACAATTTATCTAAGGTGGAAGATAATGAATTAATCAAAAATCTGCCTGATTTCGATGTAATTACTTCCTATAATGGTATTGGTAGTGGATTCAATCGCAGTAAACAAAACTTGTTTGTATCAATCCATGAAAGAGATACATCAACACTAAGAATAAAAGTGTTAGATAATGAATGGTTTTGTTTGTCGATTGGTGATTTCACTCAAGATGATTCAATGTCACTTGCATTTGTTCATGGAGAACACATTTCAGATATTCTATTCGATTCTGGAACCAAAGGAATCCGAATTGATTGGATTAAAAAGACATTTCGATGGCTTGATTTCAAAGTTAAGGGGAATACTTACTACAGTAAATTAAGGAAATTCATTGTAGAGGTTCGGGACAAGTAAGTAAAAGTTAATATCATTTTAAATTTACATAATTTTGCGAAATTGGAGACCTACTACAGTCAATTAATCAAAGTCATTGTTAAGTTTTCCAACAAGTATGTTTATCTTTTCAAGTATGTTTATATTTTTACTTGTGTTTGATGACAGCTTCTCAGATTTCTCAGGATTCTTTTTGTTTCTAAAAATTAAAACGTGGGTTTTGTTCACATAAATTTTTAAATTTTACTAAACGCAAAGTCTGCGCCTTATACGAACTTTCCTTCTGCACTCGTGTTCATGGCGCTTACTGGATGAATTTATTATAATTTATAAAATAACCATAAGTGAAAATTAAAAGTAAACATTCGAGACTTCATGTCTTCTCGGTTTAGGGGCAATCCGATCAAAACAATTAATGAAATAAAAATTTCAATTAGATTAAAAACTGATAAGAAGTTAATCTAATTTTCACAAAAATTTAATCTCAATAATGTCTACTGTGAAAAATTTTTTAATTGACGACAGGCGCATGACCTAAATGCTGTTAAATTGGTTGATCGGATCTTTGTAAATTAGTGACGTCACAAATTATTGAAATTTTATCTAATCTTATCTTTACAAACATTTTTAGTCTAATTTTTAACTACATTTCTTGTTGATCGGATTGCCCCTTAATTTAAAGTAACTAATTAAGCAAATCAGTGAGTAGTTTAACTCTCAGAATTTAATAATGAAATATTTCAGAGCAAATTATCTTCACTGTTTTAAAGGGTGTAACGGTAAAAAACTACTTTTATCTCAAAAATCTTATCTAGGAAGATGAAGATGACGATGATAAGAAAATAATTTTCGACGTTTCTTTTCTCTATCTATCTTCGGATTTTTATCATTGTGATCGTCTTCCTAGATATCATTTTAGAGATAAAAGTAGTTTTTTACCGTTACACCCTTTATGATTTATCAATTTTTATGTGGAATTTTCATTTATTTGATTCTTTTTACCTTTATTAGTACCAAAAACTGTTATTTGGAAGACAAAGACGCAAAAGTTTCTTTTCCGCTTACCACTGAAGAGGATTTGCTTCTTGAATCTAATGGTAAATTCATTGTTATTGGCAAAACTTTCGACGAGAAAAAGTGGTTTGGTATGTTTCCAGTTAATAATGCAAGTTGGTTCAATAAATATGAAGATCATGAGCGTTCTTTTCAAGCCACTGTTTTGGACGATTCTGTTTATATATTGACAAATGATCTTGAATTTATTCAATTCAATTACAAAACTAATCATTTTAATAAGAGTAAACCGTTCAAAGGTGATAAATTTGATTTCAATGAACTGATCTTAATATCTCATCAAAAAAATGATGATAAAGTAATTCTGATCGATAAATCGTCTGGAAAAGGGCATATCTTTTGCATTAATCAAAAGAGATGGATACAGAATTATCAAATCATGAACGTAAATTTTAGTGCCGATAGCTCCCATATTCCTGTTAACAAGTTGATTATCTTCACTTCAGCATTTTTACCGATGAAAAATATCAAACCTTTGTATAAGGGTCTTAGTTAAGTCCACGGCGTCACACACCACAACCGAAGGTTGGGTACTTTTGTTCCAACAGTTCCAATGTTTCTGTTGATAGGTTAATTTCCTTCACTTCAACGTTTTTACCGAAGAAAAAGATCAAACCTGTGTATCGGCAATGCTTTTATAAACTTTATAGAACATGTTCTTCAACCAGACAAATTTTGAGAATCCAAAATTTTTTTTAATTGAAAGGATGTAAGATCGAAAAATGCCCAGTTAATGGTGCAAAATCTTTGTTTTTGAACATCATGAGATCAGTCCAACAGTTTAACTGAACATGAGAAGGTTGAAATAAAAGTTTTCAGGTTTTCATTCTTCTGGCTAATGATTCAAAGATAAGATAGAGAGTATCTTGAACCTAAATTCATTATTTTAACAGTGCTAAAACTAAAATTTTCAAGACTCAAACTAGGCGGTAGTCTTTAAAGAAAGCTTGTTTGAGACAAAATATCGTCTCTTAATTGTCAGATTTAACTTTTACTGTAAACAAATTTATTTGAGAAGGGATTCGATTTCATTTCTTTATTAAATGATCAAAAGAACTGCATCTAATTTCATCAGTTAACGGCAAGTCTCAACCAACTGTTACTCAATGCCTTTGTCGGTGCTTCATTTTGTAATAATGGTAAAACAATTGATCCACCAATGAAATCAAGTGAAATGATTCCATTGTAAAAACAGTCCTACAAAAAGGGCTGAGAGTTTTATAAATAATCGATCGATTTACAGATATTGAAGCTTAAACCACATAGATTTTGATCGATTTGCGAATCGAAACACATCTTACAAAAACAAAACGAATTTATTCATAAGTCTTGCAAAACACCGCATTCAAGAAAAGTCGGTCCCATAATATGAGATCATTATAAATACATTAGTGAGTTGAATGGTTTTGTTTAGTTGTGAGTTACTCTAACCTGTATCGAGCGTAGTTCTTTATCATTGTTTTTTGAATAAGAAAGTTTATTAACTTCAAATCTATCTCGAGAATTGCTTTGTAGTTTATTTTCGAAGTATTTATTGTACTTTTGTTTAGTAGATCATTATGGATCAAGAAGATGAAAATTGTGATACAAAATTGCAGATCGTGAATAGAAAAAGAAAATATAATGTCTCCAAAAAGTTCATTTGTTCATCTGTGCCTTACTTTGAAAAAATGTTTTGTTGTGATCTATTGGAATCAAAGGAAAATCAAGTGGTGTTAGACTTTGACGAACATGCATTTGATGCTATTCTTAACTGTGTTCATTCTGGATTGTTTTGTATGCATATGGATTATGTGATTAGTTTTTACGATGCAGCTGATTATTTGATGATAAATGAACGTTTGTTGCAACCTTGTCTCTCTTACTTTAATGAAAATTTTACAATCGGACATATTCCAGTCGTTCTAAGGCAAGTCACCAAAGTGTCTAAGTTGATCAATTTAGGATCAATTGAAAGCTTCATTTGTCGCCATTTCTTGACGATTACTAATACGGATATTTTCCTGAATTACCCAGTTGAGATAATTGAAGCTATTCTCAAACTAGATTTAATGGTTTACTCTGAATATCAAATTTTTGAATCAATCATGAAATGGGTCCTTGAAAAGGTTGATTCTCGCAAAGCTTTACTTCCTCAGCTATTAAAATTTGTCCGTTGGTCTTACATGGATTTTGGTGATATTTCTACGATAAAAAATGATGATTTAATAAAAGCGCTACCAAATTTGGATTCAATATTTAAATCTTCATATGTTGGATTCAATCGATGCAAACAAAACTTCTTTGTTTCTATCCATCAAAGAGATACATCAACACTAAAAATAAATGCGTTTGATAATGACTTTTTCTGTTTCACGATTGGTGATTTTACACAAGACGATTCAATGTCACTTGAGTTTGTTCATGGAGAACATATTTCAGATATTCTATTTGATTCTGGAACAAGAGGAATCCGAATTGATTGGGTAAAAAAGACATTTAGATGGCTTCAATTTAAAGTTGCTGGTAAAAATTATTACAGTCAGTTAATGAAATTCTTTGTACAGTTTGAACTCAAGTAAGTTTAAGTTAATTATCATTCTAATTATGCTTAAGGGTAAAACTTATTACAGTCAATTCCTGAAATTCATTGTAAAGTTTTCCTCTAAACTCAGGTATAGATAAATATTTATACTGCTTAATCTCTTGAAGTTGAGTCTTTAGGTTTGTAAATTTATACAAACTTTTATTTCTGCTGTTGAATATTTTATTCTCGCAAAATGCTGTCAGCATTAGTATCCTGATGACAGTCTCTTATTTATTAGACCCATTATTATTATTAGCTACTCAATCTATAGAACTTTTTAGGCTGGATTGAATGATGATTTGATTTTATTGGACAACATTTCAAATAAGCATGCTATTCGATAAAATTCTTATCCTTAACTTATTTTTCCTCATTTTTCAGTAACTTTTCCTGTTATTTGGAAGACAAAGATGCAGAACTTCCTGATTGTATAAACAATGAAGAGAGCCTGCTATTTGAATCGAATGGTAAATTCATCGTAATTTGTAAAACTGAAGAAGAGGATAAGTGGGTTGGTCTTTTTCCAGTTTTTCATGAAAGTTGGTTCAACAATTATAGCCATCATGAACACTCTTTCAAAGCCACTGTTTTGGACGATGTTGTTTACATATTGACAAAAGGCCTCGAATTCATACAATTCAATTACAAAACTAAATCCTTCGAAAAGAATGAGCCATTCAAAGACCAGAAATTGAATTTCGATGATTTAATTTTAACTTCTCAGCCAACAAAGGATGATAAAGTAATTTTAGTCAACAAATCGACTGGAAAAGTGCACATTTTGCGTATTAATCAGAAGAATTGGGTTGAGAAATGTTGAATCATGAATGCAAGCTTGTTTTCCAACAGTCCTTGTGCTCCTGTTGATAAGTTAATTGCCTTTACCTCAACGTTTTTACCGATGAAAGTTATTGAACCGTTGTATCAACATATTGCAAATTAATTTTATGCTTACCGATGTAACTTTAGTTCCTCTCTAGGCCCTAAATTTCAGGCTATAAGTTTGGAGTTCAACTTTTTTACCAATGAATTTAATCAAACCTCAGTTTGAACTCAACTTTAATTGTGAAGAAGTCAATCAGTTTGAAATAAATGTAAGATTTTTTAACCTGCTTTAATTCATTAGTAAATTTCAAAGATAAAACTAAACTAAACTTTTACTCAAACCAGGCGGCAGTCTTCAAAGACAATTTGTGCTGACAAGTTATAATCTCACACTATTACTGTAAACAAATTATTTTGAAAAGGGATCCGATTTCACTTTTCACTAACTGATCAGAAGATCACAGAGACCAAAGCAATGACAAAGGCATTGCTTAACACCATGAAATCAAAAGTTTAAACAAAAAGGTTGAAAATCAATTAATGTTGATTCAACACTGAAGTATTTTGTGAATAATCACTTATTTTTGATATATTGAGTCTTAACCACATAGTCTACGATCGATTTTAAGAATCGAAATACATTCTGGTCTTATTGGAAAAATGAATTTATTCAGTACTATCGGTTAGCCCCGCCTTTAAGAAAAGTCAGTCCTGCGCGAAAACATTATAAATTGTTGGTTGTAATCAGACCTCATGACTACAACAGATTCACTCTTAGAAGCATATTTATCATTAATTTCATTTAACCTTAAATTTTTCAATTTTTTTCACTTTTTGGACTCAAACTTGAGCATCATCTATTCATCAACCAAATAATTTTCAACATTGATTTATATATCATTAGCTTCGTCTCTTTGAGATCTATTTAATGATATATAATTAATTACTGTAACTCGACTCGATCTCTTAAAACATTAACTTGCCCGGCGTCAAAACTCTATGTATTTACATAGGGAATATAATGGTGAAAGTCATCCTGGCGACCCCACTAAAATAACAGAATTAAACAACCGACAAACACAATTAATATGTCATTAGAAAGAGCATCTAAAATACTTTTAATTAATATATTTTTTTCATGTCTGTAACTTCATCCAGTGTCGAGTTACAAACCGACATAATTTAACTCTCATGTCTATTCAATAATATTGAATATACCAAAGGTTCGTCTTATTTCAAAGACAATTAATGTTTTCATCATTAACTCAATACATCATTCGAAAGCCCTTTTCAACTTAATGATTCCTCTAAATTTAACCAAAACATGATATTTTCTTAATTCTCATATTAATTAATGATTTTCTTGAGTCATTCAAATCCGACTCATATTACTAATTGTCACTAACTAAGATCATCTTCAGAATACAACTATTAACTCAACCCTTCGCAGTGTGCTTCACAAATGTCCAACTTAGCTTTAAAAAGCTCAAACATAATTACTTCATTTTTTCCTCTCAATACTTTCTGCTTAACTTATCCTTTCACTAAACCAGTTTTTACTCCAATAACCTAAAGGTTATCTTACAAATGTCTTTGTAATGAAAATGTCAGTTGAAAAAGTAAATTTGAATCTTCTCTTAAAAATAAGAGTTAACCTTAAACCAACAACAGTTGTGATGTAGACCCAGAGAAGTAAACTTGTAAACCTTTCTTACTGTTCAATAAATTTTTTGCCTCAAACCAACAGGTTATGGGCCCAGCTCGTTTTTTGTTAAACTTGTTTGTTGCTGTGTTAAGCTTTGCTTATTGTGTTTAACCACATATTTTCATCTCTAAATTTTGTTCATCTTCAAAGCTTCATCTAAGTGCTCAGCACTTTAATTTTCTTGATTATTTATATTGAATTTGAATTATTCAATTGTGTGTTTCATCGTTACAATTAAAATTGTCATCTTAACAAAATGACTGAACGTGAATTTAATATTGTCAAACTGGATGAACTCAACTATCCACTGTGGAAGATAAATGTTGAACGTATTGCTGCATCCAAAGGAGGATTGGATATTTTATTAGGGAAAGAGCCATGTCCTGAACCATTACCACTTGAAGAAGGTGAAGTCGAAACAAGGGAATACGCTACTCGAGCGAAGCAAATTGATCAATGGAAGAGAAAAGATGCCACCATTGCAACCATCATGACTTCGTCAATACCTGTAAGTATTGTTAATTTAATTACTGCTTGTAAGACATCAGCCCAAATGTACTCAAATATTTTAGATTATAAAGAACAACGAGCAACTCAGAATGTTTGGCATCACAAAAGAAAATTATCCGAATTGAAATTTACCTCATCACATACTGTTCTCAGTTACTTTAATCAGCTTGAAACAATTACTCAGCAACTGTTCGCTTTAGGCGTGAAAGTAGATGAAAACGAATTGATATTGAAAGTTCTTGATGATTTACCTTCAGATTATGAAGTGTTTAAAGAAAGTGTTGAATGCAAAATTATCGAAGGTGTTCAAATTAAGTTATCGGTAATGAAACAAAATTTGCTTTTGGTTGAGAAGCGCATTAATAATAAAACAAAATCTGGTGAAGCTTTAATGGTAAAATCTAATGTCGTGAATGCAAGACCACGAATTAAAATTTGTAATGAATGTGGTGGCAAAGGTCACATTGCTAAGTATTGTCGGAAGTCAGCAAATTACAGAAACAATTATGGTCATAAGACTAACTACAACAATAATAATTTTCAAAGAAATGGTTCAAATTATCATAACTACAGTAACAGAAACAATTTTCGATACTCGAACAGATTTAACAACAACAACAATTACAATAAAAATTTCAATAACAATCATGGTAATAACAATAATACTAATTCAAACAATAACAGTAACTTCAATAATATTAACAACAGCAGTAATAATCGGTATGCAAGCAGCAATAGCTACAATCGTAATAATTACTCAAACAGAGAAAGAAATACCAATCAAAATTACAGAGGTTCAAACAGAAACAATAATTTTGCTAACAACATTCAACCTAATCAACAAAATAATTTTAACTCTAATTCTGAGTCCAATTCAAACAGAAATAATGAAAACGCTCCAATTAACAATACCTCTCAAAATAACTCTGAAAACTTTAATTTTGCTTACTGTCACAACTTCAATGCTTACAATGAATTAGAATGGTTAATGGATACAGGAGCGTCTTTTCACATCACAGGAAATATTAATAACTTTATTAGTTTGTCTGATTTAAAGGAACCAATTGAACTTACGATTGGTAATGGAAGTAAGGTTCAAGCAATTGCTAAAGGTGATGTTTTAGTTGATAGCTTTAATGGTGAAAAATGGATTCGCGGTAAATTGACTAATGTTTTGTTCGTACCTAATTTTGGTCGATTTAATTTATTTTCATGGGTTCAAACAATGCAAAAGAATTATAAATTAATATCCTCGCGATTCAGTTTAGAAATTTACGACCCTGAAACAGAACAAGTAATTACTAAAATTGAAACAGTTGGTAACTCAATGTGGATGAGAATGAGAACAGTGAGAAATGAAAATAACTTTATAATGTTGACCAACAACTTCTCATTAATGGATTGGCATGAAAGACTAGCCCACATCAATGTTCACAAAATAATTGAAATGTCAAGGAATAAAATTTTACCACCAATAAAAGGTGATGTTAATGTAAATGAGTTTACCTGTGAGAGTTGCTTGAAAGGTAAATTTGCGAGGAAACCTTTTCAATCCAAACCTAAAAGAGATTTCAATGTTGGTGAGTCGTTCCATTGTGACTTGCAAGGTCCAATGGAAGTTGAATCATTGTCAGGATCGAGATTCGCTTTAGTTATCAAAGATGAATGTTCATCATTTCGAAGTCTATTTTTTCTTAAACAAAAGTCTGATACCTTTGCTTCATTAGAAACATATATTAAGTTTGCTGAAAAATGCACTGGTAATCAAGTTAAAATAATGAGAAGCGATAATGGTGGTGAATTTATTGATTCAAGAGTAAAAGATTTACTCAATTCAAAATCAATAAAACACGAACTTTCAGCACCTTACTGCCCACAACAAAACGGCCTAATAGAGAGGGAAAACAGAACAATTACTGAAGCAGCAAGAACAATGTTATTAGGAGCAAATCTTCCTAAGTTTTTATGGCCTGAATCAATGCACACAGCTGCTTACATCTTGAACATTGTTCCTAATAAAAAGATAAATAATGTTTCCTCATTCGAGCTTTGGTACAAAAAGAAACCAACCTACAATCATTTACATGTTTTTGGTTGTGTAGTTTATGGTAAGCTTAATGCTTCATTTTGTAAGAAATGGGATCCAAAATCTAAAAAGTATATATTTGTTGGTTACACAGATACCACAAGTAACTTCAAGGTTTTTGATCCAACAAGAAATTTCGTTACTGTGATTAGAGATGCTAAGTTTTTAGACAATCAGTGTGATGCTCAAGGAGCTATTGACCAAGTAATGAATGAGCAAACTAATGACTTCGAGGAAATTGTCAGATACAATAAAGAAATTGAAACAAATGAAAATGCTAAAAATAATGAAACAGTTGAACGCGAGAATGATAATAATGAAATTGATAAAGAAAATGTTGCTCAAATTGCACATGAAATTGTTCACAAAAATGATGAACCGAATACTTACAATGAAGCTATGAATAGTGCTAACCGAAATCAGTGGTATAATGCAATGTTAGAAGAGTTGAATTCATTGAAACAAAATAATGTTTTTGAACTTGTTGACTTACCTGAAGATAAAAGTCCAATTGATTGTCGTTGGGTCTTCCGAATTAAAAGAAAAATTGATGGATCTATTGATAGATTCAAAGCGAGATTAGTTGCTCGTGGTTATGCTCAGAAATCAGGAATTGACTATTTTGAGACTTTTAGTCCTGTTGCTCGATACGATTCTATTCGAGCCATCCTCGCCATTACCTGTCAATACAAAATGTTCCTTGTTCAGTTTGATGTTAAGACCGCTTTTCTTTATGGTAAACTTGAAGAAGATATTTACATGAACCATCCTCCTGGTTTCGAATCCAATCCTAATAAAATACTTAAATTAAAACGTGGCCTTTATGGTCTGAAACAAGCTCCTCGACAATGGAATGCTAGAATTAATGAATTTTTATTGAAGTTATCATTTAAACAAAGTATTGCTGACAATTGTGTTTACTCAAAATCCGATGGAAACAATTTAATTATTGTAGTAATTTATGTCGATGATGGTCTCATTTCAAGTACCTCTGAATCTGAGTTAATTAATTTTTCAAATGCATTGAAAACCGAGTTTGAAATTAAAATACATTCACCTGAAATATTTGTCGGAATGGAGATTATTCAATCTCCTGATCGATCTAAAATTTCAATCAAACAATCTTATTACATCAAAGAGTTACTGAAAAGATTTAACATGTTTGACTGTAAACCAGTCTCTACTCCAGGTGACACGAACATTAAATTACTTCCCTCTGAAACTGAATCAGATCCCAAAATTCCATATCAAGAAGCTGTTGGAGCTTTGCTCTATTTGTCTATTATCAGTCGTCCTGATATCACATTTCAAATAAATAAAGCCTCTCAATTTAATGTTAAACATAATGAAGAGCATTGGAAAGCAATTAAAAGAGTATTCAGATATTTGAAAGGTACTGTTAATGTTGGTATTAGTTATTGTTATTCACCTGATAATTTTACTTTAATCGGTTATGCCGATGCTGATTATGCTGCTGATGTTGTTACCAGAAAATCAACATCAGGTTTCGTTGTTACCTTAGGTAAATCGCCGATTTCTTGGTGTTCAAGATTACAAAGAAGTGTAGCTCAATCAACAACCGAAGCTGAATATGTTTCCATTGCTGAATGCATGAAAGATGTACTTTGGTACATTCAATTATTTAAAGACCTTTCGATCAACATTACATTACCAATAAAAATTATGAATGATAATCAGGGAGCAATATTGCTAACCAGAAATAATGTATTTCATCAACGAACCAAACACATTGACATTCGTTTTCATGCTATTCGCGATTACCAAGAACAAGGTTTTATTAAGATTTATTTCATTTCAACAAAAGATCAACCTGCCGACATGTTAACCAAATCACTTTGCTCTCCATCTTTTAATCACTGCAAACAATTACTAAACATTTCTTGAAACTAAAATTCATTCAATGATTTTCACACTTTTTATTTGATGCACAAACCCACAAACAAACAAACATTCTGAGTACTTGACGTTTAATACTTAAATTTGATATTAATATAATTTTGATTTAAATTAACCTAGAAGCAGTAATTACAATTAACAATGCATCTACCGATCAATGTATCTCATTTATTATTTCATTTATTTTACTCATAACCATTTTTTTGTAAGGACATGTGTGAAGCAAGGGAAGGTGTTGGTTGTAATCAGACCTCATGACTACAACAGATTCACTCTTAGAAGCATATTTATCATTAATTTCATTTAACCTTAAATTTTTCAATTTTTTTCACTTTTTGGACTCAAACTTGAGCATCATCTATTCATCAACCAAATAATTTTCAACATTGATTTATATATCATTAGCTTCGTCTCTTTGAGATCTATTTAATGATATATAATTAATTACTGTAACTCGACTCGATCTCTTAAAACATTAACTTGCCCGGCGTCAAAACTCTATGTATTTACATAGGGAATATAATGGTGAAAGTCATCCTGGCGACCCCACTAAAATAACAGAATTAAACAACCGACAAACACAATTAATATGTCATTAGAAAGAGCATCTAAAATACTTTTAATTAATATATTTTTTTCATGTCTGTAACTTCATCCAGTGTCGAGTTACAAACCGACATAATTTAACTCTCATGTCTATTCAATAATATTGAATATACCAAAGGTTCGTCTTATTTCAAAGACAATTAATGTTTTCATCATTAACTCAATACATCATTCGAAAGCCCTTTTCAACTTAATGATTCCTCTAAATTTAACCAAAACATGATATTTTCTTAATTCTCATATTAATTAATGATTTTCTTGAGTCATTCAAATCCGACTCATATTACTAATTGTCACTAACTAAGATCATCTTCAGAATACAACTATTAACTCAACCCTTCGCAGTGTGCTTCACAAATGTCCAACTTAGCTTTAAAAAGCTCAAACATAATTACTTCATTTTTTCCTCTCAATACTTTCTGCTTAACTTATCCTTTCACTAAACCAGTTTTTACTCCAATAACCTAAAGGTTATCTTACAAATGTCTTTGTAATGAAAATGTCAGTTGAAAAAGTAAATTTGAATCTTCTCTTAAAAATAAGAGTTAACCTTAAACCAACAACAGTTGTGATGTAGACCCAGAGAAGTAAACTTGTAAACCTTTCTTACTGTTCAATAAATTTTTTGCCTCAAACCAACATAAATAACTCAGTTACTAGTTGAAAAGTTGTTTAATTGTGAGTTGATTTAAACTGATTGTAGTCCGGTTTAAATGTTTTTTTGAATATATAAGTTGACTCTTTTTTAAATTTACTTGATAGAAAATTGTAATTATAGGTATTTATTATTGTTTTGTTAGCCTGGATCATCATGGAGAAAGATGCAAATTTTGATGCAAAATTGCAAATCATTAACAGAACAAGAATATATAATGTTTCTAAAAAGTTCATGTGTTCATCTGTGCCTTACTTCGAGAAAATGTTTTCTTGTGATTTGCTGGAATCAAAGGAAAACAAAGTGGTGCTTGATTTTGATGAACGTGTATTAGACTCTATCCTCGACTGGGTTCATTCTGAATCTTTCTGCATGCAAATGGATTATGTGATTAGTTTCTACGAAGCAGCCGATTACTTGATGATAAATGAACGTCTATTTCAACCTTGTCTCTCTTATTTCCATGATAATTTTACCATTGAGCATCTTTCAGTTATTTTGCCTCAAGTCACCAAATTGTCCAAGTTGATCAATTCAGGAGCCATTGAAAGATGTATTTGTCGTCATTTCCTGACGATCACTCATACGAATATTTTCCTGAATTACCCACTCGAAACAGTAGAAGCTATTCTCAAATTGGATTTGATGATTCACTCTGAATATCAAATTTTTGAATCAATAATAAAATGGGTGAATAAGAATGTTGATTCTCGAAAAGCTTCACTTCCACAGTTATTAAAATGTGTTCGTTGGTCTTACATGGATTTTGGTGATATCTCAAAGATCAAGGATAATGACCTAATAAAGGCGCTACCAAATTTAGATTTAGTAAAATCTTCCTATGTTGGATTCAATCGCTCCAAACAAAACTTCTTCATATCATTTCATCAAAGAGATGCATCAATTCTGAGATTGAAAGTGTTTGATAATGACTTTTTTTGCTTCATGATTGGTGATTTCAGTCAAGATGATTCAATATCACTTGAATTTGTTCACGGAGAACACATTTCAGATATTTTATTTGATTGTGGAACAAAAGGAGTTCGAATTGATTGGGTTAAAAAGGCATATCGATGGCTCGACTTCAAAGTCGTATGTAAAACTTACTACATTCAATTATGGAAATTCATTGTAGAGGTTTGCGTCGAGTAAGTTTATTCGCATTTACAATTTTGAATTGATTTTTTTTGTTTCGTAACTTAAATCTCTGTATTAAATACTTCAATATAAACATCATGCATTGAAACTCTTTATCTTCGCCTGCTTGTGCATTATTTTAAGGGCTCTCCTTATTGTTTTTTGATGACAGTTTCTCAGAAAGAGTTTGAAACTAGATAATATTATTGCAACTTTTCTGATGCTGATACAAGTTTCAAAAATTCATTGCCTGATGAAAATCATTGTTTTTTAAAAATACCAATGTAGGTATCAATTAACATTTGAGATTTCTTTTTTCTTCTTATCTAGTTTTGTGTAGTCAGGTGTAGTATTGCATTTGGAAATTATTCAAAATTTAAATCATATTAAATATTTCAAATCGAGTATTAAATCTGCACTGTTGTATTTCAATCTTTAAGTAAAATCTCTTTTATTCCTGCACCCATATTAGCGAAAATCGCTGTTATTTGGAAGACAAAGACTCAAAACTTCATTTTAAGGACAGTCCTGAAGAGTACTTACTCCTTGAATCTGATGGTAAATTCATTGCAATTGGTAAAAACGAGAAGAAGTGGTTTGGTATTTTTACTGCTAAACATGGATGGTGGTTCAATAATTATAAAAATTATGGGCACTCTTTTCAAGCTACTGTTTCGGACGATGTTGTTTATATATTGACAAAGGATCTCGAATTCATCCGTTTCAATATTGAAAGCAGATCCTTCGATAAGAGTGAGCCGTTCAAAGGAAAAGGATGGATTTACAATGATTTAATCTTAACTTCGCATCAAACAAAGGATGATAAAGTTATTTTGGTCAACAAATCATCAGGAAAAGTGTATTACTTCTGCATTAATAAAATGCAATGGATTGAAAAATGTTGTATTATGAATGTGAACTTTTTATCCGACAGTTCCTGTGCTCCTGTTAATCAGTTAGTTGCCTTTACTTCAAACTTTTTACCGATGAAAGTTATTGAACCTTTGTACGATCAAAAAGCTACGTAAATTATATGATTACAAATGTTTTCATGTTTCGTGCTCATTACCATTGAGCGTCAAGCAATGTATTTTTAATTTGTCTAATCTTATTCTGTTATTCTAATATTTAATACAATTTCTTTAATACTGTAATGTACCCATGAATTCTGGCCTTAAACCTGGAAGTTGAATTATTAAACTGACAATAACCGTTGTATAAGCATATGTACATATCTATCCAGTCTTATGAGTCCAACATAATTTAGTGAATATCTTTAATTAAGAAATTAATTACATGCATTCAGAATAATCTTGTAAATCGTTAAATGCAGTCGAAATTATCCTGAGTCTTGCCTCATTCAATCCAACTCTTTCATTTCCATTTAAAATGAAGAGTAGCAAATGAAAATCGCTCTGGTCCTTTGCTGCTTCTCAACAAGAGTTGTCCAACAACAATATTTCTTGATGTCGTTTAATTGTCATTTGGAATGATTAGAACATTGCAGTCTCTATTATGACAAAAGACAAAAGGAAGCAGCTTGAATAGTTAGCTAACCATGTACTGTACTTGTAACAATGTGTTTTTGTTGATAGCAGATTGTAGATAATCTGAAATACCAATGTAATAAGTTGATTCTTTGAATATTTCATCTTAATGATGCATTGATTCTAACAAACTGAAACTTTGATTATTGAACCTGAATTCACAATATATTTTGAATATGAACTTAGCTTAAAGGTTAGTTAACAATTGAATGCATTTAAAATATTAACTTTAATACTATGTACTATGTGCATATCATAGTATCGCGGTCCCAAATGGGGATGTCATTCTTGATTGCACAGTTCTGTGGCAGTAGAAACGCCAGTTTGCCACTGAATGATAATCTTAATTTAGCAAATTGGTTCGGTTAAAAAGAAATTTTCAAGCAATTTAATTCTAGATTATGAATTGAATTTACATTCAAAAATAGCGATAGTTATCTTAATTATTAGTAAGCCCTTTAAACTTGGAGAATATCATTTCCTTATTTATTCAATTCTAACTCTTTAATTGCGAGATAAAAGATATTGTAAACGCCCTCGTCAACGCCTAACGTTTTAATTTATTATGTCTGGCTATAAAATAATCATTGTAAACGCAGTATTAAACTGCTTCTAATGTTGTTAATGAGTTATAAAATTATCTTATAATAAAAACAAATAGCATTCAAATAACTTCATAACTACTTATTCAATTAAACCACTAAATTTTCGGAAAGTTTTGTAGTATCAACTGACCGTAGTTATTATGGCAGAAGAACGTGAAAATTGTGATGATGAATTAAAAATTGTGAACAGAAACCGTGAATATTATGTCTCTAAAAAGTTAATTTGTTCATCTGTGCCTTACTTCGAGAAAATGTTTTGTTGTGATCTATTGGAGTCAAAGGAAAACAAGGTTGAATTAGATTTCGACGAACGTGCCTTTGATGCTGTCCTCGATTGGGTTCATTCTGGGTCGTTCTGCATCCAAATGAATTATGTGATTAGTTTTTACGAAGCAGCTGATTACTTGATGATAAATGATGGTTTATTAGAGCCATGTCTCTCTTATTTCAATGAAAACTTCACTATTGAACATCTTCCAAGCGTTTTAAAGCAAGTCTCAAAAGTGTCTAAATTGACAAGTTCTGGATCTATTAACAACATTATTTGTCGCTACTTCTTGATGATCGTCAATACGAATGTTTACTTGAACTATCCAGTCGAGACAGTTGAAGCTATTCTCAAATTGGATTTGATGGTTCACTCTGAATATCAAATTTTTGAATCAATCATGAAATGGGTGAATAAAAGAGCTAATTATAGAAAAGGATTACTTCGGCGGTTATTGAACTGTGTTCGGTGGTCTTTCATGGATCCTGTAGATATTTCTAAGATAAAGAATGATGAATTAATCAAGACTCTCACGCAAATGGATTTGGATGCATTTATCCCCTCTAATACTGAATATGGATTCAATCGCTGCAAACAAAGCTTCTTTGTATCCATCCATCAAATGGATTATAAAACGTTACGAATAAAAGTGTTAGATAATAAATTATTTTGTTTCTCGATTGGCCATTTCATTCAAGAAAATACAATGTCACTTGAATTTGTTCATGAAGAACATACTTCTGATATTTTATTTGATTCTGGAACCAAAGGTATTCGAATTGATTGGGATAAAAAGATATTTCGATGGCTTGATTTCAAAGTTGCTGGTAAAACTTACTACAGTCAATTGAGGAAATTTATTGTAGAGTTTTGGATCGAGTAAGTTTAAGTGGTTTATCATTTTATAATTTAAGTTGATTTCTTGTTTTGCATCCAAAATTTTCTATTGAATACTTCAATATAAAGATCATGCATTGAAACTCTTCGTCCGCTATTCTAAGAGATACAGTTTATAGTGATACAGCTTATACAGTTTCTCAGATACCGGTAGATGTTTTACAAATTTTCTGCTCTCAATGCAATTAACAGAAATTCCTGATTACTTGATGTAAATAGTGGATAATTGTTGGATGAAAATTAAGTGTTATCAATTAACATTTGAGACTTTTGTTTCTGTTTCGATATTTCTTCCCGGTTCGATCTAAAGTATCTAATTTTGTTTATTCAGGTTTAGTTTGGCATTTTATTATTATATCATTGGATTTTTCAAACGCCGAGAAATCTTTCGAATCAAGTTACTAAATGTTAAATTTTTGCACTCAATTTATCCTTTTCATGTTATTCTTACCTTATTTGTAGAGAAAGTTCCTGTTATTTGGAAGACAAAGATGCAGAACTTCCTGATGATATTACGAGTGAAGAGAGATTGTTCCTTGAATCTGATGGTAAATTCATTGTTATTGGTGAGCCTCTCGTCAAGCAAAAGTGGTTTGGTATTTTTCCAGCTCTTCATGAAAGTTGGTTCAATAATTATGAAGATCATAGCCACTCTTTTAAAGCCACTGTTTTGGACAAAGTTGTTTATATATTGACAGAGGATCTCGAATTTATTCAATTCAATTATGAAACTAAATCCTTCGATAAGAGTAAACCATTCAAAGACGAAAAGTGGGATCTCAATGATTTAATCTTAACTTCGCATCAAACAAACGACGATAAAGTTATTTTGGTCAACAAATCGTCAGGAAAATTACATTATTTCTGTATCAAGCAGAAGAAATGGATTGAAAAATATCGGATCATGAATGTAAATTTTTGTTCCAATAGTTCCAATGTTTATGTTGATAAGTTAATTACCTTCACTTCAACGTTTTTACCGATCAAAAATATCAAACCTTTGTATAGGCAAAGCTTTTATTAACTTTGAACTACCTGAATCACATTCAGACGTGAATATTCATCGGTTTCAATTGTGAGTGTCATTAAATGTAGCATTGATGAAAAACACTCTTGTTTTTAACGTTTTTAGAATCCTTCCTACAGATTTATTATATTTTATATCATTCCAAACCGACTGACATCAGTTTGCAAAAATAACGCTTGTAATGCAAAAATGATACTCGTTCACGCTGATGGTCGTAAACCAAGATTTTTCATACCAGTTCATGAAAAAAGGCAAGAAATTTTGTTTCGGTCATTTTACTCAGGATGAATCTATTCCACTTGAATTTTTCATGTCATTGTTCATTTCTAATGCTGTAATTTACCCACAATTAAAACCTTATATTTTATTTTCTTATTTAAATTATAAATCGTCTTTTGAACTGACAATAACTTTTAATCTTTGCATGATCTTATGAATACACCCATCATTCAGTCCACATAATTTACGATGGCGGATGTGGAATGAATTAGATTACATGTATTCAGTAAATACTAAATACATATACATTGATCAATATTTGACTATCGAAATAAAAGACAAGTTTTGTCAAAAATATGGTTGTAATGCTTCAAAAATGGCCAAAGATCACACTAATAATAATGTGATTTCTCACAATTGTCAGTTTGTATAATCATACGATCAGTCTTACAAACCTAAACTTGAGAAGTTTAAAATAAACGGTTTTTCAATACAACTTTTCTGGTTAAAGATTTAAAGTAGTGTTGCACTAATACTATCGATACGAGTAATAGTATTGATATTTCACTGAGCAATACGTATCGATACTTTGAAAAACGGTATCGATACGAATTCGATACTTTTTTTAGTTGAAAGTTCAAATTAAATCAAGTTTTTGACTTGATTTAAACCCTTTGTCCTGAAAAATCTCTACTTTCTCAAGTATCGAACAATTAGAAACCCAGAATTTTTTCTTCAATTGAAAAGATTTCAATGAAGAAAGGTTGAGTTAAATCTTTTGATTGAATTTAACGCATCAAAGTTCTTAGATTCACTATCTGAATGTATTATTTGAACTTTACATTCATATTCTGAGTACCTAATATTAGCTCGGCAATAATACTTCCAATACTTAAACAATATTTTTGATATTTCAATACTTTCAATATATCAATACTCGGTCGACCAATACCAATATTATCAATCAATACTTCATGAAAGTATTGTGCATCTCTAATTTAAAGATAAGATAAAGTGTTAAGTAACTTGAACCCAGTATCATTAGTAATCAACGGTTTTGGTGGGCTCCATCAATCAATCGTTCATTAACCCACTGGGTTCATTTTGTAAATAGTTAACTAGGCAAAGCAATTGAACCACCAATCATAGACATAAGATCAGTGATTAACATAAACTTTAATTTGAAATGCGACTAAAATCAATTATTTTAATTTGTTTACAAACTATAATATTAATAATCCATTGCTTTAATTAAAAATCACAAAACTGTTTTTGAATAGCGCTTTATCTATTACATAGAACGGGATCGGCTTTTTTGACCACATCCACCAAATCAAACATCATCACTTTTTAAAGTGACTTTTCACCCATGAGCTTTTGATAAAAGCCAATGATTAATCAAACAATGATGATCGTGGGTACTATATTTTCGAGTTGCCGAGGTTTTGTTTTGAAGCCAATGGCCAAAATCAAGTGAACTGTTGATAAATTGTAGATGATTATATGACTGTTGACCGATCGATGATATGTACTGACAGCTTTTATCGGCAAATAATAAGTTTCAGCTCTGTAGCTATTACGATCACAGAATGGCGGAGGTTTAACTGAAAATCGAAGTGATCTTTTGCACAGAAATAGAGAAGTTTATTCCACAAAATAAGTGCATTAATGCCACTAATGGACTCAGTTTCTATGCCTCTAATAACGTTCAAGTCAGCACTCTCAAATCACATATGTCACTCACTTAAGTCATATTTTTTTGGTATCACTCCTTTTTAAGCAATTTAATTCTAGATTATGAATTATCGTCGCCATTGAGAACCTGTACCTCACAAAGAATACAGTAAGCTACCAGATAATGAGAATACCTTCAAATAGCTTATTTACACTATTCGTCGGGCAGCGTAATTCATGGTTTTCAATATTTCTTAATAGAGCAAATTTAACATAAAATGTCGCTTAAAACTTATTTTACGAGTTTTTGGATTGATATTTCACGAAAAAAATTATATTAAGTCGATTGATGATTTAAGAAATCTTATCAAAACTCGACGAACTGCAAAAAGTAGTTCTAACTCCTCCTTCATAGTGGCCATTGAAAATTTATTGGGTTTTCTCAATGGTGACTAAACCCTGTAACCTTCAAATTCCTTGAAAATAATTCTCTCAATTTTAACTCTTATATTGTGCAATGAAAAATATTATAAACGCCCTCGTCAACGCCTAGATTTTAATTAGTATTGTCTGGTATAAAATAAACTTTTAGTAAGTCCTGAGAAAGTTAAAATATATCCAAGTAACAGTTGAAATATTACCGATTACATAGATAATTCCATAACTGCTCATCTAATCTCTTAATTTTTGGAACGTTTTGTAATTCTTACTGATATTAATTATTATGGCAGAAGAACGTGAAAATTGTGATGATGAATTAAAAATTGTGAACAGAAACAGAGAATATTATGTCTCTAAAAAGTTAATTTGTTCATCTGTGCCTTACTTCGAGAAAATGTTTTGTTGTGATCTATTGGAGTCAAAGGAAAACAAGGTTGAAATGGATTTCGACGAACGTGCCTTTGATGCTGTCCTCGATTGGGTTCACTCAGGATCATTCTTTACTCAAATGGATTATGTGATTAGTTTTTACGAGGTAACTGACTACTTGATGATAAATGATGGTTTATTGGAGCCTTGTCTCTCTTATTTCAATGAAAACTTCACTATTGAACATCTTCCAAGCGTTTTAAAGCAAGTCTCAAAAGTGTCTAAATTGACAAGTTCTGGATCTATTAACAACATTATTTGTCGCTACTTCTTGATGATCGTCAATACGAATGTTTACTTGAACTATCCAGTCGAGACAGTTGAAGCTATTCTCAAATTGGATTTGATGGTTTACTCTGAATATCAAATTTTTGAATCAATCATGAAATGGGTTAATCAAAAGGCCGATGCTCGAAAAAATTCACTTCCACAATTATTGAAATGTGTTCGTTGGCCCTTCTCGGATCCTGTTGCTATTTCTAAGATGAAGAATAATGAATTAATCAAGACTCTGTCTAATTTCGATACATTTATCGAATCTGATGGTGAATGTGGATTTAATCGTACTAAACAAAGCTTCTTCGTCTCTATCCAGCAAATAGATAGTAAAATGTCACGATTAAAAGTGTTTGATAATGAATTATTTTGTTTTTCAATCGGAGATTTTACTCAAGACGATTCAATGTCACTTGAATTTGTACATGGAGAACACATTTCAGATATTTTATTTGATTCCGAAACAAAAGGAATCCGAATTGATTGGGTCAAAAAGACATATCGATTGCTAGACTTCAAAGTTGCTGGTAATAATTACTTAATTAAATTAAGGAAATTCATTGTAGATGTCTGGATCAGGTAAGTTGAGCATCATTTTTTATTTAATATTTATTTTATTATAATAAATTACGTGTCATAAAATTTCTCTATTGCTTGATCTAAATATTATGCATTGGATTTCGCCTATTGCGTCAACTATTTAAGAACTTGTGTGATCGATGAAAGTTTCTTAGAAAAATTCCCAACTATTAGAAATTCATTACAATTTTTGTGATTTTATTGCAATTTACAAAAACCTGATTGCTTGATGTAAATACAATGTAATTGTTGAGTGAAAATTAAAAGTTATCAATTAACATTTGAAACTTCAAATTGGCAAACCTCCAGAATTGAATTACATTGAAGTATTATTAATACAAATAAAGTCCTTCAAAGTATTATTTAATATATATTTTCTTTTGAATTTTATTCTTATTGCCACTTTTAAGCGCCACGTGCTGTTATTTGGAAGACAAAAACGCAAAACTTTCTTTTCCACTTTCCGCTGAAGAGACACTGATCCTTGAATCCAATGGTAAATTCATTTTAATTGGTAAAACTGGAGATGAGAAGAAGTGGTTTGGTCTTTTTCCAGTTAGACATGAAGGTTGGTTCAACTATAGCGATTATGAATACTCTTTTAAAGCCACTGTTTTGGACAAAGTTGTTTATATATTGACAGAGGATCTCGAATTTATTCAATTCAATTATGAAACTAAATCCTTCGATAAGAGTAAACCATTCAAAGACGAAAAGTGGGATCTCAATGATTTAATCTTAACTTCGCATCAAACAAACGACGATAAAGTTATTTTGGTCAACAAATCGTCAGGAAAATTACATTATTTCTGTATCAAGCAGAAGAAATGGATTGAAAAATATCGGATCATGAATGTAAATTTTTGTTCCAATAGTTCCAATGTTTATGTTGATAAGTTAATTGCCTTCACTTCAACGTTTTTACCGATCAAAAATATCAAACCTTTGTATAGGCAAAGCTTTTATTAACTTTGAACTATAATCTGTATTAATCAGTGTGAGAGGAAAGAGGTGATTTTTTACTTCAACATTTCATTTATCTAACAATTATCGTTAAAAATAATTAATTACAATCAACATTACTCCATTGTAATATTTAAATGGTAATTTTTTTCAACAAATATAGTTTTCATCGAACCGCCGAATGCACATGAAACATTAAGATGAACACATGTTATTTACTACAGATATTTTGATTCGAACTCGATGGTTTATCAAGAAAATGATGAATTGTGAACAGAAATGTGAAAAATGAAAACTAACTCAACTTAAAGGATGTTGCGGATAAAAAGGAGAATTTATCTTTCCTAAAATTTTGATGCAGATGACGATTTATTGATAAATTTATTTGTCTACGTTTGTTTCTTCTTCAATTTTGTTATCTTCATTGTTATCATGGTCAACGTCATCTTTATCAAAATTTTAACAATTTGCAAGGACAACGAAATGTGTTCAACATATTTTGTATCAATTTCAGTTATCTAATCAACTTATTGAATTAAAAACCTTTAATTATTAATATTTCACTTAAACAAACAAACATGTTTATAACAAACTTAAGTACATTCTATGTTTCTAACTTCCAACTGAGATTCACCAATTATGAATTGAAGAATCTGATTTGAATAGCAAAATGGTAGACAAGTTTAATCAGTTCAAATTTCGTAGTATTAGTTAATAAAGGATTGCGAAAATGACCAAGAGATATTCAGATAATGATGAAATATCTTAGTTTTGAACGTCATGAGATCAGTTTAACAAAGCTAAACTTGAAGAGGTTAAAATATAATAAACGGTTTTTCATTTTCAATTTTCTGGTTAAAGATTTAAAGATAAGATAAGGATTTAATAAAATTGAACCCAAATTCATTATTAATCAACGGTTAAGCTCTTTGACGCCTTTCCTTTGTTGCAAGAAAGGGGAAAGAATCAAAAGGGGAAAAGCAAATTGAACCCAAAAATGGTAAGCGTTAGATAATTAAAAACAGTTACTTTCTTTACAGCTTTATATCAAAACATTTCTGGTTCTGCAAAATTGTTTTTATACAGCATAGAAAATAAAGTTGTACCATGTTTTTGGTATCTTTGCGCATAAAAAGCAACTTTAATTTAAAAAATACAGTCGTCCATTAAAGATTATGAAAGGTATCACAATTGAATTGACCAAGATTATCAGTAATCTAAGATTTTTTCCTCTCTAACACTCATTTTTTGTGATACCAAAGAGTATAAGAAGAGGTATCACTCAATGGGACCCTCAGGTCTTTGGATTTAAATTTTTTCCTGCTTAACAAGATGGTAGTGTTGTGCTCGATCGATTCGATCATCGATTTAATCGATTATCGCTTGCCAACTTTGTGATCGATGATCAACATGGAAAATCGAAAATCGAAAAAGAGTATGGTTGCCGTAAGATGTTAGATTGGGGTTAAATTAAAAACTGAAATTAAGATTAATTAGGATTTATAAGTTTAGAGCTAGGATAGAAACGCTCAAAAAAAGTCAAAATTAAAGCGTCAAAAATGTTAATTTATTATGCGTTCACGATTCTCTACCAAAATGTTACATTTTATAACTTTTATATGTTGTGTTTCAATGTTTTGTTTACATTAAAAATCGATCGATTTAATCGATTTTTTGAGTTTTTAATCGAAAAAATCGATCAGCCCTAAAATCGAAAATCGCCCATCACTACAAGATGGCACTAAACATCAATTTTCATTTAAACTTAATACAATCGGGTTTGATTGCGATAACTGTTATCTATTTGCGATAATTGTCTTAATTATAACAATACATTTTTAAATCAGAGCCATCTGTGTAAGCAGGAAAATAGTTAAACCTGAAGACTTTATGGTTTTCATTAAGTGGGCTCTCTTGTTATACTCTTTGTGTGATACCTTTCATAATCTTAAATGAACGACTGTATTTTTGAATTGCAATTGCTTTTAATGCGCAAAGATACCAAAAACATGGTACAACTTTATTTTCTATGCTGTATAATCTATAACTCCATATCTTTAACCATCAACGATCTATCATGGAAACTGATCCAGATAAAGTGCTTATTGTGAACCGATCGAAAAAGTATCGTGTTGGTAAACGTTTTATCTGTTCCCGTGTGCCTTACTTTGAAAAAATGTTTTCTTGTGATTTCTTGGAATCAAAGGAAAACAAAGTTGTTCTTGATTTGAATGAACGGTGTTTTGGTTTGATTCTTCATTGGCTCCAGTATGAACACATATTAATCAAAATGGATTGTGTGATTGGAGTTTACGATATTGCTGATTACTTGGTGATGGATAGGCAGCTGCTAACATATTGTATTAACTATTTCGATGTTGACTTTCAGAAAAATTTCTCTGTTGAACATATTCCAGTTGTTATTCCTCAAGTCTCTGAAGTATCCAAGTTAATGAATTCTGATCAACTCAATTCGTTTATTTGCCGACACTTTTTGAAAATAGTTCACACAACTGTTTTTCCAATCTATTCAATTGAAACATTGGAATACATATTGAAATTGGATTTAATGGTGTTTTCAGAATATCAAGTTTTCGAAGCGATAGTCACTTGGATTGAAAATGATCCGGACTCAAGAATACGCAAGCTTGCAGATCTTTTTAAACATATTCGTTGGTGTCATTTATCTGTGGAGGATTTGAAAAAAATAAAGTTACACGATTCAACTAGACATTTGCCATATTTCAAATCAATCATTTGCTCATCAACTACTTGTGCATTTGGTTCATGTGAATTCAATCGCAGTAATCAAAGTTTTTTCATCATCGTTTATGAAATGGACGATCCTCACTTAAAAATTAAAATACTTGAATAAATAATAGTTCAAATATTTACTCAACACATATGTTACATTGGATGCATCAATTTCATATGGATTTATACATGACGAAAACGTTACTGATATTTTTTATGATTCAGGAAAAAAGAATTCGTGTTGATTGGTCTAATAAAACTTTCAGCTATCTTTTTGTTAGTAATCACTACAGGCTGGTTCATAATATTTTTTTCAAATATTCACATCATTCAAGTAAGTTAGTTGCTTCTTTTCTAGTATTCATAATTTTTATCGAATTTCTTCAAGCTAAAAAATTTTTATTTACTTTTCATTCCCGCTTCAAGATGGAAATCTCTTTCTATCGAAGACCCAGATTCGAAATTATACTCCGCTTACTCTGAACCCAGTGAAGAGAAGATGTTCATTGAAGTTAACTACAAAATTTTCATTCTTATCAGGGATATACCAAGCCGTAAATTTTATTGCATCAAGTCTGATTTACAAAGTTTTTTGGATAATTATAAAGCCGGAAACCTAACTTTCCTTGCAACGGCTTCAAATAACTGCATTTATATTTTAACAAATGAAGCTCATTTCATTGAGTTCAACACTGTCGCTCGAACCTTCAGGATAAGTACGTGATTTAAGGACTCAAAGATAATATTCAAAGATCTAATTCTAACTTCTCATCAAGATAAAGTGATTATTTTGCTCAAGTCGGCTGGAAAAATTCAAGTATGACATGACTTCCGAGAAATGGAGTGCAATGGGCCAGATAAAGAGTCTTAACACTGATCCCGAAGGAAATGATTTGAACAGGATGTTAACTTTTGGCCCAGCTTTTTTGCCATTGCAGAAACTTAACCTCTTCTCATGAAATTTTTATGGATATTTTTTGTTTTCAACGCCCGTTGCTTCTCTTAAAAACACAAAAACGCTATTCTCATCTCAAAATTTTCTGCAGCCTTAACAGCCAACTAGACAAAGCAGACAAAAATCTCTAGTTTTGTTACTTTTCAAGTTTATGACCACTGTTCTGTTATAGTTAACCCTCTTTAAGTTGGAGCCTTTAAAAGTTTGACGTTTCTAGGCAATAGCCCAAACAACTTGATCAGTATCCTGAGCCAATAGGTCAATCTTTGGCTAATCCACGTGTACTTGACTGCAAAATAGACCATAAGCTATTATGACTTTGCCCGTCTAACACATCATGTAGTCCTTGAAAAATGTTTTAGTTTCAAGAATTAATTAATGTAATCTTAAATTAATTACAAATAATTTTTGTAATCTTTTTACCAATCATTTAACTAAACCAAAGCAACATCAACTGTATTTAAATATTGATCTTGTGTGTTTTAAGCATAGAAACAACTTATTTCCATTTGTTTTATTAATTCTTCAGTTGCATTGAAACCCGGATTAAAATGGACATCGATAGTGATGATCGTTTAACCATTGTGAATAGAACTTTGATTTACAATGTTTCCAAAAAGCTCATCTGTTCATCTGTGCCTTACTTTGAGAAAATGTTTTGTTGTGATCTGTTGGAATCAAAGGAAAACAAAGTGGTCCTGGATTTTGATGAACACGCATTTGATGCTATTCTTAACTGGATTCACACAGGATTATTCACAATCAGAATGGACAGTGTAATCAGCTTATACGAGTCTGCTGATTATCTGATGATAAATGAACGTTTGTTGCAACCTTGTCTCTCTTATTTCCATGAAAATTTCACCATTGAGTTTCTCCCAGTTATTTTACCGCAAGTCACCAAAGTGTCCAAGCTGATAAATTCAGGAGCCATTGAAAGCTTCATTTGTCGCCATTTCTTGAAGATTGTTAATACGAGTGTTTTCTTGAATTATCCAGTTGAGACAGTTGAGGAAATTATTAAATTAGAGTTAATGGTTTACTCTGAACTCCAAATATTTGAAGCAATCATGAAATGGGTGAATAAAAATGCAGAACAAAGAAAAGAATTTCTTTGCCGTTTATTGAAATTCGTCCGTTGGTCTTTCATTGATTCTGTTGATATATCTAAGATAAAGGAGGATAAGTTAATCAAGACTCTTGAAAATCTGGATTCAATCATATGCTCTGGTGGTCAATATGGATCCGATCGTAGTAAACAAAGCTTTTTCATATCAGTTCATGAAAAAAAGGACAGAAATTTAAGAATAAGAATCTTTGATAGTAGATTTTTATGTTTACCCATTGGTGATTTTACTCAGGATGACTCTATTCCCCTTGAATTTGTTCATGGAGAACACATTTCGGATATTTTATTTGATTCTGGAAGAAGAGGAATACGAATCGATTGGATTAAAAAGACATTCAGATGGCTCCATTCAACAGGCGAGGGTAAAACTTTTCATCATCAGATTTATCAATTGGTTATCAAGTTTTTGACTGAACCCAAGTATGTAATTATTAGCTTTTATTTCACATCAATCGAGTGCATGAATTTAAACCTAAATCAAATATTGACCGCTTATTTGAAGTAATGACTACAACTATTCAATTTATTTATATATTTCTTTATCTTTTTCAAGCTACTCAGATTGCTATTTGATGGACAAAGACACTGAACTGCCACACAAGGTTCCTGGAGATGAATGCATGCTTCTTGAATCTAATTATCAATTCATTTTGATTGGCAAAGCAGAAGAAAAGTTTTTTGGTATTTTCGAAGTCGCTCGCTGTTGGTTCATAACTAATTATTTAGAAATGGATTATACTTTCATAGCAACTGTTTTGGACAATCATGTTTATATTTTAACTCGTGACATTGAGTTCATCAAATTCAGTTTCGATACTGGTACTTTCAAGAAGAGTGAACCATTCAAAGAACGCAAGTTATGTTTCGAGGAATTGATCTTAACTTCACACCATGCGAATGATGATAGAATAATTTTGCTCGATAAATCATCTGGAAAGATTTACTGTTTCAATATTACCAATGAAAGTTGGACTGAAATGTGCCAAATCATGAATTTAAATTTTGATTCGACTTCTGTTGTGGACTCTAATAAGTTAATTGCTTTCACTTCAACATTTTTACCAATCAATTCAATCAAACCTCAGTTTGAAAGAAAATTTCTGTGACTTTTGCCATAATTTTTATTTTGACGAAGATAATCAGTTTAAATAAATGTGAGATTTTCCAACCTTCCATAATTCATGAGTACATTTCATTTGTAAGATTTAGCTTTTACTGTAAGCAAATTTTTTGAGAAGGGATTCGATTACACTTCTCCACTAATTGGTCAGAAGATGTGCATCTAATTTCATCACATAGCGGCAAGTCTAAACAAGTGTTAGTCAATGCCTTTGTCGTTTCTTTACTTTGTCACTAAAGGGTTGAGAATTTTATAAATAATCGATTGTTTCCTAGATATTTAGCTCAAACCACATAATCTACGATCGATCTTTAACTGAAGATCGATTAAGATTTATCACTTGATTAGAAACACTACCTATTTCATAAATAACTGTATAACTTTTGCTTCTCAACTAAGCCATTGGATTTTCGGAACGGTTTGAGGTTTCAATCGAATACAGTTGTTATGGCAGAGGACCATGAAAATGGTGCTGATGATTTGAAAATTGTGAACAGAAACAGGGAATATTATGTCTCTAAAAAGCTCATTTGTTCATCTGTGCCTTACTTCGAGAAAATGTTTTGCTGTGATCTATTGGAATCAAAAGAAAACAAGGTTGAAATGGACTTCGACGAACGCGTCTTTGATGCTATCCTCGATTGGATTCATTCTGGATCATTCTTTATCAAAATGAATTATGTGATTAGGTTTTACGACGCAACTGATTACTTGATGATAAATGAAAGTTTATTAAAACCATTTCTCTCTTATTTTTATGAAAACTTCACTATTAAACATCTTCCAGTTATTTTACCTCAAGTCACCAAAGTGTCCAAATTGTTGAGCTCTGGAACTCTAGACAGCATTATTTGTCGCCGTTTTTTGTTGATTGCCAATACGGATATTTTCCTGAATTATCCACTCGAGACAGTTGAAACTATTCTTCGATTAGATTTGATGGTTTACTCTGAATACCAAATCTTTGAATCCATCTTGCAATGGGTATATGAAGATGATTCCAGAGAAAAATGGTTTCCTCAGTTATTGAGCTGCGTTCGTTGGTCTTTCATGGATCCTGTTGCTATTTCTAAGATAAAGAATAATGAATTAATAAAAACTCTGTCTAATTTCGATACATTTATCGAAACGAATAGGGACTGTGGATTTAATCGGAGTAATCAAAGCTTCTTCGTCTCTATCCATCGAGTAGGCAATACATTGTTACGGTTAAAAGTGCTTGATAATGAATTATTTTGTTTTTCGGTTGGTGAGTTTACTCAAGACGATTCAATGTCACTTGAATTTGTTCATGGAGAAAACACTTCAGATATTTTATTTGATTCTGGAACCAAAGGTATTCGCATTGATTGGGTTAAAAAGACATATCGATGGATCAACTTTAAAGCTGCTAATAAAACTTACCACAGTAAATTAAGAAACTTCATTGTAGAGGTTTGGTTCAAGTAAGTTCAAATTATCATTGAAATAATGATTGATTTTTTTTTATTTAATTATTTTTGGGATAATTAAAAGTTTACTTATTTTTTTATGCGTCTGTGACGGTCAGAATGTGACCGTTTCGTTAATTTATATTTTAAAAGCTTTCCATTGCTTTGCTTGATGACAGTCTCTCTGAAAAAATTCTGAATCCCGCAAAAATGATATCAATTTTTCAATTTTATTTTCTCTGATGTTATTCATAACTTATTTGTAGAAGAAATTCTTGTTACCTGGAAGACAAAGACGCAAAACTTTCATTTCCGCTTTACTCAGAAGATTACTTACTCCTTGAATCTAATGGTAAATTCATTGTGATTGGTAAAACTAAAGGCACCAAAAAATGGTTTGGTATGTTTCCTGTTACTCATCCAAGTTGGTTCAATTATGAAGATCATGCACACTCTTTCAAAGCCACTGTACTGGACGATGTTGTTTATATATTGACTAAGGATCTTGAATTCATCCAATTCAATTATGAAACTCGATCCTTTTATAAGAGTGAACCGTTCAAAGGAAAAAAATGGAATTTCAATAATTTAATCTTAACTTCACATCAAACAAAGGATAACAAAGTTATTTTGGTCAACAAATCATCAGGAAAAGTACGTTATTTCTGCATTAATCAGAAGAAATGGATCGGAAAATATCGTATTTTGAATGTAAACTTTTGCTCCAACAACTCTCATGTTTATGTTGATATGTTAATTGCCTTTACGTCAACGTTTTTACCGATTAAAGATATCAAACCTTTGTACAGGCAATGCTTTTATTAACTTTGAACTATCTGTATCACATTCAGATTTGCATATTTCTCGGTGTCAATCGTGAGTGTCATTAAATGTAAAATTGTTAAAAAATATTATTGTCCCATTCAATTGCATCATTAATTTCAATACATGTATATCTTTCTCAACCAGTTGTAAGCTTTTTTAGTTACCAGTTTCTAAGCCTTCGCAGCTTGAGTACATTGCAAAGCTAAAACTCAACTTAGCTCATGACTCAAACCAGGCGGCAGTCTTTGAAGACAGCTTGTTGGAGACAAAATATCGTCTCACAAGTCAGAGTTAACTTTTTCTGTAAACAAATTTATTTGAGAAGGGATTCGATTACATTTTTCACTAATTGGTCAGAAGATTGCTTCTTATTTCATCATTTAGCGGCAAGGCTCAACAAAGTGTTAATTTATGCCTTTGTCGTTGCTTTACTTTTGGCAGGGTAAAACAATTGATCCACCAATGAAATTAAGCGGAATCATTGGTTTACATTGTAGTCTAAAGCAAAGAGTAATATAACTTGTTTTACTCTTTGGTCTAAAGTCTTTAGGTCTTACATTGCGATCTCTTTTTTAAACTACTCTTTTCATTTTGCGTTTCTAGTTGTGTTAGAGAGTACTATTTAACTTGTGATCCTGATAAACTAGACTTCAACACTTTTATAAATAATTTTTTTAAACTGGCTTTTATAAATCATGGATAACGAAGTAGAGCCTGTCGCCGCTGATGATACTTTAATGATCGTGAATAGATCAAAAAAGTATTGGGTTAACAAACAGTCAATATGTTCATCGATCCCATATTTGGGCAAAATGTTTTCTTCGGGTATATTGGAACCAAACGACAAGAAAGTTGTGCTTGACTTTGATGAACGTGCTTTCGACATGATTATTCGCCATGCAAACTTGGATGGAGTTATAATCGAAATGGATTGTGTAATTAAACTTTATAATTTGGCCGATCACTTGATGATTGAGAATGAATTGTTGGAGGATTGTTCTTCTTATTTCTATTCAAATTTTTCACTTGAAAATCTCGAAGTTGTTATTCCTCAAGTATCCAAAGAGTCCAAGCTGTTTAATGTTGCTGCTCTTGAAACTTTCATCTGCCGGCACTTTCTTAAGATATCTAATTCGGCTGCTTTTCTGGACTATTCAGTTGACACAATTGAGTATATTTGCAAGTTGAATTTGGTGATCTCATCTGAATATCAGGTTATCCAGGCAATCACTAAATGGATCGGAGCTAATGATACCAGAAAAATTCATTTGATTCGTTTATTGAAATGTGTCCGCTGGTGCTTCTATAATTATGACCTGTTATCATTTTCCCAAGACGAATTGATGAAATCTGCCGATCTTACATCTTTAGTTTGCACTCCAGATAAATGTAATTGTAATTGTGTCTACAATCGATCTAACCGCAAGTGTTTTGTTGTTATTTATGAGTTGGACTCATCAAATGTGAACATCAAGATTCTTAACAATAAATTCATCATGTTATTTAGTGACAACTTTGAATTGAATGAATCGATGTCATTGAATATACTGCATGATGAACATGTATGTGATGTCTTTTTCGATTCAGGGAGCAAAGGCATTAGATTTGATTGGAATTCAAAGAAATATCGCTGGCATGATTTTTCCATTTACAGTAAATGCTATTATACTCAGCTTCAAAAGTGTATTAGCAAAAATGTCGAAGAGTGAGTATATCGACTCCGTTATAATTTCATTGTTCAATTCATTATATGTTCAGTGAATTGTGTCAGTCTTTTTTCATTCTCTGTTATTTATTCCATTTTTTTCTTCATTAGAAAATGGTCTCATCTTCGGACTGATGCTAACACCAAGCAAAACCTTTCTCCATTACCTTATTGTCATGAGATGGCCATTCTGGAGAATAAAGAAAATCTGATGTTGATTGGTAAAATCAAGAAGGGGAGATTCATATATACAGTTCCATTGCCCACTAAATTGTCGAAATATGCACTTAAAGAAGATAAAGCACGATCTTTTATTGCTACCGTTTTGAGCAACGTTATTTACATCATGAATAGAAACTTTGAATTCATTGAGTTCAATCTTGATGACGGATCATTCAAAAAGAGTAAGCCATTCGACGGTGACAAGTTTAATTTTGATGATCTGGCTTTGACTTCTCATCAATCTCGTGATTCAAAAGTCATTCTGGTTGATAAATCAACCAGAGATATCTTTACTTTCGATGTTTCCAGTGGAAAATGGTGGTCGATTGGGCGAATCAATCGTCGCAGCTCCAAAAATGATGAGAAGTCCACTAAGCTACTTGCTTTTACTTCTGCACTATTATCGATTGATCATATCAAACCTCGCTCGAAAAGAAAACTGATCTCACTTGACCAATGACTTTGAAGACAGATAATCAGCATTGATGGCTGTGGTATGAACATATTTCAAAATGAAAAATATATTGAATTTAATTAAAGAATAAATTGTGTTTGCTAGAAACAATTAATATTGTCTGCTACATTCTTTACATTTTATTAACAGTCAATTTACATTGAATGGGTTAAGTAGATTTAAAGACATGCAGTCCGGGTCAATATTTTTGCTCATTTTAGTAATGCATGCTTTCCAATGTGATTCCAAAAGAGACTCCTGGGATAGGCATTATGCGTTTGTACTGTATTGTTATGAATGATGGGCGAAAACTATGCTTGAAATCATTGAATTCCGATTGAACTACAGGGGGAAACCACTAAATTTTACTTTTAACAATAAGTGTAGTTGAATGATTCCCCCTGTAAAATAAGTTGGCAAGGGATAAAAAGAAAACAAAAAATTCAAGGAAAAACGTCTATTGAGTTGAAGTAATGCTTTGTAATGAAATACAGCATTGTTAAATTACAATATATGGAATTATTGCATTTGATGGAGACACATACTTATAAAATTTGGAAATTTGGCAAGATAAAAAATTAATTCGTGAAATTCGTGCTGATGCAAGCGCCAAAGACACGGAAAGATATTGTACACTTGTTATAACAGATTTGTTCAGGTCAACAGGTATAACAGGTCAGATTTGTTGTAATAAAAGCCTTCAATTGAATAGGTCGATAATGGTCAAATATGATGGATTTCAATTTGATTATTTGATGCTCAAAATATACCAATTAGATTCGTTGATAAATAATGAAATTTAAGTTAAATTAAGCCAAATGTGGATGCAGATCAGAATGGAACAAACTTTCTTTTGTATAAAGGTTTGATATTTTTCATGGATAAAAACGCCGAAGTGAAGGTGATTAACTTATCAACAGGTAGATCGGCACTCTTGGAGCATGGACCAACATTCATTATTTGATATTTTTGTACCCATTTATTTTCATCCACGTAGAAAATATACATTTTTCCAGATGATTTATTGACCAGAATAACTTTATCATCTTTTGCTTGGTGTGAAGTCAAGATTAAATCCTCGAAAGTAAATTCATCTTCATCGAAAGGTACACTTGAATTGAAACTTTTAGTCGAATAATTGTATTGTATAAACTCGAGCTTTTCCGTTAATATATAAACAACATTGTCCAGAACAGTGGCTAGGAAAGAATGCATACGACATTTATAATCATCGAACCAACTGGAATTAGGCTTTGAGAAAGATCCAAACCACTTTTGTTCGCGAGTTTTACCAATGACCACGAATTTACCATTAGATTCAAGGATCTTCCTTTCATCGGAAAGCGATAAAGAAAGTTTACCCTCTGTCTTTTCCAATGAAAAGACCTGACATCTAAAAAAAGGACAGCGAAATAAGGAGAAAAAATTCATATTAAAATCACAGGATATAAAATTCGATAATTTGCTGCATTGTACATACCTCATATCGCTCAGAAAATTTAAAATCAATCTATTGATATCGCTGTAGTAAGTACTGCCAGGTGCTTTAAAGTCAAGCCATCGAAATGTCTTTTTAACCCAGTCAATTCTGATTCCTTTTCTTCCAGAATCAAACAGAATATCTGAAGTGTGTTCTCCATCAACTAATTCAAGTGGCATAGTATCGTCACTCTTAAAATCACAGATCGGTAAACAGAACAATTTCTTATCAAATACTTTGATCCGTAAATTTTGTTTGTTTATTTTATGGATAGAAATGAAGTAGCTTTGATTACTACGATCGAATCCTTGTTTATCGTCCATCCTGACTGAATCATAATCTGGCATTGATTTGATTAAGGGATCATCCTTTATCTTAGGCACATCAAAAGGATCAATGAAAAACCAACGGACGCAATTCAATAGCGGTGCAAGAAATTTCTTTCTTGATTCTGCATGTTTATTCACCCACTTCATGATCGATTCAAATATTTGATATTCAGAGTGAACCATCAGATCCAATTTGAGAATAGTTTCAAGTAATTCAAACGATAGGTCCAAGAAAACATTCGTATTGACAATTTTCAAGAAATGGCGACAGATAAAGTTTTCAAGAGCTCCTGAACTTATCAACTTGGATACTTTGGTGACTTGGGGTAAAATAACTGGAAGATATTCAATGGTAAAATTTTCCTGGAAATAAGAAAGACAAGGCTGCAACAAACGATCATTTATCATCAGATAATCAGCTGCTTCGTAAAAACTGATCACATTTTCCATTTGAATTAAGAACGATCCAGTATGAATCCAATTGAGTATAGAGTCAAAAACACGTTCTTCAAAATCAAGTTGCACTTTGTTTTCCTTTGATTCCAACAAATCACAGCAAAACATTTTCTCAAAATAAGGCACAGATGAGCAGATGAATCTCTTGGAGACAGTATATTCAACATTTCTATTAACAATTATCAATTCTTGATCTTCTTTATCCATAATTATTGAAATACTTTATTAAAACACAGAAAATAATTACCATTTGAAACTTGACTTCAAAAATTTAAAGCGCCGTTTGCAAGCCACATGATAACAAGTTGTTAATAACAACCAAAAAAGCTTGCAAGTTTAACTCCATCTATTAACACAAGAACAAAATTGTTTTTATTTTGAGCTCATGATTGAGATTCTTTTCTATGCTGTGCTTGAGATTGCAATTGTCGAATGTATGAGTTGAAGATTTGATAACATTCGAAGTTGCTGATTTTGCAAAATATTAGATTCAATTCTAGTTTTTTAAAATCACTCAGTAAAAGATCGAGTAGTTCACCGAGGGATAATTGCTGTAATCGATATTCTTAAAAAGTTTTTGTTTCCTTGAGAGCTCTTTATGTGGCTCTCAATATATTGGGAAATTTTTTATTTACTCATGTAAATTGGCTCAGTGCATATCAAAATCATGACCTCAAAATAAATCTATGCCATTAATGAAACATTGATATGAACAAAGTATCATCATCTCGATTAAATCGTAACGAAAAGATGAATTTCCAGTAAAACAAGAATGAAAGAAGAAATTTCAGAGAAGCCTTCATTGTAGCATCAGGACCAAGGACCATGAATTTAGGAACTCAAATATGAGCAAAGATATCATATAATACTGTAAATGAATATGGAAGTTAAGGATTGATGCAAGATTGTAAAAATTCGTCTTAAAATCATTAGGTTACATAAATATCAAATCATAAGTTGTGTTATTCGCATTGTGAACAGCCCACTATAGCAATAATGTAGTCAAAGTTAAAATGTTGAGTAAACTGTCTGAGTGAGTAAAAGACAAATGCAATATGAATGCATTAGATATGAAACTATAATACAAACAAATTATGAATCAACCAATAAAACAATTCAAACCTTTAATTTTGTGCCAATAGATGGAGTTCATTCCAAGCAACTCTGGTCAGTGGAAATAAAGATTTTCGCAATCGCCCAATTAGACTCACTCAATGTTGAGATCTTGATTGGTAAAGAAATGAATCTCTTGTGTTGTTTGCTGTGAACTAGATAATCATGGAATCAGAAGATCAAGAATTAATAATTGTCAACAGGAAATGTGAATATATTGTTTCTAAAAAGTTAATTTGTTCAATTGTTCCTTACTTTGAGAAAATGTTTTGTTGTGATTTATTGGAATCAAAGGAAAACAAAGTGCAACTAGATTTTGATGAACATGTGTTTGATGCTTTACTCGATTGGATTCATTCGGAATCTTTCGTCATGCAAATGGAAATTGTGATCAGTTTTTACGAAGCAGCTGATTATTTAATGATCAATGAACCTTTATTTCAACCTTGTCTGGCCTTTTTTCATGAAAACTTTTCCATCGAACATCTTCAAGTGGTTTTACCTCAAGTTACAAAAGTGTCCAAATTGGTCAATTCGGAATCTATTGAAAGATTTATTTGTCGCCATTTCTTACTGATTGCCAATACTAATACTTTCCTGGAATACCCTGTGGAAATTATTGAAGCTATTCTCAAATTGGATTTGATGGTTCACTCTGAATATCAAATATTTGAATCGATCATGGAATGGGTGAATAAAAAGGCTGATTATCGAAAGGAATTTCTTCCAAAGTTACTGGACTGTGTGCGTTGGTCTTTTATGGGTCTTGATGATTTATCTAAGGTGAAGGATAATGAGTTGATTAAGATTTTGCCTAATTTTGATTCAATCATTACCTCTAATGCTGATTGTGAATTCAACCGTAGTCGCCAAAACTTCTTCATTTCAATTCAGGAAATAGATGGTGCAGTTTTGCGGATAAAAACTTTTGACAATGAATTTTTCTGTTTATCAATCGGCGATTTTACGCGTGATGATACTATGCCACTTGAATATTTTTCTGGAGAACACACGTCAGATATTTTATTCGACTCTGGAACTAAAGGAATCAGAATTGACTGGGTTAAAAAAACATTTCGATGGCTTAACTTTGAAGTTAAGGGTAAAACTTACTATAGTCAAATCTATGGATTGATTTATAAATTTTTTCGTGCTTCGTGTTTCAGGTTGGTATGGTTTATATTATTCACTCAAAACATGAACTTCAAAAGTAGAGGCCTAGTCCTGCTAACAGCCAAATATTTTTCGACTCTTTTCGATCTGTATGTCATTTTCTTGATTTTCTTCATTTCAGATGAGAGTTTAGATTAAGAAAACGAAACTGAAAACATTATAAATTGTCAGTCAAAACAGTAATTTAAATCAAAGTTGGAGTAAATCGTCTTTTTAGACTCGATTGGCTGTTTTTTGGTGAAAATTTTAGAATCGATTACAATTTCAAACTGCATTTAATCGATTAGTTTAGTTTCTTTTATTAGAAAATTTATACACGACAATCAGTATTCCTTCACATGAGCCCATGAAACTTTGCGATTGAACTCAATTATGAATATTAACCGTCGGTTTCAACCAACACTAGCTTCATTTATATATTATATAATAGTTAAAGATTTAAAAAATGCTGTTTTCAGTTTCATCGGTTTTTAGCTTCTTTCAGTTCTATCTAGAAGATAAAGATGCTAAACTTCCCTTTCTATCAGCCATTGAAAAAAAAACAATCCTTGAACCGGATGGTAGATATATTTTGAAATAGTTATGCTCGAATTCATAAGTTTAATTCTTCTTCCTTACGTATTCATACTTTATTTGTAGATTTATTAACTGTTATTTGGAAGACAAAGATGCAAAACTTCCTAATGATATAACCAGTGAAGAGAAACTGCTCCTTGAATCTAATGGTAAATTTATTGTAATTGGTAAAACTTTTCACGAGAAGAAGTGGTTTGGTCTTTTTCCAGTTGAACGTCCAAGTTGGTTCAATAATTTTGCAGATCACGACCATTCAGTCCATGCCACTGTTTTGGACAAAGTTGTTTACATATTGACAAAAGATCTCGAATTTATTCAATTCAATTATGAAACTAAATGCTTCAATAAGAGTGAACCATTCAAAGACGAAAAGTGGGATTTCAATGATTTAATCTTAACTTCGCATCAAACAAACGACGATAAAGTTATTTTGGTCAACAAATCATCAGGAAAAGTGTATTTTTTCAACATTAAGGAACAAAAATGGTTACAGAAATATCGAATCATGAATGTCAGCTCAAAGAGTTCTAGTGATACGATGTTCCATAAATTAATCAGCTTCACTTCAGCATTTCTACCGATGAAAGTTATCAAACCTTTGTATAAAAGAAAATTTTCTGAGCTCTGAACGATATATGTTTATTTGAGTTCACCATATTTTTTTCGGTAATTCATTAATAAAAAGTTCAATCAATATGATCATAGATTCCATATTTGGGGAAAATCTTTTCTTCGGGCACTAGAGCACTAGAGCTGATAGTTTTGCGAATATTTACATTCGAATACTCATCCGAATATTCGCAAGTGATTAAAGTAATAGGACAACCATAAAATTTAACAAAAATTACACACAATTGAACAGAAATTGGTCATAAAGCTTGCAAAAAATTTCACTATTTATTTGAGTAATCGAGTATTCGCTCTAGTTTGCACTCCAGATAAATGTGATTGTGCCACAAATCAATTTAACCGCAAGTATTAATATTAACCGCTAATATTTTGTTGTTATTTGTGAGTTGGACTCATCAAATGTGAATATCAAGGTTCTAAACAATAAATTCATCATGTTATTAAGTGACAACTTTGAATTGAATGAATCGTTGTCATTAAATATACTGCATGATGAACATGTATGTGATGTCTTTTTCGATTCAGGGAGCAAAGGAATTAGATTTGATTGGAACCCGTAGACATACCGTTGGCATGATTTTTACAATTTTAGTAAATGCTAATATACTCACCAGCTTCAAAAATGTATTATAAAAAATAATGAATAGAAACTGTGAATTCATTGCGCTCAATCATGACAATTTCAAATCATGATCATTCAAAAAGAGTAAGCCATTCGAAATGTTTAACTTTGACGACACTGGTAGCTGTACTTAACGCAATAAATTGGGTTTTCAGTTAACGCAATTTTTAGTTGTCGCCATCTTTGGTATTTTATTGTTTTAGAGAAATTAATATGTAATTAATGCTCAACCTTGAAGATATTTGCATGTTCTAATAGATGACGACTATGGTAAAAATTGACCCATTTTTTGCGTTAAGTGCAGCTACCAGTGGATTTGGCTTTGACTTCTCATCAATCTCGTGAATCAATCGTCGCAGCTCCAAAAATGATAAATAAACAAATAAAACAATTAATTTGATTATTGCGTCAATAGATGGAGTTCATCTCAAGCGTTTATAATTCACTCTTGCTAGTAGCAATACAGTAAATTCACACTTATTTTGACCAAAAAAACAGCGCCGTCTATTATACTGCCAATAGTAAGACGAGAGTACTATTTAAGTTATCCAAGCACTGTTTATCCTAGGGCTAAAGCTCTGATACCAATAGATGGCTCTGATTTTTTGGTCAAAATAAGTGTGAATTTACTGTAGTGTTAAGATTTTGACCAATTATACTCATTCAATGTTGAAAACTTCATTGTTAAAGAAAAAAATCCCTTTGTGTGGTTTTCGCTGAACTTGATAATCATGGAATCAGAAGATCAAGAATTAATAATTGTCAACAGGAAATGCGAATATAATGTTTCTAAAAAGTTAATTTGTTCATCTGTGCCTTATTTTGAGAAAATGTTTTGTTGTGGTCTATTGGAATCAAAAGGTAACAAAGTGGTGCTAGATTTTGATGAAAAAGTCTTTGATGCTATACTCGATTGGATTCATTCGGAGTCTTTCGCTATTCAAATGGATAATGTGATCAGTTTTTATGAAGCAGCTGATTATTTGATGATAGACGAAAGTTTGTTTCAACCTTGTTTTTCTTATTTTCATGAAAATTTCACCATTGAACATCTTCCAGTGGTTTTACCTCAAGTTACAAAAGTGTCCAAATTGGTTAATTCAGAATCTATTGAAAGATTTATTTGTCGCCATTTCTTGATGATAGTCAATACTAAAACTTTCCTGGAATACCCTGTGGAAATTATTGAAGCTATTCTCAAATTGGATCTGATGGTTCACTCTGAATATCAAATATTTGAATCGATCATGGAATGGGTGAATAAAAAGGCTGATTATCGAAAGGAATTTCTTCCAAAGTTACTGGACTGTGTGCGTTGGTCTTTTATGGGTCTTGATGATTTATCTAAGGTGAAGGATAATGAGTTGATTAAGATTTTGCCTAATTTTGATTCAATCATTACCTCTAATGCTGATTGTGAATTCAACCGTAGTCGCCAAAACTTCTTCATTTCAATTCAGGAAATAGATGGTGCAGTTTTGCGGATAAAAACTTTTGACAATGAATTTTTCTGTTTATCAATCGGCGATTTTACGCGTGATGATACTATGCCACTTGAATATTTTTCTGGAGAACACACGTCAGATATTTTATTCGACTCTGGAACTAAAGGAATCAGAATTGACTGGGTTAAAAAAACATTTCGATGGCTTAACTTTGAAGTTAAGGGTAAAACTTACTATAGTCAAATCTATGGATTGATTTATAAATTTTTTCGTGTTAACAGGTGAGTATGATTAATAATAGCATGGACGACACTCAGAATGGTAAAACTAAATAGCCAAAAGTCAGGTTTCAACTTGCAAATCAGCCATTAGTTTTTCAAAGAAGTTTAGAAGAAATAGTGTTTATTTTACATGTTATTTTTTAAGATATGTCTGCCTTTTAGAGATATCATTAATCTGTAGCTAATTTGAAAAGGCATCTAGTCGACGAAATTGATACGACAGTCGATATTCTTTCAAATGAACCCATGAAACTTTGTGATTGATCTCAATAATGACTATTAACCTTCAGTTTCAAACAAGACTGTTTTTCTTTAGTATCGTACAAGATTTGCAATGCTTTTTTTGCAGTTTTAGCAGGGTTTTAGCTTCTTTCATAGCTATCTAGAAGATAAAGATGCAAATTTTTTCTTCTTCTTGTTATTCAAGAAAACATTCCTTGAATCTGATCGCGGTTATATTTTGAAATTGTTAAACTCAGATTTAAAGGTTTATTTCTTCTTTCATATGTTATTCATACTTTATTTGCAGAAGAAATTCTTGTTATTTGGAAGACATTGATTCAGAACTTCCTCAGTCGATTCCCACTGGAGAGATACTGATTCTTGAATCTAATGGTAAATTCATCGTGCTTGGTAAAACTGGAGACGAGAAGAAGTGGTTTGGTCTTTTTCCAGTTGAACGTCCGAGTTGGTTCAATTATTATGAAGATCATGAACACTCTTTTAAGGCCACTGTTTTGGACGATGTTGTTTATATATTGACAAGGCATCTCGAATTTATCCAATTTAATCACGAAACTAAAAACTTCAATAAGAGTGAACCGTTCAAAGCCGAAAAATGGAATTTCAATGGTTTAATCTTAACTTCTCATCAAAACAACGACGATAAAGTTATTTTGGTCAATAAATTGTCAGCAAAAGTGTATGTTTTCAACATTAAGGAACAAAAATGGTTACAGAAATATCGTATCATGAATGTCAGCTCAAAGAGTTACAATGAAATAATGTGCCATAAATTAATCAGCTTCACTTCAGCAATTCTGCCGATGAAAGTTATCAAACCTTTGTATAAAAGAAAATATTTTGACTTCTGAACTTTATATGTTTCATCAAGTTCATCGTATTTTTCGTAAATGTGAATACTCATCAATAAAAAATTTTCTGATGAATTTTTCATTATCAACGAATTCAAATGAATCTTAATTGACCAATTCCTTCTGATACTTTTAATTTCATTATCCACTTAATTTTTGCTGATATTTATATGTCTTGTTTTTTATCTATTAACGATAAGCTACCTGTATATTCGAATCGAGGTCTTGATAATTTGACTACCAGATTGGTAAATGTTTTCTTTTAATTCATTTTTGGAGGAATTCTTGTTTCATCATAGGTAACTTACTAGTTTATCAAGTAATTTTATTGTTTATTTTCCCATGATATTTTTTTTAAGTTCTAGAGAGATGATTAGTCTGTAATCAATTTCAATTAATTACGGAAATTCCATTGTCTGGATATAAATTTTTGAATTTTGCAAGTTTATTATTAGCATTACTTTACATTAGCTATTAGTACTTAACTATTATTGAAATATACTTTATTATTATTCAATTAATTGTTTAATGGCATGCAAAATAATTTCTTAAATAAACAATGAATATTTGACGAAACAAAATAAAACATCATTTATATTGGTAGCCAGCCTGAAAATTTGCAAAGACAAAGTTAATTATATCAATAAAATTTAATTTAGTTTAGTTTAATTTAGAGATCTGAAATTTAATTTGATTCTATTCAATCAAATAAAGATTCTTCACTAATGAAAATGAATGGGAAATTGCAAATTAGTCTAAAAATTAGTAAATTTATAGTGAATTTCATAATCCTGTGTACATATTGTTTAAATTTTGTAATGATCATTATATTAAAATATTCGTTTTAAACTTTTGAATTAATCAAAGTTCGATGTTTGATTCAGTTGCAATAAATTACTTTTCTGTAGATTTATGAGTGTAAGTGCAAAGAGTTCGAATCAAAAAGTTTCCCGGTGTTATAAATTCATTTCAGCATTGCAAGAAAGTATCGAGCTTATTAATAAAAATTTCTTAGGCTCTGACCTATGTATGTTCAGCACATTATGATTTATAATATTAGATTATAGTTACAAATTTATAAATATTTAATATAGCAAAGTTAATAACGTATAATTAATGCTAGCTAATTAGTTATTATAATAGCTTTGCAACCAATAACAGTTAATACCATACTAATTTCATCCATTTTGAAATTAGTCTCGATAATTCCGATCGGATAACCCAAAAAACTATAAGCTTGGTATTGGTGATCCTAAGAAATATTGACAGATAAAGCTGTTAACCTCTCTTAAATTTATCAAATTTTGTGACATGAGACAAAATCCCTGGATGATATTCAATGGTAAAATTTTCCTGGAAATAAAAAAGACAAGGTTGCAACAAACGCATACAAACCTGTATAAATATTTTTCTAAATTTTATAACAATTAGTTTATTAAGATGCGCATTATAAACTGATAAATTGATAAAAATTCGATATTTCATTCAATTGGAACAAATTGCTTTATTGTGCAAACATGATCATCTTTTAAATGCTGGGAAGAAGTAAACAGTGGATGATTAGATGGTTGTGGGATGATATAATTTGGAATATAATAGGAAGTGATTTCAATTAAACAACATTGTAATACATTCAGAGAATATCTGTTTCGTAAATCTTTTGAGTCTCATGTTTAATGGGACCTTTGGAACTTTTGTCTCCTTTATTCGCTATCAATGGAGCTGGAAGAGATTCCTTTTTCTTATTGTCCCCTGATGAAACTTTGGATTCCATTGAGGTCGTTTTAGATGGTGTTGATGATTGAGATTGAGATTGTTTTGTAGGTTGAACTTGAGATTGGGACTGCTGAGCCCCATGAGGTTTCTTGTTGTTAGGTAAATGAGTCAAAGATCCACTAACATTGGAAGTTGATGACGATTTTGATAAAATGTTAGATTCACTTCCAGTCTTTTTTAAATCATTCAGTAAAAGATTGGGCAGTTCACCGCGAGATAATTGCTGTAATCGAGTATACTGTTCTTGTAAAAGTTTTTGTTTCCTCAAAAGTTCTTGATGACGCTCCTCTAGCAATTGTTGACGAGTTTTGCCTGATTTACCAGTTTCAATGATTGATCCTTGACTATCGATTGAGGAAAGTGAGGCAGTCGAATTGCTTGGTACCATGGAAAGATCAAAATCACCAGGAACCATCGATGGATCCAGCATCATCTGATTAGATTCCCCTTCTGGTGGAGTTGATTTAGGTCGTAATTGAGCTAATTGTGCCGGTGTGGGTTCCGAATTACTACGAACAACACTTGTTCCAAGTCTACTAGCTGGCGCATTCGGATTGTTTCCAACAGAATTTTTATTATTGCTGTTTAGTGAAGGACGTGGCTTCACCTCAGGCCCATCACTCATTTGACTCGATGATGATCTCGGTGGAGGAGCAGGAACTGAATAGAAGAAAAGGTAAACATTAATCGAATGAAATAAAGAATAATTTTCAATATAAACAAGAAGTTCAAGTTACCAGATTTTTTTCCAGAATCAACTGATCCCGATCGCCTTTGTCTTTCAGATGCTAAATGGCCTGTTGATTGTTTATTTGCTGAATGAATTGTCATTGGTTTTGAATATGTTTGCAATTCATTTAAAAGCGTGTCCAACGTGTTTTCATTAGAAGAGTCCGCCGTTTTGGTTGTTGGTGTTGCTGGAGTGACCTGAATAATAGTGTGATTTTCTAATTCCGTGCTCTGGATTAATTTAAACATCAACATATCATTGGATTGCGGGTTTGATGGTTTCGTAGGTGATAGCCAGGAATAAGAATCAGGAAGGAAACAAGGAAAATGGCAATTAGTTTGATTCGGCAATACAATTAATTGTAAAATGAAGTGATGATAATAATGATAAAGATATACTTTGGTAACAACTCAATATTAACATTTCAAAATTAAACATCCCAATTTGATGATAGATTGAAAACAGACAGGCATACAAAAGGATTATAAGATGATGATAATTGTGATAGAGTTATGATCACCAAATATAATTCTCAATCAAATTGGTTCTCTAAATAATTATAATCTTTTACAGGTAACTTTAAACAATGCTATTAATATGCATTCGTCTCACACTCATTTATGCAAAAAAGTTATCAATTTCAGTTAGAAGACGATAAAGCTCTAATTGTGATTCAAAATGGAGTACAAGTATTAACAGTAAATATTTGGTGTTGATCAAATGGACTTAGGTTTACAGTTTTTGCTTTGGAGGATTTAATTAAACAAGGCAAAAAATAGAAAAAAATTATGAGAATTAAGATTAATTCAGATAAATCGAGCAATTACTATTGGAATAAATTGAAACAGGAAAAGATGAAACAAAAAAATCACAAAAAGGTAAAATTAATAAGTATTTTTGATAGTTTTAGTTTAAAATATGCTCGATGAAATGAAAGTAAAATGAAAATAAGTTGAAGTAAAGAGTTGAATGCAAATTTTAAAATGGCATGATAAATAAAAGTGGCATGATAATGATAATCAGTCTCAATTAACAACTCATTAAACGAAATATGAGAAAGTATGAAAAAGGGTGAGAAAACATTGGAATTGAATTGAAAGGTTGAAGCAATCAATTGAAAGACAATGTAAATGGTTTCTTCAAAAATCCAAAATGGTGAGTGAATACGTAAACAATGTTAGACATTTTGTGAGATTGGAAAGTTGAAGGCAAATGAAAACAAATAATGTAAGGGAAGAGTCAAGTAATTGTATGATTTATATCATCACCATTATATTACAATTATTTAACGAACCTGTTTGGTTGGCATCGAGGTAAATCCCCGCATAAGGCTATAAATATTAACACAGTAACCAACAGAGAGGATAGAGAAAGAGTTTTTTTGCATTTTTGTTCAAAGGTTGAATCAAATACAATAGCGTTTTGAGTGTTTTTGTGAATTTGTCAGCACGTTTGTGTTGACCATTTGAAACAAAAATGACCAATTGATAAGTTGGTGTAAAAGACAAAGACAAGGTTAAGGGTGAAATGGGACAAAATGGTGTGAGTTAGATTGATTGCGACAAGTTAATTGTTAAGGTTGGTTGGGGTTGGATTGTAATTTAATCTAAAAGGCAAATTATCATCATCATCGAGTTGAAGTAGAAACACACAAAAATTTAGGAAAGGAAAGTCAAATGTCTGCATAACCCATTTGGTGAAGAGTTCAACAACTGATTGCAATAGTAAATTAATTAACAATTTGTGAAAACAATAACTAGCAATGTTAATCAATTAGATTAAATTGTCAAAATATTAATTCAAAGTTCAATTCCTTTCAAATGCTTGGGATGGATTGAGTCTGATGTCAACCATGCAGTTGAGTCGTTTTCTTGTGTCAACAGTAACTTGATTGTCATTTTTTGCTGTGTTTTTGTTAAATTTTTCAAGTGGATAATCATTGATAGTAAATGATTGTAACGCATTTGATTTTGAAAAGTGTCTTGTTGATTTAACACTCAATTAACGTGCTAATTGAAGTTATTAGTGCAGTTTATATCAATCAGTGATTTTGATGATTCAATTTTCAAATTGAGATTTAAAATAAGTAAAGGTGAAAGTTGAACATTCACAATTTAAATCACTCATCAAAATGTTAACAAATTGAATTATTCTGAATAGAAAGATTGATTTAATGCAAAGACAATCACAACAGAAATAAATGGTTCAATTCAAAAAAATAAGAGTTAAATCATGCAACTGATAAATAATGAGATTGTTGAACAAAAAAAACAATTGATTCTCAAATGTTTGCCTCTTGGACAGATGAAGTTAGTAACAAAAAATACGTTATTGTACAATCCTATCCATAAACCATGAAAAAGTTCAGAATCTCAAATATCCTTTTCATCTCCAGGCAACAGGCAATGGAATCGATATTTAACAAAATTAACCTTATTCTGCATCTTAATTCAGAATAAATCTGTGAGCAATGAATCAACTTTAACAGTTAACAAATGATTGAAACAAAACAAATTACGACAAATTGTGAAGTGAAAAGTGCTAAGTGACAATAAATAAATTATAACAATAAAATATTCAAGACTGGGCGAAAACGCCTTGTTTTTCCAACGAATCATTCAAAATTTGAAAAATTTCAAGCTCATGACCAAAAAAACAATATTGAACAAAAAATCAATTAGCTATGAGATTAAATCTTCCGTGAAGTTGATTGGAAATTGAGAAGAATTGTTTCATTTACTCGATTCTTTCCCTGAAATTTGGACTCCTTTTCCATGATTGAGCTCGAATGGTCTACACAGATTAGGATACCAAAAGTAACGATACAAAGTAAATATATTATTAATAAAATCAAGTTATCAAGTAAAAATTTTGAAAATGAAAGTTCGAAATTTTTAGTAGAGCGCAAAAGAAAAATCAAAAAATAATTTCATTTTGTTGATCATCTTTTTGTTGTGAGTTTTTTTCAGATTCATGAACATCTTTATTTGAACCTTTGAATTTTATCCTGATTGTTGCACTTTATCAATGACACTAATTGACTGTAGTTGAGAAGCTGAGTTACACCTAACTCACCCTTGCAGTAGGCTGCTCTTTGGATGAACTTGCATCATTTGAATCTGCAGAAATGGCCTTTTCAAATTTAGCTGAAGGTTGATTATTTCCGGAGGTACAACGTTGCTCTTGAACTGAAGCTAATCTGTTTTTAGGAGGAAAAAAAAGGATAAGAATTTAATTAAATGTAAAATAAAGATTTCTTTCTTAGGTCATTAAAGGTTGTCTAAAAGTTGTTTAATCCCAGATGGAGTTGTGCGGAATAATAAAATTGAATTATCCCAGGTAAACGATGCAACTTACCTTTTCAAGGTTACCAAGGTTCCGGTCAATTTTTTACATCTTCTTAAAGCATTTTCAAGCCTTTCAGGTTCTTCTTGAAGAAATCTGAAAATAAATTAGGAAGGCGTTAGAAGACATGCAACTTAATTAATCTCCACGAAGAAACAGGCAAATGACTAGAAGCTGTTACTGGTGTAACAAAATTAAGATAGGAATGAGAAAGGAGGCTTTGTTTTCATCCTTTTAGTTGGATGGTGATAAAGATCAATTTTGCGCTAAATTATTCTTAATTGAATGAAAAACGTACTTTTCTTCACGAACAACAATCTCCATTTCATGAGTCATGATAGTTTTGAGAGCCTCTTGAAGGTGAGGGTATCTTGTCTTGAGATCAGCGACTGTCTTGGAAGCTCGACTTAGTATCAATGCCATTGCTTCAACATCAGACATATTTACACGACAACGACGATTAATAACATTACTTCGAAGTCCTTCAACTTGACTTTCTAATTCATTTAGATCCTTCTCTAATCGGGTAACATCGTATTTATAAGATTCTTCATCTTTCGATAGCCTTAGACGGTTAAAACGGAGTGATCTCTCTAATGGGTCATTGAGCATCACATAGGACAACGAAGTTCGTATTTTTACACAAGTCTCTTTTAAAGTATCCTTTGCCATTCCTGATTGTGTTTGAGCCATTCGACGTAAATTTCGTAGTTCAACTCTCAAGTCTTTGGTACGCTTTTTAAGTTGACGGAGTTGGTTGAAAACGTCATTGCACAATGTTGAGCTGCTTCCATCAGCAGAACCACGATAAGTAGCCAGAGCAGTTGGTTTCGGTGGTGGAGCTGGTTTGGGTGCACCAGGTTTTTCCGCTCCTATTTAAAAAGATAAGAAAAAGAGGAAAATTAAACTGGCTCATGATGAATGAAACCATTGTGTATTACCCTTGAGATCAGATCCAGCTGGACCTTGGCGTATTTGAGTTGGTGGAGTAGATAAGGCTTTCTGTACTAATCCTGTAAGGCTGGCTAATTGTCGTTCCATGAAATCAACTCTAATCCTGGCCTCTTCATCAACAATAGGAGTTGTACTTCCAGACCGTGATGGATGATGACCAGGTAAGGGTGGACCAGTGCTTCCATACATATCATCATAACTGTTGACCGATGGTGCCTGATGAGAGTAGCCAGGAGAAGGGAAAGATGATCGAGCTCCAGGTGGAAGATTCTCACCATTGGGTAACCTCCTTTCTGGGGATGACAGATAACCTGAGTATTCTGGGAAAGAGCGTCTGTCAGGAGATGGATAATGACCGGCTACCGAGTAAGGTCTCTCGGGTAGCGGTCTATTGGTGTAAGGGTGAGCGGAAAGGGGCAACGGACCTCCAAGGTTACTAGAAGTTGATGGACTTCGACCAGTCATTTGGATTCCAGAGGATTGAGGTGTTCTAGAAGGTGGTGGTGGAGCAGTTCCAGATCCACTATTGGCACCCGCAATGGAAGATTGAAATGACCTTTGAGGCTTTGGCGGTGCATTGTTTACCAGAGGAGTTCCTGATGAAATTAAGAATGAATAATGAATGTGAAAATTAGCTTTTCTTTGAAAAGATGAAAATCAAATGGGTGGGTAGAACTGAATTAAGAAACAATAAAAATGCAAGGAAAATTTGGTAATAAAGTGTTAAATGGCTTATTGATGCGTGAGGTTTGAAATTTATACAATTTATACTTTGAATTATTTAACAATGTAACAATTTTGATTCAATTCAAATTGAAACATTGTGAATATCAATAGTGTTCATTGAACCTTCATCTGATTGAAATTGATTGAAAATTGTCATTCCCAGGCTTTGGTTAAACATTTCATTTCCCTTTCTATTGACTCATGCAACTAGAAACTTTGAAAAGACATTACGCTTGGTGTGAAAATAATTCAAAGTGTTTTTCAGATAAAATTTACGTAATTTTGCCTTTTGTGGACCAACAACAGACATTTGGTATCAACATTGTATTAAGTCGATTTTAAGCTTGAAAACTGTTTACCCAGCAAAAAAAATGTAACAACAAGCAAAGTAAATATAGCAATAGAAGAGGTAAAATACCAAAAGGAACATCATGCAATAGATTTTCTGGATATTTAAAGTCAATGGCAATCCTTGAAGGAAAGGTTGAAACGTTGTGAAGAGAAGATGAAGATAAAAAACATGAGACAGGAATGAGATGTGCGTGCGTACGAAAGAAAAGATTTTTTGCTGAAGCAAGAGTAAGAGAGAGAGAAAGAAAGAAATATCGATCGTAAAAGGGCATTATCTTCATTTGAAGGATTCAAGAGATAGACTGAATTCAAGTTTAAAATGTTTGTGCCGTAATACAGAAGGAAATGATCAATTTATCGACCCTAAAACAAAGAAACAAATAGAAAATGAAAATGAAAATGAAGACAAGGATGAGGTTGATGATGAGAATGATGAACTTGGAAAAGTCTAGGAAAAAGTTGAGAGAAAAGGTAAAGTGAAAGGATGGCGGTGGAGCAAAGGTAGAAATAAAACAGTGATATAAAGTTTATGAGATTTTCTGTGGGTTTGCATGATAAATGTATGAGGTAAAAGTCAAGATAATCATCATCTTGCTGTTACTCTACATTATGTTGATGCTGGTTGAGGAATGGAAAGAAGTAACGATACATTGTTTTACCTAGTATTTCTTATATCATATCATTACCATCATAATATTCATAGAATCATGAAAATCAAAGGTGAAGGTAAAGATGGAAAATGAAACGTTATCAAAGTTTGGACTTTGAAAGATGTAACCTTTTCCCTGAATATCAACCCATCTTTATCCTTGAAAAGGCAAAGTAAACAAAGAAATCAACAAAATTGGTTTCTCATGTTTTTTTTCGTCATGAAATGAAACAAAAAGAGGAGCAAAAAAGGTCACAAAACTTATCTCAGAAATGGTTGTGATCGTGAAATTAAAGAGAGAAAAGATAAGGGATAAAGAAGATGAAGATAAAGAAGAAAGGTAAACAGGTAAACGGGTAAACAAGGGGCTAGGTTGAGATGTATTATTTAAGATAATCAATCAACTTTACAAATCTTAAGTCTACCATTATCCTCAACGAAATACAATAAAAAGTAAACTGAATGTTATTTTCTTGCAGTTTTCATCATCATAATCGTCCTCATCACTGCTTTCATTTTCAAACTGAATCAATCTTAATAACACATTAACTTCAACTTTAGTTTCAAGTAAAAACCTTGCATACAGCTTTAACTGTAGATGAGTTTGAATTTTTTTTCTGCTTACCTGAGTAAATAAATTTAGTTAATTCAATGGGAATTTGGTTGATATATTTTTGCAATTCATGGCAAGTCTAAATTAGAGTAATTTACTCAAGTCTGATGTAGAGGTAACGATGTTAATCACTATCATCATAATCATTTTTTATGTAAATTGACATGAATGAAACTTGCAATGAAAATATAATAACAGATGAGAGTTGATACCAATTTCACTGCAAACTCATTTCTTAATTTAATATTGTTAGCAATGTTTCAATAATAAATGAAATCAATTAAGTTGATTTCAAGTAATTAGCTTGATTGACAAGAGCTGTTTACTTAATAGAGGAATATGTTGGAGGATAAAAAGATCATTGTATTAATAGCAATGCAATAATGAACATGTTAAAAGTAATGTATATTTGTAGATCTAACAGAGTAATAATGGCTATAGCATCAGTTAATTAATTGATTAATATTACAATTTGAAAACAGATTGAAAGTGATAAAAGTGTTAACTCATTAAAAGCTAATTGCTGAGTGAAAAGTTTATGTATGTAAACAATTGGTTGGTAAATTAATGGTTAACTTTAATTTGATGCATAAACATCAAATTAATGCACATTAGACCATATGATTGAGTTAAACTGTTAATGATATTATACAGTGATTATGGGAGTGACAGAGTAAAAAAATGATGATGATTAACTTTGTTTCAATGAGCAACGATTAAGCTGTGAATAACGATCAAAATAGATCAAAATTGTTTTCAATAAAAGAAGACAAATTGACAGTTTTGATATTTTTCATCTTCTCATGGGAGTGAAGATAAGGTTGAAAGTGAAATAATGCAACAGAAATATTGAGATTCAAGTTGCTTGTGAACATGAATTCAATGATAAAGATGGAGGAGTGATGATGATTTTACTGAAGATAATATTATATGTCAAAAGTATTTTAAAATGAATTCAATTGTTTCACAGTTTGTTGAACAAAAGTGAAACCAAAGTGGTTAAAACAAGACAATGTTGAGTAAAAAAGATGAAAAGATTCAAGGGTTGAGTGGACTTGGGTGATGATGACAATGATGAGGAAGATGATAAAAGCAAGAATAAATACAAAATTAACTCTGTATACATTTGAATATTTAAATAACATTGAAATGAACTGAGACCATAATTTTGGTGGCTCATTATTCAGGATTCAACTTGAATTTACTTTACTCTTATTAGCATCACATCTTTTTCATCATCTTCATTTTTCTTCATTCATTTCTTTCCTTTTCTCACATTTCCTTTCTTTGTTTTCATATTCAATTCATTATTCACTTACATTTACAATCACAGACTTGCATTGAACTCATCAATCTCGCCTAACTTTTCATCTTCCATTTTACACTCTTCCTTTTCACCATTCCCATCATCCTCTCACTGTGTGTGTCCTCTTTTTGCACGCGCATAAACTTGCCTACTTCACCCCATTATCATTGAAACATCATCAGATTCATCATTTGAATTAGCATTAGATTCATCATCTTAATCACCAACATTTTGTTTGTATTTGCAAACAGCTTTCACTTTCATCTTGAAAATAAACCAACAAAATGAAATGTTTCAGAGCCTTTCCTATCAATTATTGAAGTGTATCTTTTTTCATGGAGATTAACCTGTTTTGGATAAGAAAATTAAAGAGTAAGCTTTTTGAAAAATTAATGGATCGTAATGAAAATTATTAATTGGACCGAGCAAAGGTAAATAAAAACTGTACAAGATGAGGTTAGGTAGAGTCAAATAGGATTAATTGATTGATCAACTCACGCATAGACTTTACTGATAAATTATAATATCGTTTTTTGTATCAACCGAAAGGGCAAACTTAATGAAGTCAACTTGAAGATAATTTGTCTCATACTAAATTGAGCTGAAAAAAAGAGATGAGTAATTCATTGATTACAAAATTGTAACAATCTGCCAAACATTATTATCATTAATGTTTGCATAAAATGATCAATTCTGTCATTTTATGCTCTTCATAATCATCATAATGATCACCTTATGAGCCATGCCAAGTGTATCAATGAAGAGTCAGAGTGAAACTGGGAAATAAAGTATTGCAATCAATATCATTGTCATCTTTATCATAATCATCAATATTATAATCAGCTAACCACCACTCCTATAACCTTAACCTTCCTTTGATTTTTCATCATCAATATTTTGGGCAGAAGCAAAAGTCTGATGCTGAGTGAAGCTTTCCAATGAGATTTAATTATGGAACCAAAGAGGAACCCAAAAAAATCCAGAGTAAACATCGTAGATGTGATAAGGATTTCGTAAGGAAACAGGCAACTGGAAACGAAGTAGTACAAGAGAGTGAATGATGAACAGAGATGAACAGATGTATACAGAAAAAGAGTGCGATGAACAAGCAAGACTCGGCAAAAAATGAACATGAAGATGGCAAAACTGATGGAGAGGATGAAGATAAGGGTGAAGATGGAGATACTGAGTTGTGATGTACGAGTGAGAATGGATGGGACGAGAAGGATGTGGAGGAAAAGAAATCAATGAGTGAGCTGTAATGAGAATGGAAGATGAAAGGAGTGAGAGTCAGTGAGAAGAGAAATGTTACTACTGCTTATGCCATAAGAATCAATGGTAAATTTGTATGTAAACCGGTCTGCATTTCACTTCTTTTCTGCCTTCAGAGTTTCTTCAGAGTTTCTTGTCGATCGATACCGATCAATGAGTTTAATCTTTCACCAGAGTTGCCAAATTTTTCATTCATTCTCAGTGTTTTTAAGTTTTCTCTTGCTATTCTTCCAATTGCTAATCTATGAAAGTCAGTGAAATGAAGCTACAAATTTGATTCAATTAAATTCTTTCATTATCATGTTCACTTGATTACAGTTCATTTTCTTTGCCTGTTCCACTTTTAGCGTGATTAAAGAATTGTCATTGTCTGATTCTGCATTGTATGGCCAAACAGAGAATCAAATTTTACCAATGATTTACTGAAAAGGTAAAAGATTGGGAAAAAGAAGAAGAGGAAAGAAGAGAAGAAATAGGAAACGATGGAGAATAGACTGTCAAAGTTGATAATTTGATCGATTTTGCAGTTACTAACATATGAAAGATGCTGGAAAAGGACCACTAAACTCATGAATTTAACCATTATAAAAAAATAATAGATTGAGCTAATAGCAACAAATTGCTTGTAGCGTTAAGTTGAATTTTCAGCATATGAAAACATTAGAGGGAACATGCAAAGGTTATCAAAATTTTTTGTTTTCTTTTGCTTCTTTCTTATGATAGCGATGAGAATGAGTTTGCATGCTATATTTTTTACAAATATATTATTAGAAACTATAAGAAAGTAAAATGGAAACTTGCATTTTGTTAGAAGGAAAAAATAGTAAAAATAAATTTGTGGATAAGAAGAAAGAAATTAGTACCTAAAGGTTCTTTAGCCTTTTTAAGCATTAGTTGAGCATTGGCTTGTTGAGGAGATGCTACTGAGGAATCACCAGGTAAATTGGAATAAGTTGCCACTATATGGGTTCCACGGGGTAAAGTTTGAGAATAACCTGGTAACAAATTGGAATAGAATAAACAAGTTAGTTGAAAGGGAGATGATGAAGGATCTCATTTTAAGTAAGCTGAGAGGAAGAGTGAAAAGAAAGCTGCTCAACGTTGATTCAATAAAGGAGGGAAAAGTTAAAATATGAGATGAAGCAAAAGTTGAGCAGGTTTGAGCAAAGTGAAGAGATATTCTGCAAACTTGGATTATTATCAAAAAGACTAACATTGCAAGAGGTGATAAATCTTAATGAAGGTGAAGGATGTTTTTTTAATCTAGGTGTAAGATTATTTTTGTTTTCATTTTGATATAAGTACAAATCTCGATTAATAGGTTAATTAATTGGTTGGCGTTCATTTTGGTACATACCTGGATAAGGTTTAGCTCGTTCAGGTGGCTGAGGAGGTTGATTAGATGGTGATGGACGAATTGGAAGAGGAGTTTGTACAGTGGGGTAGGTTGGTGGCACAATCGTACTGGGTCTGGAACCAGTTCCACCGGGCATGATTATGGTTCCATAATATTGAGATTGAGCTCCAGAGGTTGGTAAATTGGGTGATAAACCTTTTTTACGGTGAATATGTTGGTTTTGATATTCACTATCAAATTCGGGTTCAGAAAAATAACTCGGATCAGCATCTAAGTAGTTGGTATGATTAACTGCATGATTGATCAAAGGTCTAACTGAGCCAACTGGTAGCCAAGGTCCACCGGCTCCGTCTTGTTCATAGACCCGTAATACTGAGCGATCGCGAATGTCTCTGAGATCTTCAAGCTCATAAAACATGTCTTTGGAGGCATCATGAATATAAATACGGACTTGACGTGAGTCAAGATAATCCATGGTTAATTGTCGTGGAAATGAGCGCACAAACAAAGCTTTAACAGTATCCATAGAAGTGATTTCATTTGGCAATAAGGCTCTCTTTGTCTCATTACGATATTGAAGAAATACTAAGCCAAGTGAACGATCTTGAGTCTTTGAGGGTGTTCTTACAATGGGCAAAGAAGCTCGCGCTTTAGTTGATCTCCTAAAGCCGGTCGCTGAAGTTTCAACTTCTGACATTATTCCAGGATCCTCGTCAAAAACACTTGATGGCACTAATGGGAATGGATATTGGGAGGACTGGGGATGATGTGGTTGAGATGAAAATGTATGATGGAGATGATGAAGTTGGTTAGAGCCACCTTGTTGTTGTTGTGATGATGGATGATGACCACCTGACCTTCCTCCTCCTTGGTGATGTAACTGTGTTTGGTTTGATTGTTGGTGGTGTGAAGCTTGATTTTGATTGAGAAGCTGTTGCTGTTGCTGTTGCTGTTGTTGCTGTTGCTGGTGGTGCAGTGCTTGCTGAATCTGCTGTTGTTGATGCAATTTGGCCAATTGTTGTTGCTGACTCCTAGTTAATTTCTCCGCGTTAATCATATTAGAAGACATTGAGTTGGCCAACTGTACAAGTTGACCGTTATTATTAATACTATTGAAATTGTTGTTGATGTTATTATTGTTAGTATTGGATGAATTAGCGGCAGCAGAGTTGGAACTCTTACTACTGTTGTTTAGATTGTTATTGGTGTTAATATTATTGTTAGTGTTAACCAGAACCGAGTTATTATTGTTGGGATTATTATTACCTTGTTGTCTAAACCTTAAGCTGGTTGATGCCGAAATATTTGAGGGTGGATTGGGTCCACTGGTAGGGCCATTATTACTTGCTGATGAACTATTACCACCACCAGAAGATGACCGAATCAAAGCACATCCCAAGCCCATACTATTAATCGAATAAATACATGTAATCAAAGATAAATAAGCAGAATCGAGAAGCTGTCAAAGATATGAAAGTTAGAAGCTGGAAAAGACGGTAACCAGGTACAAATGATGTATCACATTAATGTAAACACTGTTCACTTTACAGAGTTTAACAACAGATAATATGTTGAATGTAAAGTTAAATTAAAATTAAAATAATAATTTGCAAAGAGATAGACTATACACTAAGTTATTAATACTAATAGTAAATATAATTAATTACAAAAATGAGAGATAAAGAAAGAATTAGAAGATATGATGATGAAAAAAACAACTAAAAATACAGAGAGACAGAAAAAAATGAAGAAAAAATAAAGAACAAGTCAGAGCCGAAACAAGTAAGATTGCGCATGACGCATTGTTAGTCATTTTCTTCAATTCTTGTTCTCAGACGAAGCATGCTTAACTTAAATCCTTTCATTAATTAATTGATCATTTGGCTTTCAATTTTGATCATATTTTACTTTAAACGTGTGTAAATAAGCTTGGGATGTAGATAAAAATTGAATTGTCAACATCTATTCCAATCAATGAGAAAAATCTTTGATTGAGATATTAGTCAATCTTGTTTGTTTGAGTTAAGTGCATGAGCGCATCACAAAACTATTGAAGGAGAAACTTTGTTTTGCTGTTTGAAAGTCAAAAATTTTCATTTATTGAGCAAATCTTTGTACTTTTAGATTCAACCTCGAACGGAATTATGGGGCAAATGGGTGAAATTTTTGAAGTCCAAGTGGCATCACAATACTGAAACTGTGATTGTATCTGTAAAACTTGTTGAATAATTTGCTTGATTGGTAAATAGTCAACAACTAGGATCTTTCAATTTCTTATATCGCGCTCATATTCCCATATAACATTTGACGAGTCAATTCAATTATTTCGGCCATTGATTCAGATTTGATGATTTATCAAGGTTGATGCTCCGATATCCTGCCGTTATCCTTGTCATAAGCCTTGACTGCAGCCTTATTGATTCCAGTATTATAACCGCACTTGTTGGCCTAAAGAAAATAAATTGAAATTTAAATTTTTAGTTTTTTGCATTTTCTTTTGAAACAATTAGTAGAAGATCACAATTGGCGTGGTTTTGACCTACTTTACTTTATTTTACTTTTGAAGTGCCTTTGATAGAGTGACAATGACTGGTTCATGGGTGAAGCATTCCGTCATTCATCTTTGACTTTGACTTTGATTCTGAAATAGGAAAAAAGTAACATAAATTATACAATATTAATTAGTTTATAGACGTCAGCTTTACAGTTTTAACTTACAACTTTGCTTTTGATTGCATTTAAGAAAGCTGTAACATTGGGTCAAAAATAGTAACAATCGGTGAATTACCTCAGTATGACCAAGACTTGTGCCAATCTATTTTAAAGGTTCAAGAATTTGCTTTAAATAATCAAATCATTTTACTTTTTTAAGAATTAATAACTAGAAGATTAACATAAAAGTTATAAAATCAGTAAATTTCGAAGTTCTTATACATAAAAAAGGAATAAAAGTGGGAAATGTAAGATGAAGTTTCAGTAAACAAAATTGTAGTTCAACATACTTTTTTCAATAAAATGTCTCATAAACTCTGGATTGTCATAAAAATGCACATTCTATGATACCCATTTCTAAGGTTTCTTGAAATTTCTCATTAATCTCATGTTCCTTATTCGTGGGCTGATGATCGGCAAAAACTTCACAATGCTCTGAACTTTAAGCAAAGTTCAAGGAAAATAAGAAAAGCTCGAAGAACACAAATCACAAAAAGTGTCCAAACCGAATAAAAATGTTGAACTTGTTTCTGAACCAGTACAGTTATAAGGGCTCATGTTGAAAAGGGTACTCTGATGAATAATCAAAACAAATTTCAAAAAAAGTCTAAATTAGTTGAACTTGTTGAGCTGAAATCTTAAATAGTTCACTGGCAAATTAATTAAAGGGAAACTTGATTGAACGAAAGCAGACGAGACTTCAGTGTTACCTACAGTAACCAAGTAACCGGTTTAGAAGAGGGAAAATCAAAAACCAAAAGAAACCTTTTTTTATTTCTAACTCACAATTAACAGTGTTGATCAAGTTTGTTTAAATATTAAATTAGTTTCTTTTTACACAAATTCAACAATTAAATTCGCTTATTGAGTTAGACTTTTCAACTGAAGTAATTGGCGATGACAACAATTCATTAACATGTCAATCTTTATTCTATTCAATTGAGCTTCTTATTGTTATTGATCAGCCAATATTTAAACTTATTACGATAATTGGTATTTTACATTTTCAAATTAGTAAATAAAATAAATTGAAACAATATAATAATTGATTGAAAAGATTGTTATTTGAAACTGTTTCAGCTGCAAATACAATTGAGATTATTGATTTTGAAAAGACTCAAAATTGGTACAGACGTTGAAAAAATAAGCAGACATGAGGCTTTTTGTCAGCAAATTAAGGTCGAATCAATAGTTGTACTGAAAGTGATGAAGATGAGAATGAAGATGAGTGGTTAGATTCATGGTGGGAAATACAAAATATATCAGTGTTTGTGGATAAAATGAATTTTGATACCACATTATTTGTTATGTTTAGTGGTGATAGATGGAGCTCGATGGATGTTGTTGACGAGTATTGAGTGAAAATGTAAGGCTTGAAAGGAAGAGAGGATGGAGCAAGGAAAGAACGGCTCAGACTGAGCCGATCATCAGTTACTCTGTGATGCTCATTATATTTTTATTCATCAATCTGGTATCAATCTTTTAAGTAATCAGTTTTTTATGTTATTTGTGTATATTTTTTCAATCATCAGCACCATCGGCTCTCATGTTGATTTAACAAATGAGCAGCTTCATTTAATGCATTGGTTTAGATGAGACGAGAAACAGAAAAAGAAACATCAATTCAACGGTTTCTACCTTTTATTTTGTCATCTTGTGCTTTCAATCTTTTTACTTTTACTGGAATCAATTAATAAGTGATTTGATTGCTAATTTATAATCGATTGTGTATTTATTTTAATCAACATCCATCAATTCAAATTCCATTTGTGTCATCACAACTTTACATTTTACTGTCTCAATGAATAGTAAAAAAGGAGAAGCTAAAGGTTGGTTCATCTTTGAATTTATTTTACCAAAATAGAACTGTTCTAGGTGGGGTCGGGTCATTCGGTTGAAGATTACTGTTTAATCATATGTTAGTTAACTAGATGGTTTCTAGTGACCGTTATCATGACCATTCTCTATTAAATCAGTTTCAACCTGACTCAACATTCATTATCTCTGGCATGTTTTATCATCTTTAATAATGTGATTGGTTTAACCTTGCAATTTTTGATAAAATGAAAAAAAACTACTCGAGATATTATTCCATTTATTCAAGTCTTTTCTCTTCAATCCTTTGAAAATTAAGATTTTCAGTGTCTTAAGTAATGTTATTTTAAACTTGATACAGATCATTTCATCTAATCAATTCATTATCCAATATATTCAAATAAAAATAACTATTTCATGTGTTGACTGTTCATTATTTCAACCATGTTTACTTCGAGCTGTAAACAGTTATTTTTATGCATATGATTAATTGTGAAAAATATCATTTTACTGCTCATATTAATTTCAATATGATTTATTGCTTTATTTCAATTAATTTTAATTCTTATGTTTACTTCTTCTTCTACAGGGAAAGCTTTTTGTGAAGCTTGCTCCAAAAAGTGTGTTGGAAATGTACTGCGAGTACAAGAAAGGTATTTCCATATTGACTGTTTCAAATGTTCAGGTAAATACTTTTCTTTAGTCAGATTGGCGAATATGATTCCTAAAACTTGACCAAATTATCATTCTAATCTTTTTGTTTCTTCATTTTTTTCAGCTTGCTCAACGTCTTTAGCTCAGGGAGGATTTTTTACCAAGGATGGGAAATATTATTGTACCAACGATTACCAAAAATTATTTGGTATCAAGTGTCAGGGATGTGGTCAGTTTGTAGAAGGTGAAGTTGTTACAGCTTTAGGAAACACTTATCACCAACAATGCTTTGTTTGTGCTCGTTGCAGGTATGTACATTTAAACATTAATCATAATGAATGTTAATGGCTAGTTTAGGAAATGAATGAAAGATAGTATTACTCAGTATAAACATCGATTCTCTTCCTATTTTCAATAAAAATCTCATTAACCTGGAGTCAGTCTAACGTGAGACATAAATTAGGTGACAGAGAATGAAGAGGAAGATACGATGAAAGTTCAGGTTGCGCTCGCTCAGAAACTTTATCACCAGTCATTTGTTAGTAACTAGATCAACTTGAATTGATTGTTGAAATTTCATGCTAATTATTGATTTTTTCTTATCTTTATTTAGTTCTATTATTTGAAATTAACCATTTTTTTCTATTCTTTTCCCAGACAACCTTTTCCGCCTGGTGAGAAGGTTACTTATACCGGCAAAGAATGTGTATGTTCACGATGTCTAGATATACCTGTGGTCACCTCACATAGTCCCGATTTATCTCCCGAAGATTCTGGGCCTCGTAAGGAAACATTTTATTACCTAACAATTATGAATAATATTAAATTAGTATCTTCCTTCATTTCCTCACTATGTCAATGTAACTCTGTTTGCCTTCCTTTTCCTTCTTCTTACTTCTAAATTGAGTTGAGAAAGTTGAAAATATGGGAAACATTGCTAACACCGCATATTTTACCAAATCATGATGATGATGATGATGATGATGAACTCAACCATAGTCTAAAAGTAAACTTGATCCAAGTGGTGATTGAGTAGATAATATATGTTTCGTGTTGTTTCTCAAATTTTTACCCAACTTTTTGTGGTTGAATATTTTTTGTTTCAGTTCAGTCGAAACTGCCTTTTCATCAAATGTTTAGCTTTAACATTGCCTGAGCAAAATTAAGATAAGGTCAATGCTGTAAAAACAGGAAGGAAGGAAGAAAACTTATAAATATATATAGACATACGTTAATATCGTGAAAAAATTGCATCAAAAGCAAAATATAAAACAGACATTTGGGCAGGTAAGATATATTGATACTTCCTTGGCCCATATATTCTGTTATTTTTCTGGTTAGTCAAATATTTGTTTATCAATCATTTTTATCATTCCTCTTCTCTCATCATCACCATCATTATAATTACTACTATTCTGATCTTTATCATGTATTACCATTGAATAACTCTTGACTTCGTCCATTTTTCCCTTCACTCATGGTTGATTCATGTGTATGGAAAAAGATTTGATTGAATATGGTTGCTCTGCATGAAAAATTATCCTTTATTGTTTAGTCTAACATTATCTTTCCATCTCTTCTCATTTTATTTAGGTTGCTCTGGATGTTCACAAGAGATTCAAGAAGGCCAAGCATTAATAGCACTAGACAAGCAATGGCATGTATGGTGTTTCAAGTGTACTTGTTGTAAAAATGTACTCCATGGCGAGTACATGGGCAAAGATGGACAGCCTTACTGTGAAAAAGATTACCAAAACAAATTTGGGGTTCGATGTGCCCATTGTGATCGATACATTACTGGCAAAGTGTTACAAGCTGGTGATAATCATCATTTCCATCCGACCTGTGCTCGATGCACCAAATGTGGTGACCCTTTTGGTGATGGGGAAGAAATGTATATGCAAGGTGGTGCCATTTGGCATCCTCGATGTGGACCAGGACCTGATGCTAGAATCGAAGATGTTTACTTAGATGGTTACGATGGCCAGGTAAAGAAAGAATTTTAATTGAAAATTATTCAACATTTTCCTTTAACTAACACACTTCCTTTATGCCTTTCAACCTTAATTATATTTCCATTATAATTATAACCCCACCTTCCTATTGGCACGTAATTTTACCTTTGCAAGAGCATTTATATTGTTTTATTTCGTTTTTGTTCATTTTAATTTCTCTTTCTCTCCACAAAAATGTCTCTGCATCATAATGACACAACTCAATGATTCAAACTACTATCTCCATCCTGATGCATGGTCTTGTTATGCTGCATTTTTTCCACCTTTTTATTTCTTGTTTCAATCATTATTTCAATTATCATCCACGTTTCCTTGAATGTTGCAACTTGATGATGAGTAGTACTACGGGAGTTACATTCACTCCCCGAGTTTACCAAGATCACGATCAATTAGTCCTTACGGTTCTTTGAGCCAACAGGTTAGTTTTTTGCTTTTTTTACTTTTATTATTTTCCCATTATTAATTAAATCTGGAAATTAATCATTCTAATCCAGTAACCACAAAATCAAGCATTTATTACACAAACCATGTGTTAGTTGATGACAACATCACCATTGCCACCAGCAGCAACAGCAGCAAGCTGCAAAAGTTGAAATTTTATTGATTATCAGTTTATTAATTATGTTTAATCAATTCTCTATTTACCTTCAATACATTTTGTTTACTCTTTAGTATGGAAGGCGAAGTCCTGGGATTGTAAATCGTGAGCCAATCTTTAGCGATCTAAGTCATGTCTATACCAATAGCTATCTTACAGCTGAACCCACTCAAGGTTATTTGAGACGTCCTTTAGAGCCTCGACCACCAAAATCTCCTCAATTCCATAGGCCTCCAGGTAAATTTAATTTTTTGCTCATTATTACAATCGACTCAATCTTATCAATCTTTAACTTTGTTTTGTTTCTCGCATTTACAGAGGGATTCATTGCTCGTCGTAAAATGAAACCTTCACCTAAACATGGAATGCAAGCTTTGGTCGATAATCTTCAATCATCCAGTCAAAGCAGGCCTCGTTCACCTCATATGAATAATGAAGAGCCAATTGAATTGGCTCATTATCCAAGTGCTCGAAAACCCAAACCCAATGATATACCACGAATAGAACGAGACGATTTTCCAGCTCCACCATTTCCTTACACTGACCCAGAAAGACGTCGACGTTGGTCGGGTAGTTCAAGAGATTTGGATGAAGATGAAGTTGATGGAGGTACAGCTACAGAAGGATTGATTGAAGATGAAAAGTTGAAAAGAGAAGAAGAAGAACTTTCCAAAATTGCAACAGGCATTGGTAAAGTATTCCTGAAAACTCTAAAGGAAAGAGAAAAAATAATGGCCTGGAAAAAGGAGCATCTTGATCCTAGAAATGCATCTCGAACTCCTTCAGCTAAAGTCGAACCACCAACTAGATTGAGATATGATAATCCGGTGAATGCATGTAAGTTGTCAATCATTTGCCATTTCTTGTCATTTATGACTCTCAATCCATAATTGACTTGGATTTATGTGCATCAGTGAAACAATTCAGATTATTATTTTAAAGAATCATGTTGTAACTATCATTTTACAATTTTATCTTTCCTTAGCACCCTCTCGGGATATTGATAGACCAAAACCATGGGAAGAGGATGAATTTGACCGAGGATCCCTATACCGTAGCTCTGGAGGAAAGCTTCAATATTATGCTCCACCGCCGTTGAATTACAATGGTATTAAGTGGACTGTTTACCTGAGCCCTAAACATTAATTATCTTAATTGACACGCAGTTGTCTCTTCTCTCAGAAATGTACCGAAGCCCGGCTATGGGCTGAAAAGTGGCCTCTCATACCGAGACGGAACTCTCAATGTAAATATCAATTTCAATATTTTAGCCTCCATTTACCGATTGTTATTCGGTTCCTCATGTATAATGTTTCTCATTGTTTTACATTTACATTCTCACACTGACTTACCTTTCACCTTATTTTCTCTTTCCACTAACAAATTATACCTGATCACCACCCAACCAGGGATCGGAGTCACCTTTCAGTAAACTAGAGAAAACCCAAAGTATCGACTTCAATTGTGCTAAGTCTGATAGTACGTATCAACTATTAACATCCAAACAAAAACTAATCACTTGTTTTTTTCTTTTCCACCAACCCAAATTTTCATTATTCTATTCACTCTTTTCTCTTTTCTTTTTCGCTTTTTCTTTATTTTCTTCCTCTTTTCATTTTCATCACTTTCTTCTCTTTCCCCTGTTATTTTGCCTCATCATTCACCTTTCATTACTTTGTACAAAGTTTCAACTCAATCAGAGCAACACGACCGGAGTAGACATTTCATGGTAAATAATCCCTTTTTTACCTTTCATCCTTTGTCATTGTCATTTAATTGTCAGCCAATTTTGCCAACATGAATGACTATTCCTTCATCATTAATTACAGTAGAAGTAGCAACAAATGCGAAAAAAAATATTAACCAAAACATTCAATTTGTTGATACTTTGTTCTATCATCAATATGATTCTTTCTTTTCTCTTTTTCATTCTCACTTTCACCAGAACCATTCAATGAGTGGTACTTTCAGGACAACTCCTTTTTCGGATGGAATCAGCGGCTATCGATATGCATCTTACAGTCCACATTTAAGACGATCAATGCCTAATGTTAACTTTCACCTTCATTCAAATGAACCACCAAAACTGTATCCATACCATTTACTCACTACAACCAACTATCGATTACCTCCTGATGTTGATCGATGTCATCTTGAGGTGGGTATTTAGAGTGACCCAAATACATTTTCATGTATTTTGTTTGCTGTTTTTTATTGCATTTTTTTTGTCTTCATCATCTTATTGACTCATTTAATGGCATAAAAAACTCATGTCACAATGAGTATGTGTGAGTGAGTATCAACAGGTATTTCAAAAAAAATCCAGAAAACAGACACACATAGAGGATTCAATTTCATGTCCTTATTGAATCCCATTATTCCTACTATTGTTGCAAGTTTATTGCTATTAATTCATTGTTTTATATTGAATACAATTGGGCTTTCAATTTTTGCTATAATTGTTTCATTGAAGGTAAAAACATTTCAGATTTTCTTGTTTTCCATTTCCATGAAACCATCTTTTTAATAATCTTTAAAAACCTCATTCATCTTTATCGTCAGACCTCTTTTATTATTCACAGATTTAATTAGAAAAAATTATTCCAAGTTAATTATCTCAAAGCTTTTGCCAAACTATCACGATGAACAGATCAGTTAAGATTCAATGTTTTCATTTGTAAATCAGCATTCCTTTGACAATGTCACTGAACATTGGTATTTATATTTCAAGTATTTTCAAGTATAATTAATCAGTCTCATTAAGGATTGACTTTTCCCGATAGCAATTAATCTTTCTACAAGTTTGTTGAATAATCAAATAATAGTTTGAATTGTCAAGTCTTTGAATCCAGTTTTGTTTAAAAATATATTCAAAGCTTGATTGCAAGCTCGTCTAAAACTTGGCTTGTATTGCATAGCAATTGTGTATTGAAACAAAGAATCAATAGCTTTAATTGAGTTGCCAATCAATCTAATTGTTGCTTAATTAACTCTTGAGTTTAACTCAACTTTCATGGTAAATTGTTTCAATTTTAAAATCTATTTCCACAGATACTTTATATAGAGTTTAAAAGTGCAAGAACAAATGTTACCATGAAAGATTATTTCTACCACCCAACGTGAATGCATAATATTGAGATAATAATTGCAGACAATATTTTTGGTTAGTTTTGCCAAGCTCCATGTTAATCTGGATTAAATTTGGTTCCTTCAAGATTTAGGAATACTCTTGGTTACAGATTATTCAGAAGGGAAAAAATTCTCTTCCAGATTCAACCTTTTTGTAATATTTTTGTTCCACCACGAATCCATGAAGATATTCAGGGATTGGGTGTAACAATTGCTAAGATTAATGTCGTTAATGTTGGTCTAATATATTTGACTATCTAATATGCCTATCAATATTATTATTAATCTTGGTTTATTTCAATGGATTTGCTGAAAGAAACCATAGACATGAAACAACGAATAAGGTCAACTGAAACAGAATGGAAATTACAGATAATTTGATTCGTTAATACTTTGAGCCTCCCTAACAGTTGATTAAGTACAATCCAGGGAATGTAATAATTTTTCACTCGATCCAAGGCTTTATCAATCAAATTAGTTGTTGATTTTCAGGTTAAATACTTTAATTCACTTTGTCCATCAATAATCATGAGAGAGCATTTCTATGATTAACTTCTCATCGTTACTCAGCTCTCTTTTATTCCTAATTGCATTATTAATAAAATTTCACTGTAAAACCACTCATGTCATCAAGAAACTGAATCAACTTCCTATTTTGCCAAAAAGTACACGAAAAATTGCTTCTGCACAACCTTGATATTAGACAAAAAGGTGGATAAATTATCATCATTGACTTGTGATGAGAACAGAATTTACTTTTTAACTTTACATGTTGATGTCGTTCATTGAGATAATTGCTATTATGGTTTCGTACAATGATAAGTTCATTGTGGTAATGTGCCTTTCTTACTTGTCACGAAAGACACTTTATCCTTTGTGCTTGTTAAACATTTTTCAATGATTTGCAGATTGAAAAAACTGTTGCTGTCATGATTTGTTCAAAGACACATCACGAGTCTCTTGAGTCACTCTTAAAATTATTCTTGGTTTTGTGTTGAAAAATTGGACCTGTTAATGCAAAAATAAGTATTGATGGAAATTTTGAGACTTCAATTAGAAAGAAAATTCAATTGAAATGTTGAAACATGAAACATTACCGGAAATTTTGATGGGAATGTTAAGCAATTACAATGTTGAATGATGTCAAAAATCCCTCAGAATTTTTCAAACATTTTTCACTTGCAGATACCCAAAATTAAAATCATTTTTTTCAGCTTTCATAGTTTTTGAGATTTAGTTCAAAAATGCTTAAAACCACATAGTGCGTAAAAGCCAACTGATTTTTGCATAGAGTCATGATAAGCCATTAAAATTAAATGATAAAAAATTTCGAGAAAATAGTCAAAACTAGATTTTTTCTCCAAAAACTGTATTTGCAATTATTACATTTGCATCCCAATAGCTAACCATGTAGTAGGTCGAACAGTCAAAAGGCCATTTTTCCTATTCTTTTTGACTTGTTCCTTGACTCACAAATATTACTCTTTCACTCAATCAGTCACTTCTTATTCTCTATTTGCCATGCAATCTTTCACTATTGACAGTATTTCGTTTTTCGTGTAACCTCTTTGATGAAATTCAAGGACAAGAAATATATTTTTTCATGGTTTACATTTGAATTGATTCAACATTTTTTCTCTTTTCCTATTATTATCTAGAGTCTCATCATTATTTACCTTTATTTGTGCTCAGCCATTAACGTAACACTGATAGTTGATCCAGCTTGAGACTCAGCCAATTCAGAATTCTGTAATCGTCTGGAATCAGCAGTTTTTATCTTCATGTTTTTCTCACTCTCTCAAAGTTTAAATATTTTCATTCTGTTATGTTTATTATAATCATGTAATCATTCAGGGACAACATGAAGTTGCTAAATAATCAGTTTAATCAGGTCTGATTCAATTCATTTTCAACCTCGACACAGCAATCAAACACCCTTCAATACTAACTTTCGATTGTCTATGCTAATGGTTGTAATGATTATTTACAATTATATTTTGCTTTGTTGCTCTTCGCATAAATCTTCTAATCATATTCACTTAAAGATGATCATCTCTTGAAACTGATCTACCAACCTTGATATAAGGTGACAATTCAACTCGTTTAGTAACTAATTGCTTCTCTAATTGAAATTTTTCACCATCAAATGCTATTAATTAGAAAGTTTAAGCTTCCTCACAATTTGATTCATCCTTGAACCTTCCATTATAAGATTCTTTGCTAAATGAACAGAATTGTTATCAAATACAATCTTTTTCCCTGTTTGACTCGGAACTGTTAGCTTCATGGTTTTAATCAATTAAACATCTAAATGTTACTAGTTAAGTTGAAACATTTCAAGCGCTGTACAGTTGCTTTGATTGCCTTCACATCGACTCAAGATTTTGATTAAACATTTCTTTGTTTATTCATTTCCATACAAGATTCTTCACTCAATTCATCTAGATTTGAATTAGTGGGAAATGTTTTTTGTTACACTTTTGTGAATTGCCTTTTGAGTATCTGAAAGGAAACTAAATAAGATTGAATAAAAAGTCAAGAGTCTTGGTGTGAGTTTTTACAGAATTGAAACAGATTTTAACTGCATCTTGAATTTAATTTATGATTTATTAAAAATTTCAAATGAATGGCTTGTTAACAATCACGATTTAAATGATTTTTCACAATATATCGAGCCAGCAGGTGAAATTCAATATAAATATGTTTATAAACGTGTGTTAACCATCTACCTTGGCTGACAGTGAAACTGAATGTTTGAATAATTGTTAATTATGAATGGCATTTTACTTTTTTTCACAAGTCTAAAGGTAAAACGTTCCATGCTTTAGACGAATTTCATGGCTTATTTTGAGCTCATTCCAACCTTGAGGCTTCTTACATGATGATTTTCAGCTCCTTAATTTAAAGATCATGCTTCATTATGAACATTTGCTTTTGCCATCAACTTGACTTAAATGTGAAAGCGAAGAGTCAAAATCGGTTAAAACTGATGAAGATAAATAAAATGTCTACTCATTTATTCCGTTATAAACCAACTTTTAATCAAGATAATCACTAATTCGTATCTTTCTTTTATCTTTTTAGAGGCATTTATCCAATGACGAATTTTCGACCCTTTTTCATATGTCAAGACTTGAATTTTATCGATTACCAGAATGGAAACGAAATGATCTAAAGAAGCGAGTGAAACTCTACTGAAGGACAGAGCCATTGGACTAAAGATCATCATGATAATTGTTCCCATTTCTCATCTTCATTTCTCTGTTTCTTCTGTTTCTCGTCTTCTTCCTTTTCTTCAACTTTCAGCATTCTTTTATTTCCTTTTTGTTCCATCGGAAAAGCTAACTCTGAATCTTTTCATATTTTTCCTTTCATCTTTCATCTTTTGTTCATCTTCTTCATATAAGCTTATTTTTCTCCTTCATGATGCATTTAGAGCGATTTCGTAAATTCATGATGAGCAGAAATTCAGGCAACTTTTCCTCCTCTCCATTGCAATCGATACATTTAGTCTTAATAATGAATTGGTAGTCGATTCAAATTACTCAGGTTAAGGGCAGCTAATAATCCTTTTTTCATGATTTTAGATAATTTTACTTTGTTTTCACCTTCTTTTGAGGTTTTATTATATTTCTATCGATCTTATTATTTGTTCATTAGCGACCAAAGATATTAATGCAGTCTTTTATCTTGCCTGATCTACTTTTATGGCAACTTGTTTTATCCTCCTTATTTACCCATTCACTGATTGAGTTTAAAATTATAAACTTGCCTACAATCAACTAGAGTTATCTAATCAAGAACAATTTATGAAAGCATTTTTTGATTGAAAAATTAGACGATTTTACAATCGATGCTTAATTTTGAAAAAGTGACAATGTTAGATTTTACTTTGACCAGATGTGTCTCTAAGTCTAAATTGATTTTACATGAAAACTGCCTCTGAAATGAACCTAATCAAGTATCAAAAATCATATACATTAGTTTATTTTTAGTTTACTTTCAATACTTTCTCCTCTTCCTTAATCCAATTGAACCTCATCCTTTTCATCCCATTTTAATCGATTCAGTTTTGTGACTATTTTCAATTTTTATCAACATTTTAGTAGGAAAGTTGAAATTGATTTTGGTGATAAAGTAAAACAGTGATATTTAGACAAAAAATTGATTACTGAACCAGAAATTGTTCAGATTAATGAGCATCATGTATAAAAGAGCAAGACTGTACAATTTAAATCCAAGGATAAAGAAAGTAAAATATGATTATTACAGTGATGATGCAAAAGAAGCAGGAAAAATTTAAATTTTACTCAGTTTGTCATCATGATGGAAGCAAATTGATCCAAATGATAAAGAAATGACGCTTAAAAAAAACAACTTATTCTCTTCATCTTTTTTCTTCATTATCATCATCTTCCTTATTATCTTCATCATCATTTTACTTTCTTGTCTTTGTTATTAACAGTTAATTATATCTCCATCATTAACACAGTTTGTTATTAGTCTTCTCATTTTCCCCATTTTTCTCTGTCAAATGTAACTCGCCAAAAAAGTTTACATTTTGTACACAATTTTTCTGACCATTAATTATTGATAATTAGCATCACCATTTTAATTTTCATTTAATCAATTGATCTTTTAATGTTCCTTTTTATTCTTAATTTTCCCAATCGATTGTAAAATTGACATTTGTCAAGCATTTAGTTTTTATTTTCAATCTTCCAATCAACTCTCAGTTGATTAAATTGAATGATGAAAAATTATGATAAACTAATTTAAATTTTTGGTGTTGCTAATTATATTTACCAACTTGAAACACTTTTAGATTCCCATTTCAATCAATTGTATCCCATTTTTTTTATTGCCACTGATGTAAAAGACTTAGTAATTTATCTGTTCATTCATTTCTTTCCTGCAATTTTTGACTATAAATCGCTTCACTTTTTGATTGTTGATTAGCCTTTTCACTGACAATGGAAATGAAAATGAGACTAAATTTTGAACTTGTTTTAGTTGACAACAACAAATCAAAATTACATCAATGATTCTGGCAAACAGAAAGGGTCAAGACTCTCGGGGCAGCTATCACCATCAAGATCAAATTTCGCTGAATGTTTCTGTTCTAGTCTAATTGTCATTTCTTGCTATTTCTTGTTTCCCCATTACTGACGATTCAAACTGAAGAAACAAATTAACATTAGCAAATAATCAACAATCATTTTAACAGTAAAAATCTTAAAATATGTACAAGAAACAAATTAACTCTAACTATTACTATATTATATTATTAATATTATTCTAAATTAATTTTCCAATTATTCTCCATTAATTTCATTCATTAATTTAATCATGTCTTCTAATCTTTTATTTTTATCCCAAACAGCTAATATCATTGACTTGACTAACACTATTATTAATAATATATCAAGTCTAGAGCAAACCTTATTTAACGTATTTCCCTGTGTCTGTAATAATAGCGCTAAATAATTTTGAGAAACTCTATGGAACAGATTGCGGGAGAATATTGCTCGAGATTGTTCTGTTGGTTGATATAAGCCAGATTTAGAGATAACATTGAGTGGACCCACTAAGAATTTCAAGCAAAAAATCATGAATCAAGTTCATCATTAAGGGATCACTGCATCTGTAGCTCGTTTAAGGAGTTATGACTCGGTCAATCATTTCAACTAGCATTGTTTACTCTCTATGATTTAAAGTTGAAAGTTTTCTCTGACTCCAAATCTTGGAAGTGACTTACAAACTAAAATTTCGGGAAATTTGATCATCATTGAGCAACGCGAACTAGCTTGTCATAAGCTTGTCAGGCCTTTCCATTAAGGGGGAATCATGCAAATGGTCATGCAAATTTGAACGAATTTGTCAATCAAATAGTTCTAAAAGTCATGATAATGAGATTCTGGGCAAAAAAAGTTACACAGATTATCAAGCAAAGACGAAAGATTCTTTCTAATCTGACTTGCTAGTGAATACTGCATTGGCATTAAATACAAGATTCATTAAATTTTTCAGATATAAAGTTGTGGGTAACTTTTGCCCATTAAATTGCAATAGTTTAATGATATAGCTAGTTAAAGTTGCTGATGAAATTTGCTGATTTAATAAAATGAATTTAATTGATGATTGACTCATTCATATCTGCCAGTGTTGTTTCAAGCGATGAAAAACATCTTCAAGAAACAGTTGCTTCGTATTTCAACGCAACTGTTTAAGACTTTAGCTTCCTTAATTGGCTTAATTTTTGATTAAGGAATACTTATAATTTGTCAAGCTTTACAATCAATTATCAGTTAATAGTTACATGCATTTACATGCTTATTTAGGTTAAACAAGCCTTAAAGAGTAATTAGTTTGCGATTAAATCAAGTGTAACATTGGATTTTAATCAAACTATGCTAAGTCAACTTTCCTAACAAGGGAAGTAACCTCGTTGGTACGGGCAGGTCAAAACGAAAGTGAGTTTAATGGAAAGCCCATGTCAGGTCAGAAATGTCATGTACTGACGAGGTTACTTCCCTTGTAAGATATTCCAGTAAAATCGATTGAACCAAGTTGAAGACATTTGTTTTGCTGGTTAAAAAGAGATGGAGTTTGGTGGATTTTAAAGCAACTCATACTGACGACCTTAAAAATGATGAAACAACATCAACTGATTGCGTTTTCACAATATTTCTGAACATCTTTTCATGCACAAACATAACTTATGATTAATCTTGCATTGGACTGTGATTGTAATTACAACGATAAACAATTTGTTGATTCACTTTTCACTTTTCCCATTTATTCCTATCAATCAACCAACAATAACTGTTAACGACTTAAAGTGCAACATCCGAGGTCTTCATGTGTGACAGACTTTTCAGATAATAATATTTCATTTGTTGTAACAACATTACGTCTTTCAGTTTCTTTCAGTTTCTTTCAATTTTCTTTGAAACATTTTATCACTATTTTCAAAGCAATCAATCAATAAACCAAATAACTCTTCAAATCCATGATCATCTGTGATTAATCGGCATTCTTATTCCAACTGCAACTGCACATCTGATTGCTCAGAAAAGGATCATAAGGTTGGTTAGCCATTTGATCATCAGAATATCTCATCTTATCCTGGATCTCTTCTTCTTTTCAGATCAATTAAAATATTATCACAAACATGGATCAAGCAGTTTTCTCGCCGTTTATTCAATTATTGACTATCTATGATCAAGAGTTTCAAGAGCTAAAACCGGCAATGATTGAGTAGCAATCCAAACGTGATCTGGACAAAATTAGATTTACAATTGAATATTCAATGTTAAAACACTTGGATTATCTGATAATCTTAATCTTATTATGACTCGTCTGCTCATCATACACTGACAGCTGACTATACTCGAAATGAAGATACAATCTCCAAGAATCACATGAATCTTAAAACATTTACTGACAATACTTGAGGATCAAAAGTTGTTTACTTCAATCAATTTAAATAGACTTTCTTTGCTAAAAGCTTTAATTTAAAAGGTAAACTAAACTGGACTTAGATGAGAAATTTAATAGTTAGGTTAGGACCCTTCGAAAACGTGCTGAATGCGAATATAAAGGAAAAAATTGTGTTTGCGATTCTATGATTGCTCTACTTGAAGTTGAATTTGCAAAAAAAATATTAGAAATGTTTTTAATCTATGAACAATTGTACATTTGACTTTTGCTTTGCTTTCAGGATTCAAAGTGCAACCAATTTAAATCTTCTTATACATTCAATCCGATGCAGTACTCAACATATCAAGGTATATTTTTTCATTGAATCTGGAAATTAATACGACTAATCAACAGTTAATAGGCTCAGTAAAAGTGCAGAAACATTGAGCAACATGAACAGATTTGTCAAAAGCAAAACATACAGTTCAATTGAAATTTCCTGATGTTTCCACCTAAGATAATAAATATCTAGATAAACCAATTGTTTTGCATCTATACTTATTTTGAGTCTTATATCAGTTGACCCTTTATATTGTCTGATCTGATCTGATTGTTCAAAATAAATTCAAATCCTGAAAGTCTCAATACTTGACATTAAAGCCTTTTCTGGAAACAAAACTTTAATATCTTTTCATTTCAAAATTTACCTTTAATTTTAAGTTTCTCATCAATATTTGTCGGCAAAACACAAATTGAAAAATGAAAATTGTATGTAACAAATTGAGCCCGTATTGCAAACTTGTAGCCGCTATGAATGTAGCATTTATCAATCAAACTGCAACTGTAACCGTAATCATTTCTGGTCAACATTTAAGGGAAAATATTGACCAGTTTTTAAATTATCTATTATGAGAGGTTAATTTTCGTCTGGAAAACACAATTTATCCCATTTTAATATTTTCAGGTTTACTTGATCACAATGATTATTTACTGTAATGGCTACTTCAATCAAAATGAAATTATATATTTCCTTATTTCCTTGAAAATTTGGCCTTGTTCACAACTGAGAGAATCCATTTAATGTACTTGATTTTCATGTTGAATCACGAAAATTTCATTTTTACGAGTTTTCTATAAACCAAAGGGTGAGCCTTGTTCTGGTCATTCAATCCTGGGATACAATGTATCGTTGAAATGTAAACTTGAAAAAAATCAAGTTTCTTTTGGCATTGAAAAGTCCCCATTTCCCAGTTAACAAAACGACAAACAATCAATTGTAAATGTACCGTGTTTCCGCGCATTCTAAAGGATGTTCAATGTAATTACCTCCAAACTGGCGGAGCTTAAATTATGACAATCACAATCAAAAACATGATAAGCAAGTTATTTACCTTTCGCCTTCCATCCTTTACCTTTATTATTGTGATGTTACTCGAGTTATCATGTTTTTGATTGTGATTATCATAATTTAATCTCCACCAGTTTGCAAGTACATTGAACACCCTTTAGCAACGGCCTTAATTATGATAAATTTCACTTTTAATTCACTGTTGACACTCATAGATTTGCACTGTGACTTGAAAATGATTAAAAAAGCAAGAATCAAAACAAAAAAATATGTATCCAATGGAAACCGGTTTTAAGTTGATTTTTAGGCAACAGTGCATAAGAGCGAGTATCAACAGTGACTAATAAGTGAACCTACTCATTAACAAGCTCGGTGCTAGGATGCGCGGAAACACGGTAGATCAACGTTACGTCAATTGATTCAGATTCGATAAGCAAGTTGTTTGCAAGTTTACTAAAAAACTGGTCTGAAAATGAAGTAAAAATGATACAAAAACGTGTAATCAAGTCAGACAGTTGATGAAATACCAAATGAAGGTAAAGCTTATTCAAAATTTAATCTGATTATCGGTTCATAACAAAAGATTTTATTCCCAAAGAGTTGACTTGAATCTTGAAAATACAATCATGTTAATCTTAGAAGTGAATGTTGGTAAAGTTGATTAACTGAAACAGATGATAATTGATTACATTTGAATGGGAAAATGTTTATCAACTTGAAAACACCATTTGAATCGCGAAACATTTTCTTATCCTTTCTTTAGTCTTACAACTCTTTGGCTGCTTGCTGATCCATTCAGTGAAAAAAAGGTAACGTAATCTATCAATATCGATATGCTGCAACAATTTGATGATTTGGATAAAAAAATTCATAATTATCCTCATTTTTTTTTAAATTGTCTTTCGCTCTAATGAACTTCAAATCATTTTCAACCTTTCTTTCTTGAATAATCAACTAAAACTTACCTGAAATGAAACGCATTTATAACACTTGGCTGAATATAATAATCTAATTTACGAAGGTAACATCACTTGAAATTAAAATGGATTGAGTAAAAAAAGTAGTCTCACCTAAAATAAGGGAATAAATATTACAAGCGAAAGATACAAAAATTGATTGAAACTTGAATGAAAGACATGCAATCCAATTGTGATTTACCTTTGGTAATTGTCGATAATAATAATAATGCTGTTTTTGCACTTAAAAGTTAATTGCGCTGTTTGAAGGTGAACTATTTAAAAACTGCTGTTTATATCAATATTGTTGTACTGGTTTGTATGGCGGCAGGAGTTTAACACAATTTAGTTAATCAACTCAATTTGTTATTCGTTGTGATTGATTGTTTTAAAAATAAACCGATTAGCTGCTTTCTAATGATGACTTTACATTTACATTACATGTACTTGATCATTATCCTTATCATTAAGCTTGCACCATGAAAAACTGATGAATCTTGGGCTTGATAGTAAATCGTATTATTGAAACTTTCAATTATTAGGTTGTCCGGGCCAAAAATGGTGGAGGTTTGATTGTTGTTAATTTCAAATTGGTGTGACTTTTTTTATCAATTTTCGGTCAGTTATACCTGAATAGCTAACAACTATTTTGCAATTAATTAAATAGATTATATGGTTTGGTTAAGAAATTAGAACAATTAGAATTAAAAATTGGTTTTTTCATTTTGACGAAAATTCCAAATCAAAGGTCCCTTTTGATTTGCTCGCTAACTTTTTTCAATTTTTGGATATTTTTGGATGATTAAATAAAAGTGTTAATTTTGTTGAGAAAACGAATTGACCATTCGATGAAAGAAGGCAAAACGAATAATTTGTGTCAATTTCTTGCATCTATCAGTTGAGGTTTACAGACTCGATCAATGAGGTGACCTTTCGACTTTTCATTTTTTTTCATTGATTTTCTAATAACTTTTTCTTTATTTTACTTTTGGCCAGAAATTTCTCATAATTAATTTTGTTCTATCTGTCAATAAAACTCTGAAATTTGAGTGAGCTAAAAAATTGCTATTTGAAAATATCTTTGATCAAACTTCCGCCACTTTGGCCCGGACAACCTAATATTATTTTCCTTTTTCTTCTTTTCCCTCTCAACCTGTACAATTAACTTTTGCTTAATTATTTATTCAAATGTTATTAATTAAACTACTTACAATTGTGTGTTTCATTTTCATTCAACAATGTACAACTAGACAAGGTGACTATTTAACCTTCAACTCTGTAAAAACATAAACACAAACTGAGTGTTTGGAGAGTTTGATTAACAAAGTAAACTATGAAAATAATAATGGTAATGATGATGGTTTCTTTATCAGTTTAAGCAGCAACAGGATGAAGAAAGAAATTCAAAGAGAGATTGTTGATTAGTCTTTTATGCAAAGAGTATAACAAGAGGTAGCACGCAATGTTAACTATGTTTGAGAAATAGGGAAAAGGGAAAAGGGGCAGAACGCGGTAGCGCCACTAACAATCCTTTTAATTTTTTTGAACTTTTTCTCATCAAAAATTTGTTTACATTTATTTTTTTGTCATTTTGTCGTCTCTTTCCTAATCTCTTTCTCGTTGCTAACTCCCTCCTTTCCTGCTCCTTTTAACTTCTCATCTCTCTTATCTATAGCTCTCATTGTCGTGCTCTCTCTATTGCTATTACTCTTTGTTAATGCATCATTTAATTTGATAATATTATTTAATAAACAGCATTGCATTTATCAATTCATTGCTGCTCTGGTTGCTCGTGCTGGTGATGTAAAGTTTCAGTCAGTAGATGACTAGCAGGAACCGGGTGTGATTTTACATGTTGTAGATGATGATTTAGATGATGATGAGGAGGTGGAGAGATGGGCATTGAAGGCGGATAATAATATTCACTAGCTCGAACTGGCTCGGGCATAAAATCAAGGTTAGCCAGGAAGTGATCAACATTTGACTCAAATAGTAAGGCACTGAAAGACTGGGGTGCCGAAGCTGGATCAGGGCAGTCAGCCATCCTTGACTGATTCACTGGAGATGATGGTAGAGTTTTCCGCGTTGAGGGTGGATGTGGATAGCGAATGCCCTTAGTGTTTGAAGTTGATGTAACGGATTGCCTTAAAGTTGATGAGGCTGTTGAAGATGTGTTTCCGGTCAATCCGTAAACCATTGAACCATTTTCACCTGGAATCATTGGATGACCAGTCCTTGGATTCAGTGGACTGTGAATATTACTGTTAGGTTGAGTTAAGGTTTGCTTAATTGAGTCGGAAAATTTGGTTATCTGATTTAACAGGCATAAAAGTTCATCATCATCATGACCAGTCCCAGTTGTTGTCCGACTGTATTCAACTCCACTGTCATCACTTAATGCATTGGGTGTGGTAGTTGTATTATTGTTTCCAGAGGAAGAGGAAGATTCACCCTTCTTAATTCCTCCTCCTCCGCCGCCCATTCCACGGCTTTCATTAAATTTATCAATTTTTTTAACCTTTTTACATATGTCTTCAACTTTGTGCTCAAGTTTCTCTAAACGATTGGTAATTTTATTGATGGCTGTTAATGTCTTGGCATGTTGACGAATTAAAAAATAAATCTCTGGTGAAAGTTCAGATGTTAATGGAGATGATACCGATGAGGATGAGGCTGATGATGATAATGGAACGGATAAGGGTGGAGATGAAACTGATGGTACTGGTGGTACAGATGATGGAGTATCTATTTTAATTGGAATCCTTGTTGGTATGTTAACCTTTGCCAATCCTCCTCGATTGGCAAAGGGACTACGACTTCCGGTGTTGCGGGGTCTGCTGAGATCGATGTTTGCTCTTGGCTCAAACTGGCCTGAACTGATATGATCTTTCAGCCTCACACCATCAGGCATACCTATAAGAGGATAAAAGAGAGAAGAAAGAAAAAATTAGATTTTTTTTGTGACATTCAAGTTGGAAATTGCACTTCAAATGTAACAATTGTTTCACAAATTTTCAAAAAAAACATCTCTTAGAAATGATGACTAATTTTCTTGCTTTTTTGTTGAAAACATTTGAAATTAATTATTAAAATGGATGTTCCTTTTAAAATGTCACTATTGTTGTTGACGTATATATACTGTAATACCGTAATACTACAACCTACAAGCTGCGCATAGCTGAGTGACTCTATGTTCACCCCCTGGTGTTGCCATACAAAGCTTGACTAGCTGTATATAGACATTCATTATTATATTGTTTATACATTATATTCAGTATTACATTAGATTGTATTAAATTAAATCTTAATCGATCTTCATCCTTTTTTGTATGTAATTGTTTCAAGTCTGATGTATAGTATAAAGAATATGATGTATAGCATAAGTTTCACAGGTTCAAAGGAAAAAGGAGTTAATCACAAGATCTTTTTTAACATCGCAAGGCCTTGGCAAATTATGCTTACCATAAACATTATTAGAACGATACCAATACAATATGACTTTTGAAAGCCAGTTTCACAAACTCGCATGAATAGACGGTTCAAACAATTTATATAATTTCACTTATTACCAATCCTTGCATAATGGCTGGAAAAATATTCAACAGATAAATATATTTAAATCAAATTGAAAGGGGTGAAGTTGATAAAATCCATTCCAACATAGAAAAATGTAACACTTGTTTCACTCAAGACACAAATTTTCAAAAAATAACATCTCTTGGAATTGTTGACTAATTTTCACGCTTTTTTGTTGATAACATTTGAAATATATTATTCAGATACAGATAGATGTTCCTATTGTCACTATTGTTGACGTATAAATGATGCTACAACCTACAAGCAACGCATTGCTGAGTGACTCTATGTTCACCCCCTGGTGTTGCCATACAAAAGCTTGACTACACTTTCATTATTAGTCAACATTGAGAAACTGGATTTAATTTTTTCAACGGTCCCTTTTGTTTCTTGTTTACATTTTGTAATAAGTTTGCTTTTGCTAAATAATAATGCTTTTAATGAATTTGTCGTGTTTACACACATTGTACAACGATTAGATTACGATCCTCTGTCGGGCAAACTGTAATAAGTTTGCATTTATGCTTTAATACGGATGAAGATGTTTACATTTATCAGAAATTTTCAGTAGATTATTCAACAGTCCCTCAACCTCTTTGTTTACATTCTATTAGATTTTAATTATTAGTGATTTTATTATGTAGGATGGTCTTATGTCTTTATATATGTCATCTTATTACAACCAGAATTTGTCGTTTGACCTCAGAATATTCACCACAGACTCTGGCCAAGAATTAAAGTGAAGGTGACCTACAGTCAACTGGTGAACTTACAGTTCTAAAAGCCAAATTGATAAATAATTAATTTAACAAAAAATAACCTAATAAATAAACAATTTGACAAATAAAATTGAATAAAATAAAGATTAAATGATTTAAATGGAATATGTAATGAAAAAAATGAAAATTGACCCATACCTCGAGACCAGCCTCATAATAAACAACTAAAAATTGAAAAACAACAAAATTATTTGATTTAAAATTAATAAAGTGTTGACCACTTTCTACAACAACTCACACATTAAAGCAATAGATGACTTCACGCTAAAATGATGCTTTAACTGTGGAGCATTCAAACACACAAACTGTAAAGTGTTACAGGCAAGAACAATGCGAGAAAACACAAATGAAATGTCCTGCCTGAAATGAAGCTTTCACCTCAGAATATGAACCATTCAAAGCAATAAGAAAATGATTTTTAGACTATACTTATACCGACCTACTTTTTGAAAATGGATTCTAAAGGAATTATACAGTATATCTTGTTTTAGAGGTCAGTTTGTGTCCTGTAACTGGTACTCTATTATGTTTAAGCTCAATTTAGACTAAATTTTAGAGTTAGCCTATTTATTTGATAAGGGAGAAAGCAGTTATTTCATTATATCTACGTTTTTTCTCAGTTGGTTTTAATTGATTAAAGGCAACTTTTTTCATCTTATGTTAAAATTTTTCTTTGAAATACGGAGTTAGTTCCTAATTCTATGTTTCTAAGAAATCTATTGTTTCTTACCTCTATTTATCAAGCTCTCCAATAATTTGTAAGTTCCGTGTTCCTAAAGGTCACCTTGAGTATTGTTTTGTCCTAGGATTCTCTACTTTTATCGTCTTCTTGTAATCACTTTATGAGCGTTGATTTTCCTTTTTCATCGACACTATAAACGGGTAAACAAATTATAATAGAGAGGGCATTATTGTATCAGTTAATTAAGTCGCTAAAACACAAAACTCAAACTCAGCCGTGAGTAGCTAACACAGCTGAAGTAATTGATATAAAAATAATAAAATTGATAAAGCATGCTGAAAAAATTCAAAGAAACAGTTGAGATTAGTCTTCTCAATACAGCTTGAAGATTAAAAGGTTGGTGTGAAAGAGTAATCTTACTCATCTGGTGTTTAATTTTCCCTCTCTTGCAAAATGAGTTTCTTAGTTACTGTAACTAACATGAAATTTTGTGTCGCTCTTTTTTAAACAACATTTGTCTTCAACAAGTTGTTTCTTTTAAATTGGTTGACATTTGAGTCTCAATTAGTGTCTATCCTGTTGATAATTCACAGATTGTATCTGACTAAGAGAGGTAAGATTATTTCATTGCTATTGCCACCAATTGTTCGATTTCTTCAAGCTCAATCAAATCGTATTTGAATTTCAACTAATTTCAACAAGTTTTTAAATCCAACAGGACTTCGATTGGACTTGACTGTGCCATGTGAAATTTCTGCCAATCATCAACCTATCACTATAGAACATGAAATTATTGCTCAACTCCAAAATGAGCTCCAAAGAGGAATCAATTTATATAGTTGGTCGTTATAATAAATTTAGCAGAAACCTTTGTCAAACACCTTGGATTATTGATGGAGTTCGCCGGATGGAAAGCTCTGTTCAAGATCTTATTGTCAATGAAATTGAAAAACGAGTCAAATATGAAAAGGCCAAATTCAGTGCTTGTGGTCGAGAGGATGTTGATGTACGGATGCTTGGAGATGGACGACCATTTGTTGTTGAATTGATGAAACCTGAAGTGAATAATATAAGTGATCAAGTATTAGATGAAATTGAACAAGAAATCAATACTAACTGTACAGAAATCAAAGTTAGAGATTTACAATTAACAGTGAAAGAAGAAGTAAAAGTACAATTAAAACTTGGTGAAACTGATAAGACGAAAAGATATCGCGCATTATGTTGCATTAATCGACCATTGACTGAAATGGATTTTCAGAAGTTCCAGTCGATAAAGGATTTAACCATCAACCAAAAGACACCTATTAGAGTTTTACATAGACGATCTCTTTTAAATCGTCCTCGAGTCATCCATAGGATTTCCGCAGAAAAAACTGAAGATGATCATAAATTTATAATTGAATTGACTACGGAAGCTGGAACTTACATTAAAGAGTTTGTTCATGGAGATTTTGGAAGATCTACTCCCAATTTAGCTGAAATTATGGGCGATTGCAGAACAGATATAATTGAATTAGATGTCATAGCGATAACAATGGATTGGCCTAAGACTAAGGCTATAAAATCAGCTACACCAACGGAAGGCACGAAAGCAAAGATAGAGAATGACTGTACAAACGACTTTCCATGCACAAAGAGATTTAAACATGAGAATTAAAATTAATTGAAATAAAGCAACATTAAAATAAACACTTTTTGATATCTTTTACACTTGAATGACTCAATTTGATATAAAAATAACAAGAATAAAAAGGGAAAACATGCTGATAAAATTCATAGAAACAGTTGAGATTTGTCTCATCAAACAAGATTGTAGATTAGAAGGTTGGTGTCAAAGAGTAGAGTAATCTTACTCTTTGCTTAATGTTTGATTCTCCGCAAAGGTTTAAGTAATGTATAAGTAAATTGACAATTTAAAACATTACTCAAATTAAAAAGTATGCAGCGACCAATGCGCGAAATTTAAACTTTCAGAATTGTTTTATCTATTCAAGCAATTGAATAGAGTAATCTTTGATTCGAGTAGAGGAATGATTGTTAGAAAATACTGCAAAGTCTACTCACATGGAATGATGAGATAGTCACAAATCAAGTCGAGTGTCGATTGAATTCCTTCATCAATTCCTTCAACTCTTCATCCTCTGATTCACCATTTGCAAAACCAATGAAAAAATACATTAATCTTTGATTTTCCCTCTCTTGCAAAACGAGTTTCTTAGTTACTGTAACTAACATAAAATTCTATGTCTCTCTTATTTAAACAACGTTTGTCTTTAACAAGTTGTTTCTTTTAAATTGGTTGACATTTGAGTCTTAATTAGTGTGCATCCTGTTGATCATTCATAAATCGTATTTAACTAAGAGAGGTAAGATCATTTTATTGCTATTGTCATCGATTGCTTCGATTTCTTCAAGCTTAATTAACAAGTCATCGTTGAATTTCAACTAATTTTAACAAGTTTTTAAACTATTCAGGAGATTCATTGGAATTATATACCAGATAATTCGGAATAAATTCGTTACAGTATGAGATCTGATAACAGCGGAGGTTATTCAGCATTAAGACTAATATTTGCATTAGTATTTGGTCTTTTTGTGATTTGTGTTCTTCGAGCTCTTATCCTTTTCCCTGAGCCTAAGAGTCCTGAACCATGTGAAGTTTCTGCCGATCATCAGCCTATCACTAAAGAACACGGAATTATTGAAAGATTCCAAGAAGCTTTGAAAATCAAGACTGTAGCATGGGATATACATTCTTATGATACTCAAGAGTTAATCAAAATGAGACATTTTATCGAGAAAAGTAAGTTTATGTTCAATTTTTCTTTACAAAACTTTGCAATAAAAACCTTGAAATTTTACCATTTTGCAGCTTTTCAAGTTAATCTCCCATGTTTTAAATCATCACGATCTATCTGAGTGGTCCCGTAGTTCACTTCAAATCATCATAATAGCATATTAGAGTAGCAGAAACGAAATTTTGATCAATAATACCCTGACATTTCCTAATCTCGTACTATTCGTTTGCTCAAAGCGAATCTCTTAGAGAGATATGCTCTTTGGCTTTGCTGCTAAGGTAAATAATTAACAAGCGTGATACAATAGATTAAAATTTAGGATAATAGTTAGATATTTTACTACAGACTGTATTTAAGTCGCTAATTGTAAGATAAGATGAGATTACCTATTGAAATTACTCTCATAACATTAAAAGCATGTGTTATCTAGTGGTTTTCATCATTTGTGCTTTATCTTGTTAATTAATCAATTTGTTTGTGAATTAACTATCAAAAAACAAGTTTATTTTTCTCGTAAAGCTTATTTATGATCTGGATTCAAGATTATCCAATAATTTCTGTCTACAAAGATATTTCATAATATATTTTTTTCTTTAAGATTATCCAACTCTCCATTCATCATCATTGGTTAAACGGACGATTATCGGCAATTACAGTCTTGTGTATGAGATCAAAGGAAGTGACCCAAAGCTTAAACCCTACATGTTATGCGCTCATCTGGATGTTGTACCAGTTGAGCAAGAAAAATGGACAGTTGACCCATTTGGAGGCATCATTAAAAATGGGTATATCTATGGTCGCGGAGCTGTTGATGTCAAAGATGCTTTGATGGTAATTAAACTAATTTTAGACATTTTTATTGAAACAATATTTCACTGCAGTAATGTATATTTATGTAACTAATAGGGAATATTGGAAGCTGTTGAATTTGAATTATCAAGAGGATTTAAACCGAAACGTCCCATTATATTAGCTTTTGGCCATGACGAAGAGGTTACAGGAATTGATGGTGCTGTTCAGATTGCAAACTTTCTTGTATCGAAAAAAGTAGAGCTTGAATTTTTACTTGATGAAGGCACTTGTATTCTGAAAAATGCTTTTCCCGGTATACCAAAGGAACAAGTCGCTCTGTGAGTAATAACCACTGTATCATTTAAACCAATCTCAAAATATTTTTGTTCATTTCATTGTTTTCTCAAATTTTAGGATCTCAGTCGCAGAAAAGGGCTATTTGACTGTTGAGGTGTCAATAGAAGACAAACCAAGACATTCCTCTACTCCACCTTATGAACCAAACATTGTCACTCTATCAAAGGCACTTGCTAAGTATGTAATTCAGAAATGCCTGAGAGCTAACCCTCTATTGATGAGCATGAAAACAAATGCAGAAATTGACATTTAAAATTCTATGTACAGGTTCAACTCCCGTGCCCATAAGAGTATGTTCGGATATGGTACAGAAAATAGCTTCTTCGAATCTTTAGCCCCTCACGTAAGTATGAAAGACAAAAGATGAAAACTGGCTGAATTCGATGTGTAATTCATATGCTTGAAATTCACTGATTGTAGCCTTTCTATAGTCCAGTCAATAACCAAAATTATTTTTTAGGCTCAATTCCCTTATAAAGTACTATTCGGAAATCTTTGGCTTTTTGGTCCTCTTGTATCTTATATGATGAGCCTCTCACCTATGGGAAATGCATTGGTAAGGACAACAAGTGCGGTTACAGTAGTAAAGGGTGGTGTAAAGGATAACATAATATCGAGTGAAGCATCAGCCTTGATAAACCACCGAATCCATCCAGCTCAAACAATTGCTGAAGTTGTTGAATATGATCGTCAATTGATTAATGATGACAAAATCAAGATATCAATCAAACAAGGATCTGAACCCACTCCACCTTCCCCTCATGGTGATAATATTTTTGGCTATGCATCAATTAAGCAAAGTATCCAACAAGTCTTTCCAGATGCAATTGTAGTCTCGGGGTTAATGATTGCTGGTACAGATGCGAGACATTACACTGCTCTAAGTCCGAATCTTTATCGTTTTACTCCATTATATATTCCAAGTGAGGATATAATCTTGTTCCATGGCCATGATGAGAGAATTTCCGTTGAAAATTATGTAAAAGCAGTTAATTTCTATCATCATCTGATTTTAGCAGCAGATAGATCGGAGTTACCCAAACCAAGAGTTAGAGATGAAATGTAAGAAAATAAAATGAATTATCTGTATTCAATCATAAAACCAGTTTGCACACAGTCACTAATCTCATAATTCCGATTTATCAATATCTAGACTGAAAGAAAACGAAAGAAGTTGAGAAAAGAGTAACATCAAAGTGAGATTATCAAAGTGTTATTACATGCTGGTTATTGAGACGCTTCAGATCTAAGATTTGAGTTGTTTTTATTGCACAGATGATATCCTAGTCTAGTTATATCAAATGAGTTAATCGTGGCTAAGATAAGGGTTAAGATTTTAATATCTTATATTTTACATCTAATATAATGAAAAATTATTGGAATTTTTAAACATAATGATTGATATTATCAATAATATGATACATAATGTAATAAATTGTCAAAAAACCATTACTTTAGGTGAATGAAAGCCATAATTGAAATGAACAAATTATACTTTCAGATTATCAAATATCGAAAAGAGCTTTATTTTATTAAATCAATGAAACTATTTTGTGAAAATAACATCAAAAAACATTTTTATCTCTAATTTAATTCGAAATAAAAAATGTCGATTTAGATTTCGCAAGTTAACATGAATAATTATCAACTAGATTTTTGTCATTACTTATGAACTAATGAGAAAAATATTTCTAATATGGAAATGACTAAGGCGACGGACAAAACTATGAATAAACCGATGAAAACCTTTCTCATTCCGCCAATCTTTAAAGGTACAAATTTAATATCTTTTTTCGGTTTGATTTTTCGTTTGTTCAATACATGCTCGGTCACCCTACGGAAAGGCAAAGACACGGATATTTCTCGTATAATTGCCGTCATTATCCAGTCAACCAGAGCTGATTGCAGTAGCTTTGAAGTCCTAAATGAATCGAAATAAAAATAAGTCAGAATAAATTAAGCAAAATGTGACAAAATTAACTCACACTGAATTTAACCTTTTGATTATTTGATCAACATCGTGTCTTGGGTTAACTAGGAAAGCTGATAATGATTGGTAAAACGCTTTATCAGACCAATATGAATACTTGGCCATTGGATGGTCAGTTCCTTCAATTGAATTTCCAATTTTTCCCACCTTTTCAGAATAAAGCCACACATTTTCAGATGAATAGGCTTGAATTTGACCAACTCGCTCTCCAATACGAGTCGGTCGAGCACTTCCTTTGCGTTTAGCCAACTGATAAACATCGGCATAATCTTTGGTGATTTCAGCCTCAAATAGTTCAAACATTGATAGTCCTTCAACAAACCATGGAGTCTTGTCTAGATCAACGATGTCTCGCAATGTATTGACACGAGATTCGCCGAATCCACCAATTGTGGTTGTTTTGAAAGAGGCCATGAAAATTATAAGTACACTGTTTAGTAACAGCAATTGAGATGTTTTGATTATAGATCGATGGACAACTGATTGTTGGACAAATAAAATACTTGGTAAGCGATCAGCTGAACTCAAAAATCGGGTTAAAATTGAAACTGAATGTTGGTAATGATAAGTTGAAATGACTTCAAAAAGGTAAATAAGGGACAAGAGGAGAATCCAAGTAGCAGGAAGAAAAAGGGTGAAACTTGAAGTAACATCTTGATCAATTATCGATGAAGTTCTGGCAAAACCATTGATATAATAGGCTTCTTCAGTGACTATTGCTGTAAATTGTCCAGGAGGTTGAGGAATATTAATTGACATTGGAAGTAAACTGACATCGGCTTCCTAAATAAAAATTCAATCAGATTACAAACAACTCTGTTTAATGGACTGACCCTTCTTTGTAATAAACCAAGGATTCCATCTTGATAGCCATTTTCACCGAATCGTCCAAACTGACCTTCAGTGGTTACAACTAATTCCTCACTGTAAAAGCCAAGCAGCTGATTGAGTTATCCGTTGAAGTTAATCAGATACTTACTTGAAATTGCCATAGTCAGTGAACAAGTCTAACATTTTTTTAACCGATTTATAAGTTGGATAAACCTTTCCGTCGTCATCTTCATCAAAAACGCCCAATACAATGATCTGCAAATTAATAACAAATTATTAATAAATCACTTGTTGGTAAACAAAATGCTGACTATTACATCAAATATTCCTATGGATAAGTTTAACTTCTCGTTGAATGTGTCCTTTTTCATTTTCAGGTTCATCTTTGAATTTTTTAACTTTCCAGGAAAATCTTCAACTACATTATCAACTTTATTTGACTCTAACTCGACTGACATATTTCAGTGAAGCATTTTATTCATATGACAGAATTATATTTGAATTGATAAATCAATTACAATTATACAATACAATGAGTAGAGTACAATGAGAAAATTACTATTAACATAAAAACAACATCATAATGATAAGTATCCTTTTAAAGTACGATTGATTGATATAATTTTTCTCACCCTATTATTGACCAATAGCTTGTAAATATAAATCTATGAATAACATTTAATATTATCATTACATCAATAAAATAAAAATAAAATATATTAAATATTGTTTCACATCAATATTTATGTGGTCAGGAACAATAAGATACAATCATTAGATGAATTTATATTGTAATACAATTGTAAGATTTTGTTCAAGTTTTGATCGTTGATCAATGCGTGTAAATTTGGACGGTTATACAATGCATTCCAATCGCAAAATGCATCGATCTTATTTTTGAATAGTTAGACATTTCATATTTATTTTTTCAAATTTTATTTTTGCAATTAGTTAATTAAGGCATATTTATTATATGCTATATTATTTAATAGTATAGCAGTCGTTTACAAATCGTTTAAATTCAGTTCATAATCAATGACAATTCATTCAGCAAATAAACAATCAACAGGCCATTTAGCATCAGAAAGACAAAGGCGATCGGGATCAGTTGATTCTGGAAAAAAATCTGGTAACTTGAACTTCTTGTTGATATTGAAAATTATTCTTTATTTCATTCGATTAATATTTACCTTTTTTCATTATTCAGTTCCTGCTCCTCCACCGAGATCATCATCGAGTCAAATGAGTGATGGACCTGAGGTGAAGCCACGTCCTTCACTAAACAGCAATAATAAAAATTCTGTTGGAAACAATCCGAATGCGCCAGCTAGTAGACTTGGAACAAGTGTTGTTCGTAGTAATTCGGAACCCACACCGGCACAATTAGCTCAATTACGACCTAAATCAACTCCACCAGAAGGGGAATCTAATCAGATGATGCTGGATCCATCGATGGTTCCTGGTGATTTTGATCTTTCCATGGTACCAAGCAATTCGACTGCCTCACTTTCCTCAATCGATAGTCAAGGATCAATCATTGAAACTGGTGAATCAGACAAAACTCGCCAACAATTGCTAGAGGAGCGTCATCAAGAACTTTTGAGGAAACAAAAACTTTTACAAGAACAGTATACTCGGTTACAGCAATTATCTCGTGGTGAACTGCCCAACCTTTTACTGAATGATTTAAAAAAGACTGGAAGTGAATCTAACATTTTATCAAAATCTTCATCAACTTCCAATGTTAGTGGATCTTTGACTCATTTACCTAACAACAAGAAACCTCATGTAGCTCAGCAGTCCCAATCTCAAGTTCAACCTACAAAACAATCTCAATCTCGATCTCAATCATCAACACCATCTAAAACGACCTCAATGGAATCCAAAGTTTCATCAGGGGACAATAAGAAAAAGGAATCTCTTCCAGCTCCATTGATAGCGAATAAAGGAGACAAAAGTTCCAAAGGTCCCATTAAACATGAGACTCAAAAGATTTACGAAACAGATATTCTCTGAATGTATTACAATAAAGCAATTTGTTCCAATTGAATGAAATATTTAATTTTTATCAATTTAACAGTTTATAATGAATAAAATCAAGAACAAAAAATATGTAGATTTAAAAATTAAAAATATCAAATTCCGACTATTTGTTGAAGGTTGGCAAGAAGCGAATAGGTATCTTACAAATAAAGAATTTTTTCAGTTAGAGTTGGCCAATTCTGATTCTTTTAAATCCAGTTTATCAATGCACGAATTATTGAAGATTTTTTTTATTTCAATACGTAAATTTCCGAAAAAGCTATGATGCACCTAATGAAAAATATGCAGTTCAGAGCGCAGAGAATGTTCTTTTATACAAAGGCTTGATAACTTTCATGGGTAGAAATGCTGAAGTGAAGGTGATCAATTTATGGAACAACATATCATTGGAACTCTTTGAGCTAATATTCACGATTCGGTATTTTTGTAACCATTTTTGTTCCTTAATGTTGAAAACATAAACTTTTCCTGACGATTTGTTGACCAAAATAACTTTATCATCCTTTGATTGATGAGAAGTTAAGATTAAATCATTGAAATCCCATTTTTCGTCTTTAAATGGTTCACTCTTATTGAAGTTTTTAGTTTCATAATTAAATTGGATAAATTCCCGATCTTTTGTCAATATGTAAACAACAGGTTCCAAAACAGTGGCTTTAAAAGAGTGTTGACGATCGCTATACCTATTGATTACACCTTCATTTGTAAATGTGAAAAGACCAAACCACTTCTTATCGTCTCTAGTTTTACCAATTAAATTGAATTTACCAATAGATTCAAGAATGAGTATCTCTTCAGTGGGAATCGACTGAGGAAGTTCTGAATCAATGTCTTCCAAATAACAAGAATTTTTTCTGCAAATAAAGTATGAATAACATAAGAAAGGAGAAATAAACCTTTAAATCTGAGTTTAACAATTTCAAAATATTACCACGATCAGCTTCAAGGAATGTTCAAGGAAAACAGTCTCGTTTAAAACCGACGATTAATATTAATGATTGAGATCAAAGTTTCTTGGGCTCATTTGGAGAAAAGAACATCGACTGTCGCGTTGAAACTTTGATTCTAATCATTAAAATTCTATTCACTTCACTATACTCAATTCACTTAACCGTTTATTTCAAGGCCTATTCTTATCTTTAAGAAACAGATATTCTTATTGTTATATCAGTACCGTGATATTTAGCTTCAATTTTGATATTCATAAATCTATATTAAATACTGTTAAACTCTGTCTAAACTCTCGTCGAAACAAATTAAGATACGAATCGAAAAAAAACCAAAATATTTGGCTGTTTTGCAAGTCGAAACCTTTACTTTTAGCTATTTTGGTTTTGTTATTTCAAGTGCCACCGATACTATTATAAATCATACACACCTGGTAAACCACGCAAATTTATAAATCATTTCATTAATTTGACTATAGTAAGTTTTACCAGACACTTTGAAGTCAAGCCATCGAAATGTCTTTTTAACCCAATCAATTCTGATTCCTTTTGTTCCAGAGTCGAATAAAATATCTGACGTGTGTTCTCCAGAAAAATATTCAAGTGGCATAGTATCATCACGTGTAAAATCACCGATTGATAAACAGAAAAATTCATTGTCATACATTTTTATCCGCAAAACGTTAACATCTATTTCCTGAATTGAAATGAAGAAGCTTTGGGCACTGCGATTGAATTCACAATCACCATTAGAGGTTGTGATTGAATCAAGATTAGGCATAATCTTAATCAATTCATTGTCCTTCACCTTAGATAAATCATCAAGATCCATAAAAGACCAATGAACGCAGCTCAATAGCTGGTGAAGAAATGTCTTTCGAGAATCAACCTTTTTATTCACCCACTTTATGATTGATTCAAATATTTGATATTCAGAGTGGACCATCAAATCTAATTTAAGAATAGTTTCAACTGTCTCAACTGAATAATCTAAGAAAACATTCGTATTGGCGATCATCAAGAAATGGCGACAAATAATGTTGTCAATAGCTGCAGAACTTATCAATTTGGACACTTTTGTAACTTGAGGTAAAACCACTGGAAGATGTTCTATGGTGAAATTTTCATGAAAAAAGGCCAAACAAGGCTGAAACAAAGGTTCGTTTATCATCAAATAATCAGCTGCATCATAAAAACTGATCACATTCTCCATTTGAATCACGAAAGATCCCGAATGAATCCAATCAAGGATAGAATCAAAGACTTTTTCATCAAAATCCAGGACCACTTTGTTTTCCTTTGATTCCAATAAGTCACAGCAAAACATTTTCTCAAAGTAAGGCACAGATGAACAAATTAACTTTTTAGAAACAGTATATTCACATTTTCTGTTAACAATTATTAATTCGTTATCTTCTGATTCCATGATTATTCAATTCACCGAAAACAACACAAAGCGATTTTTTCTCCAATCAAGAACTCAACATTGAATGGGGCTAATGAGTCGACAACGAAAATCTTTGCATTATTTGCATTGACAAGAGGCCAACTCAATGGGCTCTCAAGTGTTTGTATTATAATATTTTAACTTTCTCCTGCTTACACAGATGGCATCAAACACCGATTTTCATTGAAACTTGATACAATCGGGTTTGCTTTTGATAACTGTTAGATCTTAGCGATAACTGTCTTAATTGAATAAATCATTTTTACTTATCACTGGCAACTGTGTAAGCAGGAAAATAAATAAACCTGAAGATTTTATAGTTTTCAAGTGGACTCCCTACATTCATATTGCATTTGTTCTTTGACTCAGGCTAGTGCTGGGCGATTTTATCGACAAAACCGATCCAACCACAACTATGTAAATTGCTAAGTCCGATGCAGCACTCTAAGTATTGAAATTGAGTATTGAAATACCTTTGAACTAACGAGGTAAGCAAAGTAGTCACCCTTTTGATGTCATCTAACTTGTGTTACCTCAAATTTGTATTTAATTATGCAACGAATTCCTTGATTACATTCACCGGAGTTAATAGGTTAGTCAAGTTAAATTGTCCTGAAACATCGTCCTGTTGTGACTTCCCAAATGCGACAAGTTGAATCATCACCTCCAGAAACAATGAACTGTCCTTCAGATTCAACATCAACAGAGCGAACCTCATCTGTATGTCCATTGTAAAAAAAGTGATAATAAAAAAGTAAAGGGATTAAGATCTTTGGGCTTGGGCAAATTTGGAAGTTCATTTTCTTTGAGTCAGAACTCACAAATAAATAATTATCATCCGAATAAAAGATCAATTGCGATCTCTTACGTGCTAACTCATTTCATCTAGATCACGATGATTTTTTGTCAAATTGAATGGACAAATTTTGAAGCGTTTTCAATTTATTTTGAATTTTGGTTTGAAAAAAGCGCTTTGGCCCAGGTCGAGATTAGTTTTGCCCAATGATAGGTTCTTTTAAATATAATACTAAACTTTTCCGATCTGGCCAGTTTTACTTTCCCTTTAAGTTAAACTCATTTTCTGTTCATGTGTTTCTTGTTCATCTGCGATACAAACACAAATTGATTAAAATGTTAAAATGGATACTTGTTAAAATGTTACAACAGAATTATGATTCTAATAAAAGTAAGTTTATTTATTATCGCAATGAGATAATTCATACAATATTTTCATCTCATTTAGCTACATTTAGAGTAAAGTTTTTTGGTGAATATCATGACATAGTCATTGATTGGGACGATGATAAATATGGCTACAAACAACAGCTCCAAATATCTGAACAGGCAAGTCAATGATTATCAAATCTATCAATGATAGCTCATTTCTTTCTCATTCAAATCCATAGCTTGAAGCATTAACTGAAATACCAATGAAATATGCAAAATGCACTTATCTGGTTGAAGTCTTACCAGATCACGAGTTAAGAGGTCATGCCATAACCAACCATACAAGGTAATCTTTTATTTCTTTAATCGAATGAAAAATTTATCGATATTTTAGATTCTCATACTAGGAGTCAAAGTCATTAGTGACAGCATCTGGAGTTTTCATCGCTGTGCAATGAACTTCCTAATGCTGTCTCTATTGACTTTGACTCTTACTCTTGTTAGTATAAACGAGTATAGCATATTAATTGTCCATCAATTTTTTTCATAGCTACAATCACGTTACATGCATTGATCCGGATTACCTTGAGAAGGACATAATATGCAATGCAATTACTCGTGCTGATGGCCGTTTTATTCTCGTACCTGAGGTTCATTCTGCTAACTATGAAACCAAATATATTACTGTTCGACATTTTCTTGTACCCGAAAGTGTAGTTCCAGAAGGAGTATGCAGCAGGTTTGTCTGTCAATATAAATATACGAAAACTTTCTTCGACAAGGTAAAGGATGTTATTCGTAACGAGGAAGTTAATTCCAGAACATCAAGTCTTGCCGCAAACAATAATTTTTATTTGCGCGTGGAGGAGATTTACAAAGAGTTGAATGTTTATCAATATATAGTGTCGCCTTGTTCTCTAAGAGATGTTCCATTAGATAGAATTCTTTATCTAAGAACTCGAGGTTAATTATCGGAATTGATTTTGACAGTCAACTCATAACTAATAACTCATCAAATATATTTTTTTAAATTACTTCATTGAGTAGATCAATGCAAAGAAACTGTTGAGTTTTTGTCTCATCAAATAAGGTTTAATAAATGAAGCTGTTGTTGAAAAATGAAAATTACCACATAGAATTTATGTTTGTTAATTAAGAACTTGAAAATTGAAACTATAGTTAAATAACTCATTGAAGATTCGAAGATTGATGTTTAATTTTCTCTCTTCTGCAAAAACAGTTTCTTAGTTACTGTAACAAACATGAAATATTAAGTCGCTCTTATTTAAACAATGTTTGCGTTTACTTGATCCTTTCAATTTGATCTAGTTTCAGGATTAATCAGCAATGTTATTCAATCAGTGAGTGTACAATCTTATTGTGCCATCGGCTCCACAGGAGAAGACCCAAGGATGTTTAGGATGGAAACAACAATCTAAAACTCCTAAATCGTCAGTTATTTGATGACCACGAAGCACTTTCAAGGGGACAATTAATGCATTTTGATTTAGATCACTAAAACATAGAAAAGAAAAATAATTAAAGACCGTTCCAATATTCAAAATGAAATAAAGATGAAATAATTATGATCTACTTACTCATAAACTCTACCATGAGAGACTATTGTGGATGCATCATCACTAACAGAAGCAAATAGCGGGTATTTTTTATGATAGGCAACTTTCCTAACTCCTTTCTTATGATACCTCATCGTTTTATAAGGCTTGTCAGATAAATCTAAATCAAACCAACTCAATCGAAGGTCAAAACAACCAATGATGGCATTGTCACCTGAAATAACAAAAAATTCAATGAAAGTATCACAATAAAATGCATTAAAATTTCTAAATGACTTACCTCCAGGGTGAATTGCTATGCTTGAAATACTATTACTGTTCGAGTAAAGTTTCTTGATCAACGATTGTTTTGCGAGATTATAAATACGAACATTCTTCTGTGTAGCAACGAAAAATAGAGGTTTGTTCGGATGGAAACTAACACACGAAACGATTCCTTTTGATTTAGAGAATGGTACCTGATTGAAAATAGGAATAGAGGTTAATTAGAACAGATGGAAATATTGAATAAAATGGTATAAATTTACCTGTGATTTGCTTTTAGATAGTTGATGAATAACAACAGCCTTGTTAGCACCTTTAGGAGCAACGCTAGCGAAGTAGTCACCCTTTTGATGCCATGTAACTTGTGTTACCTCAAATTTGTGTTTAATTATACAGCGAATTCCTTGATTCCAGGCATCTTCATCACTTTCTTTGGTAACATGAATCCATTCAATATAACTAGCTGTTTTAGTTCCCAAAGCTTCAGTTTCTTCTTTTTGTTTTTCAACAAGTTCCTGTAATAATTTATCTGTTTCAAGACTAATTGATTTATTGCCAATGTCCGGATTTATGATATAAACATTTGTCCATGAAGCAACTATTATGAGTGATTTTGATTTGACAGGGCACCATTCAACGGACTTTATAGGTTGGTCAAGTTGAATTGTCCTGAAACATCGTCCTGTTATGACTTCCCAAATGCGACAAGTTGAATCATCACCTCCAGAAACAATGAACTGTCCTTCAGGTTCAACATCAACAGAGCGAACTTTATCTGTATGTCCATTGTAAACAAGTGATAATAAACAAGGAAAGGGATAAAGATCTTTGGGTTTGGGTAAATTTGGAATTAAATCTTCCGGATCAACTTGGACTCTATTTTTACGCATTCGAGGACAAAGATAAAGATCCTGGCAACGGTCAAAACGTTCTTTCACAAATTTCTCATATCCTGGAACATGTCGTAGATGCTCGAACTTTTGAGGAATGAAATTAATTTTTCTTTCGTCTGGTTCAGACTCTTTCCATTTTTCAAGTTCCTCTTCATCAAACAAATATTCTGGTGGTGGATTATATGATTCTTCATGACCTGGAGGCAATAATTTAGGAGCTGGGATATGTCTTTTATGTCTTTTATGATCAATTTCACCTTCTTTTTTCCATAGATCATAATTGAATGAAAATCGTTCATCATCTTTCTTTTTATGTTGTTTGAGCAAACCGAGTCTTTTGGCATTCTTAATTTTAGATACATATTTGCTGATTAAACGTTTCTCGCTAATGGATGCACGGAATTCCGCCTTGCGTAAATTATATTCAATAACCGGATGAATTGACTTTTCATGTGAAAATGTGTCGATATGTTCAGGGTATGGATTAAAATTTGGATCAGGGACATCTCCTCTTCTTATTCGTTGGATAAGGTCAATGTCTTTGTCTGTCAATATAATTTTTCTTCCAGTAGATTTGTCAGTAACCGTTCTCCAATAATAAGGATCTTCCATTTTATTAAGAAAATCCTCAACTTCTCCATCATCGCCTTCAACTTTCATGATTTTTTTACCATCCCAATCATAGCCAATGTGGTCATAATCTGCATACCATTCGATGGGAATGTTTCCAACAGTATTTCGAATATCTTCTTCGTCAGAAGAATCAACTTCCATTCTATCAACAGTCAAGTTTGTAACATTTACTTGTCGCCCCTGATCATTGGGGAATTTACTGAAATGAGAAAAAATATCATTAAATAACATACCCATATTATATTATATTATTACATAACCAATATAAAGATAACCGCAGGTACAACATACATTTCGTCAGCTTTTAATTCAATATCCATGTTGGTGAATATAGCAAATGATTTTTGAAAAATAACCAAAATAATCGTACTTATAAAAATTTGATAATCTAACCATAACAAGTTGAAAATTTTACAGCTTCAAGTTTCACGTGGTAAACACACCGTTTCCAAGCATATGATTTGTGCCAAGCTCCATCTATCAGGTAAAGTTCACATTTTTAAAGTTTTGATCTCACTTCTCACAAGCTTGGGCTGGTTTAGAAGATGACGTTGATTCTCTACTGTCTTGACTATCTTCATCTTTTCTAATCACTTGTGATTCACCAACAGTTTCTTTATCTTCCATAATTAGGCCGTTTTATGTCCGCTTTGCTCCGATATCTAGAAAAAGGGAAATAGAAATCTATGAGACAAGCAAAAACAAACACTGAAAACTAAGCTTAAAGAAGAAAATTAAATTGATGTGTAGAATGCACGAAATGTATGGTTGTTTAATCAATTATAAATATAAATTGTAGGGCTTATTAATTCAAGAATAAAAAGATATTTTAAATTAAATGAAACTCCAATGAAAATCCAATGAAACTCGTTCGATTTTCGCTGTCCTGAATTTGCCCATATTTTCCTTTCAAAGCGGATTATATTAGAGCGATCCATTGATGGTTACCCTAGCATAGTTAACTTGAGATGGATAAAAACACTTCTAAGTTACTCTCCAGGTCGTGTTTGATCAGGGAACAAGGTTCGGACGAATTCTGATTAGTTTTGATTAAGTTGTGCGTAAAAACAAAAATTTTTGACGAAGAAATTTTTGAAGCGCAGAAATCACAATTTTTGCAGATTTTTCGAAATTTTGGGCTTGAAATAAGACTTTTAGCTGCATCTGGACTTCAGATTGTATGCATAAGTCAGCTGGATTCTGGATATAAAGTCCAGAGTCTTTATTTCTCGCGTAAAGTCGAAAAATCTGTAAAAATTTTGATTTCTGGACTCAAAAAATTTCTCTGTCAAAAATTTTTGTTTTGCGCACAACGCAATAAAACCTAATCGGAAATTGTCTAAACCTTTTTCCCTGATCAAACACGACCTGGAGAGTAACTTAGAAGTGTTTTTGTCCGTCTTAAGTTAAGTTAACTATGCGAGGGTAACCATCAATGGATCGCTCTAATAATTTAAGAAGGTTGGTGAGGGGCTGTATCATGATCTCTTTTTCAACCTGTTTGACAGTGTTGACAAGGTTCCAGTCTTCATGTGGTAAACACTGATTTTAAAATGTGCCATTAATTTAACACCTAACTTGTTAATTATTAAATGTTAGGTTTATTATTGTATTACTATCTCATTTAAGACTACAAATTTATTTTAAGTGATTGTATTGAGAAAAAAATTGGATGGTAAACTGAGTTGAAAATTTCCCTCTGAAGCTTCATATTGGTTTTGTTCTGTTTACATTTTTACACATATAACTTCTGTCTTCACCAAGACTCAGATTCATCTTATAACCACATTTTAATTTTCCTACATTAATTATGACTACTCTATATTGTCTTATTAACATCGATGATGTCAATTATAAGCTGACAATGAAGTTGGATGATGATCGAGTCATCGGTAACTTTGATGATTTCCTTAAAGCTATTGCTACAGACAATGATCCTGATCTAAAAAAATATGATTTTGGTCAAGAATTTTTTATATTTGAGGTAAGTTTGATTTATAATTATTAAATATTTCTTATGGCAGACTAATCTCAACCATTTAATCAACCTCAAGAGGGTGAAAATTATAGTAAACTCTTCAATTTATGGTTCACCTTTCAGTGTGTAATCTATATGTTATTGTTTTTACTCGTTTCACTTTTAGATCATTCATCTCATTTCATTCTCTTCTGCTTTCAGTTATATGATAAATCGTTAAACGAGTACGTGAGGATCGATGACGATACAGAATTCGAAAATTTTTCTAAAGTAAGGGTGAAAATTCTGGATCCCAATGAAATTATTACTGAACCAGAGCCACCTTTTATAAATGAAGATGAGCTCACCTTCGCTGAATTGGAGGATTACAAAGACGATGTAGAGTTAGTCGAATTATATGCTCAAGCCCACATTCCTGATCCCGATATTATAAAAATAATTGATAATTCTAACATCACGGCTGAAACTTTTAGGGTAAACAATGTCAGGTAAGCATCGGATGCGAAATTGAAATTTTGAATTAACCGCCTTCAGGTATTTTTTCATCTAACCTCTTTTTGTTTTCATTTCAGAATAAAGAAACAAATAGTAAAAACAGTGATAAAGTACCAAGGATTATTCAAGGCTCCAGGGGCAGTGTATGAGCAATGTTGGGAATTTATTGTCAATGACGTTCGTGATAATATTGGCGAGAGAACCTTCAAGTTGATTCGTGATCGCAATTATATTGGCTTTAATCGTATTTGGTTTAAAAACGTAGAAAAGGAATTTCTCGCCTTGATTGGACAATACAATCGGTTATTAAGGATGTGTCAGTGTTTAACCCCACAATTGGCCGAAAGACTTTGGCCGTTCTTTAAAATCTTCCACAAGTCTTTGCGGATCGAGCATATTTATCCAGAACGAGAGGCTAGTTTGAAGATTATGCAAAAAGAGTTCGATAATGCCAAGAAAATCACTGTCCTTTAATCGTTAATATATTGGTCTCCAGCTATTTTCACCTAGATCAACATATATACCCATTCAATCGCTTTCTTATAACTTTAAATAATTTTCTTTCGACTGTAAATCTAATCACTCTGGTACATCAACCACCATCACATTAATAATTTACTTGAATCTCCCGGACCAGCGAATTTGTGTTTTCACAAATACACAAGTATTTATCTTAAGCGAATAAAACTTTCATTTGATCTCATGATTCAGAGATTTAATAAATTTTAAAATTAAACTAATCTGACAAAAAAATACCAAATAAAATTAAACAAATCTGATTGATTTCTCAGATGGAATTTAAGTTGGCCCAAACCTCAAAGGCTAATACGCCAAAAAGATTTTTTCTTAACTCGTAAGTTTGAACATCTACTCAAAAAAACAAGGTTCAGTCAATTCTGTGAACAGTACATGTTTTATTATATCACGTTAATAAACATCCAAATGGCTTAGTATAAATATTGAAGACGTGATTATCAGAGTTTAAGTGTCAAGTGTTCTTTCCAGGACAATTCTCTCGTCATTGTCGCATGAATAGATAGGATGAATGTATGTGCAGTATGAATTCATTCAGTGAAATAATATTCGATGAAATAATATGGAATGGTCATTTCTTTTTCCCAGAATTAAACTTGCTAAATCCCATAAGTTTGGCCATTTCGTCTTCTTCCTCGTCCTCTTCGTAAGCTCTTTTCTTAGATTTCTTCTCTTTCCTTTTTTCTTTTCGATATTCTCGCAGTTTCTCTTCTTCCTCCTTAAGAGCTTGCATTCGCTCTTGAATATTGTAATCTTTTTTAGATTCTTCCTTTTCTCTCAGCTTGGCTTCAATCCGAGCTTTAACTTGATCCAATGAAGCTCGTTCGATTTTCATGTTCATTCCTAAATTTCTCTGATGCTTCTTACCATTAATATGATCCAAGTAGTTGATTGAATCTTTAACAACACAGTCACAGACATCACAATAGAAACCTCCTGACTGTGAGCTTGGAGTTGCTTTACTTATTACAACAGTTTTGCCGAGTCTTGACTCCAAATCAAGTTTGAATTCCCGAGGCTTGAGATTCTTTCGTTCCGATGGAGCTGATTAAAAAAACAAAAGAATCTATTATAATAAAACAATAGAGGCAAGATTCCAATAAAAAATAAACAACCTTGGGCTGGTTTAGAAGATGACGTTGATTCTCTACTGTCTTGACTATCTTCATCTTTTCTAATCACTTGTGATTCACCAACAGTTTCTTTATCTTCCATAATTAGGCCGTTTTATGTCCGCTTTGCTCCGATATCTAGAAAAAGGGAAATAGAAATCTTTGAGACAAGCAAAAACAAACACTGAAAACTAAGCTTAAAAAAGAAAATTAAATTGATGTGTAGAATGCACGAAATGTATGGTTGTTTAATCAATTATAAATATAAATTGTAGGGCTTATTAATTCAAGAATAAAAAGATATTTTAAATTAAATGAAACACTGAAAAATAAAGAATGAGAATAAAATTTACTCACACAAATCATGTGATCCACATATGTTTTTGGATTGTAAACACTACTGACACTTGAGATGAGTTGTGTCTGTTCAGTAGCTTTGTGTTAATCTGCTTTCATCGTTAATTTTTGAAACAAAAGCAGTTGATTTACTATGTTCGACCAACTCATTAACATTTGAAAGTTGTTTCTACTTGAATCCGCTTTAATGGCTTATCATGGCCTACCATCATGATAATTATCTGATTGTTAGAGTTGATAATCAATCTAACGTTAATATTATTGATAATAACAGTTGTATTTCAAATATTTCATTATCAACTTTATCGTCATCTTCAACATCATTGGATCAAAAGAATCCAGAATCAACAGATTCCAGTTCGGAATTGATTGAAGCTATTCGGCAAGAACTAAAATCTTGGATTGATACATTAGGAGTGCAATCAGCTGAGGCACAAAATCTTAAGGAACCAATAACATGTCACACCAGATTCATCCAAGGATCATTCCGTCAAAATTCACCTTTTAAACACAAGGATTTCATCTATTTTTTGGTTCAATATAATTCAAATTCTAATCAGCTGAAAAATGATTCGCTAAATACTCATTCAAATCAACAAACTCTGCAATTAACTGCAAATGGGCTCATTCGGGTTGGTTTTAGAAATCTATTTCTCCAACGTGGAGAAAAACTGGTCAATGTTGAACGTTGTTTCTCAGTATTAGGTGAATTGTTTTAAATTTTGATCAAATCAATTAACTCTCTGTATTTGTTCATCAACTGTTTATTAACTACCTATAAATTTAATTATTTCTTCTTGTTCATTTGTACCAATTAGATTTTTTTGTAACTCGGCAACGACAAGGATGGGGTAAATTATTGATTGATGCGGTCCTTCGAGACCAATCAATTACGATTAATAACTGCGCATTCGATCGACCAACTCCAGTGATGTTGTCATTCCTTGGTAAACACTTTAATCTAGCAACTCCACGAAAACAACATAACCGATTTGTCATTTACGACGGCTTTTTCGCTTAAAATAGGACCAAGAATTTCCAATGGATTATATAACTTGACATTTATTATTTTTTTATTTTGATTTAATTTCATTTGCAATCTCATTTTACATTGGTGTAACTTAAAAAAGATGATTGATGTTTTATGCATTTAATTAAATATCAAGTATAGCCATACTTATTACTCGATTCCTGAAATTTTGGGGATGCGATGGGGGATTGACAACAATTCTGTTAACTGTTGAACCAGTACTTTTTATAACAGAAACATCTGATCTCGAACTAGGCTCAGGTTTGATGTCATTTTGAGAAGAATCGGTATTTATTGTATTGACCAATGAAGATGTTTCTAATAAAAAGTAGAAAATAGAAATAAGCGTTAAAAAGGAAATAAGGAAATGATTTATCCAAGTTTTTATGGAGATTTCGTATAAAAAACTTACTTGATTTGTTCATTGTATCCCATGCCTCAGTCACCCTGTAACTTTTGCTCGTTTGATAAGTCTTAAGTACATCTTGGACTACATCAATAGCTTTAGGAATCACACCTAAACGGAATAAAATAGAATAAAAAGTTAGTTGAATGAAATAGAAAAGAGTAATGTAAATAAAATTCATGTTTACCTTTATCACTTATCACTTTAGCAGCTAAGGTTAATTTTTTATTCCACATAGTCAACAATGTTTTAATATATTCTAATTGTTTTTCACGTTTAGTTAACTTTTCAATGACTCGTATACCCTCTTCAACCTCTGCTTTTTTATTCACTCGAGGTTTAATCCGACTTTTGGCATAAATTAACCTTCGTTCTGGTTTATTTTCAAAATAAAGATCTCTGTATAACTGACGAAGCTCTTGAAGTTTAGCATTCTTTTGTGGATCACTAGTGTCCATGTTAGGATTAGATGAGTTATTTGACGATTGTTCTTCATTAAAGCTGTCATTTGTAGTTGATAAACTTTGCTGGTTAAAATGACTGATACTACTGCAAGATGAGAGGCTTGATGATGGTATCAACACAATGTTGTTTGTAACACTTTGTATAGTAGGTGAAACAATATTTATAGCTTGAGAAACATTTTGATAAACATTCTGATTGACATAAGGATGATCCTTCAAGATGTTTTCGGTTATCGCATCGAACGTATTTCCTCTCATTTTTACCCCTATTTCTTGCTGTTTTCTTAATAATTGGATCCTTTCTAGTTTCTCATGATGTAGTCTTAGCTGAGAAAAGTGTGACGGACAAACTTTGTTCGTGGAGCTGAGTTTAGGTACATCTTTAACATTTGTCACACTTTCTCTTGACTCATGGTAGAGATCTGAAGATAATGACTTCTCTTCTTCTTTTGTTCGATCTAAATTAATTGTAATCGCGCTATAAGGGATGATTCTTTGGTTTTCACAGGAATATAGAGGTTTCAAATGCGATTGATACTGGAGCGGTTGGTTTAGCAATTCTTGCTGTTGAGCTTGTTGGATTGTTTGATGTAGCAATTGATGCACAGGTATAAATTGCTGCAATAGTGGTTTTTGCTGCAATGATTGCAATTGTAAAATATGATGCTGTAAAGGTTGTTGCTGAAGAGGTTGTTGTTGTAGAGGATGTTGTTGTAGAGGCTGTTGTTGTAGAGGCTGTTGTTGTAGAGGTTGTTGTTGTAAAGGTTGTTGTTGTAAAGGTTGTTGTTGTAGAGGCTGTTGCTGAAGAACCTGTTGTTGTTGCAGAGGTTGATACTGTTGTAAGGGTTGGTGCTGTGGTGGTAACTGTTCTTGATTTTGTGAGTAATCTCTATGAGGTTGATCTTGTTGCAAGAGATGTGCTGATGGCTCAGAGGAAAGTGTAAAGGATCTTATATTTTGTTCTAAAGAATGAGAATTCTTTGCATCAAAGACTCCTTCAAGTCTCATCCTCTTTTTTGGTAATTTATCATCTGAATTATGTTCCGTCATAACCCATTGACTACCCATTAAATGTCCTGGTTGATGATATCGAGCAGGTAATCTAATTTCTCTTTTTTGTTTACCGCTCATTTCCATCACATCAGCATCACTTTCTGCTATAACTGAAAGTTTACTAGGCGACTCTTGTTTATTCTCAGAATCACCGGCCACATCGATATCAGGTGTAAGCTCTTTCTTTATGTTTTCGATTTGGATACATGGAGTTTCTTTGATGTAACTTGAATCCAAAGCATTAAGAGATGAGTTGACATAACTTTCATCCATGGATATGGGCACTGCATATTTATATTTATTTTCTTCCTCCTCTCTCAAACGATCTTGTAAGTAATCATCATAAAGACAACTCAATTGATGAGTATCAACTGTGGGATTGCAAAGATCAGAGAAAATTTGATGCTTAATCGGAACTTTATGACGACCGATGGATCCTCTAGGTCGCCCAGGTTTCTTTCTGCGAACAGATCGATGATAAACATTGTTATTCTTGCTCTCTAAAAACAAAGATCCATTAAGATTAGATGAGTCTCCCATGGAGCTTCGTGAATCACTTCTAGATCGTCGTCTCTGTCTATAGTTGCTAACATATCTAAAGGATCCGGCGCTTTTTGGTGTCCTGCTACATTCACCAATGGATTCATCTTCCTCTGTGTCATCTGAACCTTCTTGCTGCCTAGCAGATTCCTGTTTTAAACGAAAAAAGATAAAAACTGTTAGAAGACCGTTGACTAGGACAAGTATCTAAGTTTGTCATAATACGTTGAAGATTTAAATAGAGGTTTAATAATGATTCGGATGTACTTACTTCACAATCTGAGTATGAGAGGAAGGCGTATATTGCAAAACCATCGATAATCTCTTCTTCACACAACTCTGTATTGTGAACCATTGAGAAATTTGGTTCGGTCATGAAATAACAGGCTAGCGTTGGAAGCAGTCTCTTAATTCCTTTCCAAGTATGAAGTCAATTATATTTGGTCATGAGTTGAAGTTTATGTGAAGATGAGGGAAGAAAAGGAGTTGAACAAAAGGTTTATTGCCAGTATGTACAGAGAAATCATTAAGGTAATTTACTTTCGGTTGTTATAGATCAATATGATTAAAGGGAAATGCTAATCATAAAAGACAGTTAAGAGATCAGAAGCAGTTTAATAGAATTGTAAAATGGACAGATAAACAGAATAAAATTAAGAGTATATTTTTGCTGAATTAAGCTCTAAAGCTCTCGCATCTTCATCCGTCGTTTTTTTCATCACTTTTTTTAAGGCTCCACTTTTAGTATCGCCATCTATGGAGCTTTATTAAAAATAAACCAAGATTGTACGCATGACTGCAACGTTTTTCGAATTTTTGACCATGTTATTTAATTTTAATTTAACATTTCTAATATAAAATAAATCTTCTTTATTTGTAATTAACAATTTTTAAAAGCTTTCTGTGCTTAGTGTTAGTTCAATGTACATTTTTGTGATCAAAACTGAAGAAAGATTACATCAGAAACACATTTTTACTCTGTATAGACAGATTTCATGAACTCAATGTTTCTTGAATTTGAATGTCGTTATCAAACCAATAAGGTTTTGAATAGTATACGCCTATTGGTTGGTAATCCTGACTTGAACTATTTCCAAGTCTAGACTCTAGACTGACCATTTGCACTCTTATTCATTCGAAGAGGATTGTATGGGGAGTTGAAACAGGCGAAACATAGGAATTTAGACAAGGATAACAAAGTTTGAGTACAATTATTGATTTAGAGTTTTTAACTATATGTTTGTAATGTGATTTTTGTTAAAAAATTGATTTTGTATTTGATCTGACCATAGTTTGAAGAACAAGGGTTCTTAAGTCATATAGTCAGGCTCAATCACTGTGACTGTCTCTGCGAAATTGATTACTAATGTTGATAAATAATGATTAGTTAATAATCTACGAAACTATTTTCATGATTCTCATTCCCTTATATGCAATTTTTCAAGCCATTTGAATAATGATTATAGCATAAGTTGCCAGAGCTCCTAAAATTGTTAACATAAATTGCATGTTGAGTTCAAAGCAAGACCATCCAGACAACTTCAGCATTGGTGTATTGATTTTTGTTATCAACAGTTGAGTCTCCTGCTGAAATACCCAATCCTCGATGTCACCATATTCAGCAATTTTAATCAAGGAAATGATTGGTTCGGAATTGGCCTCACCAACTTCACTAGCAACCATGCAAATTGCCATAAACCCAAGTGAGTAGTAAATAACATCTATAAAAATAAATTCAATAAATGATTACATAAAAGCTTCATAATCAAAGAGTAAAGGAGTAAAGCTTCTTTACTCTTTGTTCATAATCATGTTTTTTTTACCTGTGAAAATATAGCCAAACTCTCGGAACTCTGCTTTCTTTATCCCATGAATAACACTTTCAATTTTAACAGCCAAGTTAAAGATGATGCAAAGAATCCAGAGGAATGAAGGAAATGAATAACTTCTCTCAGCTTCCGTTATCATTTCAGATAGACGAGTATGCATTTGATAAAGTTCTTGAACCTGACTTCCAGTTTTAATCAATCTTTCCTTTTGGATTCTTTTGGCAAAGGCATTGAAATCCTTCACCTTGAATAACATGGTTAAACAGAGAGCGATGTATAAGCCAAAAAAGAAACATTCATTGCAAATAACCAGATAAAGGTAAAGAGCCCAATCAGCAATCATAATCATTCTGACAACGAAATCAGGAGTTTGATCTACAGTTCATTTAAATTGATGGGTTTCCATTGAAGAATGATTCCATGAAAAGAAACAAATTGAATAATTTACTCATTTATTGACAAGGAAAGGCTGAATCTTACCTGCAGCATCACCATAAAAAAGCCAATTAACATACTTATCAGTGCTTGTGTGAAACATGAAAATGGATGCAAAAAGCACATGCAAAAACACAAAGAAAAAGCAAGCACCGATGACGAATTTGATGATATTTTTCAAGCGCAACAAACACCATTCTTCGTTAAGAGTTGTTATACTTCCAAAGATCTAAAAGCAAAACCATATTATTCAATTATAATTTCAACGATGGATGCCAGTTTCATTGGATTAGTCAAGTAACAATCATAATCATTAAAACTAACAAAAGATTTAAAGTAATTGTCTTGTTATTTGATTCTTTTTAAAGATTCTTGATGTAACTTGGCATTGGTTAACTTTTGGTACTGATTTTGGATGTAAAGGAACAAGGAAATTGTAGACTTACTTTGAACAAATCCATATTTGATTGGTGCATCAAGAAACGATAATCGAAACATAAAGCCACAATTGCAGTTCGAGTGATTAAAGTTAACTGTTCAAAAACCTCAAAGATATTTTCTGTTGTCTTAACCACAGTCATCCAATTGAAAAACTTGTGAACTGTGTAAAAATGGAGGACGAATAGAGTTAATCCATTCCAAGCATTCAATCGTAATATGAATTGACTTCCATCTCTAGGCCATGAACCAAGATATTCCGACACCTTAATTAAAGGCCTCAAAACCTAATGATAAAATATTTTCCCAATTAAATCCCATTTCCGAGATGTTAATTATCGGACTAAAAAACTTGCGATTCTTACCTCAAGATGATATGTTTCACCTGCAGTTTCGGGTCGTTCATTTGGTGTGAATAGTTTATTCTCAGATCCTTTGATTGGTCGAAACATTTTATTCACTGTATTTCAATCAACTTTTAATTAGCGATTTGCAACTAAAAATTAAATAGAAACTGTTGACATAAAAAGTCATGTTAACCAAATAATCAGCAAAAGTAAAATGAAATGCTGAGATTCCTTGAGAATTGCGATATCAATTTATTGATTCTGATAAATATCTTATGAGTTTGGCCATTCATTAATCACCTCATATGTATTTATTCAAGTTAATTATGTGAAAATTTGGACAGTAATTTGATTACATTGATTACAATGCTGAAATATCTACGAGAAAACTGTTTGTTTAATAATTCAGTGAAATTGAGTTTATATCAATTCACCTGAGAAAAATTGTTTCCATGAGATTTGCACACAATTCATGATAATCAAATTTGAACTTATATCAATCAAAATTCTGACCAATCACGGATTTCAAATAAACAATAAAATGAAAGGATTATTGATTTTTTCTTGGTTAGGCTAAACAGGTTTATTTTTGGACTTTGGGTTTAAAATTTTAGGTTTCCAATGAAGCTCATTTGATGGTCAAAGTTTAGCATAAAATTGATTAAACATATTTGGTTACTTGTTTGATTATTTCAAGTAATTAAATTTTCTCAATAATTGATCATTTTAATAGCTGTAAAATAATTAGATAATTAACTAGAGAGTAATATAATGCTTCTTGTGATTATTTTTGGTTGCTATCAACAAGTGAGATGATGAGAATAGCAACATTAACAAGTTAGGTTTAAGATTTCATTGCATTTGTGCACCATAACTTATATAAACATATGATTATATTAATGTAATTTGATTTAATTTTACTTGAAATATTAGACTAGAGAATTTGTAAATCGTTAATAATTTACTGTATAAGTTAGCAACATTTTTGTCGCTGGGTTCTGGTGATAACTGTTAAACCGGAATTTCACTGGTTAAAGACCGCGCCTACATTTTTCAGATGATTTCAGTTGCTGTTAAAATGAGTTGGTAACCACAACTTTACAACAACTTTTTGCCTTTATTTTTTACTAATTTGTCTATATTAATTGTTTATTAGTTAATAATTCAACTATTTATATTGTTACTTTTCAATATCTAGAAACATTTTTATATTTCTAAATCATTCTTTGCCATTTTGAAGCGATGTCTTTTTTTAAAGCTACTAAAGTGAATTTTGCCTTTTTTTGTTTATTGTTTATCAATTTTACCAATTTAATTGGAACCACATTACATCCAGCTATCAGCTTTATTTCACATGAAAAGGTTGTTATGGTCGGTGATACAGTTGATTTACAATGTGCCATCCAATATCCCAAAGATTACCCAGTTATTTGGGCCAAGATTGACCATCAAGATCCGAGAAACTTCTTGTTCATTTCAAAGAATGCTGGTCTCTCTATACCTGACAACAGGTACTCTATCCGTCATGATGATGCTAGTTACACTTATACACTTCAACTGTCTAAAATCAGAGAGACTGATTCTGGTACTTACCAATGTCAAGTAATTACTGGTACCACCAGTCGAGTTACAGCTGAGGTAAATGTCACAGTCAGAGTACCTCCGACAATCATTGATAACAGCACCCGAGTCGTAACAACTTCTGAAGGAGCAACTATTGAATTGGAATGCTATGCAACCGGGCATCCAAAACCCATGATAAGTTGGCGAAGAGAAAATAACGAAATATTACCTACAGGAAGTGCAGTATATTTTGGAAATATTTTGTCAATTCATAATATTACCAAGGAAGATCGAGGAACTTACTATTGCATTGCTAATAACAGTGTGGGGACTGAAGCTAAGCGTAATGTTGGTGTTCGGGTTGTTTTTTCACCCCAGATTTCAGCTCCAATCGACACTTATCGCCAAGCTTTTGGCTATACTGTGGAATTGGAATGTATTTCCGAAGGATATCCGGCTGTTGACGTTTATTGGTTGAAAGATCATTATCGTTTAAATGATGCTTCAAACGTAGAGATTAGCACAGTGAAAACTACTAGTGAGGTAATATCTTCAACTCTTCGGATTGGATCCTTAAAACCCGAAGACTTGGGTAATTATGTTTGTCAAGCAACTAATAAACACGGATCTGCGTCTAAAACGATCAGAGTTGAAGAAAGTCCCACACCTGTCTATTCGCATGCTTATTTACCATTAGCTTCCTCATCAGCTAATATCAAAGTATCGTTTATATTGGCCGTTCTCCTTGCATTAATAGCTGTGGAATCAAGATTAGATTCATTTTAGAATCTTTGACTTGCATAATCTCAAAATCGACAAATCAAAATAATTTTTGACTCAAAGGAAGTAGTTCCTTGCGCCCATTTCAATTCACTAACATTTATGCTAACTGCAATTGTTATCAAGACGTGTTCATTCCATGGGAACCTGTTACCAGATCGTTTCTGTTTATCTACAATTTGGAAATATTTCTCAGCGAGAAAATTATCAGCATTCCTCACCAAGCACAATATCTCAAACTATCGATGACTATTATCGGTACAATTCAAAATTACTTCTATTATTCCAATTTCCTGATGAAAATACATCCTCAATAAGACCCGTTGGTGGTTATTTGCAATGGACTCTGAACAGTTTGATTATGGATCTAATATTAGCATCTAATTTTTTCATTTTCTTTGTTCCCACGTATCTCATCTCTCAAGAATCTTTATATCATTATTTAAACTGTTTCGAATCATTACATCTTTATATTCACAAATTGGTCATGTTTCTTGTTTCCAATTTATTGTTTTTCTAATTGACTCCAGCCATCGAATCTCAACTCTTGTATCACTTCATTATTGTAAAATTAAATTCATCCGATTCAATTTCGAAATAGAAAAGCTGAACCAAAGTAATAGATTAATTACCGAAGCTATCAGCAAAATTCAATAAATAACAATTTAAACAATACAAGATCTACTGAATTCACTAACCTCCACTCTCAAAGATAGTAAATGGAACGAAGATTTTTTGAAAATTATAAAAAAACCTCGACGAGGCTTCTAAGAAGAGCACAACTACATAATTGACTAGAGTCAAGACATTGTCAATACGACTTACTGGAACGCTCTCTAAGACAACTACTGGGCGAAAATCATCAGGAATCCGATTAATCCATATCATTTCAATTTTAATATTGTAAAGTAAACACGAAGTTATGATTGAATCTGTATGATGACTCAATTTTATTCATTGTCATTTGATTTCAATTTGACTTCAATAATTCACTTTTGTAGCAACAGCTAAGTGTATGAAATGGAAGTGAACTTAGTGAGTCAAACTCACAAATAGTCTTCAAATGTCATAAATAAAGCTAATCAGTCTTGGTTGAACGGAATGTGGAAGACAAAGCGAATAAAATTGCTGTTTTTAAATTGATCACATCAATGCTGAAAATGATTCAAACTTCAGAATAATTGATAAATCACTTCATAAATTTGATTTCGATAATTTGCACAAACACGAAAGGTGAAATTTTTTCCAATACTCAATGCAGATTTCGTGATAATGGCTTGATGGTAACATCTTTGAAATACTTATGAGTTAATGCTTTTCGAGCAGAAAGTCTTTTGTTTGGATCATATTTGAGAAGATTCTGTATCAGAAAAAAAGAAAAGAAGTGAGTATAGACACAAAAAATAGCCGAATAACACTTACAGTCAAAAGATCAATAGCATCTTTATCCATCGGAGGTAAAAAACGGAATAAATCTTGTCTAGCCCACTGAGGGAAAGTTTTTTTGAAATCTGGTAACTTTTCTACTCCAGGCCAAGTCTTTTCACTAGGAGTGCCGAGAGTTCGAAAGATTCTAAATAATTGATCAATTTCAGAGTCTCCCGGAAATAAAGCTTTTTTTGTATACATTTCGGCAAAAATACACCCTATTGCCCAAATATCAACAGCTGGACCATATACAGACGATCCGAGTAATATTTCGGGTGCTCTATACCACAGAGTGACTACTTCGTGTGTATAGCCTCGAATAGGTAAACTAATTGATCGGGCCAGACCAAAATCAGCTAATTTAATGTTACCAGCGTCATCAATGAGAAGATTTTGAGGTTTGAGATCACGATGCAAGACTCGCTGGGTGTGACAGTGAGCGATTCCTTGCAGAAGCTGCCAGAGGTAACTTTTAACCAAACTTTTCTCTAAGCCAGTCTCGCTTTCGTCTAGTAGCTTTTTCAAATCTTGATTCAGATACTCAAAAACAAGGTAAAGATTTTTGTCACTGTGAATAACGTCCAGTAGTCTGACTACATTAGGATGGTTGAGCTCTCGAAGCAATGCGATTTCTCTTATGGCAGTACTGGGTACACCTTCAGATTCACTGTAAAAAAATAACAAAATAAAACATGAGCATTTCATTGATTTAAACACACATCAGCTGTAAACATTAAGATAAAACTGACATATCCAAAGGAATCCTTTTCAATGCAACTAGGTCACCACTGATTCGATGTCTTGCTTTGTAAACAACACCATAGGATCCTTCGCCAATCTTTTCCACTTTATCAAAATTGTCTTTTATATTTTTACCTGAAATGAAGAGGTGTAAGATGAATTTGATAGGGAAAGATTAAGATAAGCAAAATAAACAATTGAAAGGAAAACTTTAAGTGAAAAGAAATGTTTAAGCGGAAGGTAAAAATTGGCTTTAGAAAACCAACACAAAGGTACAAGAAATGTCATCAAGAACGGCATGGTTATTTAAAGGCGAGAAAAGGTACACAAAAGGTGTAAGATCCTCTAGCAATTTAAGGGTTAAATAATAGAAACAAGAAGAGGTTCAAGATAAAATATAAGAGACAAGTTAAGAAAAGTTAAAAGATAAACTTACCTTCCATCTCGTTTGTTGATTAACATGACGATATAAACCCAAAGTGCTGATTAATCTATCAATTTCCTAGCCTCAAAAACACAGAAAGAGAGAGTGAAAGAGAGGCTCAAAGAAAGCGGGAAAAGTTTGTTTCTTTCTCTCTGCTCTTCCCTCTCCTTGTGTCGCTTTTCTCACCTTTTCTCGCTTTTCTGCTCCATCTATTAGTTTATTAGCTAATTACTCATTTTTTGATTAAAATACAAATAATAATTTCCCATTGAATTCATACCAACCCTGATTAATCTGATAACAAAATTGTCCAGTAAGCCTTTCAGAGTCTTGAATCATGCAAACCTGAATAATTCAATTGAGCAATAAACTCAAATTGTAAACAGATTCTTAGGCTGATAGAATTAATCTAATCACATGACAAAATGGAACAGCATGGAATTTTTCTTCTCATCTCTTCAACTATCATGTTATTGCTCTTTAATTCATATTAGCATGGAAAATTTTAAAGAGATTTAAAGTTCCATTTTCAATCCTTTCGAAGTGTTTATTTTCATGGATACTAGATGGAGGCTCAATCGGGAGAAATTTATTCTTTTCTTTTAGCCGCTGTTGTCGGCTTCGAATCAATCAGGGATTTTTACTCGCCATTAACTTGAATTAAAATAGTTTTGAGTATTTATTTTATTTTTTTAGTAAAATACACGTGAAACTTAATTGTGTTTAGCAAATTAACTAACGTGACGATGTGACGATGGTTTGATCAAGGGAAATTAATGATAAAGGTAAGTAGGAGATTGATTTGTAAGAAATTTGTTGGAAAATATTATTTGACCGGTCATTTGATGCCTGTGATGATGTAAATGACAAGAAAATTGTTGTAGATGATCCAGATATCCAGATAATAGATAGAATAAGAGAAGAATTATCATGTAAGTCAATCAAAAACATGAAAACAAAACTAGTTGGACCCACGATGATAATAATGTTTTAACTTATAATTGCGACAGTTTCCTTTCCTTGTTTTTTGTCCTCTTCATCTAATTCTACTTCTCTTTAATTCCTTTGGATTTTTGTAAAATTGGTTTTCTTGTTCGCTTTTCCTTCTTTCCTCACAGCAGAGCGACAGCAACAGTTGAGAACAGGTTATCACCGTCACCATCATTCTCTTTTTTATCTTAGGTTTTAATCAAAATTGTTCAGCTTACTGTTCCATGTTTAATATGTGTCTTCCGAGAAGCAAAAATCATCTAAGATCAACTGTGGATTATAACAATTACGATAGCCAAAAAAGAGGCAACCTTTAAGGTGGACAAAAAGAGTATCTAAAGATTTATCTATTGTGAATGTATACTTGATGAGTTAATGACTTTTTGAAGGCAGAGGAGAAGATGAAAAGGTCATCAATTTTAAAGACGCATTCATGATAGGAATGGACAAAAGTAAAAGGTCACTTGGTCTCTTGGTCAATTTATTAAGACGATCGCTAAGTTTCATCTGTCAACAATTAGTAACTTTGCATGAGAGAATCCAAATCCATTATGTAATTAACAATTATTTACGAGTGAATATGTTTATTGTAGGATTGCTGAAAAATATTTACATCAATTTTAACGTTAACATTAGGTTTTAATCAAAAAGATTGATTGAGATCTTTTTGATTTTCAAAGTGGTCGAGAGAATCAAGTTATCAATTGAAAATAATAAAATTATTATTAATTAGTTAATTGGTAATTGCAATACAAACTGGAATGTAGAACCAAGATATTAAGGGAAAATAATTCAAATTAAAACAACACTTAATGTAAAAACACACAAGATCAATTTTATCTAATAGTAAATTGATAATAATTAAAATAATAATATTGTTATATTATTTGTGTTGAAAACCATAGAGTAAAATGATTAAACCATTGCGCAAAATTAAAACTGGACACTCGGAAAAGTATAGATTTGATCATTGCTCAATTTGTTCAATTTGTTATTGATATTAACAATCAAAGGTGAACCTAATTATCAAAGTTTCACACAAAATTAAGGGTCCAATTAAAGGTAAATGCAAAGAGGAATAGCTGATGATCAAATAGAGTGGCGTTGAGGTAAAGATGAGCAGATTGTAATTAATGTCCAACTGTTGTTCAATCATTAAACAGTATTGGTTAACTGATGGAAACACGCATAAACGGATAAAGCCAAGAAGCAGCAAAAAATTTCGTCGTCAAATTTTAAATTAAATTTAAATAATAAGTTAGATAATTTCCTATACATGAGACCGATTATCAGTGTCTCTTGACCATCCTGATGAAGGTTGACGAGATGTTTGGACTTGTTCTTGATTTTGTAGAGATTGTTGAACGTGTTGATAAAAACTTGATGATGCTTCGGTTTCATCTGTAATTTAATAAAACAAAATCATTATTAGTAAATTGTATCAATGGGATGGACAGGGAAGGTGGCGATAGTAAGTAATCTTCAACTTGATTGACAAGAAGAATCACCTTCTCAATTTTATGTAACCATTATCATGAATAACATGGCATGCAATTAACAATTTAATCAACAACAAGATAACAGGTAAAAGTGTTAATTTATCTGTAGACATTAAATGTAGAGCTGTTAAATTGTTACCATCTGAAAGAGTTAATAGTTGATGCCTTAAGTGTTACATGTTTAGTTGTGTTAATAGTTGCGCTAAGATTAGGTTTAATTGTTCAATAATAAACAGTTTAATTGAGTTTTTGGTGGTTAATCACTTACCATCATCGTTAGAGTGAGGAGCATTGTTATCATTACTTGATTTAGATGAATCAAATGGAGTTGATGAAGGTAACTTTGGTTTCCGTTTTCGTGTTTGAATACCTTCTTTCCTCATGGCTAATGGTCTATTTACCTGTTTAATTTGATTTTATATAAGTAATTAAAAAACAAAAAAAAGAAGACCAAGGTTAATGTGTGTATCATTTCAATTTTGTTTATCAATTATAACCATCTTGGCTTATTTTATAGTATTTTTTGGTGGGCTTTTCAATTAAAACTGCAAAACTTGATTGCCTGGGAAAATTAAGTTAAATTACTATTTGATTCAATCATTCCTGAAAACATAAGCACATTGATCAAAGAGAAACAACTTGAAACACAATATTACTGAATAAGCAAAATATTGAGCACTAATGAACATTTCAGGTAAGGTTAAATTAAACATAGGGAAAAGTGGAGTTTCACATAAACTAATTGATATCAACATATACATTTATGAAAAATGTAAGCATTCAACTTATAAACAAGCACCAATTATGCTTAGTAATTAAGGTTGATGGCAATCTTTCAGTTTATTTATCTCATATTATATGACAGTTCAACTAGCGATGATCAATTGATTTTTGGACAATCAAATACAAGTTTGAAAAATATCTGACAATTTGAACAAGATTCAACCTCAAGATAATCTGATTACAGTGAGTTGCTAAAAATTCAACCAAAAAATAAAATCAATATATGTAAAGGAGCTTCGTCTCAACCTATCATGATTAAACTAGGAATGATGATTGAAATAAGCAAGATATTGAACAATTTAAAGGAAGGATTACTCACATTATGAAGTTTAAAATAAAGTCCGCATGCATTACAAACTGGATCACCTTCATTGTTCCGTCTCCATAAGGTTGTTGTCGTTGTATTACAATTTGAACAGCAAAGACCCATCCGCCTTGATGCCACCTAATCAAAGAGATGAATGTTAATTAATCATGTAAATATCAACAAATTACATTATCATTAGAGTGTAAAGAGTTTTTGTCTGGAGAATAGAAAAAGTAGCAAATGTTGAATGCGTGAAAGTACATGTAACGTGAATAGCTTTTAGGGTGAAATTGTTTGCATTTTTATGGTCACCAGAAATTTATTTCAAGTTTAGTTATTACATTCATTTTTATGGACTTTATTGGTGTCTACCTTAAGCCGCAAAGTCCATAAAAATGAAACATAACCTTTCATCCATTTTCATGATGATCGTTATCACCATCATTTTTTTGTCTTTCATTCAACCGATCTATTCTCTTCATGGTTTGTCTGCTTGGTAACACTATAAAGTCAATTCAAGTAACAACATTGTAAATCTTTTTTTTATGTATTCCAAGTATAAAACTTATACTTCGTGAGTATCCAGATCAAATCTTGATTAGACTAATTCACATTAATCTAATTATCGAGGTAACGCAAGTTTTGATGGTGAAAAGGTTAACATGAAGATAACAAAGCCAGATATTACAAGATTAAGATCAAAGAGTTCTCATCTCATTATTGCTTCAAAGTGTTGCTATCAACCGATATTTAAGTTCAGAAATCAATGAAATTGAATTTCTGGTTCAAAATTTTGGACAAGAAAAGCTAACGATTCTGTGAGTTGACTGTTTTTAAAACATTGATGCGATTGGGTTAAATTGGCCCATGAAACGAAATTAGAAGTTAAACTTTTACATTTCATGTGTAGTCTTAATTTGTTTTAATCTTGATCTACAATTGAAATTGTTGGAAATGTTCTAAAAGGTTGGTTGATTTAGATTGTGATAAAATAACGAAACTGTCGCTAACAAGAATGAAAATTGATGTCCAATACATACTAAGAGTTGATAAAAAATCGTATCAAACAGATAAATCTGATTGATTGTTTTCTAGCATTTAAATAGTTGAGTGGAAACGATAATTCATTTGCATCAAGTTAATACAACTTAATGTAAAAACACACCCAGAACAATTGGCTTACTAGACTGTTGCTTGAAACCTTTTAAAGCTTCTGGTTTCGAGAAGGTTAAAAAGGTTGGTTAAGCTAATTGTTGCAATTAAAGGGTCTGGCCTCAGGTATACATCATCTTACAAGAAACAAGCAAAAAAAAAGTGATGAACAAAGTTGGAAGATGACCAAAATAAAGGATAAAGTAGGAAAAAAAGAGTGAAGCTGATATTGATGATAATGGATGAGTTTTATAGGATGCAGGGTAAAGAAAGATTGCCATCTCTGAATTGATGGAGCCAAATCATGTTAATTTACGAGGTAATAGTGAAATGGTAAGAAAATGGTACCTACAGGGTAAATCACCAGAGGCCATTTACCATTGACCAATAAGGGAAAAGCTGCACTTTGGATGGTTCCTTTAAAAGAATACTTTTGTTCGCTCTTTTCACTTTTCCATGCCTATATCATGGTCAAGTTACATGATCATTTCCCTCCTCCTTATCACAATCATGAGAATGAAAATATTCATAATTAAAAACATTGCAATACTCTATTAAAATAGAAGCTAATTGTTGAGTTAATCACTCACATATTATCACAGTTTCAAGTAATGGATGACACATAATTTGACTGATGAAGATGATGATGGTAGTGAAAAAGAGATATTATTATTACATTATTACAATTAACTATGAACACAAGATTGATGAGGTTATAATTTGAAATGAACCTAGTCCGTGACATGGAAAAACTAAAGGACAGTTCGTGACATTAATAAACAAAAGAAGATGAACATCGAGACGCTTTAATTCAACCAGAAAAGCCCAAAGATTGACCAGAAAAATGACACTGAATAACCGAGTTGAAATAAAATGAGAATAGAACAAGAATCGTTTGGTGAAACAATCAACGTCTCAATGTCTGGACTTAAATGAAAGACAAAAGCACAGTAAAGCAGACACCAGATAAAATTAAAGACAGACAATGTGTCGCTGATAAGCATTTAATGGATTAGGTTTTGTTACTTTCACCGATTTGCTGTCAACAAAAAATGGAAAATTTTCTTTCTTCTATTTCTGTTAATGACAATTGAAACAAAGTATCAACCGAAATGTCCTTTTATCCAATTTCAACCTAATCACAGTTTAATGGGTTAACTAATCGTTAACTAATCTTAACCGTCTTTGTTAGTCTTGGTTTGTTACGAAAGGATATCTTATTCAAAGGTTAATCTTAATTTAACCAGAAGTCTAAATGGTTTAAATTTTTCGGTTCATCTGATTGATCCTGGAGTTGCTTTGTTTTCTCCATTTCTTCTATTCCTATTATTCATGTGTTCAATATCAACTTATTAAGATTAATAACATCTTAAGCTGGCTAATTAACAAGTTTAATGTAATGTTGATGTTTATTTTTCACCAGTTTCTTGTTCGTGAATTTCAGTGTTATCAATAATCTAACCCTGGAGACAGAAACTCTGTTGAATGATATTTGGCAAGAGAAACTTTCTCATCTTCATCATTACCATCATCATTTTGTCAGCTTTTTAGCTTCTTCAGGTAAAACTGGATTTTCAACTTGAAATGGGATTTGAGTAGTAAACTGTTTGACATGGTGGAATCAACAAAGAATGAATTCTGAATGCACAAGAAAATGACACTAAACCTGTGAAATGAAAAGAAAATCTGAAAGAGAATAATTAAGATTACAATTGTTGATTTAAAATGTAAAACAAGAAGAATCTCAAGTCAGACAATTTCCATTAATTAAGAGACTTCATGAGTTTCAAAATTCTTGGTTACACTCACTGAATTTAGATGAAATTTGCATCTAATCATGAAAACAAAAAAAAATGTCAAACCAAATGAAAGTTGATCCATTCAAAGTCAATGTAAATGTCAACCATTTCTGGTAAAAATGAAGAGCGAAAAACCTAAATCTAAAAAATCTGTTTTGTATCTCAAGATTAAAATCACCGGTTGATTGTGAATCTGCTAATCTTGCCTGTTGATAACTAAATTAGCCTCATTTTGTTCAGTCACAATTGATTACAATCACAAGCCTTGAAATGTAACAATGCTGAGGTTGATTGAAACGTTCATTTCAATGTCTCATTGATTAACTTTTAATCGTGAGAAAGAGTTAAGAAGTAAAAAAGCCTGAAAAAAGGTTAATTAATGGTATTGATAACAATTTTTGATGAAGGAAAAAATTTGCTGATAATTTTGATTCAATTCAAGATAATCCATTTTTTGGAAACAATCACAATAATTCAATAACCTTAATGTTTGTCCAGTTTATCGATGATCATGGATTTGATTTACCTTGAAAGAGATTAACTAATGAATACAATTGTTAATTGAAATAAACAGGCAATAAAATTAATTGTCCAAACACTTAAAAAGGTAAGTTGTTGGTCATTTTGATGGTTATCAAGTTTCACAGCAGGATCAAGACATTTAACACTAATATTGTAACTTTAATCCCTATGAGGCCTATCAATCTAATCAATTGTTAGTTGATTATCGTATCTGTTGATGATAATGTAATCAGAGTTGATTAAGAGATGATTGGATAATTAATTGATATATCAAAATGGATAATTAAAGATATGAGGTTTCAATTGAAAATGTAACTGAAAAAGTATCATTTGAATCATTTCTTTTACAGTTTTTTTCTTCAATTTTGTTTATTCATCTCATCATTTGATTACATCTTAAATGTCATGTTTAAGATTAAATTCATTTTATTCATATTATCATCTCATGTTTTCCTGAAAATGTTTCACAAGAAACATGATAAACCATTAATATAAACGATAATATTTCAAGATTAAAGACACAAAAAAAGTGAAAATGAAAAACTGGTAAATCAATGGTAAAATTGGAATCAATAGTTGAATCTTTCATTCAAATTCATTCATAATTGAATGCCTTCAAGGATATAAATGTACCTTCGAGATTCAGTTCAATTTGGATGATTTCCAATTCGAAACTTTCATCTCATTTCACAGCCAATAACCGATAAAAGCGATTCTGTCAATTGCTTTTTTGAAATTATGAAGTTTGATTTGAGTTTAAGCGTGGATTCGTTTGGGTTTGGCGATATTAACTTTGAATCGAAATGGTTTGAATGAAGGATCAGCAAAAGAGTTGATCCAATCAAGAATTGAATTGTACGAAAAAGGGTTTAGCAAATGAAGAATCAGTTGGAATTTCAATGAACTTTGAATGGCTCAGGAACACACATGAATATGGATGAAGTGGTGACAAAAGATTGCCTTTCAAATGTCGAAAGGTAAGATTACAACAAAATTTTTCTTGTTGAAGTGTTGAGTTGATCATGAAATCCTCAATTGAATTGACAATTTTCACAATGGATTAGATGAAATTAGTTGAAGATTAAATTTAATCAACAGAGCAAAAAGCGATTCTATTCAAAGTCACAAAATTGAAATCATTGGCATGAATCACAAACTGGTTAACCTAACCAAGATTAACCAGAAAAAATGGAAACAAAGTAAACCCAAATGAAGTAATTATTAATGATTTTACCCAAATTTTTGATGAAAAGCTAAATTGAAATCAAATTATTCTGTCCACGTCAATGATTATTTTTTGATGGAAGGAATGTTAATTGTTATTGTCCATCTATGAATCAATTAAACAGTAAATGGTGTGAAACAAGTAGAAAAATATAAACCAATTTAGTAATTAAATTCCAATGAGTGTGTAATTTTGGGTTACTTTTTTGTTACCATTACTCTAATCAATTGGAATGAATGATTTGAAATGATGATAAAATTTGATTGATGAGCATAAATCATGGTTGATTACAATGGCCAATATTAGCATTATTGTTATTAACGGAAAACAAAAAGTAACCAAAAAACAAGGTAATAAAAGGTAAGCTAATAAAAGACTGAAAGGTAACATTGGTTTTTAACTAAAGGATGAAACTGTCAAAAGGATTATCTTTAGCTTGTATATTGCTATTTTTGTGGGTCCAAAAATAAACAAATACATCCATTTTTGAGGTGAAATATGGTTTATTGTCAAAAAGATGAGAATCCATTGTAAATAATAACGATAACTGATTATTGATGAAGACAACAACTTTTTAACATATCATCGGATTATTGCTATTACTATTATCCAAGGTGATTAATACATTTTAAGTCAATAATCAAGCGGTTAATTGAGCTTGACCAAGGAGCTCATAATTGTGTCCAACCAAGAAAGAAAAAGGAAAAGGAAAAAAGAAAGAAGAAGAAGAAGAAGAAATAAAAAATAATTGAAGTAAATTGTTATTTGACCAACAAACTTAACTTTCAAGTCAAAGGTTGAATATGTATATAAATATATTGAAGGGCCACTCAATCTTCAAGTTTATCGTAAATCAGTTTCGTTAACCGTAAGATTATCGTCTAGTCTGGTTTTATCCTCATCTTCTTCATCTTCATCTTTCTCTTTCTTCTTCCTTCTTCCTTCGGTTCTTGTTGGTCACTTTCGTAGGACTAAATAGACACTTTAAGAATGCGTTTCTATAGCTTAAGGCTATTTAAACGAACCTGTAAAGATACTGATCAACCAGATAATCTGGCAAAATGGGCCTGATTGACTAGTCTGAGGACGAGAGAGAGAGAGAGAAAGATGAGCATCATTTGGATGACGAGAATGAAAAAAGGTGATAAATTTAGTAACTTTGAATAAAAGGTGAACATCAAAATCAAGTGTTACAATCAAATGTAATAAAGTTGATATAAAATGCAATCATGATTAACATTTGACACTTTTAACAATCGATTTAAGCTTGAACCCAAAAAGATCGCTAAATGAGCTCAAAATTTCAATGAAAACCGAGAAATCAAAACATGATCAGTTCAATAAATTCAGATGAAACTTTAAAATCCTAAAATTTGAGGTTTGTAATGATTTTATGTCTAAAAATTCAACCAATTTGAAACGCAAATGTTCAATTGGTTTACACAATCGATTGAAATCATCACAATAAATGCTTAAAATTTTCTTGTAACACTTCAAATGAACAATTTTAGAGGTCAAACATGGGATTTGTTTTCTTGATTTTTAACAAAAAATGAATGAAAATGAAAGATTTGGATGCAAAGCGAACCCAAAATGAAACTTATTGATGTATCTGAATGTGATTTTAGATCAATTTAGTGTCCATTTTAAGGTCATAATTGAGATTTAATCACAAGTTTTGCATCTTTTTGCAACAAAATGAAAAGTGACTAAAAATGAGCCTAAAATTGTTACTTTTTGCAGTTAAAATGATAAAACTTTTATCTATAAAATAAAATGTCTCACTCTTTTGACTCTCTCAGCTTTTCTCTCGCTTCATCTTCTTTCTCCTCCCACTTTGATCCTCCTTCTTGAATCTTTATAAAAAACTCGCAGGTAAATCTTTTCAAGGTGAAGTTAGATTGATTTATATCTACAATATGATTGGTTAAAAGATAACAAGGTAAACATTAACTACCAAAGGTGAGCTAATAATAATAATGATGATGATGTGGATATTGATGAGGATTGTGATGATAATTGCTGATATAATGGCTTTTATCAATTATATAACAAAGCAATTTGTATTCAAAAAATGTTGCTAAATGGTTTATCAAGTTTTACTTTGTTTTTGGCCTTTTTTATACTCCAACGCAATCAAGCAATCATCCAAACAAATGATTACATTTGATGCTGAATGATGAGCATCTTCACTCTGAAACATGCTGAGTACTCATCTTCATCTTCCCTTCACTCTTTCTTTCATCCCTTAATGTCTTCATGGTCTTGCACCAATCTTTTGGCCTTTGTTTTGCTTCCTACTTTACTTTGTTTACCTAAAACCATTCAAACAATTTACCCAAATATTGTTATCATTTTTAAATAGTATCAACTGTTATTAACACCTAAACAGTAAACAATCAAGATGACTTGAATTGGTATAATTAACTTTCACGTTATTAGTTGCAACAAATAGCCATTTGCTAAACTAATTGTCCTTCCCTATCAATAACGATTAAGATTAACGTTATTTTTTTGTCAAAATAAATGGCCCTAAAACAGGTTCGCAGTGTGGACAAGGTAAAGGAAAAGGAAGATTCAAATGGTTTGATTAGTGAGATGACAATGATTAGGATGATTTAAATGAAGCTCATTTGTTATTTGTTGATTGTTGATTCTACATTAAGCTAATCAAAGTGTCTCACAAGATTGATTGTCAAGTTAAGGTGAAAATGCAACATTAATTTATAAGGATTAATTGCGAAAAGGCGAAGATACTTTTTTCGCTTCAACATAAGTCTATTTTTATGGATCCCTTTAATTATTCAAGTGAACACTAAAGATATGGTTGAATGATCTGAACATACCAATCGTCGTTGAGGCTTTATTAAAGGTCGCTTCGTTCCATTCATTTTATGGTATAAACCACAAGCATTACATAAGTAATGTCCAGTTCCGTCTCGACGCCAAAGAGGAGTTTGAATGGCTCCACAATTGACGCACTCTCGACCTTCATTAAGGTGGTGAACATATGAAGATGAATTCATAACTGAACCATCTCGACTTCCAATTCCCGATGAATTGTGTGCTTTGAAAAGAAAAGAAGAAAATTAGATATTTGATTAAAATGAAAGTGTCATGTGAATGAAAGACAATTAACAAGGATGCAATATAAACAAATGCAAATTTGATCTCAACTGAAATCATTACATTGCAAGTGGTTAATTGTTACAAATTTAAATTTAGTAACAAAATTCTGTATCTGATTGTCAATCTCATCTTTCATCTTCTGATTATTTAAAAGACCAAAGTGCAAAAAGCCAGATGAAACCAATGCCAATGGTGATAAAATTTGAAATGTCAACGACTCATGTTATTAGTACAGTAAGGATAATTTAATGCAGATCAATTCAAGAAATCTATGAACATGTAATGCAATATTTATATTCATTTGAAATAAACAAAACATTAAAGTGAGATTTGCTAAATTGACTGATTCTGGACACGAGTTATTGGATAAGAATACTGAAATGTGTCAATTGGTTCATAATTCAAAGTCACAGCTTACTAAGCTGAACGCACCGGGTGCTCTCACTTAATCTCTAGCTTAACTTAATCACATAATGATTTAGTCTGGTCTGGACCAAGCTTAAATTAACCTAAACTTTCATCGGTAGGTGAATTAACTCAACATGCTGAGAGTCAGACGTGAAATTTACCGTTTATTGATTGCATCCAGGGATAGAAGCTCGGTGCAGCGCTGATAATTGAAGGTGACGATTGACAGTAAGCTGCACAAACGTAAACTGATCTTGAATAGGCAGCCGCATCGAATCTTGACGGATCTCCTGAACCTGGGACATTCATTGGGACACTAGAACCTGTTGAACTTTCAATCCCATAATTATTACTATGATGATGATGGTGATGATTAGTATTGTTGTTGTGTTGGGACTGGGATTGTTGCTGTTGTTGTTGTTGTTGCTGAGCTTGGGCTTGTTGCTGATGATGAACTTGAGCCTGGGATTGCGCTTGTTGTCGATCACTTAATGAAGATGAGTTCAATGCCGATGATGAAGATAATGGAAGTGAAGATGCAAGTGAAGAAGACACTAAACCTGAACTATTGTGCTGATTTTTGTATGCACTTGGAGTCAATGATATTCCAGAAAATTTATAAGTCATTGCATGTTGATCATGTCCTGGTTGATGATGAGGTCCAGTCTGGTAAAAACAATGATCAAAATTTGTGTTCATAATTCACTTTATTGCTATTTACTGTTCACTAACCAAACAAAATGTACAAACTTGCTACACTCGAAACATAAACTCAACTGACCATTAAGATGTTTATAGGATTATCATGTTCAACTTTATTTCAATTTTAAACTTCTCACTCTTTCAACTCACTCATATTTAACTCCCATAATGATAATAATAAAGACAAATTATAATATAATTCAAGTTAGCTGAATAAGCATAACAGCAACTGGATAAGCAAGACAAGGGCGAGTCCTTTCAAGTCAATCCAACCAATGAGAATCGGTCTCTTTTTAAATTTAAACAACTCACTCAGACTCAGTCTGTCTTCATTTGAACACAGTATAACCAGTCAACATCTAATGCATTTAACTTGAACTAATTTGCTCGTCGCTAATAAGACTCTTAACTGTGGTCTTTCAAAATTGTAAATCATTCAAAATTGAAAGATGATCGCAATGTTGGCCTGAAACCACATTTTTCGTCTCTGATTTAGTTGAATATCTTAAATACAGGTAAACCTGTAATAATGTGAAAAAAGACATCTCTTGATTGCTTCAGGAATGTGATGGTAATTTACAGTGTTTAGTGGACACTTTTTTTTGTTTGGTCAATTTGGTCAAATATTTTGTTAATCTTTTACTAGGATTCACTCATTTCCACTCAGACTTGTTTTGGGTTAAAAATGGACAATAAATCAAGTAAATAAGGTACCAATAAAAGTAAAGCTGTTGACCATTCAAAAGGTGTTCATAGACATGGGTTGGAATTTTTGAATTATAAATTAATCTATTTATAAGTCATAAAATTGTAATTGTTAACATTCTTTCATTGCAAATGGTTTTTTTTGGTACGGGTGTACAAACCAAAAGAGGGCGCTATAACAAATGCCAGTCTTTGCCCATTTTACTTTTCAAATATGAGAGTTTCTTGTAGTGTGAAATATCTTTATTTCTTGAAATAATATGGTTGAAATCCCTAATCAACGATCTGATTTGATTTTAATTTTTGGTTACTGGAAGTATTTTAAAATTTAATCATCAATCAACAGATTGCTTGGATTTCAAGATTATGGTTTAGGAATTTGATTTAACCGCGTTTAAACAAGTGTAGTTTCAGATTTATCAGCTGCTTAGAGTCTTGTTTTGTACAGTTTTGCTCATTCTGTTGTGTGACTCAATTTTTGTTTCAAAACATTGCCTTAATTCATTATGTATCTATTGTTTTTTTCAATTTTTTAGTTGACAGAATCTATAAAAATGGCGAAAGATCAATTATCGTCATTTCAACTTGTTTACAACTCATGTCCTTCATTCTGGGCCAATTACGATAAAGCCAATTCATGGTTAAAAGCTCAAGGGTTCAATCCAGTCAATTTTAACTTTCAACTTGCTCCGTCTCTTTGTCCGCGAGATGAACATGGTCATGATAACCATCACCAAAATAAGCCTGATATCAGTATTCCAGAGAGCAGTGTAGATACGGATGAAGAGGATTCCTATGTCGATGATGATTACGTTCGTTTCATCATTGAAACAAGAAAACACCAAAAAGAGCAAGGTTGGTTAGTTATGACTAAAAGTTCATCAATCCGTCATTTACTTTTCTGTTTTGTAATATATTCCGAGCTATTTACTTGGACTGAAATCTAGTTGCTAATTGTGCCGTATTTTGCTATCTTTTTTGTATTATTTAGAAAGACTCAGAGCCTTGAGGATCAAAAAAGAGAAAAAGGAGGAAATCGTTTACAAAGACATCGGTGAAATCGATGTACAAAGATTGACCAAAGCTGAACAGTTCAAAGACAATGAAAAAGAGCTAGATCATGTAAATCTCTATGGAACTTTAAGTGAATCAATCAAAGCTAAAGAAGCGCTACTTCAGAGTGATTTTAATGTTTATTATGATACTCACAAGCCTCAATTTTGGCCAACTATTCCAGTCAAAATCAAATAAATTTTATTTCATATGTTGGCGATGGCAGCTCATTAATTGATGAGTGAGAAACAGAGCCGTGGAATTAGAGAAGGAAGAGGTGAATGAGAAGAATTTAACTCACAAAAGCAAATATTACAAATTAAAGTCTGTTTTTTCAATCTTTTTTTGGTAAATAGTATTTTTCACATCTGTTTCAAATGTATATAATCTCCTAGTTCGGGTTTAATCTTGATCTAGTCCAGAAGAAGTTTCTTCTGAATTATTATCTGTTTTCTGTTGAGTTTGGACGTCTCCATCAGTTTCCAGTTTATTTCCTAAGTCATTCTCTCTAATCTCTTGAATTTCATCCTTGATTGTTTCCTTATGTAAATCAGATTCTTCCACATCTAATTGTCGAATTTCCTCTTTCGAATCCTCGGTTGAATCTTCAGAAGTTTTATCAGTAGTACCATCAGATGATTCATTAATAGTAGTTTCGGTCGGGGTTCCATCAGTTTCCACTTTGACTTTTTTGGATAATTCTCTTAATCTACATTCAATAGCTGAATTTAATTGTTCAATATCTTTTTCTTTTCCCTGAAAATAATAAAAAAATGTTAATCAAAAATTGACTTGAAATAATAAAAAGAGGATTATAAATAGTAAAATACCTTAAATAAATAGATTCCATCAATACACGTAAATCTTAAGCATTTCTCGTTAGACAATTCGAATTTCATCCCAGAAACGATCGATGCGTTTAGGATTACTTTTAGTGATCCAGCGGTTCGCATAACTGAAAATAAAGATCAAAATAAATGAAAATATTAAAATTTCAATTAGGCGCGACTTTAGATGACACAAGAGTATGATAAAATCAAGATAATGCTCATGATATATAGCAGAAAGAGGAAAACTTGAAGAACTGACTATCTAAACCAAAAAAGGAAATTTCCGTAACAAGATAATAATCCTGATGATTTTAAGATATAAACAGTTCTTTGGTTTAGCTTTAGATAACCTAACTCTTTCAAATGAACCGAATCCTTAGCGAGAAAACAGAGGGACAATACAGTAATATCGTTAGTTGATGAAAAGGGAAAGAAAAACAAAATCTGTGATAGGCATTTCTATCAACAAGTCCCTGAAAGTTAAACCTTGTAATCATATGATTAATGATAATAGGAATGAGACGAGAAAATAAAACAAGGTTAGCGTAAGTAGCATAAATGCTCATATTGATTATAGTGATGCAAAAATACTTCTCCTCCTACTATTAACTATTGTCTTGAGTGAGATACTCAAATCAAATAAAATTCATTTTTTATTACCTAATCGAGAACAAAGCTTGTCATCCTTCATTTTGTCGTTCAATCGGAGCATCCCTTTTCCTTTCTCTTTCCAAAATGCCGTCGCCGAATCCCATAAATATAATTTACAAAATATTTGCAAAACATTTGACTCATCTAGAATAAATAAGATAAGAAAATAATAACCATTAGTTCACGAGGAAAAGATTTATTCAATAAGACCAACCTTCTTCTCCTGTGATGACTTCATATTTTCGTTTCTCCGGAAGTATTTGAGTTGTTGGATTACATGTATTCAGTGAAGACATTTCATTTTCATCTTTACTATTTTCGTCATCTTTTGAGGTTGAAGTATCTTTATTAGGTAGAAGAACCCTTTCTTCTAAATTTTGTCCAAACAAAAAGCCAGTGTCTTGAGTTTCACTGTTAAATGTAGATGTGCTCGATCCTGAGATACCTTGAGATGAAAAATAACCAAAGATTGAGAGGAAGAATAATTAGATACTTATACTTAACTAAGTAAATTGTCAACGATTCAAAAAGAGCTTGTCAATTGGATTATTTATACTCACTTTTAACCTCTTGATTACTTGATTGCCCTCCATTGGAGGTACCTAAAGAAGGTTTTAACAAAGGAGCAAACTTGAATACATTATTATCAGCTTGCACTTTTTCGCCAATTTTTTGATTATTATCTTGATTAGTAACTGATGAATTAGAATTTGAGTCACCAACTTGTAGTACACTTGGTCGAAGCTTCATATTTTGTGGCTTCTAAATTCAACTATAATTTTGAATGGAGATTTACAATTACATTAGTGTTGCGATGATACTTTCAGTACGAGTAATAGTATCGATATTTTGAAAACAATATTACTGGATACTTCAAACGATAGTATCGATATTTGGTTTCGGTTTCGATAAATCTGGTTTCTCTTACTTAGCGCCATCTACTGGACCACATTTTGCTAAAACATCTAACCAGTGAACATCTTAATCAGTTAGTTTGATTGAATTTTATGTTAATCTATTTCCGAAACAGTTTTTTTACTAAAAAGAATTATGTTTTTAATTATTTAGGTGACATGGTTTTTCATTCATAACTGAATTTATTTAATTTTGACATCTAATCACAAAGAACTCGATTTAACCCTCAACTCGAAAGTCAAAGTTTTTGGCTTCGCTCCTCTAATAAAAAATTTTCAAAAGTTTGGTTAAGAATAAAATTTCAAGAAATTTATGGCTCAAAATTGTCATAAATCCATTTCTCTTGTCAACTTGTATGTTATTTATTATTAAAAACATGGCTAATTTTATAAAATTAATTTCAGTCAAATCTCGAAATCTATCATGTAATTCAAGTTTATTTTCACAATCATCGAGAAATATTCACAAAGAAAAAATAAATGCGAGTTTAACTTGTTTCAATTTAGTCAAAGATCATTGCTCACTTGAATTGGATCGTAAAGTGAAATAGCATGAAAACTGGTTTTATGAATAATTTGTTGAATAAAAAAAAGATTCAAAAATAACATGAATTTTACGATTAGTTCTTGAGACGAAGTTTGATTATGAAAGGTGATGTTTAAGAGCTTGATTCAATAGCTGTAATGCCAACAGTTATGCAAGTTGTTAATTTTGCCACTTTGTTTGGATTATTTCTGTCCTTTAATCAAATTGTTAAAATTGAATGTGAAAATAAACTGCAATCGACTGATAAACTTTTGATCAATCGACAAATTCATTTGGTAACTTCGGGATTTTCAAGTGTCTTTTGGAATTATATAAGAAGTTCTAGTGATTCGTTGGATAATGTTTCAAGTCAGTGCTCATCTCATCTGAATAAACTCCTAGAATCATCGTTAGAAGGTCATCCTTTGGCATTCAAATGTAAGTAATGAAAGTCGAACAAACTTAATCTTTTTTTCTGGATTATACTTGGATCCATACCACACCCACATCCTAGAGATGAAGCAATTTTTCCTCACTTAACACCAATACTGATCATTGCACACCAAACCGTAAAAGCATAAGAAATGAAAATATCGAATTCGATATTGATAAAGATAGAGGAAATCACGCGCTATCTAGTTGATAATAGCAATTAAATTGACAAGTCAAATTGTTCAAGCATGTAATAGATGGAAGGGACGGACGGTGATGATCGACTAATGGTGAGTGCTGAGGAATATGACAATTCCTGTGAGATATGAAAGCTTTGGATTTAATGTAGAATGGTGGCAATTCAAGATACTTATCAAGAAATATCATCTACATGAAGATATTAAAGTACCATAAGTACTTGACGAACACACATTGAAATTGAAAACTCGAATTTGCGCCGTTTTTAAGCTAATCGAAGTTTGTGTTAAACAATAAGGAAAAAGCTCATCGAACTCTTATGGGTCATTTGGTTTGTTCAGTAGTTTATCAAACTTTCGTCTCGAGAAACGAAATAAACTGAAACTCTTTATGTAAACCTGCAATCGAGTTTACCTTTCATTATTGATCAAAAATTAACAATTTTACTAAACTTATTTTTTAATTCAGTTCATTAAAGTTAACAAATAATGAGAAACCTGTTCCGAAAAGGTCTTGATGCATAAATGTGCAAAGTTAATTAGTAATTTTTTAGCTTCAGATTTTGAATGTCGACTATTTTACTGCTAACAAACGACTGATACTCAGAGACACTTTAACTCAACTCATTTCAGCAGAAAAAATATTACAGCCTAAAATGGATAAAAGTGACTTCGAGCAAGATGAAACTTACAGCTCGAACAGTTTCTGCCATTCCCCGAAATCGCTTTCATAAGCTAACAGCTCAGATATTAACGAGGATTCTACCGACGAGATTTCACTGTTTTATTTAAATTAGTGTAAGAATATCTTAATAGTATCATCATTGTATCAGTCATTAAAAGTTCAAATCGAAAGTTCAATCTCTTCTTTCGTGATTTCGCTAATGAGGAATCGAATTGATTGCTGGCATCTAAAGTACCTTAAGATGATCTATTCACACAAACATTTTGAAATAATAAAATATGGTTTAATCGTCCAGTTTAACTCAAGTTGACAACGAACCATTTGACATGATTAAACATAACCCATAAGAGAATCAAGCAGTTAAATCAAATTAAAATTAGTTTATGAGTTTGTCCATAAAACTGGGTTTAAATAAAATTAAAATTCAGCAAGGTTAATCTTTAATCAAGACCAGCCTCTGTATTAAAATTTATGAATTACATCGTAACCACGCAAATTTTTTTTCCTAATCTCTTAAAAATAAACGACTCTTTGATTAAAGACAATTCCAAAAGTTTTTTTCCTGAATGATTCAATCACTAAATAAAGGATCCAATATTTGAATTGAATGCTTAATGACTTCGAGCAATGAGCCTTAAGTTATCAAATTCAAAATAACTTTAGTTGTTGCAATTGAAATGAAAGCCAACAATTTAATCGTAATTTTCATGGCCTTGGCAGCTCTTTTCAATCTGTTAACCTTCGTGAAACTAAATTAAAAAATTGAAGTAAACATGTGCAAAAAGCTTTCAATTTGTGGTCAATAATTGCATACAAATAAAAATATAGTCGATGAAAAGTTGAATAAATGGACGCACAAAAAGTTCCTCATGGAGAGAAATAGTGAATGTTCACTTCAAAAGTTGAACTGTGTCAAAGTTATGATCAAAAATGGAGTCTTATTGCAAAGTCGATTTTTGAGTTTGACCAATTTTGAATTGATGACGAACCTTCGTATATTTAAGACATAATAATGATATTATGTTTGCCGAAAAAGCTTATTTACATTTATAGCACACTTTCAAATTTTCGTTATGAAACAATCCAACAAAATAGTCAGTACAATTTTTCAAACTTCAATTACCGAAGCTCCCAAAATTGGTAGGATAATTGCTGAAATTAGTTGAACAAAGGTGTGAAATAAGATCCACCATTTTCGGTTAAATATCAATGCGAATCTAAACCTTCGATTCGTACCTTTTTCTAGCTTTATCCTTACAGTATTCCCTGTTTCAAAAACTGACTTCAAAAATGTGGCTTGTCCACCTAGACGCACATCTGAATTTTAATTTTTCTATTGTTAATTTGATCTTTTAACTATTCAAATGTTTATTTGGTTAGAAAATTTTGGCTTGTTGAGTAATTACAAGCTACCGTAACTCTTTTTGCAAAAAATCGAGGGAATACTGTATCTGGATTTCGGTCTGCTTTTGGCTCCTATGATTCATATATTGCCATTTTAAAATATAATAATGAATAGATATTGCTTAAACTCATTGGATTTCCTAAACTTGTTACGATTTCATCTTCAAGTTAACAAGAAAAATATTTACATCATTACAATTAGCGTTGAGAATTTTTCGGACTGATGATTTGAAGATAATTGAATTGCGGGGAAACTTTGAAACTTCGTTTTTCGCTAATTGTCTTGGTGAATATCTCATTTTTCGTCAATTAGATATTAATTAAAGTACGGAAATTCATAGTAGATTCAAATGAATATCTAAAATTGAACAAAGTTAACAAATATTTAATTTTTCACGACAAATCGTTGTTTTATTTCTAGTTTTATCCTTATCTGGATCCCGCCCTAATAACTTTCTCGATGCAACTTATGCTGCATTTGGTTCTTATGATTCATGTCTTGCCATTTCACCATTTCATGAGGATAAAGATGATCAAACAATCAAAGGAAAATACTGTTTAACATCATTGGAACCTGATTTACACAGAAATGGTCAATCAAATGGTCAAATTCTTAGTCAATTATATCCCCATCATTTCGATGCAGAATTCAATTTTACAATAAAAGTTGGGTTCTGTGTTCCTTCAGTTTGTTCACAAAATGATGTTCAACAAATTATAACTCAAGGTATTCCAAATCATTATAATCATTACAATTGTTCACTTCATTCCAACTGTTAACCTTTATTCATTGATCAATAGCTTTCACCGAGTATTCATGGAAATTAGTTGATGTCCATTCCTGTGAAGTTGAAACTAACTTCTTTGATAGACTAAAGTCAGCAAATAAAGGACAACAATTTTTCTTGTAAGTTCATCACATTAACACGAACATAATGATCATTTGATGTTATTTAACTTTTAATTTGATTTTAGATGGCTACTGGTCACTCTAGTCTGTGTTGTCATGATGGCAACTTACATGGATTTAAAAGGCCGATCAACTGTAGATGAAAGATCCTCTCTTTTCTGGATCCAGCAGTTCTCAATTAACAAGAACATTCGAAGTTTGTTTCGCCAGTCACATTGCAAACCGAGAATATTAATACTCGATCAAACCCGATTAATGGCACTGCTGTGCAATTTAAGTGTACACGCTGTCATGTGGATCACGACGATAAACGCTGCTTTTTTACCAGGTTAGCATCAACCGCCAACATAAAACTGATTATTCTAACAATATTCTATTAATCCTTATAACAGAAGATACTCAATTCATTATTGATCAATTTTCCAAGTTTCATGTGCAACCATTTTTGAATGATTGGATAACCGACGGTCTATTTTTTATTGGGTAAGTAATGGTTTAAGAATCGTGAAGAATCGACCGTAATGAGAGTCTTAGTTAGAACTCTTAGACACAAATCGTCCCAACCCCTCCCCACTGCTTCAGCTCCTTAGAGATATATTGCGGTGTCACTTTTTTATGCTCTTAGTTCTGTTAGCTAGTTAGAGTTGATTCTTCTGATCTATTTGCAATAAACTATATGCAACAATGCCTCAGACTAAACAAAATTCATTTTTTATCCTTTCTTGGTGCTTATACATTCACAGTAGTGGAAGTGCTTCACTTGCTCTTATACTCAAAATGGGACCGAAAACACCCATAACTACGTACCTAAAATGCATCTTCAACAGAGCAGCTTTGTAAGTTATTGATTTACACAACTATTTAACTGACCATCTAAATTGTTTAAAAATCGTTTTGTCCCTTCAGATCGGTTCCTATTTTGATTCCAGTGATTGCACTCGAAGTAATTTTACCACTTGTAGGATCTGGACCAATCTATCAATCAATTAACCAATACCGATCAAATGTTTGCCTTAAAACTTTCTGGATGAACTTATTGCATATACAGAATCATAATGGGCCAGTTGAATTTGTGAGAATCGATGAAAATAATGCAAGCATTCTATTCAGTATTAATATTTTCATTAATTTCTAGTGCGCACCTCATACTTGGACGATTGCAGTCGAATGGCAACTCTTTGCTTTATCCTGTTTCTTGGTATTCATTTACAAGCGAAAAAATAGCTTGGGACTGTCACTTAATATTCTGATGGTCATCTTTGGATTCTACAGAACTGTTAAAATATATTTGGAAAATGATTTGCAGCCCCATGCCATAATGACTGCAACAAACTACAGGTGTGTTGGTCGTCCTTTCGATGCATTTAGTTGCTTCTTTCATTACCTCATATTACAATGAATAATCACTCAACTTCTATTTCAGTCAAACTGCTAATCGAATGGCTCATGTTCATATTTCAACTGAAGCTCATTTATGGTGCTACCTCATGGCTACTCTAATTGCCGTTCTATTGGGAGCTAATTATGAAGCAAAAGTTATAAAAGTTGGTATTCTTTAATCATTTAAAATAGAAAAGCAGCCACAATTAATCATCGATTTAACACTAACTATCATAATTCTTGTTCTTCACAGTTCTTACCATTGCTCGATAAAGTGGCCATAATCATGGTCTTAATGGTTTCATTTAGTCCAGCCCTTTGGAATGTTTTTGCCATGAAAATTGAACCGCTGACCACAATTATTTATGTTTTGTTCAGCAAAGTTACGCTAACATTTCTTGCTTTGATAATCGGTATACATAATGCGAAGAAGGGAAGAAAATATGTAATTAAAGCAGAATCAGGCGATATGTATATACATGATGACGATTCTGATTCCATTTCCCAGGAAATGAACCAGATCAATAACAATATTGAATCGAAAGCCATTAAACGAGATTCTCAACTAAACAACAGCGGACTTAATAAGCTAGAAATACTTTTAAGGCTACTCAAACCAACTTATTTCATCCATGCGATTGTGTATTCATGGTACTTCACTAGTTTACGCTCCACGATTCCACTCAGTTTATCCAGTTTCGTGAGTATTATGCAGCTGTGAAGGTTCATTCATTTGAAGATTTTGTATCATTCCGTCAGAATCATGAATAAACTTTCACACTAATGTTTCGAAAAGCCTTTTCCTGCTAAATCCAATCTAACATTTGATCTCTTTCATAGGCAATGCTGTCAACTATATTGACCTTCTATTCGATAATTGCTGGCTTTTTCTTTCATCTACTAGTTACTGGACCAGTGGAAAGAATCAACTATCTATTATCCAGAACAAAATCAAAAGCTCAATGAGCAGCTATTGTGGCATAAGAAGATCAAAATGCTGTGCATACGAAAAAATGTATTAAAAACTAAATTTTTTCTTACATGAGATTTCACTGAAAACTTTATCAACTTTATATTTAAAATAACGGAAAACTAAATCACTGAAGTTGACAGTTCGCTTTAATATGAAAATGAAAAAATTTTAAACTATTCTATTTCAAGTATTTATTAGTGCAACTTTTCCAACGAATTCTCAGTTCTACAGAAAAGTTAGTTTGTTATTATATTGCTTATTTTATTTAGAGTTTGACACTTTGGCATTCAAAATAGCCATAAGTAAAGGTTCCTACTTGCAAGACAGCAATATATTTTTTGATTTTGTCGATTTACATTTGTATTGGTTCCAAACAGAATTCAGAACAAGAAATAAAATTGTCTTATCTACTTAATCACATAATCTAAACAATTTGCATAAAAGTTTAAGTGCATTGTCTTGCATATTTGCTGGGCTTTTTGTTTTGACTGTTTTCAGGTGCAACTGTTTGGAATGAGCGCTTCTGCTCAAGTTCAAACTTGTTTTAGCCCAATAACCTAGTTCTTTGTTAAGAGCCAAAAGTTTTTCCAATGTTGCCAGTTTTACTTTCGCTTTAAGTTGAAGCCATTTTCATTTCTACTTGTTCCTGTTTAAAGATTCATATACAAATTGATATTGATACTTGTTAAAATGGAACGACAGAATAATAATTCTGATAAAAGTAAGTTAATTTTATTATTCAAATAAATCATTAATTTAATACTTTTATCTCATTTAGCTACATTTAAGGTAAAGTTTTTTGGTGAACATCATATGTCCAAAGTTTGACTGGCTATTCCTATACATTGTATGCATTGCCTGTCCAATTTTAAAAATTCTTTCCTACAGCTATTTGTGTTATTCAATCTTATTGATTCGAAATTTCATGGTAAAAAACGCCTCAGAATGCCTACAAGAAATGGATCTGGACATCGAGGTAAATTCCGAGGTAAATCACTTTCCAACAAGAAACATTTGTATGCAATTAGAGGTGAACATTAATTGAAACATTGATAGATTGTTTAATGATTAAAGCCTAGGAAGAATGCATTTTAGCTTTGGTTTTTTTCTTTGAGGAAATGTAGTTGATCCTTTCAATTGGCCCAAGAATCAGAATATGGAAGAAAAAACCGCAAAATAATGCCAAAGTTACTAATGAAGTTGTAAACGATATCTGAAAAAGAAGTTGGGTTCATGATTAGTAAATGTTCATACAAAAATAGTTTGATATGACAAGCAAAAACTAAAAGATAACTCACATAATTTAATAAACTGGGTGCAATTGTTGATCGTAAGCTTGTGAAGTACCAGGCATAAACAGTGGTATGAACAAAATAAGCAGGTTTGAATATTCTGAGTACGATCTCGAATCGATGCAGTTTTCTCAACCTGGAACGTTCCTTTCGATTATTCATCTCTGTTTTGGTCATTAGTTCTAAATTGTTATTTGATGCAGCAATTTCATCTTTGGAAGCAAACAATTGTGAATTAGGCTCTTCGGGATGAATGTACATATCGACCGATTTCGATTGAGCTAGAAATCTTCTGATTTTTCTTCCATGAGACATAAAGACTGACATGCACCATGACCCGACCACAAATTTACTGAAACAAACACAGATTAAAGTAGTGATCGGTTCAATTTTCATGCCAAATGTATTCCAAAGCGATGAACTATACAACAGCATCACCAACAATGAATAAACCCATATATTGTATCGAGGTAAAGTCTATCAATGAAAGATGAATAATTGTTCTTTTCAATTCTTTTATCAGATTAAACATTGAAATTTGAATGACAAACCTCTTTGATCTTGGCTTCATAATTACCAGCCATCATGACAACGAACAAAATAGCCAGAAAATAGCTCCATATATGAGCATCAGTCGCAATGTAATAATAGTTCCCTCGATCAAGGATGTCCCTTGAAATGTCAAAGTCTCACATTAGCTTCATTCGTATTCAATCATTTCAAACTGAGGCATCAGTTTTTGATTCATGCACTCACCTAAAATGCTTTCCAATCATAACCGGATGAGGCAATGCGTCATGTTTCGAGAAGATCACGATAACACGGTATAATCCGAATAGAATCGTTAAGATATTCAATGTTAATCCTAAACGATTGTTACGCTTGTAGATGTAAATCAAAATACAAGCAAATACAAAGAGTTGCCATTCAACTGCAATCGACCAAGTCGCCAAAGCACACTGAAATAAAGAGAATCATTTACACTGGAATCAAATACATTTCAAGAGATCTGATTAGCAATGAATTACCATTTCCAATCCTGAACGATAATTTTGGATGTGCAATAAATTCATCCAGAAATTTTTAAGGCAAACATTCGATCTGTATTGGTTAATTGATTGATAGATTGGTCCAGATCCAACAAGTGGTAAAATTACTTCGAGTGCGATCGCTGGGATCAAAAGAGGAATCAACCTGATGGAATCGAAGTAATAATCAGAAATTTAATCAATGTTATTGGTAAACTTGAATTGCTAAACTTACAAAGCAGCTCGACGGATGATGACATTCAAATATTGAGTCGCTGGTGTTTCAGGTTTCATTTTACGCAATAAAGTAATAGCTGAACCTACACCTCTGAAAAGAGTGGAAAGCGTAAAAGAAACAAATTAAATGTTTTACACTAAAAAGCGATTTTGATCAAAGATCTGAAACTAACCCGAGGAAGAAGAGACCTTCCGTTATCCAATCATTAACCACCGGCTGCAAATAAAATTTTGATAATAAATCGAGTACGTATTGATTGTCCTCTGAAATAAAGAAATATTTATCATTGATTTTTACAATATAATTCACCGAGACTATCAGATATAAACTTGCATTATGAATATATGAGTAATGAATATAATAGACTTTTGATTACAAAAACTAAATAAAGCGGAAAGTTTTTCATCTCAAGGTTAATATTTTTGTTATAATTATGGTAAAATAATTAGGGTGAAAAACTATACAAGCTTGAATGATATGAAATGATATGAAAGGGAACAAACCGACGAGAAAAGTTGAACTAATAACCGTGTACCACATGGTAGCATGAGAAACCACAACAATAATGAGTGTAGTTAATCTTAAACTATCCAAGATTGTTATTCTCGAACCAGCATCGGGCTTACGAAAAAGACTTTTGACACTTTTTTTCGCTGAAAACTGCTGGACCCAGAAAAGAGAAGATCTCTCATCTACAGTTGATCGGCCTTTTAAATCCATGTAAGTTGCCATCATGACAACACAGACTAGAGTAACCAGCAGCCATCTAAAATCAAATTAAAAGTTAAATAACATCAAATGATCATTATGTTCGTGTTAATGTGATGAACTTACAAGAAAAATTGTTGTCCTTTATTTGCTGACTTTAGTCTATCAAAGAAGTTAGTTTCAACCTCACATGAATGGACATCAACTAATTTCCATGAATACTCGGTGAAAGCTATTGATCAATGAATAAAGGTTAACAGTTGGAATGAAGTGAACAATTGTAATGATTATAATGATTTGGAATACCTTGAGTTATAATTTGTTGAACATCATTTTGTGAACAAACTGAAGGAACACAGAACCCAACTTTTATTGTAAAATTGAATTCTGCATCGAAATGATGGGGATATAATTGACTAAGAATTTGACCATTTGATTGACCATTTCTGTGTAAATCAGGTTCCAATGATGTTAAACAGTATTTTCCTTTGATTGTTTGATCATCTTTATCCTCATGAAATGGTGAAATGGCAAGACATGAATCATAAGAACCGAAAGCAGCATAAGTTGCATCGAGAAAGTTATTAGGGCGGGATCCAGATAAGGATAAAACTAGAAAATATAAAACGAAATAATATTTATCAACGTTATTCATTTGCATCATGAAATTTCGTAAAATAATTATAATCGAATCTGAGTTTATTTCAAGATAATTTACAAAAAATGAAAGGTCAAATTGACCTCGAAATTAAATTATTTTTAAATTATCAGGTCTACAATAATGCAAATCTTATTTTAATGACGTGAATGACTTACTGTTAACTTTGAAATTAAACTTCAAGCATAGGAGGGAATTTTTAGCAACCAATTTAGCTTCAGGCAATCTTTTTCATTGTACTTGGAATCAAGCGAGGGAACCTAACGAAACGGTAAATCGATTTTATTGAGCTTCAATGGTAGCTGTCAGTGCACTCAACCTTCTCTAAGATCATTTTAAAGGAATTAGATGTCACCCGATGTATTTCGGCATTTCAATCATTTTGGCTGAAAATTTCGTATTCTTTTCTATGGGAATTTTTAAGTTAATTTTTCATTTGAAAATGTTCACAACATTTACTTTTTATTTCACAGCTAGAGTATTCATTAGATCCATAACATAAAAAAATACAAATTCCCATAGAAAAGCATATTTTTCTAGACAAAAGATGATGAAAAGGTGGCAGATTCCTTTATATCGATCTTTGAGAAGGTTAAATGCACCGATAACTACCAATAAAATTTTCTACCAAATCGATTTTACATATCGTAAGCCTCATTTTGTGAATAGCATTTTATTTAACAAGCTATCATCGGTTCCTATTATATGAATTTGATTAATTTGCAACATCTTACAAACGCATTAAATGAAATGAAATAGCAATAACCTGAGAAGATGGAATTTTGACAGATTCAAAAAATTGATTCCAACACCAGATGAACTTATTTTTGTTTGATCAATGCAAAGATAATTCCTAATTTCAATCACATTAAAACAGTTTCTCTGTAATCTAAATATTCATGAAATATTGATACTTACATTTGAATGCCAAAGGATGACCTTTGAGTGATGATTCAATGAGCTTACTCAGATGAGATGAGCATTGACTTGAAACACTATCCAACGAACCATTAGAACTTCTTATATAATTCCAAAAGACACTTGAAAATCCCGAAGTTACCAAATGAATTTGTCGATCAATTAAATTTACATTTACACTGTGGCTTGTTGGACCCTCACTGTGAACTCTTCCAATAATGTTGGCACAAAGAATCAAAAGAAGGGTAAAACTGGTGCAAAGTTGCATAACTAAAGTATAATCTAGACCAAAGAGTAAACTCTTTACTCTTGGTAGCCAAGATTAATATAATAAGAGGCCTCTCTTCAATGATTATCTTGTCAGAAGTGAGATTTAATCTTTGCTTAGTAGACTCTTTGATCTAGACCAACGAATAGTTGATAATGAAGTTGTCTTATTTCGCACTGTTCAATCACAGGGAATCAAGATAGTTGACTGTTTTGTAAATCGCTACTGCTGCAAAAGAGTTGAAATGAAAAGTAAAATAAGTTAACAAAGAAGTCAAACTGCATCTGATAAAATACTGATAGTTATTATTAGATACGAGATTTCTCGATTAACTCAAGGCTTACAACAAGGAAAGTCGTTTGATGTCAAGTTTGGTGGCTCACTCTACAAGTGATTATGAAGATGCTCATTTCCACTAGTCCAATCAACCTTGAATGATGTTGCATGATAACACCAGCAAGGTTGAAATCGAATGAATATTGTCTAAAGATTAGGGTTTCACTTTGATATCATGTAATACTACTTGACTTGACAATAGTTGACTTTTGAGTGATAAGTCTAACAAAGATAATAAGCTGATAATTAGACCAAAGTAGGGTAAATTGATAATCGGTTACAATCCTCGATTGGTTTTGTTACAATTGACTGGAGATGTGGGATGTTGAAGTGCAAATAACTTCACCCCTTCATTGTTTGTCCTCTTTCCGTAATCAACTAACCTGTCTATTAGTCTGAGCCTACCTTTTCATGCACATAATTTTATTTGCATCACTTAATTTTTAAACAGAAATCAACTTTGACATTCACTAAAAGCTCCAGTAAATTAGTGCCTACTTTCCTCTTTTCAAATAAATACTAATTTGTATTATAAAGCTAATGTTCATGTTCTTCACTTTCAAATTGAAAATTTTTCAGGGAATTTTTTCTGTAGAAATTTAACTGTTTTCAATTCTTTACATTTAACAGGTGAAGCACCAAAAGAGCTAATCTAAAATGGCTAAGGGCAGAACAGCTAAAGGCAATGCAAGCTATTTAAGAGTTTCAACAATTATGTGCAAAGAAAAAAGACAAATTAATGAAAAAAGTTACTGGAGATGCTTGCATGAAACTGACCAGGCAAATTTAATCTAATCAACGATGCAATTTCTGCAAAAACAAAACATAATCATGAGCCTAATACAACAGACGCGATTCGTCGAAAGCAACGAAACATTGTAAATAATTGCAATTCAACAACATTTTTGCAACTAAAAGATGCCTTTCGATTTATATAATTTATATTGATATGTTCCGTGCAATACAAGACCGATGCAATCGATTGAATTTAATCTGGAACCCTGGAAAGTTCACAACTGATTTTAAGATCGCTGCAATAAAAGCGATAGCGCTAACCTTTCCACGGTGTTAAATCAAGTTCTGCCTATTCCATTTTGGACAAAGCCTGTGGAGGAATATTGGTAAACACGGACTTGTGAACAGATACAGGGATGAAGAATCAGATGGTGTGAAAAATGCAGTGAAAAGGATTTCAGCATTGCCTTTCATGAAAGCTGAGATATAAGGGTCTGTTATGATCATGGATGCACCTGATGACATTGCAATGGTGGATTTCTTTGCATATTTTGAAGAGACATATCTATGCAATGATTCAAGATTTCCTATGGATATTTTAATGACTCAGACCCCAGCACGAATAATGTTGAAGGCTGGCATGGTGGATTCAATCGAGCTGTGGGAAGAATCATTTAAACCTCTGGTTATTCATTGAAAATTTGATCAACAAGAAAACAATTTCGAGGTTACACTTGTGATGGCGGCTAAAAAATAATGAAAAATTCATTCTAGTTCATGAGTTATGTTCATGATAAGATTCCGATGAAACGTACTTTTGAGCAGCGTCATCTATTGACTAAACTTTTCCTTTTCGCAAGCTTAGATGAATGTTAGCTATTGTCTTTAGTCTGCATTATTCATTAAGCCTTAGTTCTTTTGAATTTAGCCATATTTTGAGCCCAAACCATTTAAAACACTGTTCTAAGCCGAAATACACGCAGATGTGGATTTTAAAAGTGGAATAGATTTCTTAGCATGTTTCATTTCTTTGCCTGTTTTGCAATTTTATCATTCCAATTCATGCAATGAATTTATTTCTAAATTTTCATTGATTAAAGTAAAAATAAAATAAAATTAATCAGGTTTTTAATTAGTTTTTTGTTAACACGTCAAACGGCACGAACATTCAGCTTTATTCCACAAGTTAAGTTTAACTCAGTTGCATGAGAATCACACTGATTAGTCATTGACGAGTGTAACAAAATTGAACTTACAAATGCTTAGACTGAATTCAATTACAATTGATTTTAACAGGTCGCACCAACAGCAAAGACAGTTTTCAAGGGTCGAGAGAGTACAGCTTCATATTGAATAAAATGAACCTTACTATGCTGGGAGCGATTTATGCACAACAGAATGAGCAAAATTCCAATCGATACGAAATGATTGCTGATCATAAAATAATATAACGATTTGCAGCAAGTTTCATCTACTGAATTGTGAGGCAATGATCACTGAATTAATAGATAGACTGGAATTGCAAAGGAGCAAATGATAGCGAACGGAAAACTACTTATGCTTTTTTCATTAAGGTCAAACGCGACTAGATATGGGCAATTTCGATTACAAATACGATCGATTTCTTACATAAAGCGACATATTTTGATATTAAAATCGAGGCCAAAACTTCTTTTTGCCATTTGCAGCCACAAAAATAAAACACTTTAAAAGACACTCTTAGTCCGAACAAACTTCAAACATCGAGCAGAAGATATGTCGATATGATCGATCTCTTAAAAAAAGATCGCGATCAAATTCCCTCTCGGATAATCGATATTTTCGATCAATAAATCATTTCAGAACAACTCGAGCAAAAAAGCAAAAAGTAAAGGAACAAGGTTTTTCGGTATCAAGTATTGCTATCACTTGAAAGTAAGGTATGACCGGTAAAAACAGAATAGTTTTTTAGAATTGGGTTACGTCAGTTAGACTAGACTTACAGGCACCATTTAACCGTTAAATAAAGGTACGTTTCTCAAGCACATTTTGTGTAAAGATAAATTGATTTTGATCAGAAATTGTCAAGTTATGACCTTGAATGGACGAAGGCGTCAAAATCTGATTTTGCCTCAAGTCAAAAACCATATATTTTTCAACTTCACACTAGGGTTTCGAATAATCGAAAAATGGCGAAATTTGGCCTCAAAGTTATTGAAAAAGATGTGATTCGCTTAATATAATCCAGCATAGGCCAATTGAAAGGTTTAGGCCGTCTTCAAAGCTAAATTTGATGGACATTTGTTAAAAAACGGTTTTTCAGCTTTTAAAAAAAGGCTTTTTGAAAAAGGACTTCCATTTCGAATATTTCTAGCAGTTATTACAAAATAAAACCTTAGCATCTCATCGACAGCAACAAGGTGACCTTCTGACATTTTTATTTCGTAATAATCGCTGAAATATTCGAAATCGAAGTCCGTTTCTAAAAAGTCTCTTATAATTTCTGTAAGCTTTTCTGTAAGTTATGATCTGTCACCAATCGATTTTCAGACAATGACTATACACATTGACATTTTCCCCGACTTTTCAAGAATAAAAGCCCAGAATCATAACAGTAGCTAACAGAGGACCTCTACTTGTGATCAACAATAACGTTATTAGCAATAAATTGTTACTGTTTGAAACTTACAAACTTGTTAGTTATTTGGTGACAAACTTTTTCGTCAATACGTTAATCTCGGACGGGTTCAATTTTTTGTCAAGAGAGTAAACACTTAATTTTGAGTTTCAAGGATTTTCATTTGAAATATCAATACAATAATCATTTCAAGCGCAGCATAACTTTAACTAATTGAGTTAAATGACCCAACATCTTTTATACACGAACCAAGACTTTAAAAATATTTGCTTCTGTTAAACAATAGACATAAATACTAGCTATATGTGTAAAAAATTCAAGCACTCTATCATGTTTTGTACACGAGGTATCGATGAAAATCGTTTGAAACTTAAAGCACAATTAGGGCCGAGTGCAACACTCTACGAACTTTTGATAGGCTTAACAGTGCTGATGTTAAATTTCAAGTGGAAAAGTGGTTTTTATTAATAGGATTTTTCGTGAATCTTTAAGTCTTTAACTTACAATTTCAAGAAATCAGCCTTTAAAAGTAAACTTGAATGAACCATTAAGCGTGAATGAATTAACAAATCAAGACGTAACAAGAAGTACGCAAAACAAGATCAGTTAAAATGAAATGGATACTAAAGCTTCTCAATGTTACCAATTTTCTGACTTGCGGTCATAATTTTTCGAAACTTTTGTTCATTTTTGTTGAACTTACATACAATAAAATTTTAATAAACTCGACTCAAAGTTGCATCTCTTAACTGAAGTAATAATGATTTTATTTCTTCAAATTACCATTTACATTGATTTTATTGGAAAATCATGAAAACCTGAAAATCTCAAGCAATTGATTTTCAAATGAAATCTGTTCTTTTGATCGTTCTTCCTTCAGTCCATCACCCACTCTTATTCAACTTAAACGAAATTTGAGTTCAAAATGTAGTTCATAACGCACTTTACCAATGTCAACATCAAACTAAATAAAATGACTCGATTTGAGGAAATTGAAACTTGATTTAATCATGATTAATTCATTTAGAGTAAAGACTGAAAGGACACTCAGGGATTCAGAGGGGAGTTAATAAAAGGAAATGACATGAAAGTACATTAGTTAATGGTCCTGCAGTGTCCAGACAAGGTCAGGATAAGATTTTACTTTTTATTTGATCAAGTTAACAAAACTCGAGATAAAATTTAATTAGTAAATTGCAGTAAAACACACACGAATATAAGTCAGAATAATTTGACAAAACAGAATCAAGTTTTCTTCTTCTTCAAGAAGTTTCTTATTATACTACAATAATAAAGAGGGAACCTCGAGAGTGGGATGACCAAGAGGATGATCAATGAGGAAGATGGAAATAAGGGAGATGCACGATGAAAGAGAGAGAGAGAGAGAGAGAGAGTGAGTGAGATGAAGATCCGTTCATTTGGAGCATCTTCCTCACCATCATTCACTTTCACTAAGTTTTTTATTCTTACTGGTCATTCAACACGAATTTTTTACAGTTTTATTCATTAAGTTTAAACATGAACCGTTTTCATCTCATTTCGTTGATTGTTGCTATAGCCATTGAACAAGGTAAGTCTATCATTTAATCCATATAACCAGCTATCAAAGTTGTGTCTCAAAAGGGCCGAATTCATCAGATATTTTTTCTCAGAGTAAAGTCAGCTTCAATAGCAATTCATCATTGAATAGTTTAAGCTTTGAGTTTTATTTTTTATTCAATTCAATTTACGAGCTTGAGAGGCTATCATAGCTTTTTTATGAACCTAACACGATGTCACTGCTAGGATTAAAAACGAACCTTTGTTAGCTCGTAAAATTTTCCGTGACCTTAGCAGAGTGATTAATGTTTTTGATGCAAAATTGATTTTGTGTCCAATATCAAAGTAATTGGTGAATCAATTGCATTTGTGATCCGCAATTTGCCCTTGAATTATGCATTACGATAGACAACTCTTATTGAGGCTTATACTGGTCTCGTGATCCAAGGTGATCTTCATTTGACAAGAAACTACAATTACTTGAAGAAGAATTTATTTCTGTAAATTATTTTCCAGATAATTTATGGACGAATAATTAACAATAATAATTTACTTTTAAATATGCAATTAATTTCGTGGCTCGTAATATCAAGGAAGTAAAACTACGTTCGAGATTATTCAATTGTTCAGGTTCAAAAGAAACTTATAATCAGTCAAACTATTCATATGCATGTATAATAGCATAATTCATATTATAATTTGCCTGAAAATTTCATTTTTAGAGGCTTTACAAAGCAAACAAGTTGCAGTCCTGCGATCACCTTAACCTGTACGTTAGTGACTATTTGTCATAATCATAATCGATAGTCTTTACAAAATTAAACAATTCTAAGAGATGATTATTGTTCAAGTCCGGAAATTTATATTTTGTTACTTTTCCACTTTTCACTCAACAATCAATTTCGCTTTCCCATTATTTACTTTATCCATCATCATGAAACATCATGTTAATTTTGGAAGCTTTAATCTTGTCCCATTTCCCACATTTTCACTCTTTATTATCATCATCATCATCAACATTATCATCATATTTTATCGTCTAGCTGCCTCTTAACAGTGATTCTGAAACAATCAGAAAACTAAACGATAATTATAAATCTCATCCACTTTTGTGAACTTGTGAGAGATGAAAAAACAAGCCAGATGAACTGAAGAGTTCATCTCATTAACCAGCCTTGAGGCTATTCAGGTGAAGATGGACCAATTTATTATCATCCTACAGTTATTATTATTAAGATACCTAAAAGTGAACAAAAAGGATAATGAGAACAGTTTGTTAAAACTGATTAACCACTTTTGGCGCGATTCAACTTTTTTCCAAATTTCTCTTTCTTTTTACCTTTTCACTCTCAACTGTTTGAAACAAGTCATGATGATGATTATGATGAAGATGATAATAACAATTATGATACTTGACGAGTAACGATGTTTGTCTTATCCATTTAAACTCTTTTCGCAATTGATTCACAAAACGCTTTTATTAATAACTCAAAGTGCATTTTAACAGCTTTTAGATTCGCCCATTTCGCTATTAATATTAAACATTGTATTCTGTTTCTTTTTTTAATCCTTTGTTTTATTCCATTAATTGCTCATTTAATCACAATTAGTTGCCTCGCAATGTGGTGGTGCTAATGGTGGAACTGGTTACTTTGCTCATGAATCTCAATGTGATCGGTATTACGTTTGTGAAAATGGTCGAGTTGTTAATGAAGGATTGTGTGATGATGGATTAGTCTTCAATGAATATGGTAATCCATCAAGATTAAGGTGTGAATTACCTTTCAGTATCGACTGTTCCAATAGGCCAAACCTTCGTAAGTATAATTTTAGATTAAATGTTCAATACTGTAACTTGACTGCTCATCTCGAGTCGTAAAAGTGACCAATTGCTTTTGTCTCAAGTTTCTCGTTGATTGATCCTTCAAAAATTAATTTGATTATTTGTTGATCGGACAAGCTCAACAATAACATTTATAGCTATTTTTAATGGCCAATTAAGTTTAGTTGAAACATGTTTAAGGAAGAATCATGTTAACTTGGTTACTATTAATATTCATCATTTCAATATTATTTTAAGGTGTATTTCAACGTCATTCTCGTACATTTATTGATGAATTTTAATCATTCATTAAATTGCATTTAAATCTATCGAAGATTGTCAATCAAATTAAATTGATCGTTAATCTTTTTATAAATCCATCATATTCATCATCGAAATGTTCTTGAATTTTGTGCTTCTTTATTAGAGCCTCCCAAGCCAACCGGTGAATGTCCTCGACAAAATGGTATGTTTCCCGATCCAAGAGATTGTACTAAATTCATTGAATGTGGAAACGGCGAAGCTCATGTCAAATCGTGTGCATCAGGCTTAGCTTACAACAAAGCAAATGGAAACTGTGATTGGCCTGAAAACACACCAGAATGTCCAGCTGAAGCTTTACTCGGATTCACTTGTCCTCAACCAACTCAACGGGAATTGCAGTTGTTTGGCAACCCCAGATATGCTCATCCAACTGACTGCAAAATGCTCTATGCTTGTATCCCAGTAACAAGTGATCCTGCAGGTCCAAGAACGCCAAGATTATTGGGTTGTGAAGAGGGTTACGTTTTCAATGGCGAGACTGGTTCATGTGATAGCCCAAAGAATGTCAGAGGATGGTGAGTATTGATTATTTGAGCAATACGATAAGCTCTGAATTTCCATAATTTACATTGAATCTTGTTCGATACTAATATTTTTCTTCATTTTGTTCGCAGTGAAAATTACTATGGAAATACCATTGAAGTCAACAATCGACTGATTGCATCTTCGTCTTGATTGAACATCGCTTTTTCATTTTTTTATAATTCATTTATTTAAAAATCTCAACAAAATATTCATCGTTTATTTGGATTGGAAATTCAATCAATAAATGAAATTTTTCCATGAATAAAGTTTCTGATTGAAATAAAAATAATTTAGTTTGCCAATTAATTTTCCTCTTTCGGGTCGTAAATTAGCATATTTGGATCAACTTATCAAATTAAAACAATTTAACTTTTATTTATTCACTTTATTGCTTTTCAACTTTATTTCCCTTTCATTATTAAATTCAATTGAGAGTCAAAAAATATTTTGATCTTTCAAGTTAAATTACTGATTTAGAGTCAAAGACTTGAACTGACTGTTCATTATTTGATTGATCAACAAATAAAAGTCAATTGTTAGATGTTAAGTTAATTCATGAAAAAATATGTTCCAATCACTATCACTAGATGTCAGTAAAAGAAGTTGAATAAATCAATGAAAGCGTATTTTTAGTAAACCTTTCAAATTGGAATCAGCATGAAATTCATGAAGCTCAATCAGGTTTTTTTTCAAGTTTTGAAATGAGGTCTAGAGTAAGAATGAACGCCTTTATGAGTAAACCAAATTGCACAGTTTAGTCTAATTTTTAAACTTCAATCTGAAGATAAAAAATCAGTTCACTGTTGAATGAATAGAAAAGTTTTGATTTTCGATATTTTTCCCAGAAAAAAAATTCATTGTTAAAGTTGACAATAGCCAGTAATTTAAAGTTGCATTACAAAAGCAAATGTTTGCATCGATAATAACTGTACAAAATGAACCGATTCACTAAATGTCAACAGATGAATCAATCGAATCAATATGAAATGAAAATGAATTAAGCTGAAAAGGTGAGTTCCAAGAAATGTCATTTTTCCCTTTAATCCCATGAATAGAGCCCAAAACTGTCAAAACAAAGACATTAGAAATCAGATTGATCTTCAAATATAAACTGATTATATAATAATCAATCGAGTAACAGGTAAGAAGAGAATGGAAAAAACATGAGAAAATAATGGAAACAGAAATGGGCGTAATCATGATTCTTTACTCCCACTTCCCTCATAGTCTAATCACACGGTGTTTCATTCAATGGACAGACCTTTGAATAATCTGGTAGCTTTTGTTGTTTACTCTTCATGATGATGAGCAAGTTGAGTATAAATGAAGATGATGAACCTTTGAAAAGAGTAACAATTCAGTGTTGATCAGTCAGTGTTGATAAGTGTAAAAAGAGGTTATCAAGGTGTTCCAAGCAACCAGATCCTTACCGGTTAAAGTGACCAAACCCGAAATACATTTCATTCAGTATTCATCATCATTACAAGTTGGCTGAGTAAAAAGAAAATCTTGAAAAAGAAAAAAAATCTTTACCAATTTAAAGTTTGTCGCAATTTTAATTATGTGCTTATGAATCAACCAACAATCAGTAGCATTTTTGCATTTCAAGATCGTGTAACTTACGAAAAGTCAACAATGAAACAAATCAGTTCCATCTTCGTTTGCCTGTTGATTGTTTCACTACTTTTAACATCAATCAATGGTGAAACAACCAAATCCGATGAGATGTTAACGAAACTCGATTGTCAGGTAAGTTGATCGTTTTGTTTTTTGTCACAAATAGTTTCAGATCAAGTCATCACCTTATTGACCTAAAGAGGTGAAACTCAACTTTATTTCCTCAACTTTTTTACCTCAATACCTGGTCATGCATAATGAATGAGGTGAAAAACGTTTAGAAACTGATCGATATGTTTATTTCATGAGAATTGAAAGTAAATCAAAAAATCGATTAATGATATTGAATGGAAAATATGGAAGCAAAGAGACTCTTTCCAAGGTTTGCTTTTCTGTAATGAACTTGTTCCGTTAAAGTCAAGGTTAATTGCTGTCGATTCATATTATTGTTTAGGAAGCAAAACTCTGTCTTTTCAATAACAATATTTTCCATTGTCAATCCTTTTTTTTGTCAATGCAACAATAAATGATTTCAATTGAATAATCTGAGGCTAAACTGTTGTTACCAGGTTGAAACTTGCTTGTTATGTGTAAACCAATTATCATGTAAATGCATGAGCAAACCTTTCAGGGTTGATCAACTTTTAACCTTCGATTTTTACTTGGAAACAACTTTCATTAGGAACGTCAATTAAACTATAATTTGGCTTTCACGATCAGTTTAAAGTGAAAGTTTAAAATCAAAAGATTCTTCATTCTTTTCAGTAATTTAAATAGATTCAGATGAAACGATGACGGATGAAAAATAGTATTCAAATGCTATCATTTTGTCAAAACGCACAATTTGATACTACTTTGCTTTAACATAATATCATAAAGTTTAAGTTACAAAAACTTCAATTTAAACCTTGAATCAAACTAGCAATTTTCGCTGTTTACATCATCTGCTTATTATCGTTGAAAACACCGATTCATTCATGTGAAAAATCCCAAGAACCATTGTTGATTGAATGTTAGCTATTGATTAGCGTAAATCGCACTTTCTTCATCGTATAATTTCTATGCATGAAAAATAGTTTAGAAACTGGAAATTTTTCGTCTGAACCTAACATTTGAAAGCTTAAAGTTGTTTAAAGTCTAGTGAAAAGCAGCTCGACTGAATCAGTTCTGGTACGACTGAAATTCCTATTGAAATTTTGGCTTAAATTATAATTTAACAATAGATTTTAGCAAAAAACTAGCGTTAACGTTATTAACGTAAAGAAATTAACGTTACTGAAGTCGCTCTAACTGAAGCTGAACATGAGATGGCAAATGACTCAACTTTTAAATTTGCATTTCTTTAGGAAGGAGAAACACGAAGTTTCAGGTATTCAAGTGAAACTAACCTTTGGGGTCCAATGGAAGAGCAAATAGCTGTTAATGCAATAGTTGATATTGACTGCATGGGACGAGACAACAATACTGGTGCTCTTAAATACATGGTTCAAATATCAAACGTCAAGACTGACCTGAAAAGAGACGGGTGAGTATTGACATACTGAATCAAAGTATTGCACAAAAGGCCATTAACATTGTTGCAGCTTATTACTTAATTTAAGATGAGTTTAGTTTAAAGAAATGAATATGTTTCAGCATTCAATGCCAATGTCGCCAAATGATTAACATTAACTGCATTTGCACAACAAATCAAGTTCATTGTTTTCGTTGTAACCATAAACCCACATCTTAATCAGAAAGGATTGAGAAAGTATGGTTTGAAGAAAACTGAATACAACTATTATCCAGTTAACATGGTGGTTTCAATGATAGTCGAAATGCTTTGCTAGGTTTCATTAGACTTTTAGATTGGAAAAGGTTAATCAACTTCAATTTGATCTGCTAATTAAAAGATTGAAGTTGACAAAGCAAATATTGAGTTAATAAAGGCTATTGTATTCATATTTGGAACTTGTTTCCTCTCGTTTTATCATGATTAATGAATTTAAGAGTCAAAGTGTTACATTCAATTTTGGTAATGATTGTTCAGATAAATTGCAAGTTTTTGTAAATCACTAATTCTTTATGGTTAAATTTGCACAGAAAATTAATCAATTTGCAACATCGTTCTGAAATGGGTAAAATTGTTCGTCGTCGAGAGAAGCGAAGTGAAGTATCTGACTGGGTGGCTGAATCATGGCAAAAGATAAAATCGTTTTTCACTCGATTTTTACGAAAACAGTTGAACAAGCAATTGGAAGATAAAATTGAATTGGATTTGGAAGGTCGAGGCTGCACACTTCCAACCAACCCTAAAGGATCAACAGCCGATAGAGAAAAACGTTCAACCAGTAATAGTGTTAATCATTTGCTTGATGAGAAGATTGAGTTGCCTTTCGAGTTTGTTCAACTACCTGGAGGTCCAATTCCTGAGATACGTTTAAGTAAACTTGAAACTAACGAAGCCGTAAAAAACTTCAAGAAACACATTGTGGACACATTTGCTACTCAACTAGCAACTGGCAAACAATCAACTATCGAAAAGAGTCCAATTGGTGAACACATTTCACATTATGAGTACCATGAAGTTGCCCCGGATCAACCCATTGAAGAGACTTTGTCTGTTGCTGGTTACCCAAGCTTTATGATCAACAGGAAGGGTAAAGCTTTCGTTGATGATGACAAACAGGAATCACCGACAGTCAACAAAAAGATGCAAGTAATTAGAGAAGTGAGTCGAAGTGATGTTATAAAAGTTGGCAGTGGATCAGTGCTCATTCATGATCCTGATCAGGTCAATATTTCCATTCGACAAGTCCAAGAGATCGTACAAGGAAGAATGACAGAGACGGGTAAGAGTTATTCAAATCAATCAATTATGCACATTCTGAGCCAGTAACGATTTTTAATGCTTAAGTTTGTGCAAATGAGCTTTACAATATTCATTATTTTACTTCGTTTACTTTTAGCTGGCTTGATTTCTGTCGATTTAACTAAACCAATGGATCAAAGGTTAGATTGTTTTATGCATTTGAATGTCTTTTAATCGTTTCTCTTCCACTTTATTGAATAGTGCAAAAAGACGTAAACGAAGCTTGGGTTTGGATGATGATCTTGATGGTTTCATGAAAGTATTAACTGCTTACTCAATGAATGTGAGTTTTGGGTCATTTAGGTGTTTCTGCAATCGTTTATTGACTTTTGTTTTGTTTTAATCGATAGTCGAGTCCAAATCAAAGAGCCAAACGGGAAACTGGTGAAAGATTAGCTAAACTACGTAAAGTTGAAACAGATCTTGATCTGGTTTCAGAGTCACTTGTATCATCTTCTTCGCCAGGTAAGTTCAAATAATTTAAGCACTGAATATCACAACTATCCTAGAAAAGAATAGAAGCCTTTTGCGTATCCTTGACTGTTTTAAAACTCGAAATACCTTCAATATAAGGACAATGAGGACGAAAAACATTGTAACTGAAGGAAAACTTCACTTTCTGTTTCATTTTGAAACAATAAGAGCATCAAACTGATGAATAACTAACAATTTTCATAGAACGATCATAGAACAATACAAAACTCTACTTTTGTTACAAAGCTATTAAACTCGATTTACGTTCTATCTTTTATGGTACGCAAATCGAATAAACCTAATGACAAATTTCTTCCAAATTCGTAGCAAAATATCTCCTATTTATGAAAATATTCATGAAAAGAGGGCAAAATATTTTGTATTTCACCCATTAAACGAGTACCTATCAATATTTCTACTTTTGTGTTCTAAAGAGACTGAAAATCAAGATCGATTGGTTCGTTTACAAGGATTAATAACAGAAATTGCATTATCACAGCAAACGTTTGATTTCTCAAAGAACTCTGAGCAAAGGAATCCAGGTTAGTAACGAACTATGCATAATAACTCAATTTCTTGTTTGCATTGAGTTAATTCTCATTCTTTCATGATACAATTTCCATTAGATTTTGATCTACTGATTGCTGCTCTACAAATTGAGGCAAAATTAAAGTTAACCCAAACTGATGGAAGCTCATTATCATCCATGGTTCGACAAACAATTACTCGTCAAAAGTTAGATGCAAATTGTGGAGCTGGAACTCAATTTAATTTAACAAAGTGCCATGATTTACTCGTTATTGCAACAATCGCTGGTTCACCTGTTACTTTGCAAGTAATAACAGAATCATTTGCCTCTGATCCAGTTGGTACATCGTCAGTGTTGAGTCGAGTTGACCATCCTTCAGAAGAACTAGTCGCGAATTTGGTCAAACAATTCACTAAAACATCCGCTTATGGTTCACCAAAAGGATCCATGTTAATGACTTTGAGCAGTTTAGCACACAAATCAGACAGTAATGTAATCAAAAAGAGTGTCTCGAAGCTATTAATGAAGGAACTGGAAGCAACAGCATCAGCCAAATGCGATTCACTCTACACTTTGGACGTTCTTGAAGCCATCGGCAATCTTGGTGGAGAAAAGTTTGTACCAGTATTAATTAATCTATCAAATACACAATGTACATGTTCGGACTCAATGAAAATCGGAATAATTCACGCTCTTCGTCAAATGGTTGATAAACCTGAAGTCATCGAGTTTTTAACAACTTTATTGATGAACTCGACAATTGACTGTTCGATTCGCAAAGAAATTGTTGCAACTTTATTCTCCTCTAAATTGATTACAATCAGTGGTTCTCAAACACTGCATCAGTCACAGTACAAGTTCACAAATCCAATAGAAACAAATCCCGTAGTAACAATGCTTAGTGAATCCATTCTAAACTCAACAGATTCGGCAGATGATTGCATTAAAGAAGAACTTGAAAAGGCTTTAAAGATGAACAACAACGAATATCAGTCGGCACGAAGAAAGCGATCAGTTGATAATGGATTTTGGGATGATTCGAGTTGCACTGACCATTCATCTACACCTGCAAAAGCACCTTCAACACCAGAATTCCCAATGGTTTCTGATGGTAAAAAGGACAAGAAAAGACTCGTGGAAACTCCAAGTGTAGGTTACGTTCAACGAAGAAAATGTACGGCAATTAAATCTTTTGGTCCGAAGCAAGTCCAGGCGATTCTAAGAGCAGGTGAGAATATCTAATTCAATGTTTAATAGTGAGAGTTATTGACTTGTAACTAACAATTCGATTCGTTTTTCCCTCAAGATATTATAAACGATGTTTTGGATTCATCGGAGAATCCAGATTACAAACTCACTGCAAACTTTGGATTGTCATCTCACGTTTTGGGTAAAAATGTTGATGTTGGTAAAATGTATCTTTACGCAAAGCGAAACATCAGTCGAGCTTATGTTAGTCTATTTGGCCAAACACTGCTTGACTCGCAACGAGACTCGTGTGACACAAGACCATTGGAACCATACCGTTACACAGCTTACGTACCTTTGTATGACTTCAACATTTGGGTTGTGAGACTTGGTCTTGGTTTACGGTTCAATGGTGAACTTGCGTTTGACCATTTGAAATCAAATTGTTTGTCCAACACTGAAAAAAAGAAAAGATCTGAAGCGTCATCAGAATCTGAGATCGATGAGCTCCTCATAAAGCCTGGAGCACAGTTGCGAGTTGCTGGTGAAGCTTCAGGAACCATTTTGCTTTTAAGAGGAGGAGTTGACATTGGAGGCGATTTCAATTATCAATCAGATTTGCAATTCAAGCCCAAGCCAGGATTTTGTTTGACTGCTTACAATGCTCATAGACCGATGAATGTCTCTGTTCAGCCATGGTTTCAGGTAAACTTAATGAATAAAGTAAACTTTACTGAACTTGTTCTTACTCATATTTTTCATGTTTTAAATTTCAGTTCTGGGACAGCAGTTGTCAAGAATGGAGTAACCGTCATATTTATCGACCTGAAATGTTGAATTGGAAAGTAACTGAAAGTCGAAGCAGTCCATGGATTCAAAATGAATGCATCATTCGAAAATGATCTGCTTGAAGATGCAGAATAAAAGGTTTAACTCTTCACCCAAACCATTATAATAGTAAAAATTGTATTTTATGATTTGTGCACTCAAACCGAATGAGACTATTTTTCACTATTTTTATTTGTACGAAATTGCATGTTGTCGAGTCACTTTTTTGTAATTGTTATCACTATTGAAGTTTCAATCAAATTAAATTATTTTCGTCTGTTGACTATTTTGTATTGATTTTTAAACAGGAAGATGCAAATTAATTTTTTAAAACACTTTCAGTTATTTTAATTAATCTTAAGCATTTATTTTATATCATGATGTCTGATTCATAATGGAAAAATTTATCTAAAATGTTCAAAATCATATTGACTTGACAATAGTTTGTATTGAACTTGGACCAAAGTCAAGAGTAAACTTAGTTGGTCCAGCTCCATTGAATGTAATTTTAACCGAATCTGGATTTGTATTGACAACAATAATAACAAGATCGTTTGTTGGGGTCACAAAGGTAGTCATTTTAACGCCATCCATTCGACCTTTATCAATTCGATAATGAATTCTTTGTGATCCTGGTTTCAAGAATTTACTGAAATGAGCTAAAGAATAGAACATTGGTTGTTTGTAATATTCAGTTCCATCATCAGATACTATTATTGGAGCATCGACAATGTTTCCAACCCAACTAGGACCTCCTTTTGTGTCTAATACCATATTCCAATCAACCCAACCAGTTGACCAATGATTCAGTCCTTCAATGATATCATTGGCATAAGTCTCAGCTCGAGTCCAATTTGCAAGTTTAACTGAAAAGATTTAAATGTTCATAAGTTAGTTTCATTTATTTAATACAAAGTGGACCGCGATCATAATCGATCTTCAATTAAATCCACAATCAAAAGTCCAAATTATTGTATAAATGAAAAAGCTACGAAATCTAAAATGAGAAAAACTAGCAAATAAAATCTAGTTCTAAAACTTTGAAAGCGATTTTATCAAAAACCTTCGACCAGAGAAATTTTTGGTCACACAAATGGGTTCAGTTCTAAAAGTTTATCAGGTTGCAGTTCTTAACTCGAAAGTCAGAGTTTTTGCACTTATTAATCTTCCAACAATGAGCCATAACGCCATCAAACAAAACAAAAATATTTTTGCCATTTTGCATTGCTTTTGAAAACGTTTTCTTTTTTCAGTCCATCCTGTTAGAACACGGCTCTAGGGAACCTGAGTTTCTAGAAAATCAAATCATGACTATAATCTAGTAGTAGAATCTCTTTTAGAAGCCTTTCCATAAAGTCACCATTTTGACTCAAAAATGACTGATCGTAAAATTTTTCCAGTGAGAAAGATACAATAGAAGATCGAAAATCGAAAAGACCGGAATTCTTGGCTGCTGATTAGCTAATTGTCTTATGAAGCTGAGCATAGAAGCAATAATTGAGCCAAAAATTTCATTCAAACATTGAACGAAATCAAAGCAATATTAAGGATGCAAGATCTTACCTCCAGCATCTGGATCAGTTCTCATCCAGCCTTCACATGCTTCGGTTGACATAAGGAAGTAATCCGGGAATTGATCATGCAGTTTTTTCAAATTATCATAGTTTTCTGCACTAGGACCAGCATACCAATGATAAGCTACACCAGAAACATAACTAGCCGCTTCTTTATCAGACAGAATACTTCTTGCAAATGAATAAACTTCATTAGTGTTGTGATCGTAAATCATTAGTTTAATCTTATCTGGTCCATAACCGGCAGCTTTCAATATTGGTCCTAAGTCTTTTTTAATGAAATCTCTCATCATCTCTGGAGAGAATCCACAAGTATTCCAAATGAAGCCTGGTGCCAAACCCGTAGGAGGCTCATTTTGCGGTGTTAATCCCCAGAATTCGATACCATTCTCTTTGTAACTGTCAAAAAATCTAAAACAACGACAAAAACACGATTACATCAGCACAAAGAACAGAGCAATTCATATTATAATGCTCATACTTAACAAAATAATTAGCCCATGTTTTCCAATATTTGCTTCCAGGTTCACCGATTAACATTCCCAGTCCATAAGAAGCATTGTTAGTCTTAAGCCAAGCTGGTGGAGCCCAAGGAGAACCAAATAGTTTGAGATTACTGTTCAGTTCCTTAGCTTTTTTGATGTATGGGATCTGATGTTGAATAAATTGAAGCGGGAAGATTTGTATTTTCAATAAGTACTCAAAGAACCATCACTAATATTTTAATGAACTCACCTTATAATTATGATCATCATCAGCTAAAGCAAAATGCTCCAATTCAAAATCGTCAACAACGTCATCGTAAGAATAAATTCGATCAGAGAAATCGGCTCCTCCAATTGGAACTCGACCAATATTATATTCAGCTCCATCTTTTCCAAAATAATCAGCAATCAAACGATCTTTTAAAGCGTCACTTGTTAGTTTATTGATGTTGATTCCAGCTGCATCAGTAAAGGCTCCACCAAATCCAATTATTGATTGAAAACGATCAAAGACATTGAGAGTTACTTTAATATCCGAGGATTGGTTGACCTTAAGATCGGATTCGGATACAACTGATTTGGTTAAACGATAATATGATTTATCAGTTGTGAATATAGTCAATGATTGAGGTGATGAGAATGGTTCAACTGGTAAGGGATCACAATAATCATTATTACAAACACAAAAAAAACTGTCTGTTTTCTCGATCCTCTTCACTTGACACCCAAATGAACCAGATATCAAGTTCAAACAAAGAATAAAAAAAGTTACTGTTTTTGTGAACATCGTAGACTTAGTGTGAATATTTATTTCAAATGAAAACAGATTTGCTATTGGACTTCTTTTATAGTCAACTGTCTAATATCGCATATTTCCATCATCCACAAATCTCGATACTTATTGATATGTGATAAAGTTCAGTGCATGAGTATTGGAAAATTCATTTGAGTTATGTATCACGACAACTTAGGTTCAGTTCAGTTCTGTGAATTCTTAGTAAAAATATTGATAAAACCTTTCATTAAAAATAAGAAATCGATAATTTGTAACGTAACCTATTTTACTGATGATTCGATTTACAATTTTTTTCATATTCAGATCATGCCTTTAATGTAAGTCTTATCATAATAATTTATAATAATTTATTAATAGATTGAAAATTGTGATTAGATACAATACTAGGTACAGGCTATATTGAATGAAGAATGAATCAACAAGAAACTTTGAACAATATTTTATCACGAATTTTTGCTTCGTTGCAGGCAAGGTTTCTGGAATTAAAATTTTATGCAGAATCTTGGAATGAGATATGTGAAATTTCATTCTCATGATTGTTGTATGCTGTGCTACGAGAAGATGAAGTTTATTGTCTAACGTAAAGAGGTTTATCCATATTAGATGACCAATGAATATATGCATCTAAAATAATTATATTAATGATAGATTCAGTTCACAGATTGAACAAAAACAACCCAGAAATAAATTAATCTGAGCGAAGAAAGACTTATAAGATCATGCTTACGATTCCAAAATTTAACATTCCGTCAACATGTTCGAAGAAACCGTTAGAAGAAGCAGCCAAAGCATTCAAATCATGACTTAGATATGCTTGTCTGAAAGGTCAATTCTTACAAAAAAAAGCAAATAGGTCACATTTCATCTGCCAAAATCCGTTTTTAACTACAATAATTACAATAACATATTTTAAACAATACTCGTGTGTTCCAAACTCGATCCATAGATCGCGACTATTTTTCGTCAACATCTACATTAAACTTTCAGAATCAAAATTGTCATTTACGACAACATGGAATAAAAGGCCGTTTTTCTAAAATTTTGCAGCAGTTTGATCAATACTTTTAAAACATCAGCATGATATCAATATCAAGTTCAAAGAAAGAATAAAAAAGTTGAATTTTGGTGAGCATTTTGAATTGATAAATCAAATCAGCAACTTATATTACAAATTTTTAAAGTAAAAGTTAATTAATTAAGTTAAGTAAAAATGAGAAGTTTCCTTTTCAGATTTCACTCACAGATCAACACTATTTCTGCGTTAATGGAGATATGTAAAATGCGAACCTACGACGCTCATAAGTCATCAACCGATCCTTCCTGATCGATTAAACATATTTCTTATGTTAGTTCTGCCATTTTCAAGTTTTCGTTTCTTCTCACGACCTGTTTATTAAGAACACGAAGATGCAAATTAATCTTACTACTTTTAGTAATTTTTCATAAATCTTAAGCATTTATTTTGATTCATAATGTATGCTTCATGTTTGAAAAATGTATTCAAAATGATAATGGCTTGACAATAGTTTGTATTGAACTTGGACCAAAGTCAAGAGTGAATTTACTCGCTCCAGCTCCATTGAATGTAATTTTAACCGAATCTGGATTTGTATTGACAACAATAATAACAAGATCGTTCGTTGGAGTTACAAAGGTAGTCATTTTAACGCCATCCATTCGACCTTCATCGATTTGATGATAAATTCTTTGTGATCCTGGTTTCAAGAATTTACTGAAATGAGCTAAAGAATAGAACATTGGTTGTTTGTAATATTCAGTTCCATCATCAGATACTATTATTGGAGCATCGACAATGTTTTTGACCCAATTAGGACCTCCTGTTGTGTCTAGTACAAGGTTCCAATCAACCCAACCAGTTGACCAGTGATTCAATCCTTCGATAACATCATATGCGTAAGTTTCGGCTCGAGTCCAATTACCAAGTTTAACTGTAAAAATGGATTGTTTCAAACATTTGTGGAAAAACATCAACAAATATTCATACGAATTAGTTACTGGAAATAATTCATTTTTAGACCTTCAATTTATCGACCTTACCTCCTCTATTTGATTTAGGGCCATTCCATCCTTCACAGGCTTCAGTTGATAGTAGGAAATAGTCAGGGAATTTGTCATGCACTTTTTTCAAATCATCATAGTTTTCTGCACTAGGACCAGCATACCAATGATAAGCTACACCAGAAACATAACTAGCGGCTTCGGCATCAGCCAAAACGCCTCTTGCAAATGAATAAACTTCATCATTATTATGGTCATAAATCATTAACTTTAATTTATCTGGTCCATAACCAGCAGCCTTCAGAGCGGGTCCTAAATCCCGTCGAATGAACTCTTTCATCATGTATGTAGAAAAGCCCAAAGTGTTGAAACCATAATACGGACTGAGGCCAGTCAAAGGCTCATTTTGTGGTGTCAGTCCCCAAAACTCAACAGCATTTTCTTTGTAACTCTCAAGGAATCTGAAATAAACAAGGTTACCTCACATTTAAATATACACATATATTACCATACAATTTTGAGATTATTTATTAATAATATACAAACTTGATGAGATAATTAGCGTATGTTTTCCAATAGATACTTCCAGGTTCGCCCTTTAATATTCCCAATCCTTCTGATTGATTGCTCGTCTTCAGCCATTTAGGTGGAGCCCAAGGAGATGCGAATAGTTTGATATTACTGTTGATTTGCTGGCCTTTTTTGATGTATGGAATCTGATATTGGCAAGAAAAATATGATAAAGATGATTTGCATCTTAAGATATTGAGGAATAGAAAAGCAAGTTACTAACCTTATAATCATAATCATCAGGAGCTAAAGCAAAATGTTTCAACTCAAAATCGTCGACAACATCATCATCGTAAGAATAAATTCGATCAGAGAAATCGGCTCCTCCAATTGGAACTCGACCAATATTATATTCAGCTCCATCTTTTCCAAAATAATCAGCAATCAAACGATCTTTCAAAGCGTCACTTGTTAGTCTATTGATGTTGATTCCAGCTGCATCAGTAAAGGCTCCACCAAATCCAATTATTGATTGAAAACGATCAAAGACATTGAGAGTAACTTTAATATCCGAGGATTGGTTAACCTTAAGATTGGATTCGGGTACAACTGATTTGGTTAAACGATAATATGATTTATCAGTTGTGAATATAGTCAATGATTGAGGTGATGAGAATGGTTCAACTGGTAAGGGATCACAATAATCATTATTACAAACACAAACAAAACTGTCTGTTTCTTCGTTCCTCTTCACTTGACAACCAAATGAACCAGATATTAATATCAAGTTCAAACAAAGAATAAAAAAAGTTACATTTTTAGTAAACATTTTGAAAGCCATTGCTAAACGGATTCAGAAATTATATTCTTGTGTGTCTTGATTCCAATTGAAATGTAAGGGAATACGAGGCTATTTTATATGAATTTATTCCTATCAAATTATGCAAAACACATTTGATATGGATATCTAACAAGTCATTATTCAATTGATTTTTCGTTGTCTCTCACCCTTATCATTAGCACAATTCTGTTATTCTATTTTTTAGAAATTTTTTTGAATTTGATCCAAGAGTTAAAATGCATTGTTCATTGTTATTTTGCCTTCAATTCCTTTTAACACTGGACCTGATCAGATAATGCATGCTTAACCCATAAAGTTATTGTTAGATATTCATTAAAATCTATCAAATTTGTATCTGTTTAGCTCTTTATGAGGTTAAATAATAAGTGAAAAAGTAAAATGAACCATTTGCAAACCCTTAAGAGGCTATCATGGGAGAAGATTATCTCATCTGAAAAATGGAACAAAGTAGGGCTTTGACGAACCGAGTTACTGATTAGTTGCACCTAATTATTATGTGTATTTCTATTTATCTAATCATGTAGAACATTCTCCATCTCGATAAGTTTTGTTAATGAGGGAACCCCGGGAGATACCTAAATATGCACGTAACACCATTGGATAGAGTTATGAAAAAGTCTTATGGATTTAGTCTGTATGGAAGGTTTTGCTTCCAATGTTTTTGGTTTCAAAATTTAGCTATTTTATTACTATCATACATATATTTAGACAAATTTTCAAGTGTAATCAGTAAGCTCAGTATACAAGAGAACTAAAGAAACCATATTTTATCATGGGATAACCATGCAAATCAGCTTGAATAAATGATTTGCTTGAAGTGCACCTAAATGTGATAGATGGGAAAAATAAATATCATAGAAAAATTTGTTTTCCAGAGATTGGATAGTTGGAGCCATTTTTCAATCCTATCAATAACAAACAATCATCAGATAGATAATGATTTAAGTGCGAATTAAACATTTACAAATTATTCATTTGTACTCAAACTTTGATTTTCTTCATCTATGAATAGTTTCTATTTGTTACAGCCTGGTTTGAAAAAAGGGAATGTGGGTAAAATAACAAATCGGCACAATTATTCACGTCTGGGTAAACACATTTTATTAACCTGTGGGGAAAAAGTTCGGGACTAATCAGTTTGATCGTTTGTCTAGCAATTCCTTTCAGCTAAAAGTTAAGATTTTCTTTTAAGGCATGTGAATAAGTTTCCGCCTTTTTTCAAAGAGGCTTGTAGAACCATCGATTTAGAACTTGCAACAGCGAGATATAAAAATTTCAGATCAGTACGATTACTACTTCATTGTTTTTCCATCGTTCCAAAATTTGGCTCAAAAATTTAACATCCAAAACTTTTCGTAACAAACCAATATGAGAAAGCTAGTCAGGTTCTGGTTAGTGAAAAAATAGATCAAATTAGATTTTTTAAATCTTAAAAATAAGATTGAGTTTTTATAAGATCTCGAATTAAACCAACACGTATCTTTAACCTTCCTTAATCTATTTCCGAAGAAAAAAGGAAAATTCTTTGATGCTCTGAAACGTATTGATTAAATTATCATTGCTGAACTTTTTTCTCTAACCTGCTCGGAAAAATTTTGATACAAATTATGTTTTATTGATTTGACAATTATTGTTTCGGAATAATTAATAATTTTTTACATCATTCAAAAGCTTAAAATCAGAACTTTTCTCTCAAGAAACTTAGTCCACCCTCAGAGGCAATAATTTGTTGTCTTGGCGAAATTTTTTTCTCTTTTTTATATTAATTCCTAATTTTACACAAAATTTTTTGCAGTATGGTCATCAATATTTAATTTTCTTCCTATGGCAGAAAATCCGGGAAAAATCCTATTTTCTGTCATAGACGAAACTTTTTTTTCATCACTGACGTAACTTTCATAGAGGTAGATTCTTCATGAAATTTTCAGGGTCGTTGATGAGTTGAAAATTCAGTCTTTTGTCTTTGATTTTCGTTATGATCGTAATTTTGGGACAGACAGATAGCGCACAAACCGATTTTTAATAAGAGTTGATGAAAAATTTTGTTGTAGTTTAACATGGCGCTTCTATGGGAAATTGGAAAAACTTGACATTTACATGTTAGTTCTCCCATAGGTTTCAAAACTGTTTTGCATCGAATTTTTTTAAAACTGATCTGCGCGCTATCTATGGGTCCCAGAACTGCGACTACTGCACCAGATAAAAGATATATGACTGAATTTTTAGTTTATAAAAACATCTAATTCAGAAAATTGAAAATTTCATTTTGAAAATGGTAATATCTTTTTCTTTCTCTCGTACTTAAGTTTTATGCACGCCGATGCAAATCACTCTTCGTACTTTTATTTATTTTGATAAAGCTATAACATTTATTTTTGCATTTTTAATGACAATTAACGCTTTTGCTTGAAACTAACAATTATAAATGTATTCAAAATGATAATGGTTTGACAATAGTTTGTATTGAACTCGGACCAAAGTCAAGAGTAAACTTAGTTGGACCAGCTCCATTGAATGTGATCTGTACAGAATCTGGATTTGTATTGACAACAATAATAACAAGATCGTTTGTTGGGGTCACAAAGGTAGTCATTTTAACGCCATCCATTCGACCTTCATCGATCTGATGATAAATTCTTTGTGATCCTGGTTTCAAGAATTTACTGAAATGAGCTAAAGAATAGAACATTGGTTGTTTGTAATATTCAGTTCCATCATCAGATACAACTATTGGAGCATCGACAATGTTTCCGACCCAATTAGGACCTCCTATTGTGTCTAATGCAAGGTTCCAATCAACCCAGCCAGTTGACCAATGATTCAATCCTTCAATAACATCATAAGCATAAGTTTCGGCTCGAGTCCAATTACCAAGTGTAACTGTGAAATAAATAGTTTTGAAATTAGTATTAATTTTGCAAGTGCATTATACTGAAAAGGAAAGAATCATAGGCATAAGGCAGTCTTAAGTTCATGCGAGAAGATTATCAGTTTTTCTTAATGAATTAAGTTTCATGGTTATTATAAGATCACGTTTGAGTGTCAGGAGACCAATCGTGAACTAATGATCTTCAATATTGTTTTCTCGAGATGGTCTCGACACCATTAGCACTTATGTAGTTCGGAGAGAATGGGTTTAGAGCTGTATATAACTTGCATTCGAAACAACCCTACCTCCTCTAATTTCTGCGGGTCCGACCGCTCCTTCGCAGACTTCAGTTGATAATATGAAATAGTCAGGGAAGTTATCATGGACTTTGTTCAACTCATCATAAAAGTGACCATCATACCAATGATAAGCTACTCCAGAAACATAACTAGCAGCTTCTGCATCAGACAAAATGTTTCTTGCAAATGAGTAAACTTCATCAGTGTTATGATCGTGTATCATCAACTTTAACTTATCAGGTCCATAACCAGCAGCCTTCAGTGCAGGTCCTAAATCCCGTCGAATGAACTCTTTCATCATGTATGGAGAAAAGCCCAAAGTGTTGAAACGATAGTAGGGCGTGAGGCCAGTTAAAGGCTCATTTTGCGGTGTCAATCCCCAAAACTCAACAGCATTTGCTTTGTAACTCTCAAGGAATCTGAAAAAAACAATGTTAACTCGCATTAATATTTACACAGAATTTTAAATTATTATTTCTACAAACTTGATGAGATAATTAGCGTAAGTTTTCCAATAGATACTTCCAGGTTCACCCTTCAATATTCCCAATCCTTCTGATTGATTGCTTGTCTTCATCCATTTAGGTGGAGACCAGGGAGATGCGAATAGTTTGATATTGCTGTTAAGTTGCTGGGCTTTTTTGATGTATGGAATCTGATGTTGGCAAGAAAAATATGATAAAGATAATTTCCATCTTAAGATATTGAGGAATAAGAAAGCAAGTTACTAACCTTATAATCATAATCATCAGGAGCTAACGCAAAGTGTTTCAACTCAAAATCGTCGACAACATCATCATCGTAAGAATAAATTCTATCAGAGAAATCGGCTCCTCCGATTGGAACTCGACCAATATTATATTCGGCTCCATCTTTTCCAAAATAATCAGCAATCAAACGATCTTTTAAAGCGCCACTCGTTAGTCTATTGATGTTGATTCCAGTTGCATCAGTAAAGGCTCCACCAAATCCAATTATTGATTGAAAACGATCAAAGACATTGAGAGTTACTTTAATATCCGAGTATTGGTTAACCTTAAGATCGGATTCGGGTACAACTGATTTGGTTAAACGATAATATGATTTATCAGTTGTGAATATAGTCAATGATTGAGGTGATGAGAATGGTTCAACTGGTAAGGGATCACAATAATCATGATTACAAACACAAACAAAACTGTCTGTTTTCGTATTCTTCTTCACTTGACACCCAAATGAACCAGATATAAATATCAAGTTCAAACAGAGAATAAAAAAAGTTACATTTTTAGTAAACATTTTGAAAGCCATTGCTAAACGGATTCAGAAATTATATTCTTATGTGTCTTGATTTCGATTGAATGAAAACGGAATAAAAGTCTACATTGAAAGTAATATCTAACCAGTTAATACTCAATTGATTTTCTCTTGACTATTATCATCATTATTAGAACAATTAAGTTATTCTTTCTGTTAAAAAATATATTGAATTTGATTCAAGAGGTGAAAAGCATTGTCCATTGTTATTTCACCTTTAATTTCTTTGTATCACTGAACCTGATTAGATATTGCATGCTTAACCCATAAAGTTATTGTTAGATATTCATTAACAGATAAAAATCTATCAAAGTGTCTGTTTTCCTGTGTATGCAGTTGAATAATAAGAAGTGAGAAAAGTAAAACAAACCATTTACAAGCCCTTAATTAGCAACATGTTAGAAGATAATCTCACCAGAAAAATGGAACAAAGTAGAGCTACTGATCACTAATTCTAGTAGGACGAGAATCACTAATTCTAGTTACTAATCCTTATTATTATATTTATTTCTGTTAATCAAATCATTTATGTTCATCTAACCAACTCGATAAGTTTTGTTAATAATGTAATCCTATGAAATGCCTAAAGAGATAGAGCAGTTGAAGTTATAAAAACTTCTAATGACTAATTAAAAAATGTACAAATTATTCATTTGTACTCAAACTTCTTCGATTGTTGCATCCATACACAGTTCCATTTGTTCCAGTCTGGTTTGAAAAAGCGACTGTTACTGAAATGGCACATGTGGCTTTGTTAGTTGTTAGTGAGTATAATGATAGTGACCATCTGTTGTAATATTACCGCCATTTTCTGATGGATGGCGAATACTCTCGCAGTTTCCGTTTCCAGTAACCTTTGACCCGGTTTCTGGTAGAGTTCGATGTAGGCTATTCAGATACATTGTTAAAAAAGTTAACGGACAACAGGGTTTTTAAAAATAGAAATTCTCATTGGTTGGATCGCCTTGAAAGGACTCGCCCTTGTCTTGCTTATCCAGTTGCTGTTATGCTTATTCAGCTAACTTGAATTATATTATAATTTGTCTTTATTATTGTCATTATGGGAGTTAAATATGAGCAAGAAGTTTAACTTTGAAATTAAGTTGAACATCTTAAAGGACAGTTTTGTTTATGTTTCGAGTGCAGCAAGTTTGTGCATTTAGTTTGTCCATTACTTCTTCCATTACTGGTATTATTAGTATCTTCATCATTGGCATTGAGTGATCGACAACAAGCGAAATCCAGAGCTCTAGTCAACCATCAGTAAAAAGCCCGAGCTCAGCGACAACAAAAACAACAGCAACAATCCCAGTTAAGACAACATCTGTCTTCACCTCGAGTTACCAGCGTTCCACCGAGCTTTTATCCTGAGATGCAATCAATAAACGGTAAATTTCACGTCTGACTCTCAGCATGTTGAGTTAATTCACCTACCGATGAAAGTTGAGGTTAATTTAAGCTTGGTCCAGACCAGACTAAATCATTATGTGATTAAGTTAAGCTAGAGATTAAGTGAGAGCACCCGGTGCGTTCAGCTTAGCAAGCCGTGAATTTGAATGATGAACCGATTGACACATTTCAGTATTCTTATCCAATAAATCGTGTCCAGAATCAGTCAATTTAGCAAATCTCACTTTAATGTTTTGTTTATTTCAAATGAATATAAATATTGCATTACATGTTCATATATTTCTTAAATTGATCTGCATTAAATTATCCTTACTGTACTAATAACATGAGTCGTTGACATTTCAAATTTTATCACCATTGGCAATGGTTTCATCTGACTTTTTGCACTTTGGTCTTTTAAATAACCAGAAGATGAAATATGAGATTGACAATCAGATCCAGAATGTTGTTACTAAATTTAAATTTGTAACAATTAACCACTTGCAATGTAATGATTTCAGTTGAGATCAAATTTGCATTTGTTTATATGTATCCTTGTTATTGTCTTTCATTCACTGACTTTCATGACACTTTCATTCCATTTAATCAACTAATTTTCTCTTCTTTTCTTTTCTCTTCAAAGCACAAAATTCATCGAGAATCGGAAGTCGAGATGGTGAAATGTCATATGTTCACCAATTTACATGTTATGAAGTAATAAAGTGCGTCAATTGTGAAACTACTCAAACTCCTTGTTGGCGTCTAGGCAAAGATGGACAATTTTCGTGTAATAAATGTGGTTTATACCTTCTAATGAATGGAATCCCTAAACCTTTAAATCGTCCAACCATGTCAGTTGCAGGTCAAAACCGAGAGAGACAGAATAGTGAAAGCAAAATAGAGAACGTCAAAACTGAGAAATTCGATTTTTGGCGAATGATTTCAAAACTTTGCTCATGTATATCGTGTGTTTCTAAATCAGCTTCGAAAGCTTAACTTTACTTTGCTTTGCTAAAACAGCACTTTTTGAGTTCTTTTAGAAACATCCAGTATCTTAATAGTAACCCTTAAAATCATCATTCTTTGCCAAGCACTTTATTTAATTATATGCGGCATATACATTTTATTAATGCATATAATGTATATTATATAACACCTGAATACCAGAGGGATCCGCGCCTACATACTGTAACCAACTCTTCTGTACCAACCAAGTAATCAATTCTAACCCAAAAGCCAAAACTTTATGCTATTCTTTTAGACAGTTCAATATCTTAAATTTATTTATTTTCAGCTTGACTATTATGACCCCTGTTTTGGTCTTTCTTTAAATTGCTTTTGCTATTTTGATCCTTTACAAACCATGTCTTTTGATCTGCATTTGAATAATTAAAAGAATCCATGAAAAAGAGTGCTGTTGACACGAAAAAAGAACCCTCACCTGTTTACAATTAATCCTTTTAATTTAATGTTGCATTTTCACCTTAACTTGACAATCTATCTTGTGAGACACTTTGATTAGCTTAATGTAGAATCAACAATCAACAATCAACTAATAACAATGTAATATCTTTTTATTTACGTAAATCGTGTTGTTTAAGGTTATCAACCATTACAGTGAAATTCAATTTAATTCAAGTTTGAATATGATTAATGGGAAACTGGTCAATATTTAGTTTCTCTGGATTATTGGTCCAACTCTATCGCTAGGCAGCTTTATCAAACACATGATTAGCCAGTTCGCGATACTTGTCAGCAGCCATGTAGTCAGTCCTTGATAAATTCATATGCTCACCTGTGATAATGAAAGTAAATTATTATTAATACAAATCAGTTTATATAAAGAAACTTCTAGTTAGTCAGCTTGAGCTATACTTGCCAACGAAGGAGGTACCAGGAACAAAACTCCAGCACAAGTAAACAGACGCATAGTTATCGTAATCAGTATCGACTATATTTAAAGTCATAAAGCTCGGAATCTCTAGAAGCAGAAAAATAATTATTATATAAATTGTGGAAATGACTCGAAAATTGATTCTTGTATTACTCAGTTGTTAAATTGTCAAATAAACAAGACACAGCATGTGATATAATAAGTTAGTCGAAAATTACTTACCTTTTGACATTCCATTATAGAGATTGAGTATATTTTGATTATCAGTACGTTCGGCTATCGCATCTTCCCAATCCTTTCCACCACTGGACGATGGATAAAAATTTGCATTATAATTTAAATCAATCATTGGTTGGTTATGGTTACTTACTAAGGGCTACGAATTGTAAAGTTGAAGTCTCCATCCTCTCGAGGAGTGAAATACACTTGAAGATTTATTGAGTAAGGTGCTCCATTAGTTTTATACCATAGACCGGCCATCTAAATCAATCAAACACAAAATTAATGGATGAAGTAAAACGTATTGATAAACACAATAAATTATTATGAACTTACTTTGTCAATATCAGCACCAGGAGTAGTTGGAGGAACTGGACATGGAATGTAACCTGATTCAGCAAAAGCCAATGAAGAAAAAGCAATGACAACGAAGAGAGTTGCAATCATTTTCATTTTCAAGAAGAGATTAAATGTTTGTTAATGAAACTTTTTGATTAACTTATGCTCATGTGTTTAGTATGATCACCTTTTATACTTAAATTCATCAGTTTTTCAAATAATATAATCTAAATATCGAAATTCAGAATCTAAGATAAATTACTATGAATTGCCCGATCAAAAACAATGCTTTTCAAGCACTGGCTGAAGAAGAGCTAGATTAAAGATAAGTTTGTTATATGTGAATTTCATGAGAAGGAAATGAAGATTATATTAACCACCATGTCATATTTTCTGAAAAAATTGATTATTTACTCAGAAATAATTTCATTTGAAGCATTAAACAATACAATTTCTTGTTGAACAGCAACAAATAAATTCTGGTTAATTTTGGTTTTAGGTAAGAATGGAAATAATAGTCATTTTATACAAAATATCATTCACTGATTATTTTGGTTTCGTAGAAATAATATTGATTTTTACATCGATAACAAGAAACTATTTGGTCACAATTCGAAAGTTTGTTTAATACCTTTAATTGAAAATCAATCAAATATGATATTACGGTCAGTTCTGGTTGAAAAGATCCAAATTCATATTAAGAAAAATCAGCATCAAAACGAAGCAAAGCCTTTACTAAAAGAAGTTCTGCCAAAACTTCGACTTTCGAGTTGAGAGAAAAGTTGAGGCTCGCTGGGTTTGTAGGAGCATAGACAAACTGACAAGGGAACTCCACGAGATGCCTAAAACCAATTTGAATGAGTAAGGTGTCATTCGATAGAGAATGATGAGTTAGGAAACACCTTAAAGGGTTTTTTCTGTGTACTCAATGGTTCCTTACTCATTCAAATTGGTTTTAGGAATCTCGTGGGGTTCCCTTGTGAGTACTATTAAAAAATTTCTTCATCTCTTAGTTTTCGAGAAAATCAAAGTTGGTACTTTTCCCGCTTTTTGTACAATTATGGAAACAGATTTTTCATAAACTCATTTTTCTTGTGTACAGTTTGATGGCCAACCAAAAAAGGCACTTATTTATAGAATTAAAATTTTCGGTTAAACTGAAAATCAGATCAGTTTGATTTCCAGTTGAACCTTCCGCTTTCTATGAGCTTAAGAATTAGAGAGATGAAACTAATTTTTTTCGTCGACAAAGATCACATCAATACAAGGCATTTCAGATGTTTTTACACAAATTCAAATGGGCGCTGAAACAAAGGGTTAGATATTTTGATCAAAGTGTTCGTCCATCATGACGCAGCGCCATCTCATGTGTCTATTCAAACCAAAAAATTTATGGAAAAATTGACCGAAGAGTTCGGAATTTCATTTATTCAAAAAGAGGACATTCCGATAAAATCACCGGACGCAAGTCCATTGGATTTTTTCGGCTTTGGTTACCTCAAACAACTGCTTCGGCGAAGAAAGGTGACAACTTTGAATGGTTTATGTCGAGCAGCAAATGATGTTTGGTCAAAGATCGATGCAGAAATGATCTTACGCGTGTTCGATTCTTGGAATAGACGACTCAAACAAATCGTTAAGAATCAGGGAAAACATATTGAGCAAACAAAAACCATTCATAAAAGAATATTAAGTCAAAAAAATTAAATAAAATCGTGTAAAAACATCTGAAATGCCTTGTAATCTAACACTTTTTTCAATTTTTCAACAGTTCTCTTGATTTTACCATTGGCTATAAAACTTTCAGCTTCAATACTTACAATACTTATAATAATATCACCCGATTTCATCGTTTTTGGCCAATCATTAGATTTTTCATGGGCTTAATACAGCCGCGAAAGAAAAGTTTGACATAGTTACCATTAACTTAGCGCATATACAATCGTATCTAAGCACAATCAGCAAATCAATTCAATCAAAAAAGAGATAGTATGA